CGATTTTATCTCCTCACCCCAGAACTCGTCGAATGAGGAATCTAAAGAAAAGGAGAAGAAAAATAATGGCGCTGAAGAATTATACTCGAAGCATGTCATGTTTGAGAACCCAGAGTGTGCCTATGCCTGTTTTCTGCTGCAAACCATCGCAGAACTACTGTTTTCCTATAAACCAGCCAAAACTGAGTTCTTGACATTTTCCAAAAAACAGAACGATCAAGTCACGATCGACAAACCAAGAAGTACAGCGCTCAACTTGTTGTTGCATCAGTTTATTTCCTCCGATCCATTCAACAATTCTTCCTCAGCAGAAGTCAAGCGTCGCCGCTTGTTAACTCTGCTGGCGAGCGTCTGCATTGTTGCATTGGTTTCTTCAACACCAATCAGGGGAGTCGATTACGATGACCCGAAAATCACAGATCCGGATATGTCATTTGTGAGGAAGTTCACTGCAGATATTATTATCAAGGTGATCAAGGAATCAAACGCGGGTTCAGGAAGTGCGTACGATCGGTATGGAAAAATTGTGGACATTTTAGACCTCACATGCAAGCTTCTCGGTGAAAAATTCGAGTTGAGCGTTTCTTCTGCCATGGATAAAACTGTCACCCAATACGATTCTTATTTCCTTGCTCGTGAGCTTCTTGAAAAGAAGTTACCTCTTGCTCTGTCAGGCATTCTTGCCGATTTGGATGTCAATTTCCCTCATACAGAGATGATTTCAGGCGGCATAATGCGTTGTTTGTCGTCTTTGGGGTCGATCAAGGTCTCCAAACAGGATCTTTTCCGTGAACAAGGCTTTGGGGATGCTGATGAAGAGGACATTGACGAGGAGGATCTAGATGAGCGTGAAGAGACACCAGATCTTTTAAGGAACTCTACTCTTGGGATGTACGATCTCGATGATGTCGAAAACGAGGAGGACGAAGAAGATGAGGAAGATTTCCTTGATGGAGACGACATCGAGATTGTATACTCTGAGGACGAGGACAACGATGATGAGGATGAGGATGAGGATGACCAGGACAATGAGGACGATGATGAAATGATGGAGTCTGATGTGGAACTTCTGGGAGGTGATGAGGGAGACGATGATGTTAGTGATGACTCAGCTGAAAACAGTGAAAGCTCTGTTGGCGACCTACTTGACCGTGGTCAGTTTGTTATTGATATTGTCAGTGGGTCAGATGAGGACATGGACGATTCAGAGATGGATGATCAAGATGAAGACGACTATGAGGATTATCCAGAGCACGAAGTCGAGCTTCTGGCCGACGAAGACGATTTTGACGACGAAGACGATGATGAGAACGATGATGACGAGGATATGAATAATAGCGAAGACGACAGTGCCATTCTTGAGGAGTGGATCGCGGAGCACGAGGACAACGAAACACATCGTGGTGGCTCCCACAGCCGTCGTATCGCTTTGCAATCTCGCGCCAATGACTTCTTTGTTGATGAGGAATCATCAAACGATGACGACAACGACATTTTCCATCGCTTCCACTCCAACCCATTTGATTCAAGAAATGACGACGAGGCTGAAATGCAGCTTCTCGGTGGAACTTCCTTAGTTCCGCCGTCGGATAGCTTGCGTGACTCTGGCGATCGTTCAGGCTCAGTGTTTTTCCATCATTGGATCTTCCCAAGACAAGGCGGTGGAAGAACACAGATTCTCCCTGTTAACGGTGGAAGACTTACGGATATTTTGCGTGCTCTGAATGGACACTCCCCTTCGCCATCGTCCAAGAAGAACCAGCAGGTGCCTAACATATATATCAAGTCCACGGTTCAGAGATGGACTGAAACTGCTGCTCTGTTTTATGGAAAGCACTCAACTAAGTATGCCTGTCGTGTCATCCCGAGTATTGTGAACCGAATCTTTGAAAAGAGTATGAAGATTGCCAACGAAGAGAGACGCAAGGAGGAGGAAAGACAGGAAAAAATCCGTAAGGCTGCTGAAGAAAAAGAGGCTAAACGTAAGGAGGAAGAAGCAGCAGCACAAGCCCGTGCAGAACAGGAAAGAGAAAGTAGGGCAGAAGATCCTGACCGAGAACCAGTGTACGTCAACATTGCCGGTCGCGAAGTTGATATCAGTGGAACTGACATTGATCCGGAATACTTGCAGGCTTTGCCAGATGATCTTCGGGAAGAGGTCTTTGCACAGCACATTCGTGAGAGAAGAGCTGAGGCCACTACCAGTGGAAACCAAATTCCTGAAATTGATCCTGCGTTCATGGCTGCTCTTCCTGATGAGCTACGTAACGAAATCATGCGTGAGGAGTACCATGCATCATTTGAGAGCCGTATCATGCGCTCTTTGGGCGAAGGGGATGCTGAATTTGATGATGAGGACGATAATGAAATTGCGATTGAAGACGAAGAGGAGGAAGAAGAACCGCAGAAGAACCAACATCAGAAGATTTTCTTCTCTCCGATGGTTGATAAGTCAGGTGTCTCAGCATTGCTCAAAATGATTTTTGTTCCTCAGCTATACTACAAGCGTGAAAGCTTCTTCCGTACTTTGGGATATCTATGCTACAACAAGCAGACCCGGAGCGAGATCGTCACGATGTTACTTTATATTCTTCAAGAGGGAATAACCGATCAGCTTGCATTGGAGGCCACCTACCAACAGCTTTGTCAGAGATCACACACTCAGTCACAGAATGATCATCTTGCTTCACCTCTGAAATCGTCACACACAGCTGTATCTCCGTCATATAACAGAAGTGATAGCTTTCCAATTGGCTGTACAACCTTAACTGTTGCAACTCAAGCCATTGATGTCATTCAGTACCTGCTGGAAAATGAAAACCACATGAGATTCCATTTCCTAATGGATCAGGACAATAACCCATTGATGAAGAAGTTAGCGAAAAAGCACAAATGGAAGGACAATAGCTACAAGTACCCTATCAACATACTGTTGAACCTGTTGGATAATCCTTTGATCAAAGAGGACACTAACCTAATGGATATTCTGTCACGTACTTTCCAGATTGCTACGCGTCCGTTGCAGGCAATTCGCTCAAAGCTTACCGAAATTAGTGACTCCGACAAAAAACAATCTAAGGCTCCTCAATTGCCTTTCATTCCCGATAGAAATCTGAAACTGATCATCAACATTTTGGTTGCAGATGAATGTGCAAGCAAGGTTTTCCAGCAGACTATTGCATCGATACAGAATCTGTCTTTGATTGAAAATGCAAAAGTTGTTTTTCCTAGGGAACTGTCCAAAAAAGCCACTGCATTGAGTCAAAAGATTGCCGATGACCTTAGAACCCTGATCGAAGAAATGAAGAGCAACCCTGATAGTGAAGACATCCCATCACTCAGCAATTTTGCTAGTGGCTCGTCTGATCAGGCCAAGCTTCTGCGTGTTCTCACTGCATTGGACTACCTCTTTCAGACAAAACACAACAAACCTAACGAGTCATCTGAGGTGGATGAGCTCAAAGAGCTATACAAGAGCTCTGCTCTTGGACCTCTTTGGGGCGCTTTGAGTGACTGTTTGTGCATTCTCAGAGACAACCAGAACTTGGCGCATGTTGCCACCATTTTGTCTCCACTGATTGAAGCTTTGATGGTTGTTTGCAAACACAGCAAAGTGGAAGACTTGCCGGTGAGGGATGTCTTAAGATACCAAGAGAAGGTATATGATTTCACAAGTGAACCAATTGAAAGCCTTTTCTTCTCATTCACTGAGGAACACAAGAAGATACTGAACCAGATGATTAGGAACAACCCGAAGCTGATGAGTGGTCCCTTCTCTGTTTTGATCAGAAACCCTAAGGTGTTGGAGTTTGATAACAAACGGATCTACTTCGAACAGAAACTCCATCATGATGATGGTGATAGGCCAACATTGCCTGTAAATGTGAAGAGAGATCAGGTGTTTTTGGACTCATACAGAGCGCTTTTCTTCAAATCTCCTCAAGATATCAGAAAATCGAAGCTCGACATTCAATTCCGTGGCGAACAGGGTGTTGATGCTGGTGGTCTGACTAGAGAGTGGTACCAAGTTCTTTCGAGACAAATGTTTAATCCAGACTACGCACTTTTCACCCCTGTTGCCTCTGACAAGACCACCTTCCATCCTAACAGAACTTCCTGGGTGAACCCAGAACATCTTTCGTTCTTCAAGTTTGTCGGAATCATCATTGGAAAGGCTGTTTATGACGGATGCATGCTGGACTGTCATTTCAGCCGTGCGGTTTACAAGCAGATTCTAGGGCGCCCTGTCTCCCTGAAGGATATTGAATCTCTCGATCTTGACTACTACAAGTCGTTGATTTGGATGCTAGAGAACGATATAACCGACATTATTGTCGAGACTTTCTCTGTGGAGACCAATGACTACGGAGAAGAGAAAGTCATTGACCTAAAACCAAATGGCCGGGACATTGCAGTTACAGAAGAGAACAAACACGAGTATGTTCGGCTGATTGTTGAATACCGTTTGAAAACAAGTGTTCAGGAACAAATGGATAATTTCCTCAAGGGTTTCTATGAAATCATTCCGAAGGACCTGATTGCTATTTTTGATGATCAGGAGCTCGAACTTTTAATTTCTGGTCTTCCAGATATAGATGTGGATGATTGGAAAAATAACACAGAGTACCAAAACTATTCTGCATCGTCTCCTCAAGTCCAGTGGTTCTGGAGAGCTGTGAAGTCGTTTGATGCTGAAGAAAAAGCCAAACTGTTGCAATTTGCTACTGGAACCAGTAAGGTTCCGTTGAATGGATTCAAAGAGCTGCCCGGTATGGTTGGAGTTTCAAAATTCAGTATTCATAGAGTTTATGGATCCACCGACCGACTTCCATCTTCTCATACTTGTTTCAACCAGATCGATCTCCCAGAGTATGAGAGCTACGAAAAGCTTCGGGGTTCATTACTGTTGGCCATCATGGAAGGCCATGAAGGATTTGGCTTTGCCTGAAATGTATAAATGAAAAAAAATCTTAGTATTTATTTATTTATTTATTTTTACCATGGCCAAGAGGCCAGTAGACCATGACGCGGTCGACCAGACGCCAAAGAGAAAGAAATCCCCCATCTCAGAGACGTCGGAACTTGAAAAAGTGGGAATTCATCCATTGCTGAGAGGCACAGCGAAATTGCCTGCCAACTTTAATCCATTAAAACAGTCTCGCAAACGAGAAGGTTTTGTTGTTAACCCATACATAGACCAAAAAGACATCAAATACTCGCGACCGAAACGGGATTTCCATCTCAATGAACAAGGCAAGTATATTGAGCGCGCAAACGAAATGAGACGGCGACTGGAGGAGGAAAAGCGAGAACAGGAAGAACAAAAGGCATTGGCTGCACAGGGACTCACGCCAGATGAAACGACGGGCGAACAGCATTATCTGCCTGTCCGGCCGCCCGCAGTTGAGTGGTGGGATCAGCCGCTACTCAGTGAGCGACGGTACGGAGACGAGCTGAAAGTTAAGTATAATGACAAAGATGATCTGAAGAACCCAATCACCGAGTATATCCAGCACCCTGTTCCGGTGATGGCACCGTGGGAGAAGCATCTGCCTCCTCCAAAACCATTGTACTTGACAAAGAAAGAGATCAAGCGACTGCGAAAGAACGAACGACAGATGAAACTGAAAGAGAAGCAGGATAGAATGAAGCTTGGACTCGACCCGACTCCAGCGCCAAAAGTGAAATTAAAGAACCTGATGAACGTCCTGACGAACGATGCGATCAAAAACCCGACAGAGGTGGAAATGCGCGTGCGACGTGAGATAGAGGAGCGCAGACTGCAGCACGAAGCAGCTAACATGGAGCGACACGTCAATAAGGAAGACAAGGCCGCCAAAATGGCACGGAAATTCGAGAGAGACCTACAAAAGGGCTGTTTTTCTGCTGTTTTTGCGGTTGAAAGTCTCGAAAACAACCAACACAGATATAAGGTCAATATCAATGCCAAGCAGTTGGACTTGAAGGGCATGTGTTTGAACCTGGATAATGGTCAATCTCTCATTATCGCCGAAGGCGGAGAAAGATCGGTGTGCAAGTATAAACGGCTTATATTGCACCGGATCCAATGGGGCGTCAAATGCGAACTAGTCTGGGAGGGCCAGCTAGTCGATCTACACTTTTCAAAATGGACAATGTACGATTTCACAGACGAAGATGAAATTCTAGCTCTGCTCGCCAAATTTAGACTGGAAAATTATTGGACGCAAGCCAAAAATATCATTCATGGCTCCTAAACACTTGTATTTACATCACTCCTCGATCTTGGCAAGCAGATCGGAGTCCCTGAAAATCAGGTACTCCTCATCTCCAACCTTGACATTCGCACCGCCAAATGGTGGAATAAGAACTTTGTCACCAGCATTGACACTCACCTTGGTCAGTTCACCGTTCGGGTTGATAATGCCGGGCCCAACAGCAATCACATTGGCGATGTTGAGCTTCTCCTGGTTCTTTTCTGGGATGTAGATTCCGGAGGCGGTCTTTTGGGAAGGTTTGACTCTCTGGACGAGAATTCTGTCCAGAGTAGGGATGATCGATTTGGCAGACTTCAAGAAGGACTACCGTGTCAGTGCCGGTGTGTAGAGATACGTACCATTGAATAAAATTTCTCAAAGTTTTCTCAACTCGCACCAAATAAAAGTGATCCTGGGGAGTCTGACGTGTGCTTACCTAATCGCTGACGTACATCTGGGATCACCTCGAGCCAACCAAAATAATCTATTTAGTTTATCGATATTTCCAGATGGCTGCCCCATACGTTATTTTCGGCGCAAAAGTTCCCCCACACTGGGTAAGTGAGCCATTGACTTTGCTGCTAACGCCACAGCTTGCTATTGGCACCATTTTGACCGTTGTTGGAGGAATTTACGGCCCTAAGGCTTTTTCGTCTCCTGCTGCTGCTGCTCCAGCTGCTACTCCAGCTGCCGCCCCATCATCTGAGCCTGAGCTAGATGTTGAGAAGGCAATCAAGTAAGTAAAACCACCGGATTACTAACGACAGCGATTTCCTTGCATCTGATAAGAAGGAGTAGATGTGATTAGATAAATTCATAAACATGACACAATTGTGAAGTACTGTTTGTAAGGCGCAATTGCGCCACATAGTAGTGCTGAGCTGGGTACATTGAATTTTATTGTTCGACAATATGGGCGAGTGTCTAGTAGATGTTTGCCAGCACTTGCACCCACTTAAGTACCTAGCTGTCTTTTTATTTTTTTTTATAAACTATGCTCATTCTCGCCATTGGAGACTTACACATTCCTGAGCGCGCAGTTGACATACCGCACAAGTTCAAGAAACTCTTACAGCCCACGGGAAAAATCCAGCAAGTTTTGTGTCTGGGGAATGTGACAAACTCGCAATCGACGTTAGAATTTCTGAAGTCCTTATCACTTGATTTTCAGATGGTTAAAGGTGACCTCGATCTGGACTACAATCTTCCACTTTCGTTGGTCTTCAGTCACGATAAGCTCAAGGTGGGCCTTGTGAATGGGTTTCAAATAGTCCCTAAAGCGGACCCTTTGAGTCTACTATCTCAGGCGCGACTGATGGACGTGGACATATTGATATACGGCTCGACACACAAGGTTGAGGCATACACGCTTGACGGGCGGTTTTTCGTCAACCCTGGTAGTGCCACTGGTGCGTTTAGTACGAGCAAGATGGACCAGGAGGATGTGGATACGGTGGAGGCGTATTTAGCAGAGATGAGCGGAAAGAGACCGCAAGGAGACGAGAAGAAAGAGGCTCACGGCAAGGAGAATGACCAGAATGGCCATACGACAGAGGAAGAGCAGCCAGAAAATAGCTCACCCGAGAAGCCTGTGGAAATTGGAGAGTACATGGATCCCGTTCCCAGCTTCTGTCTTTTGGACATCCAAGGCTCTGTGTGCACGCTGTATTTGTACACACTGATCGACGGTGAAGTGAAGGTGGATAAACTGACCTACAGAAAAGATGAACAGGAATAAAAAAAGGGACAATGACGAGCCTGGAAAATAGGGCAGTCTCCGCATGTGTAAAAACTATTGTGCTGGAGAGGATTTAAAGAAAAAACTCGACTGAAAATTTTTTTAGTACTCTATTATATTCATCTTTATATTTGTCAGGAGACGGATGGAAAGATCAATCACCATTATGATGACCAGAGTGCATTTGGCTCGAGACGGGCCAGGGGGCGTTGTGTCCGCTGGTTTTGTCGATGTGGAAAAAAACACGCTACCTAACTAAATTTGTCTGAATCGTGATGATCATCCATTTCTTCTTGTCAGCTCTAACGTGAATTGGCCAGCATTACAGTATATGCATTTACATGATTTCTCAGTCTCTAGTTTAGTTTTCCGACCCCTTCTTCTAGTATGCTTTCTAATAAGTCTTCCTCAAGGTTATCCTCGACTCCTCCCTGGAATGAGCTCGGCACAAGCTCCGACCGCACCAGATTTTTCTTCATATAGTACGCATCTTCCTTGTCCTGGTAATATGACTTCTCGATGCTCAACACCTCAAATTTGAGAGTATCTTTGTATAGATGCAATGCTGCCCTGTTACTCTTTCTAACGTGCAAAGAGACATATTTGGCATCATAGTTCTCGCAAAGACTGTACAGACATTGCCGCATGAGCTTCTCTGCGAGTCCCATACGCCTATACGTGCGCATCACCGAGAGAGAAGTTACATGCCCGTGGGGTGTTTTATCCTCCGATTCTGGGTCATCATCCATTTTTCCAAGCACATATCCGACGATCTTCTCTCCTGGAGCAACGTACTGCATGTCGCGCTTGGTCTCATGTGCTGAAGGTCTATCTTGGTGATCAAGTTCGGGGTCTGTGGTCGTTGCCACAAACGATGCCTGCGGCCACGAGAGCAAGTGATACAGGTAATATTTCATTGTGTAGTTCTCCGGTAAATTAGTGAGGTTGGCATTTTGCATGCCTTCGAGGTCCTCTATGGTGGCCTGTCTGATGGTGATGGCCATGGTGATTTTCTCAAAAAAAAATAAAACTTGCAATCTGCAAAAAACAAAAAATAACCATCTTAATGTCCAGAATCGCTTCCGGTTACGATCCAACTGCAGGTCCACGCTCAACAGGAACCACGACAGTTGTCCGCCCGCGGTCATCGATATACGACAGGAACCTTCATCGCGCAAGACACGATATCAGTGTGTCCAGCCTGAGCTTTCTGTTCATGGAAATGGTGTCGATGAACCTGAACCAGGCAAAAAGCCTGATTGAACTCGAGCGGAAACTAAACAATCTCGGATACTCGATAGGCACCAAAGTGCTGGAGCTGGCGTCGCTGCGTGAAAACTTCAGCAACAACCTCACGTCTTCTGGAAAATCGAACATGTCAAAACGAGAAATCAAGGTCCTGGAGATTCTGCATTTCATCACTTCTGTTATATGGCCTAGTCTATTTGAAAAGCCGGCAGATAACCTGGAAAAATCGTCTGAGTCCAACTCTCAGTACATGATTATCGACAATGCTCCTGTCCTGATGAAATATATCTCTGTTCCTAAAGAATATGAAGGACTTAATTGCGAGGCCTTTGTGGCCGGCATAGTGGAAGGAATTCTTGACTCAACTTTCTTCAAATGCGAGGTTAGTGCGCATACAGTCCCCGTTGACGGCTACCTCGGCCGAACAGTCTATTTGATCAATTTCGATGAGGAGTTGATCGCGCGTGAAACTCAATAGATGCATGTACCATAATAGCTAGCTTTTCATTCTGAATCCCCAATTTTCTTTGTCTCCCTTTTTTTTCTCTTGTTTGACATGACGACCGTATTTCAAGATTCAGTAAGGCCCAGAAGAGGTAAGTGATGATTACGACTTACTAACAAAGTGTACACTAGACGCTCCAATGTACTGAAGCCAAAGTCCACGAATATTATTACTTCCAGAACAAAGGCCTATGAGATACCGCTTACGTCTCCTGAGGCATCAAAGGTAATTGGCCAGTCAACTTTGGACGACCTTCCTGGAGCAAGAACTCCGCCAATGCTGGTGTACAGTTCAAGCTCTGTGTTGAATGAGAACAATCTTTCTGTGACATCCACGCCTTTTCGAACACCCATTGTTGAGCTTCCCGAAAGCCCTGATAGTCGCCATAGCAAAGACAGCAAGTTTGCAGACTTCCTAAGTCATTTCAAGAGTAAAAGCTCAAAGACTGGCAAAAAAGTTGGTTTCCAAGACCAAAAACATCAAACAAGAAAACCCAAACCACGGATAAAAGTGAAAAAGCAGAACAAGACAAATCCAGGGGACCTTCTTAGCCTGAACCATACTAAATATCAAGTTACGAGATTCCTAACCATTGACCGCGAGAAGCTCAGGAGTTGGACTCGCCGGGACTTTGAGCTCTTTGTGAATTTCAAAATAACAGCCTGAAAAGCGGTTATTATACGCTCTCGTGGCCCAGTCGGTTAAGGCGTCAGTCTCATAATCTGAAGATCGCGTGTTCGATTCTCGCCGAGAGCAGCTTTTTTTGCAAATATTAATTTTTTCGTCGTCACCCCACAAATGTCCTACAGGCTATGCATGGTGGCAACACCCTACCGTGACCTATTCTCCCCCTCGTCCTCTATTAGAAAGACTAGCAGAAACGATTCCGCTTTACAAGAGGCAATTTTAGCTCTGGGTTGATTGCTCCCCAATTTTTTTCCTCACTAGCCACATACAATAAGTGCTGCGCAAAATGCGCATGAGTTGAGTCAGGCTCTATTATTTTCCTAATTCTACAGAGTTTAAATAACCAAGATTGCCATGCCTAACTCTTACTTCCCGGGTTCGCCAACGTTGCGAACACCAGGATCTCCAACGATTCAGACACGTCAAAGCTCAATAGTGGAGATGCTGTCTAGCCCACCACCTATTGAGCATCTAGAACTTTCCTCTGTGGACAACTCCTTGCCAAGTCCTGGGTCGCCCGGCAGCCAGTCTATTACATTGGGACAGCAGCTGCATCATCATAGTGGTTCTCACTCGTCATTGTCAAGAAATCCATCTATGTCAAGTTCCAATTTTACACCCCTAGGAGGAACTGCGGTCGAATGGCAACATATTCAGTTGTGCGAACTTGTTGAGCAAAACAAGCTTATCACGATAAATTCCAAGATATCCGTTGAGAAGGCGTTTGAGACACTGGTAAAAAACAACCTCACCTCTGTACCTGTAGAGGAGTACGAACATGATCCAAATTGCCTCACGTTTGATTACACAGATTTGAACTCGTATTTATTATTGGTCTTGAACAAATTGAAGCCCGAATCGTTATTGCAAATAAACTATGAGCCAAAGGAAGAGATTCCAGAGCTAGTTAAGCGTGCTCAACGTGGAGATCAAGTTCCTGTCTCCTTTGTGATCCGCCTCACAAACAAGAATCCGTTTATTAAATTGCACGAACAAGACACTTTGTCTACCGTGGTAGAAATTCTGGGAACAGGCGTTCATCGCATTGCCATTACTAGAGACGGTCAGCTGACAGGAATATTATCACAGAGACGGTTGGTGAAATTCTTATGGGAGAACGCACGGCGGTTCCCTTCAATGGAGCCTTTGCTTAACTCGTCTATCCAGGCCCTCAACATAGGGTCCTCAAATGTCATTAGTATCTACGGGGACCAACTATTAATTGAGGCTCTAGTCAAAATGCATGATTTGATGATTTCGTCTTTGGCTGTCGTTGACAGAAACAATCAGCTATTGGGAAATATCTCTGTGACCGATGTCAAGCTCGTTTCGAAGTCGTCCAAAAGCGATCTGCTCTACAAATCCTGCTTGCACTTCATCTCTGTGATTCTGAACTCCCGTGGCCTTGAAAATGGTAAGGACTCGTTCCCGATCTTCCATGTTACCACGTCGTCCTCTCTTGCTCGCACAATGGCCAAATTGGTGGCCACACAGTCTCACCGTTTATGGATAGTGAAACCGGATACCCAGTCCTCGATATCTTCTGCGTCCTCTGGTCAGGCGCCTCCTTTGGAGTCAAAGAGCATGTCGCCATCTCCGTCGTCAATTTCCATTCATCAGCAGCCTTCTCCTGTCTCAGAACTTGGTGAATCTCGCAGTATGGGGAGGCTGGTTGGAGTTCTTTCTCTCACTGACATTTTATCCTTGTTGGCTAAGACGCTAGGAAAGGAGCATGTCCAACCATCGATTGCAAGAAAGCAAAGAAGAAGATCCAGCAGCAGCGCCAGCAGCAACGCCAGCAGCAGAACTACATCCTCACTCGAGATGTTTAGAAAGAGCGTCAGTGATCCTGCGGACAGATGAGCCTTAGTGCACTGTGCTTTGCAACCTGATACTTGGTACTGGTCTGCTGGGTACCTTATATAAATTATAATATACATAACTTATTTGCTCTGCTGTGTGTGTCTACGCTTTTCGGAAGACGGCTGAGGCAGGGCTCTTTTTGTTGGCGAGGAATGCGGTGTTTTGCGATTTGTTGATTCGCCCAGGGGCTGGCTGATTAGTTTTTGCAATTCTGGAAGTCCTGGCACAGTCTTTTGTGATCTTAAGGAAGGTAAAACTTCGTGGAGGTTCGATAGACTTTCTTTTATCTGGCCCATTGTCGATTCCAATTCTGTGTTGGACGATCGTAGCGATGCATAGGACCTGAGCATCTTGTTTTGTTTCTCAGATTGTTCGGCCACATCTGTATTGGTGGCTGCTACTGTGCTGTTCAGATTAGCAAGCTTGGCTTTTTGGTAATTCAGGTACCCCACGTTGGCCTCCAGATGCGACTGAAGAGAGGTTGCGCACTGATCAACCGATGACAACACTTTGGCGTTACGGTTTGCCAAAGTTTCCGCGAGAGTGGAATTCTTCAGAATCCATTTAGTCTGCTCCTCGGAAATTTTCTCCTTGGTGGAATTAAGTACCATTTCGATAGTTGTTTGCGTCAGATTTTTGGAAAATTGCGAGATTTGAGACACAAGCTGGGATTTCATATCCTCTATCATCTTTTCTGATTGAGTGGTCACAGTTTGCACAATTGGCTTATCGTCAAAAATATTACGTAGATAGTGATCGAACTTGGTATCATTATTTTGTGACTCGCTAATTCCTGATCTCAATAGGCCCAGCTCGTTCTTGAGTTCAGCGAACAATTTATCCAACTCGCTTCTAAAAGAACGTAGCTCTTCGGTTTTCTCCAAGATGCGGTTTGTAAGCGATCGCTGTTCTTTTCCAATGGTTTCCAGTTGTTCGGAAATCCTCTCGGCCAATTTGGTGACGCCAAAATCGTTGTCATTCTGTGTACTTGTCGCAACATGTTGCATCACTGGCATCATCAGCTCCTGAAGCTTCTCGTTCAGCTTTTTCTGGTACCGGTTTTGACTTTTTATCATTTCCTCTGACTCCTGGTTGCAGTGCTCAACGACTTGCTGAGTTAGCTTGATCACATTCATTTCGCGAGATCGTTGATTTTCCAGCGCACTTTCCAGCTTAGAAAGTCTTTCTTCCATGACTTTCATGCTCTGTGTGCACTTAAGTTTTTCCTTTTTTTCGTCCTCTAGAAGATGTGCGTTCTCGTTGGCTTGCATCGTCAAAAGCTCATTCTGACGTCTTAGTTCCTCCGTCTCACTAGTGAGATTTTTGTAGTTAATCATGAGCTGGTTATAGTTGGCCTCGTTCAGGTACACTCCTTCCTTATTCCTTGTAGCTTTCAAGTCGAGCTTCAGACGATAGTTCTCATCGACAAGCTCTTTGAGCAGCACTTTGTCTGATATTAAAGGCCCTATTTGTGCTGTATTTCGAATATCCTTGGCCTTGGTAGCATACTCTAAAGTGCTTGTGGTAGCCTGTATATCAACGCTCGCAGGAGAGATGTTGGCAACTAGTACTGTCTTAGTTTTTCCTCCAAGGGAGTCCTGCAACAAACGTGTCAGCTTAGATTCCCTGTAAGGAATATAAGTGCTTTTGTCGACTAAGGCATTAATAACTCTGCCCAATGTGAGAAGCGACTGGTTAATGGATCCAGCTTCTTTTGCACGTTGGTTTATCGCCCCTGACCTGCTAATATTCTCAGACCCAGCCAGATCCACAAGGTTCATTTTGGCGTACTGATACTCTGAGTCAGTTTTCTTTTGGATCAACGTGATACTGAAAATCGTGTGCGAGCGACTGGATAAGTCATTCATTTTGGTAGCTGCGGTTTGCCGATGATCCAAGCCCTTTTTCAAAAGCTCCAGACCTTCTCCGGCATTCCGAATGTGATGTTCTTCAAGACCGTCAATCCTGATACCGTTTCCCGACGAATTTTTGCGCTCAAAGATGCGAAGACGCGCATTTTTGGTATCTCCAAGCAGATCTTTCAGTTCCTCGTTGTAAATCTCAACAAACGAGCACTTGACTATATAATCGTCGTCCACGCATTCAAACAATTTGCAAAGCACGCGCGGAACAAGCCCTGCGTCTCTTCCTGGTTCTTTATCGCTGATGTCCCCACACATGGTGTACGTTTTTCCTGATCCAGTCTGACCGTAGGCCAATATCGTGCAATTGTAGCCCCTCAGAAACTCACTCACCAGCGGCAGGCCAACGTCGCGGAAAAACACTGTTTGATCGGCCGCAGGACCAAAGGCTTGATCCACGGTATAAACTCTTGTGTCTGCAACTTGACTGGTGATGAAATCCTGCGATGTGTTGACACTAACCTGGTTTGCACCCGGCTGATCTGGAATACGTACCACCACGGGGCTTTTCATCTGCAATTCGCGCTCATTTCGTCCTCGGCAGCGCACAATAACGCTGATGGACTCGGTAGACATAAAGTAAACAATAATATTTTTATTTCGCGTACGATACAAGTTGATAAATATTTTTCGGTCTAGGTGAAGAGAAACGAGAATTCAGTCTTTGTGAAAAATTGCTGATCGTAGCTCTCGTCAAGCGTAACTACCTTTCCGGAAGGAGTTCTGTACCGAAGCTGTCGCTGCGTCCAGATCTTTTTCACCTTATTGATGTACATTCTCACGCTTTTAAGTCCCAAGGCTAGTAGCTTATGCAGTAGACAGTCGACCAATACTTTGTCCACAGCATCAATGCAGCAGTAAGCACACATAATTAGACACCATTGGAACATTGCAATACGGTGGTCCATCTCGATGTTCACAAATCTATCGAAATCCATTGGTTGGAGGTTCGAGATGTGCTTTTGACACAGCATCTCCAACTCTTCGTCGTTGAGGAAGAAACTGTTGGTGCTTTCGTTATATTGGACTTTGGCAGTTGTTTTTTCAAGCGTTATGGGTGAGCTGTAATAGCTTTCCAGGTCCGTCGTATCTTTGTGCTTTAGCTGTATGAAAAAACAGCACGATTTTAGCACCTTCTTCAGCAACCGCTGAACAACCGGATTGCTGACTTTGCAACCCAGGAACTGCTCAGACGTCAACACATACAAATACAATGTTTCCAGCCGGATGTTCTGGGTGAAATCATAGAATGAAAACCAGCTGTGTGCCTCAGAGTCGTTCTCTAAGGCATCTGAGGACATGATTCCTTCACGCAACTTTACAGACGTCATATGGTAGTATCCTGAGATGGAAAGTTGCGTTTTGTCGGCGCCTTTGTATAGAGGATGGTATTTCGAATCAATTGGAATCATGTATGGCCCTTTGTTGGTCACCACTCGGAACTGCTTTGCTTTGTCGATCACTGAAAAAATATGTGCTATCGTGAATGGATCAATCTTCTCATTTCGTTTCGCAGCCACAATCTCCTTAGCCACCTCGGCCGTGCCGTCACTGTATCCTAGATACATCTTGAACCCGCCTTCGCAAAAACTGTCGCCAATGTATCCATCTATAACCATCCCCATTTTGCTGAGCTTAGAAAGCGGACCGTGATTCAACGGGATAGGTATCCAGGTGGCCAACTCGTCTAGATCCAGGCTGCTCGCGCCAGCAGAGGCTATCCCTGATGAAATTTCCAGTGAACAGAACAGGTAGCGTGCTAGAATGAGAGAGTCCGAATCAATGCTTTTCTCTCCCATGAATTTCCCCAGAAACTGTTTTGCTCCGCGAAGGTGCAACGACCAGCGATAGTCTCTATTTGAAGACAGATCTGCGGCCAGAATCAGACTCGTAAGCAGCGCAGGTTCCACTTTCTCGTCTGAGTTGTTGATGTTCTCTAGTATATCGCGGAGCGATTGAAAACAAATGGAAAGATAGTGAACACGGTACTTGTCGTTGATATCGATCTGAGTGTCGAGCTCAGCAATGTAATTCTTGTCATCTTTGCCACCATACTTTGACAAATGAATTTCCTTATCGATTCGCGCTTTTTCTGTTAAAAAACGAGCCCCAGATGCCAACATTGCGTTGAGTAGATAGTTACTTTTTTGTGCTTCTGCTAAAAAAGTTACAATGAATGGCGATTCCAGGTAAGAAGTCGCCAAAGGAAACAGGATCAAGTGCACATCCTTCACAAATGCCTGTAGATGCAGTGTTTCGGAAGCATTGATGTGCAACGAGTTGGCGATCTTGTTCAGGTCTCGCTCATCAAAGCTCTGTCTGAGATTGTAAAGGTAGTCGTACCGCAGAACCGAATCGGAGCTCGATGAGTTGCTGTCTGACGAGTGTCTTGTTCTATTATCCAGCTGGAGATTCGAAAAGTCATATTCTGGCAACAACGATTGAAGATCCGTGGCGTTATTATCATTCTCGAAATATTCCGACAGTCCAGCTATTCCCCCGAAAAGCATCTCCTGGTTCGCCAACAGATTCGAAAGCCCTTCAGTCACAGACTTGCTCGTTTCATCGTTCGACTCCGGCTCAGATTCTGGTTTCGTATGAGGAACGAGCTGGGCTTCGGGCTCGGTTTTCGCAGAACTGACACCCTGAAATTTGAAGACTCTATAGTAAATGCATTCTGCGCCGATTTTGGCACATCGTCCGCAAGTGGGGAATGTTTCATCGCACTTGACCTTGCGCTTCTTGCAGGCCAAACAGCCATTTCTTGAGTACTTTTGGCGTTTTCGAACAGGTTTCTGTTTTTCTGGAGCCATGCGATAACTTGCGATAAGGAAATTTTTCCGAGCAAAAAATAAATAAATTCATTTAAAAAGAGTATAAATAAACATAAAAAGCTCTAGCACTCTAGTCCTGGTTGCCAAACAAGAAGTCGACGATCCGGTTGTACCAGTGTTTCACCGGCTTTCCATGGATCTCTACCATACGGGCCAAGTGCCTCTCGTGCGCCTCGACTTCCTCAAGGCCACTCACTAAATCTGCATCCAGCGGATTCACGTATCGGGTCCGCTTGAAAATCTTCCAAAACAGGTATAATCCGGCGTCGACAAATATCATGAGGTAGCAGAAAAGGAACGTTTCCACAGACCAGTTACCTGGTAAAAACACCTCATAGCCTTGAACCCAAACCATGCAGAAGATAGCAATGAATGCTGCAATGGAAATGTAAGGTTGCCACCATGCCTTGAAAGGAAAGGCGTCTCTGTCGATACCCTGTTTCGAGACTGCTCTTCTGAAATGCAAATACGTAACAAGAATACTCAAAAAGTTGATCATCTGGGAAGCTGTCACGAGGTTGACTATCCAAGACAGCACAGTAGCAGAATTCTCGCCCAGCTGCAGGAATGCAAGGAGTCCCCAACACAGCGACAAACAAACCGCGTAGATAGGCACACCCGCCTTGTTGCAGTACGAGAAGAACCTTGGAGCTTTGCCTTCCAGCGACATTCCGTAGAGACTTCTGGAAGAACAGTAGGTGTACGAGTTGCCTGCAGAGAAGGCAGCAGTGAGTAACAGCACGTTAACAATGTGCGGTAGAACTCTCACCTTTAGGTTGTTCATAGCAATGATATAAGCAGAGGCGCCTGCGCCCGCAGTTCCCTGCTCAATGGCTGCCACCAGGTTAGGATCATTCCAAGGACACACAGTGCCCATGGCAAGGCTTCCTCCGACAAAGAAGATAGTCAATCTGTAGGCCACCTGCTTGAATGCGGACGGGAGTATCTTTCTTGGATTCACAACCTCACCAGCAGACATAGAGACATATTCAGGTCCGGCAATCAGGTACGAGAAAGTAATTAGGGCTCCCAAAAAGGATTGGAAGCGGCCAAGGTCGCCCGTGTGGATATACTCGGCGATTGGGGGTTGCCAATTGCGGAATCCATACACATCGTGGAGAGGATTACCCCCCACCATGGTGACAAAAGTGAACATCATGAGTCCCAAAGCTAGGATCACTTTTCCAATCGAGAGCCAAAATTCGGTTTCACCGTAATATTTCACCGCACTGATGTTGATTAGGAAATACAGCAGCAGCTGGATAGCAATAGGAATTCCAGGAGAGTAGTCGTTTCTCCAGAAATGGATCAGCGTGTTGAACAGTGTGAGCTCAAATGGAATCAAGGCACATTCAAGGACCCAAAAATTCCATCCTGTCATAAAGCTCAAAGCCTCGTCCACACATCTCTCCGACAATCTGATAAACGGAGATGGGATTGGCAAGTAGCACACCATCTCTGCGCAGGCTGCTGTGACGGCCAAAATAGGCAAGCTCCAAACCACGCAGCCCAAAAACAGGGCCAGTGGTCCACTCTTGTGTAGCTGCGTTGACAGGTTCACAAATAAGCCGACACCAATAGTGCCCCCAATACCAATAAGCTGGATGTGTCTGTTTTTCAAGCTTCTGTGGGTGTGGCCAACATCGTATATGTCCACCTCGGAGGAGATGTCTGTCTGTAAGTCGAAATTAACGATTTGTTTTTCGTCCTCTGCCGGTTGTCCGTCAATAGGAGCAGAAGTCGATCTAGCGATTTCGACAGTTCTGCCCTCCTGTGACTTGCCTGCTGGCTTCACAGGAGGAACGGGGACGAAGACGTCTTTTAGGAACTGGGTTGCCTTTGACATGAATCGGTTCAGGTCAGGATGAGAAAACGTGACAGAAGGGACCCCTTGGAATTTTTTTCGCTCTTGCCCAGTCCTTATATACTTTCTGACGTCTGCAAGAGGGATGTTGTGGCTGCTTCAAGTTATAATGTCCAAGTCCGCTTACGAACTGCTCTAATTCGATTTGATGAGGTATTTCGTCACTGATAAGACAAATTACGAGATAACGCACGATCTTATCGCTGGTGAGAAGCCCAAAACTTGTGAGCTTCTCCGCATTGCGACGTCCTTTTTCAAGTGGCATATTACGTAAACGTGCCAGATGTGCATGACTTTTGAAAGTCGGCGTCCGTATTTTGAAAAACCTTGGCAAGGACTCGTGAACACTGCTCATCGTCTAAGAAAGCTAGCATATGTAGATGGATGCTCTGCTGCCGATTCTGCATGAGATAAGATGCGATGTGCACATCTCGCAAAATTCCGACGACGTCTCGGAAACCACGCCCTGCGATATCTGTCAAACTTCCGAAATCGGAAACCAAATCGCGGAATTGGCGAAGCCACCAGGCAGCCGTTTGGACAGCACCGGCCATGGTTGCGCTGGCCTCGGAACTATTCCGACACAGCCTGCTACTATATAAACGAGTTCCAGCCTTCAACGTATCCACACGAGTAGAATGTCTGAGCTCCCAAAAACCGTTCCTGCAACATGGTACACCAGCGACAAGTTTATTGAAGCTGCGAAGCACAAAATATACAACAAAGGCTGGCACTTTGTGTCTATTGTTAACGCGTTCTCCATGCACCCTGAGCTGAATGACGGGCAAACAGAGGCCTTGCAACTGGATTTTGTGGGCAACCCTTTTTTCGGGCTGTGTAACGTCGACGACCCGTACGCGGTCAAGAGTCTCAACCTGCGGTATGGGGTGTACAAGGATATCGTGGACGGATGTACTAGCGACGAGGAGAAAGCTGCACGGATTGAGAAGCTGGAGCCAGTCAATCACGTGGTCACCAAGGGCGGGCTAGTGTTCGTCACCCACGAGAAAACTCCCTCGCAGAGTCTGGAGGAGTATTTTGGGAACGAGCTTGGCCAGTTTATTGATGACAAGGATTTCCGAAGCCGCACCCTGCGCCGCAGACTCGTCTACGAGTGCGACTATAATTTCCTCACCTTCATTGACGGTTATCAGGAGTGTTTGCACTGCCAGTACACACACCCTGGATTCAGCAAGGTGTATCCGTTCGAGTTCTACAAGGTTGACACTCACACCAACTTCTGCCGCCACCACTGCAATCCTGTAGGCGACCAGAAGGATGCAGGACTATTTCTCTATTTTTTCCCATCGTGCACTTTGAACCAATACGGGGGAGGTATGGGAATTTTCCGCGCCAATCCAGTCAACGGTAACAAGACCCGCATGGAGTTTGAATATTTCTTTGACGGCACCGATGAGGAGTTCGAGACCTACTTCAAGTTTGCCAGACAGGTGGCACTCGAGGATATTTGGCTGTGTGAGGCAGCCCAACAGAACCTCATAAGTGGGGTGTACCAACAGGGCTTGCTACACCCCAAAAAAGAGGTGGGAGTGGTTTACTACCAGTCGCTGGTTCGTGAAAGAATCATGGCTTAGGTCTGAGATGTGGATAGGATCGTCAGACTGTGCGGCAATTAAATAGGACTCGGGTGTACTTCACTAGAGTGAATAAAAGGAACTCCAATTCGACAGCAAATATTGCTGTAATAATAGTGACCAGAATTATTACCGAACCTAGCCACCCCGGGGTTTTTTACACAATGGGAAAAAAAAGGACTCGATTATTCGATGCTGCTGCAAATCACGCCAGACATAATAAGTCACCTGTTTACTCCGCATGCACTCCCCCACTGATCATGTTTAATGGATTTGGACGGCTAAATCATTGACCAGTGCGTCCCGCACCTCGTGCAGGCGTAGAAATTAGCCGGTGCTCGGTTGTGAGAGATTATGCTATATAAAGCCCCAAATCCTATCTCGCTCTTGCCAATGAAAGGTTTACTTTATTACGGTACAAACGATATTCGCTACTCCGAAACGGTTCCTGAACCGGAGATCAAAAACCCCAACGATGTCAAGATCAAAGTCAGCTACTGTGGAATCTGTGGCACAGACCTGAAAGAATTCACATATTCTGGAGGCCCTGTTTTTTTCCCTAAACACGGCACCAAGGACAAGATCTCGGGATACGAGCTTCCTCTCTGTCCTGGACATGAATTCAGCGGAACAGTGATTGAGGTTGGCTCTGGTGTCACCAGTGTGAAACCTGGTGACAGGGTCGCAGTTGAAGCTACGTCCCATTGCTCCGACAGATCGCGCTACAAAGACACGGTCGCCCAGGACCTCGGGCTCTGTATGGCCTGCAAGAGCGGATCTCCAAACTGCTGTGTGTCGCTGAGCTTCTGCGGTTTGGGTGGTGCCAGCGGCGGTTTTGCCGAGTACGTCGTTTACGGTGAGGACCACATGGTCAAGCTTCCAGACTCGATTCCCGACGATATCGGAGCATTGGTTGAGCCTATTGCTGTTGCCTGGCATGCTGTTGAACGCGCTAGATTCCAGCCTGGCCAGACGGCCCTGGTTCTTGGAGGAGGTCCTATCGGCCTTGCCACCATTCTTGCTCTGCAAGGCCACCGTGCCGGCAAAATTGTGTGTTCCGAGCCGGCCTTGATTAGAAGACAGTTTGCAAAGGAACTGGGCGCTGAAGTGTTTGATCCTTCTACATGTGATGACGCAAATGCCGTTCTCAAGGCTATGGTGCCGGAAAACGAAGGATTCCACGCAGCCTTCGACTGCTCTGGAATTCCTCAGACATTCACCACCTCTATTGTCGCCACAGGCCCTTCGGGAATCGCCGTCAACGTGGCCATTTGGGGAGACCACCCAATTGGATTCATGCCAATGTCTCTGACTTACCAAGAGAAATACGCTACCGGCTCCATGTGCTACACCGTCAAGGACTTCCAGGAAGTTGTCGGGGCCTTGGAAGATGGTCTCATATCTTTGGACAAGGCGCGCAAGATGATTACAGGCAAAGTCCACCTAAGGGACGGAGTCGAGAAGGGCTTTAGACAGCTCATCGAGCACAAGGAAACCAATGTCAAGATCCTGGTGACTCCGAACGAGGTGTCCTAGCTAATTAATATACATACATCACCCATGTCCTAGAGCCAAGGCTTGCGCATTAGGAAGGATAGCTGGTAGTTTGCATTATGGTGGCCGGCTTCCCCCAGGGAGTTAATCGACGTTTTGCGTATGGACTCGATTACGTAACAAGGTGCTGAGCATTTAATGATTCCCTAGTAATTTTCTAAATTAGTAAGTTGTATGTTTTTTGAGCAGGAGGAGATACTGGAGCAATTTCAAAACATCTCCAACTGCCAAATCCCTGTGTCCGAGCAGATTGCATTGCTAGAGTCTGTGAACTGGAATTTAGAGCTTGCATTGATTCAGTACTGGCAGTTGTATCCAAGAAGGGCGAATTTTGAGAGACGAGACGTTAGCATGGCAACGGATAATCCGTCCAATAGTGCATCGAATCAGCGAAGCTGGTTGTCTTCGTTGTTCCAAAATACAGAGGAGACATACGCGCCTCTGATGCCAGGGTCTTTCCCCATTACCGAAGAACGACAGCCCTCAAAGCTCCACAGAATTGTCTCTGCCACTTTCAAATGGTTACTAGATCAGCTAGTGTTATTTGTTGTCGTGCCGTTGTACGTCTTATTACGCATATTGGGGCTCGCTTTACTTGTCGTGATTGGTGGCATCGTTCCAATAATCATGAAACTGCATCCAGGTAGATACCATGTCATTCGCAAAAACGCTGATCCCGCTGATATGGCTCGCCGATTTATTGTCGACTTTGACGACTTGATCGGGAACGTGTCTCGCGGAGAACCAGATGAAAACGAAACAGGAGACCTAATTAATCAAGCTGACATGATGGAAATTCAGCGCCCTGATTTCCTTGAGTGCTCGTATTCGCACGCTTTGCATTTTGCTAAAAAAGATGCCAGATGGCTCCTGTTGTATATCCACAGTGAGAATCACCAAGACACCAAGAGCTTCATCCAGGACGTGCTGATAAATCCTGAGTTTCTCCAATTCATTCGAGAGAAGCAAATACTCATATGGGGTGGAGACATAAAAGACTGTGAAGCATATCAGGTGGCTAATCAATTCAAAGTGACTCGACTTCCTTTCCTTGGAATGTTGTGCTTGACGGTCAACGAGACGCCCACGGCCTCTGGAGTGCAACAGTCGGATCCGATTCTGTCTATGGTTTGCAAAATTCAAGGTTATATGCCTAATGCTCAGGTTCTTTCCAAATTGGAGAAAAATTACAACAAGTTCAATTCCAAGCTGGAGAGTATTCGCGCAGAAGTGCAACGTCTTCATAATGATCGCCAGACACGTCAACTGCAGGATCAGGCTTACGAAAATTCGCTCAGAAGAGATCGAATGCGCAGAATGGAGGAGGCCCTTTTACAAAGAGAACGGCAAGAGCAAACGCGAGCCGCCACTCTGAGGGAGAAGTGGTTGAAATGGAGAAAGTCCACGTTATTGCCGGATCCCGAGCCTGCAAATGCCGCACGGATTGCGATCCGTCTGCCGGACGGGAAAAGAGTTCGGCACAATTTCGATAAGAACGCCAAAATTGAGGAAATATATGCATTTGTCGAGTGCATCTACTTAAACAACGTGGAGATTTCCGATTCGGACACTCTCGAAAGGCCCATTGGCTACAATCACCAGTACAAGTTTGATGTGTATACAGTGTATCCACGAGAGATAGTTGTGGTGGACGATGATCTGAGCATTGCCGATTCCCAACAGGTGTATCCTGATGGAAACTTGGTTGTCGAGCTAAATAGTGAAAATTAATGCGTTAGTTGTGGATCTTCTTCGCCCGTTTCTTAGCCTTCTTCTTGTCTTTCTTTTTCAGTCCCTTGAGTCCGCTTTTGAGAATATTGGCATACTTGTTCCAAAACGTTTCGAGTTGGTTGGGTGCGATTTCCGTGCTCAGCTTCACTCTTTTGGTCTTGTCTTTGTTGCCATCGGTCACTCTCACCAACACCGAGTACGATTCTTTTCCAGATCCAGTTGCACCTTCGATATCTTTTGTGATGTCATACGAGAGTCTCTTTTGTGTGATGTATACGGACTTGCCGCTATTCTTTTCCAGCAGTTCGCTCACTTGGTTGAGAAACTGACGTTAGTAATCCGGTACCTAATTTCTTACCTCCTGGTTATCTAACCTCGTCATGCTGAAAATATTATATATTATTTTTCGTCAATATTTTTCGCTCATTTTTTCAAGCTCTATACAAAGCGATCATCTGGGAAGCCAGCCCATTCGGGACACCATAAACTGGATCCAATGAGCACACGTGGTTTATATCTGAAACCTCAGTTATGTTCGGATCTGAAATGCGGTGTCCTATGTACTCGCCGTCCCTGTACTCTTGGTAGTGCTGCGTCATGCTCAGTCCGCAGAGCACGTAATTTGTATGATAAAAATCTGCCCGAGCAGAAGGCTTATCTCGAAGGCCTGCTGGCTCATCCTGGCAACAGCAAAGAATGTAGTTTTGCAACTGGATTCGATTAAGAAGGTCTTTCTGACCCGTCGCAATCTCGAGTAACGGTGTCAGTCCCCCAACCCAATGGCTGTAGCATCCATCAACGAGCTTGTTGGTACGTCCACTTAGTCCCCCCTCCAAGCTGTACTGCCTTTGTACAGTCCAGCTGATCAAATTGTCCAGGTCAATCACCGATGATAACTCACCAGGAGATTTCAACATTGACAGCGCTGCTACAGCACAAAAAGTGTATCCTCCATGAGCCTCATCGCCAGGATAGCCTGAAAATCCACCCTCGTACGTTTGGCAGCTGGCCAGCCAGTCAATTGCCTTGTACGCAAGCTTGTCGTCCATAATGTCTAGAAGAGAAGCAACACAGATTGCACAGTACACGGCTCTGGTATCTGCCTCTCCATTGTAATGCATGACAAAAGAGCCGTCAGGCTGCTTCATTTCTAGCAGCCAGTTGTAGATTTTGGATCTCTCGAGCTGGGCAGCAGCTTTATAACTTTTGCTCACTGTTAAAGCCAACAAACCAGCATAGGTAGCGGCCATGTGGGCCATCTGACCATTTCCTCCCCCAATCGCACCCGTTTCGGAATCCACACATTGGATAATTTTGCGGCCAATGTTTTCAGACAGCTCTGCGTCTATTTCCTCACCGAGAAGTGCCTTAGAGTTCACAAGCCAGTAGATGATCCAGGGGTGAGAAGCGTCCAGAGCCGTAAATGGAGCAGGCAATGGGCGGCTCAAGAATGTGTTGATGTATTTGGAATGCCTCTTGCGTGTAAGAACAGGGAATTTGCTCTTCTCTTGACTCAGAACGTCCTCATATATCTTAAGGATGTCCATTTCGACCTCCATTTGGCTTTCTATAGTTTTAGAGGCCGGCTCCTTGATGCGGAACTCATCCACCTGGTCGCTCGTCTCAAACAGCTCTTGCAACTTCTCGTAGTTCAAGTTGATCTGGGCCATTTGCGATAAATACCGTGCCAGAAACCGAACGCGGGCCGCTTTCTTTCGGCTCATACATATAGATGTTTCAAATTTTATTAGAGCTGCACAGCCGTAAAGTTGGGGAAACAATTCAGCCCAACCTGTGAGAACTGCCCAGATCCACAGTGCATGGGCCTTTCTGCGATAATCTGATGCTTATTGTATATATTCCGCACTGAAGGCTGGGAAAATGAGCAAAGTAGCCATACTTCTCGTTGACATTTTTGTAGTCGTTATGGAAATTAGCACCTGTGACGGAAAAACTGAACGCAGCGGGGGTCCTGATTCTGATGGTAACGCGAGAGGGCTTCAAGACCGTAAACCGGTGTAAGCAGCTCTCGGAGTCTTGGAACATCTTTGTTTGAGTAAAAAGCCCCAGGCTTGTGGACAATCTAGTCATCGTCAGCGGGCTTTCGCTATTGACGATTAATTTGAACGGGCCTAGAGTCAACGGGTCCTTGGTAGACACAATTGCAATGTATCTAGAGTTTGGGTTGAGGCTCGTCTTAAGGATAAACCCTGATTGGTCGTATTCAAGTCGTTGGCCGCCCACAAGCGTTCTTTCATCGAATTTCGTGAGATATCTTTCTGAAGTTTCGAATAGCAGGACATTAGCTATGCTGTTTGAGAAAAGGCCAATTTCGGTCTTACCGAGCGCACCAGTAATTTCAAATTGCGGGTTGTCAATGTAGCTTGGATACAACCAGCAGCCACCAGCTGTCATAGGTGTCCATTGATCCATAACCTCCTGGATATATTTGTACTTAAACGACGGTCTTGCTACCGTTAACTTGTGCTGGAAAAAAAAATGCACAGAGTACCTTATTGAGGACGTATCATTTGCGATAAGCACGCCGGTCACGCATTGGCCTGGGTTGAGATGAAGCTTTGACAGTACAAATCGGGATTTGTTGGTCGGGCTCTTCGATATTCGCTTTGCGTCTGTAAGCGTCCAAAGTTTTTCGCCTTGGGTATCAAACCACTCGGCACGCAAATATGTATCTGGCTGGTTCAAATGGCGCTCAATCAGAACATAGACCGTATTTGGGTGGCTGTGGTTTTGTAAGCTAAATTGTGGGTATTCGACCGCTCCCAGTGCGTCCTTGTATATCACGTGCTTTGTGATCTTCGAGAAGTCATCTAGCTTCCAATTGAGATAGAGGACGTTGAAAGGATAAAGATCTAAAACTTCCATGTCGCGGTTCGCAAGGTTCCAAGGGTTTTTCAAGTATAATTTGTAGCCGTACTGCGCTGAGTCGTCCTTTTTTATGCTCAAAACTGAATAATCGTGATTAGGCGCAAGATTGAAACGGCGACACTCTTCTGGAGAAAGATTGGAAGTCCCTAAACCTAGCACAAGGTCTGCTGTGTTGTGTTTCTGAGCAATGGTTTCCATTTGGTCTTTCGTGAGATCATCAATATCCACATATTCGGGAACATACCCAGTAAGAATATACGTGTCGATGCCGATATTGGAACCTCTGAAGTCTGATAGATGGGATGCGTTATGAATCTGAAGGTATGCTTTTTCCAAAATAGCGGGCCACAAGAGATCTGGATGTGTCGAGCTTTTCACGTATCTAGATTGATCAGCCGGAAGTGAAGAGTCTGTCCATACCACTCTTTTGCACCCATTGAATTCGAGTGTCAAGGCAAATCTTGAGGTATTGCTGTCCGTATAAACTAAGGAAAGAAGATCAAATCCATGGTTGGCGATTGTTATCAACGATGACACAAAGGAGCAGTTTGCTAGTGATTCCTGATATAGGTCCGCAATTCCATCTCTACTAAGAACAAGCGAATTGGCTGAACCTGGAGCGATGATGGGACTTATTTGTTCATCAAACGGGTAGTAGAAGTCATCCTGCTTTGAGAATATCCAGCACATCTTCTGGTCAGGTGTGAGAAACGGTCGATCAGATTTGAGGTGATCGTAGAAATCCAACAGCTTACTCCCCAGGGCTTTAACCTGCTCGGGCATGAAGCCAGAGTCCATTACAGGCTGAAATCGTTTGATCAGACTAAGACACTCTGTTTTGACCGGTTGTGATAAGGCGTATCGATAGAGTATCTCATTGAGTTTCTTTTGTATTACCTCTATCTCTGAATATACTGGATCCATATTTCAGGATTTAAAATTAAATTTTTAGGGAATTAAATTATCTATCAAATCTAAACTTCTCCTGCTCCAAACACAAGCTTCATGCCACGCTCTAAAAACCCCTTTTTTCCTTTTTGGTAGCCTTTGGCACATTGATAAGGCCACTACCGTCCTTGAGTCTAAACCTGCCGTCCTGACGTTCTTCATGATTGCCGCCTTCAGCAGCGAAAACGCTGGAGAGTTCTATTTCCGGTAGTTTTTGGTCACTCACAAGCTTAACCAGCGACATGGAACATCCAATGTCTTGATTGTCTGGGATAGATGTCCCTAGCAGTTTTTCTAGTGACGATCTCGTGTAAGGGACCACTCCTATCACCGAGCCAGATGCACCTAATTTATTGTTCTCACGCAAAGCACGCACTGCCGAAGCTGAATTATCGTATGTGAATTTCACCCACTGCGGCCCAATGAATACGGGGTAACTCTTGCCTTGACACAAAAACTTACGCTGGTTGAAATCCTCCAGTATGGTCCCATATTTCGAGAATTGCTCCACAATCGAGGCAAACTGCGAATCATCGTATCCAAACACTATAACTGCAGTTTCTCTTATCGTTGGTTCTGCATCATTTTCCTTGTCGTTCAATGAATATACTTTGCCCACAGAGAAGGGGAGTTCTGGGTTCCCTGTCTCACTGGATCCAACAGGTACCCTGCTTCGTTGCACTCTATTGAAGACGTTTTTGAAACTATTAGGATCGGATTCAAATTTACTAAAATCTGGATTGTTGATGAGTAAAACATTGCCGGAACTGTCGTCATTATTCATGCGATCATAGAGGGACACGTTTGGAGGAAGATCTTGGAACTCGTCTATGGATGTCGTTTCGTGGTCTGTGGCGACAGCATCACTTGCAAAGCGTTTTCTTTGGACGCCGGATTGGAGTGGCAGTGTTGGCTGGCTGGGACTATCGGAATCGTCGTTCGTTTCGCCTAGAAATTTGCTTGTTCTTTTGATGAGAGTAGTTGGTATGCTTCTCTTCTTTGATCGTGCGCCCGCTCCACCAATGACCAGTTTGTTACCTCCTGAACTCAACCATTCTGGCTCTTTATACAAATCCTCTTTGAGCTTGTATTTTGAAAAGCGCGACTCCTGGGAATCAGCAGCTGTTATATGAGACATGTTTATAAACAAACTTTTTCTAGGAGATTGATTATTTTAAAAAATACTGTAACTAAAAAAGCCAAAAACATGTGTATATATTGATAATGCTCGTACAGTTGAAACTCGACAATGGCAATCAAACCTAGGTATTTTATGTGCCCTTTTTCGTTAGACTAGGACCCCAAGGTGAGTTAGGATATCAATGTTACCATGGCATCCTTATTAGACTGCTGTCATATGGCTGCATCAAGCAGATCAGAATTCAAGACCATAAGTAACATAAATAGCTTGCACACTTCTGGCGTGCAATAACAAAGCTGATAACCGAATCAGCGATATCGGTCAACCTGACTTAATCTCTCTATTCTATACAAATAACGTTTTCCTCTTCAATCTAACAGAATAAGGTTTGCTCCGTCCGCGAGCTCTATTCAAATATGCTATAAAGGTAGCCGATCAAACTTCCGGCAAACGACCCCACGTAGGCACCTGCGAGCAAAGTGATTGGCCACTGTTGCCAATCTCTATCCCAGTCAAGAGGGATAGGAAACACACCGAACCAGCAACCCGCGAGCGCGCCCATAGCCTGCAAATAGATCTGATTTCTGTAGAATGCTGGCACCTGAAACGTGAGCAACCGGATCCACGTATCTCTTGCGTCTGGATCGGTGAACTTGTAAACTAGAAGAAGAGGGAAAACTGTCAGGAATGACAGATGCAAAGCCAGAAAAGCTGTTTCCTCAGTCAGAGATCCAATAGGAGCCCCGAAGACCAACAGGCAAAGGAAGATGGGGACCGTGGCAAAGACAGAGATTAAAGACGAAATAATCAGGTACATGAGCTCACCACCGTTGGGACCTCTGTGTTTTTTTGCTCTTTTTTTGTTTTTTATCGTGGTCAGTGTTATTAGTCCGAAACCAAACTGAAGTGCTAAGACTGCGAGCGTCGAAGAGTGCAATGCTGATATGACTTTGGAGCTAATGTTGAAGTGGTAGAATAAAGCGTAAACGATAGCCAGGGAATGGAACGGAAGGAGCAAGAAAGCAGGAGAGGGCTTTGGCAGCTCTTGCATTTGAGGCTCATCATCAGCAAGATCAAATCCTGACTCCGCTACAGGCGATCCCGGTTCTGTACTGGGATTGCGGTCGCTGAAAGACGGACTATTCCGAGAAAAGGAAACGGTCTTCTTAACCTTTTTTGGTCTGGCCGACATGGAAATCACTTCGTAATGTTTATGTCAAGTGGAATTAGGAAAGTTTTTGTTGATGCGTGCCGGTTGACACGCTAAAAATATATACAGTTAAATCTCTAAATTATTTTTCAGGCAGTGAAGAGTCCAGGTTGGTTTTCCTGGCAATGAAGTACTTCTCCAAGAAACTGAGCTCGTCAAACTCTAAAACATCTCCAGGTCTCTTGGCCACAATTGTCCATGTAGTGCCAAAATGGGACCGTTTCTCCTGCGTGATTTCCAATCCAGATGCGTCCACCAGCTCTCCAATGTCGAGATTCCATCGGCAACCCCATGTTTCCGAATGTTTATGAGCCCTTCTGTCAAGCTGTTTGTTGATAAAGTCATAAGACCCACGTCCGTGCTCTAACAGAACAATTCTTCCTCCAGGCTTGAGTAACTTCATCATGTTCTTCAACGCTTTCACCGGATCTTGATGAGAGCACAATCCGAAAGTTTCGATGATGGTATCATACTTCACTTGCTTGTCTCCCTGAAGTTCCAACAAATCTTCAGCCTTGCCAACAACAAACTTGACTTTTTTGAAGTTAGGCCATTGTTCAGTGAATTTATCGTAAGTCACACGCATCATCTTTGCAGAGGTATCCAGAAACGTGTAGGATTCTATTTTCGTAGGGTCCAGGTACTTGATATTTCTTCCCGTTCCACACGCCACTTCTAAGACATCCCCCTTGCAGTGACTCATGAGCCATTTGCGCTTCGATCCCATGAACGACAACATTTCCTCGGTGGAAATCTCGCTGTCGTACTTCTCGGCAACGTTGTCGTAAAAATCCGTCAAATCCTTAGGTGGAAGAATGCATTCTTCGTAGGAGGTATCTAAAAGATGTTCAATTTCCTCAGGTTTCGGATTGAAGTGGTCATCGGGCGAAGTGTGCGTCTTTTTCCATTCCTCTCTGAGTTCGTGATATGCTTTCAATTTGGCCATATCCGACGTCCGGATCAGGTCCCCGCTCAACTCCCGTAATCTCAGCTTCTCCCATTCACTAAGCTCTGCGCCGGAATCTCTTTTCTCCAACAGTTCCTTCTTCTCAACATCTCTTTCGTACAGCTTGCGGAAATATCTAATACCGTAAACGAAAAACACCAGGTACAGCGCAAGGTAGTACTTGGTGGCCTTTCTGTTAAACTCAAAAGTGTCCACTATGGCACCATATTTTCTGATCCAGGAGCCAGAGTTGATGGCTTCCTCATACTTTCTCTGTTCCTCCTCTGCTCTAAGTTGTTCCGGGGTTTTAACTTTTCTTGTCTTGAATCGAAATTCCGGCTTGCCAGAGCTCCGAGAAGCAGTACGAACAAAAAGCAGACCCGGACGTAAATTGATAAGAGGCTTGTGACCAGGGATTTTGCCCAAAAGTCCCAGCTTCCCCAAAAACATGGCCTTTGCAAAAGTCAAAATTTACTAGCTTTTTTTTCTCACGCTTTTTTAAAAAGTTCATTGGTAACTTGAAGCTCTTGTTTATCGATCTACTGTCATTTACAATATTAATAACTGATTTAGGTTCTATTCAACTGGAACTTGCACAGATTCACTATTGATAACGCATTAAGCCTTCAAGGTTTGATATCGACGTTCGAAACCGTACAACGAGACCAGCACGATACACACTATAATAAGAATACATTGAATTAGTGTTTACTCTGAGCAATCGAACATATATAAGCGAACCGTGAACTCCACAATGGATCAGAATGGTGTTGACCAGATTGTGGGCTCTTTAGAGGTGATTTACAACCCGCAATCCACCAACAAGAGTCGCCACGAAGCCCAGGAGTTTCTGGAAAGCATAAAACAGATACCCGAGTCGCCATATTGGGGTTACCTATTGGCGCTCCCGGACAATAAAAACGACTTCATTGTGAGACATTTTGGTCTGAGCTTGCTCTCCAATGCCATCAAGAAAGACTTTTCCCAATGGGACCTAGAGAAACAGGAAGCGGTCAGAAATTGGGTCATCGAACTAGCTATGAAAGTGGCGCCGACAGATCCTCACTACATGAAGGAGAAAATAGCGTTCTTATGGGTTGAGATTGCCAAAAGGTGTTGGGGGCTCTGCCTTTCAAAGGAAGAAGAAGAAATTGCGCTCAAAGATAAATCGTATACAGACCATGAAAAACTCCAAAGCTGGGCTTCCATGGACGCGAGCCTGCTCAGACTGTGGGAGCACTCACTGATCACAAGAGAACTCTCTCTCATCATATTTCGTGCATTGTTTGAGGATGTTTACTTGCTTGATGATCCTGTGGTCTCGCAGAGAAACAACGTACTGTCATCTCTCTGTCCCGAGGTGGTTACATCCGAGGAGATATTATTGCTCAAATATGAGCCAAACGAGTCTCTCCGGATATTTGCTGCTTCAAATCAAGGATGGCTTCTTAGATGGTCCGGTCTTCTAGAGGAATGTATTGATTACATGTTGAGCCATCCTCGATCTAGCTCCGATGAAAACTACCGGAACCTTTACAATCTCGCTGTCAAGATTCTACAAGTTTTCAAGACCAGCTTGTACTGGATCTTACCAATTGCATTTCGTGCGGCCGGCGTGCTTGGGAAGCTTAGTCGGTTGCTGGCAATTGATGATGTTCACATAAAAACTCTCACTGTCGACTGCTTACAAGTCTTATTCACAAGGGCATACTCGGAGGAGGCCGATTTCAACGAGATAATTGGTTCCATTTTCCAGACCGAAGGTTTGGCGATGCTATTTAAGGTGTTTAAAAGTATACAGCTGGACCCCGATGACGTCGATGAACAAAATTATACCCTGCTCAAGAAACTAGTGGAAATGATTGTGGGCCTGAGTGAATATTTCCAGCTTTCTGACAACAACATCAAATTCAAGCTTCCTGAATCTGCGGATGTATTGAACTATTTCAAACTGGTTTTGGAAACCACAAAGCATCCGTCTCTGGTGATATCAGGCTTATCTCTCCAATTTTGGTGTTCAATGCTAAGAATAGATGAGTTAAGCGACAAGCCAGATTTCGAGCAAATCATGCCTGAACTTTTGGACGTGACAGCCAGCAGACTGATCAACTATGCGGACTACGATGACGAGTGCGTTGAGAGGAAGATGCTGAGCATAGACTTTGAGAGCCAGCCTGAGGCCACTACTTTTTTGAACAATTACAAAAAACTGAGCGATGACATTGTACGGATTATCATATGCAAGAAGCCTAACGATGGGCTGCAGTGGCTCGCCAACAGGCTGAACAAATTCTACTCATCACCGGTGGGTATACAATCGCTGAATGATCCAAAATTGATCTACAAAGGCAAAAATTCAGAGCCATTTATTTTTGGATACGCCCAGTTTGTCACCATCGAGGCTTGCGTGCGAGGAATATCAAGGTGGCTTATATGGTGTCAAGATGACGACATGGAGACAAAGAAAGCTTATCTAATCAATGAAGTGGATGAGCTTTGTAAAATGCTGCTGAGCATGACTGTCAAAGATCCAATGCTGCTGAGAAAACAAATCCAGACGTTGGTGCAGTTCACACCCCTCCTGAAAGATGTTTCGGGAACCATGTTCAAGGTATTAGAGAAAGTCATGGAGTCTTGTACATTTGATTATCCTCCTGACGCTGGAGATGATGAACGAGAACTAGTCCGTGATTTAAGGACAAGCGGTGGTACGGAGCTCAACAGACTTGCGTATCTGATGCCAGAATCTCTCAAGGATATTCTACCCGAGCTAGAGTCGGCCATTGCCACTATTTTGAGTTCGAGGAAGCTGAGCGACCATGAAGCTGTGGCGTTCAAGTCCTTCCTTCTAGTGGTATCACAGCGATCATCTATTGACAACAAAGCTCAAAGGTTCGCCAATATAGTCGACCCAGAGCTTGTTGCGTGGTCAAATCCAGCAACAGAAAAAGGACTACTAGAATTGCACTGGTTCATGGAAAGACTAGGTATTGTTAGAATTGCAGACTATTTCCAATCGAGAGGAATTACTGCAGACACAAACCTGCTGGAAGCACAAATGGACGAAAGAGGACGAGCGCTGAAGAGCGAATTAAAGGATCATTGGTCATCTGTTTTCCCCATTCGTGCAACAAGAATTTTCATTCAATACAGTATTGAGAAGCTAGATCATCAGTCTGAAACTTATCAGGATTTGTTAAAATTATGGAAACCAAGAATTAAGCCGATTTTGCCCCACATTTTGCAGCTGATCTATCAGATCCAAGCGTACCATAATCCTGCTAATTGGTCCGGCCTGCCGTCCGAGGTGCAATCTTTCGTCAGATACAGTTGCATGGAGAGATTCTGGCAGCAGGGTGTTTCTATTCAATCCAAGGAATCGTTTATGGATGAGAGTGTTAAGGCCATGCATACATTAAGAGATTTTGCCGACAGCGTTGGGCATATTGTGAGGTACACGAGAGAGTATGCTTATTTGACAATCAGCTCTATTTCGGAGCTCGAAGAAACGTTATACGAGATTCCGGACTGTGCAAATCTCTTGTGGAAAGCCCTGACGGGCGAGTCCGTGGGCATTACTCTTCATTCTTGGAGGCACATGATTAATCTTGTGATTCGAAATGTGATAAAGAACTGTCCTATCTCGCACTTGGACTCTTTCATGGTCCAACTCTTGCCCCAGGTACTGAACACAATTGATTCGTTGCTTGTTGCCAAATGGGACGTGGTCTACCAGAAGGGACTGCAACTTGAGGGCAACGAGAGCGACGAGCAGCTGAGTGAGGAGATGATGGAAGAACATATGCTCAGACAACTTACTGCCGTGATCGATCGGATGCTAATTGATCTTGTTGGCCAACAGGCGCCAACAAGCTTGATTGAAAGACAATTGAAAACCAGAGAAATTATATTCCGGGATCTGAACTTGCTCGCACCTCTATTGAATCTGCTGTGCCATATTATTAGCTTCAAAGATACCAGATGCTCTTTTAACGCCATTTTGATAGTGAAGCATATGATCCAAGATCTTGTTGCCCTGAATAACGACGACGTCGACAAGTATCTGTCGGAGCATGTGATCGAAACGCTCTTATCTGTGCTTGTTGATAAGTTTTACGCAGACGCACACCCGGAAGCTGCCTACACTTTGACTCTGCTTTACATGGGATTAAGATACAAGTCGTCATATCCTGCAATGATTCTTCAAAAGTGCCTTAATCTAAGCAACAAGGAAATGTCCGATTTTGAGCTGCTTTTAATGAACTGCAAGAAACTTCGGGAAAGACGAAACTGTTTCCTGCAACTGGTAGAGAATGCAAGTGATCCGGGAAACAGCAACGAAGAGCAGAAAATGAGAGATCGCAAAAAACAGGTAGAGACTGCTCAGCAGCGAAGAAGCAAAAAAGGAGCTGCAGATGACGTTATGGACGACCCTCTCACAGAGAAGACACTGAACAACATGTTTGGAGAAGAAATGCAGTAATTGAAGTGGTGAATATCTTGTCAACTTGCTGTTTCGTGCGAAGTTTTCCATATATCGTTGAGGGTGTACACGGCATTTTTTTCAAGCTCTTCGTTCCAGTTTGGGTATATTTTTTTTAGGAAATCGATGAAGCTATCTTGGTCTAGTTCTGCCATCGTGCGGCGTCCTATTGAGTAGATGATCATGTTGTCGTCTGAGGTTCTGCTGGCGGACGTGATGCGTCGCTGGGTTTTTGATTTTGTCTGTGTCACATCGAGCTGATTCAAATATTCCTGTTTGACCATGAGGAGCAAAAAGTCTGGTAGTGTTGTACCAAGCAGCTCCACAGGTTTTGTTTCGCTGAAATGAAGCTGGAATTTGGTTTGCAAGATGCTGAGCAGGTCTTGTTTGTTGACGTGATTCTCGTTGAGTAGAATGATTGCTATTATGAGCATTTTGAAGCCCTGAGCTATCAAGTCCGACACAGGCTTGGGCAGGTTCGCTCCTGTTTTGTAAAGATCAGAGGAATCTGTAGTCGGTTCCTTGAGATCCGACAACGAGGCAATTGGACGTGACTGTGACTGGAAGTACGAGTAGATCTCGTCCTTTAATGACAGCGGCAGTTTGTTAACCAGCATGTAATCATCAGAGGACGCGCTCTTTGTATCTTGTCTGGGCGGAAGTTCCACAAGTTCCAAGCCAAAAACACGATCCAGCGTTTCCCTGATGTTGGGCAGAAGATCTTTCTTGAACTGTATTCCGTGACCTTTTTCTCCCTCAACCTCCATAATTTTTGCTATCAAGCCTTTATTCAGGACCTGATACTTGCTTTCCATTGCCAATAAGGAGCGAACAAAGGCTTTGGTGAGTTTTTGGATGCGTTGCTGCTTCACAGAAGCCTTGGACGAAGCAACGGAACGTTTTTCGGCACCCGACTCCTCAGAGCTATCGCTGGAAGCGGACTCGTCTGACCCGTTCGATTGCGACGTTTGGACCCTTCTGGACTTGCGCGGAGGCTCCACGTAGTCGTCGTCCTCTTCGTACGCGTCGAAACTGTTCCTTCTCCTGGCCATGCCTCTTGATCAGAGATAAACTTTTTCGCGTCGATCGTCCTCTTTGGTTATCATTGTTTAGTGTTTCATGTCCTCTATCACTGACCCCTACGGCGGGCCCAGTGAGCACAACCAATCAGGAAAAACACGAAGAATCGTGTCCCTGGTGTTTTCGTGTCTTGTGGCCATGGCATCGGGTACTCCGTATCTTTTTGGCATCTACTCCCCTCAGGTGATGTCTAGATGCCATTTCACTGCGGAGGATGCCAGTTTGTTGACCTTCGGATCCACGCTGGGCTCCTCAATTGGCGGCCTGGCTGCCGGGCTACTTATAGACAGGTTTGGTCCCAAATTTGCAATATTTCTGGGGGCCATATTAGAGTCCGGCGCATTTGTGATTCTGTATCTGACTTACAGATTCCAGCTCCATCATCTGTGGCTTCTGGAGATCGCCATGGCAAACGTTGGGTTCGGCTCGGTGCTCCCCTATTTCGCAACGTTGAAGGTAGCCACAATCAATTTCCCCAAGCACAAGGGTATGGCGAATGCATGTCCGGTCTCAGCTTACGGTCTGGCAGCCCTGATGTACGCTTCCATATCCACGGTATTCTACGCAGGCGATACGCAAGGCCTACTCAAGTTTATTGCTATATTTTCTGGCGTGGTTATTGGCCTGGGTTGCTTCTTCATAGACATCCACGAGCCGGACGAAATTGGTCGGCCCGCCCAAGACGAGCCGTCCGGAATCAAGTATCTGCTTAAGGGTCATCGGGGCTCGTTTGCCCAGCTGAATCTCGTGCGACGGAGTTCCAACTCGTCGTTGTTTTCGTCGACCTCAGAGATCTCGTCGCTGTCTGTGTCGACAACGTCTTCCGGGACCTCTACCATCACTAATAAGCCAATATCAATTACCAGTGCGCAAAATAAGTCCCCATACTCGTCGCGACCAAGCAGCTATTCGCCAATATCGTCTTCACCAGTGGACGTCAAAACGAAGCAGTCGCTAGCTCGCGCAAATTCCTACAGACTAGGCTCCTCACTGAGCAATTCGCCCAGAAACCCGGGATGGCTTGGAAACGCGATTAAAAAAAACATCAAGGAAGAGGCTGTGGTTGACGAAGACTCGCCTCTCAATCCTGGGAGCGACTCGTACAGCGCTTCCATACTGAGTCTTCCGCAAAGTCAGCACTCGGAGGTGCTCGAGACGACTCCTGCAGACGAACTTATTGACGCTACCAAACGGAAAAAAAACTCCCACCGCACCAGCAAGGAACACATCCAGTGGCTCTTCAACAATAGAACGTTTCTCTGCCATTATGTCCTCAACGCCCTGTTTTGTGGCAGTGGACAAGTGTACATCTACGGCGTTGGCTACATTGTCAAAGCGCAGATGAACAAAAACCCCAATTTTACCAGTGATCAGATCTCGTCATACCAGGCCCTCCAGGTTTCCCTTATATCGCTGTGCAATTTTCTGGGCCGGATACTTGGAGGCATTTTTAGCGACTATCTGCACAAGAGCATGAATTCACAGAGACTCTGGGTGATTGTGGTTTCCGTTGTATGCGGAATGTTGGGAAATATCACGCTGCTCCTGTTTGACAACGCTCGTTTCCTCTCTCTCACCTCGACCTGCTTCGGTCTCAGCTACGGTGCCATCTACGGGGCCATGCCCGCAATTGTTGCAGATAACTTTGGCGCTAAACATTTTGCCACCTCGTGGTCTGTCATTGGAACAGGCTCAGTGGTGGCTTTCCTGATGCTGAGTGACTTTTTCGGCAAGGACTACGATAAACATAGCCAGTATCTAGAGGATGGAGACGGTAAGCTTGTGCGGATGTGTTTGAAGGGTAACCGTTGCTACGAGAACGTTTTCGGCATCAATCTTTTCATCGGCTGTATTTTGCTGGTGAGCTACTGCGCGATGATCTACTGTGCGAGAAAGAAATAGTCTTCAGTTCATCCACTCCGTACACCTTAATATTTTATTTATGTTTAGACCCACGCAGCACCGTCAGATATCGCTCAAGTCGATTCTCGCTTCCTTCAAGCGGATCCGGAACATCGAGGAGGTCAACAAGCCCCTGAAGGAGCTTCCAAGATCCACTGGCTCCGGCGCATTTGTGGAGCCGGTGGACTTCGAAGTCCTAGGCAAGACATCGAACATGCTGAACATCAAACTGCCCAAGTCCTCGATCCTCAATCTTCGTTACAGCAACGCAAACCAGTCTGTGGTGGCACTAAACGGTAGAGTCTCGTCTCTGGTGGTGGAACTGGGAAAGCTCGAGGGAGGCCTGATTTTTCAGCGGTGCTTCAACACCGCAGGCCCATTGTCGATCTTGATGGCCAACAAGTTGCAAAACTCGAACTTTACGGTTGTCAATGTGTCAAAGGACACAAATTGGACGGTGAAGCGAGACAGTCTGGTTGCCTGGACGGGAAACTACATTGATCTGACAGGAGAAAACAAACTGGTGAAAGTTGCAGGATCCGGCAAGTTTGTACTGAGCTCGCCAGGGCAGACGCTCCAGCTGACCCTGGATGACGCAGAGGCCGTGAGCGTGAACCCGTCGAGCGTGGTCGCCTTCACGGGGACGCCCCCCGCTGGACCTAAAAGCATAGTCGACTTTGCCGTTCCGGGGATATCTTGGCTCGCCAGAGTGTCCGATTCCTGGACTTCATTAACATCGTACGTGTACGACAAGTTCCAGATCCAAAAACCGCAGATCAAGATCCATCCTTGGATAAGCAGTGTTTTCTCGCAGGCAGCAGGTTCTGTTAGGAGAACAGTCAACCGGCTGGTGACGGGAAATCCTGACTACATGCTAGAATTTACTGGCCCGCGGACCTTGTTGATTAGCAACGGAATCCACTTGAAGGACAAAATCATGACTGAGGAGCAGTTAGAAAAAGTGAAAAAATAGATTATATAGATTTATTCACAGAGTATCATGTCTCGAATCATACCTCGGCTGGCGCGCTTGCGTACACGACCCTCACTTAGTGAGTACCATGAGATTGAAGCAAGACTTAAGAGCTCTCACTGGGATCTTTTTGACGACTCAATATCTGCGTATCATGCAAAACAGTTGTATGCCACTTTGCAATCGGTCATTAACCCGACCGCTCGATTTATGAATGAGAACATGGAAAGTTTGAACAAGCGCTTTTGCAAAGGAAAGACGGTTCCATACGGATACTCGATGATCTATTGCAACCCTATTTCTGGCGAGAACGAGCTAGGATTCGATGGTTTCGACAACTACCATGCTCCGTGCACTGAAGATAAAGACTACTTTTATAGGCGGATGTGGGTTGCAGGGAGTTTTCAATTCAACCCAGATAGACCCTTGAGGTTTGGAGATGAAGTCAGATTTACCGAGACTGTCGATAAAATAAGGCAGTACAAGCGGTTGGAGCAAATCGGAGTGGACTACAGACGCGAGTACAAAGTGGACAACGTGTGGTCAATTATTGAAACCAGGAAACTGTACTACATACAAAAGACCTATACGGAAGAAAGGTACCACCTTGTTGAGGACTCAGATCCAGACCACACCGTCGTGATTGTCCCCTCTACAGTGTCCATTTTCCGATCCAGTGCACTAATGTTTAATTCCCATCTTGTCCATTACAATCCCATATATGGCTCCAGATACGAGGACTATCCTTCAATTATCGTTTCTGGGCCGTTACTGGTTCAGCTGATGCTCCACTTTTGGCAGCAGCACAATCCAGACACCACAGCACTGTCACTCAAATACAAAATTATCAACCCATCGTTTGCCAACGAAAGAATTGATCTGTGCATCAGGGAGACATCCAAACATAGACACAGGCTCTGGGCAAATAGCAGAGATGGTGATCTCTGTTTTGTGGCTGATCTCATTATTGCATAAGCTTACTCAAAGCTATTTCGCGGTCTCTCCATTTCTGCCATTTACGCGGACTTTTTCTGTCCAAGTCGCAAAGCAGTGCCTTTGAAGAGTCTAAGTCTATAAAAATCGTGACGTCGCGGAGCGTCATGGTTTCACACAGTTGATCATCAACATCCGCCTCGCTTTCCAGAGCTATCAGCTTCTGATGCACGTTTGGACACCGAGCTTGTTCCGATGCAAGCGTCTGAAACAAGAGAATGTTTGCTTGAACTGCATTCTCAATTGACAAATAAGAAAACCCGCGGTCCCGTACCGCTTGTTCGACTGCCTCAGACCATTTGTGTATGCCGTCGGTCGTGAGCAGTTGGAGAGGGCAGACAATAAATCTCTCGCCATTCAATGTCAGATGTGCACAGTTTCTACATTTCCGGTCAGAGACAGGCTCTAGCCATTTCGGCTTCAATTCCAGCAATCGGCGAGCTCCCAAGTTTAGGATGATGTGCTTATTAAGAACAATTACTCGACAATCAGAGTCCTTGAAAACATTATCCATGAGTAGGCCATGTGTGTCTGGTTCAAGCTTCAAATCATCTCTTTCGAGTTTTCGAATAGATTCTGGCTTCAGTTCAACAAGTCTCGTAGGAACTATCCACCTCTCTAGCGCAGAAAAGTGATGCATATACTCATATATTTCCTGTGTTTTATATTGCTGGCCAGCAAGCCGAAGTCTGAGAACCTTATCAGTCAATTGCGGATCGTTTCCCCAATATCGGAACACTGCGTTAGCAGCTCCTTTGCGGAAGTAGGAAAAAGAATCAAGCTCCATATTTCATTTTATTATTTTACTACTCACACACAGCCTGAAAAATCTATTGCAGAGATATTATATCTTTGTACACTTCAGCGTACGAGTTTTTGCCCAATTTTTGCATAATCTGCTTCTTCCTGTCATTATTGAACCCAATGAACCTATGGAACATATTGAGCTCAATAAAAAGTCTCTTGATTGAGGGCATTAGCTCCGTCAGACCTCCAATGGCGTTGGATTTCGGATTCAGACCTAGCCAATGCAGCTCCTTGTCATATAGATAGTTCTGAATAGAATACAATCTTCTGTATTGATACTCGTTGACTGGCATCACCTTGTAGAAGGAGCCGTCAATATTGCTACCAATGATCTCGTAGCCCAAATCGTCTTCGTGGTTCAGCGTGCTCACCATCGAAAATAGGGATCTAGCTCTTGCAACTGAAATCATCTTTGTCGTAAGCGCATTTGAGCGTAACAGCGATCGGCGCAAAAGCTTGAGACCTTTCATCGAGTTTCCATCATAAGGGTCATATTGTAGCAAGTGGAAAACAGAATCTTCGTCTGCCACCAAAATATGCAGATTACCATCGTGCACCAAAAAGTCAGCAGCTCGTAATTCAACATTCTGCTCATCTTTTCCAAAATGCAACATTCTGTATGGAGTGGCATCAAAGCCATAGAGAGAGACACTCTGGAATGAGTCTCCTATGAGTACTAGGTTTTTGAAAGTCTTCACCTCCTTCGAATATATGGACGTGTCTGTAAAGGCAACAGGAGCCACATTGTCGTCTTTCTGCAAAGTACGAACAAGCATTCTTTGTCCTTGGACAATTGCAAAACGGCCGCTCACGTTACAAATGGAGAGAACAGGACCTCTGGCCGTCTCTGATGTGATCATTTTCAATCTATTCTTCGCTTCTGGTCTTCCAGGCTCCGGAACGATATCAATCACCTCGTAGATCTTCCAAGATCCATGTGTAGCGAGGTCCTCGTTTCTGCATCTTGCAGTTCCAATTAAAACGACAGTTTTGGTGGCAATGGTCTCGGAAACCTTTAGTTCGATCACCTCGATCGAGGTCACATACTCATTGTCTTCGAGTTCGACTGTATCGATGATTGTCCAATTGGCGGGCGAAACCAAGTGAACTGTGCCCTTCAGAGACGTCGACTTCAGCTTTCTGTCATCACGCAATCCAGGAAGCGGCTCTCCATCCTCATCGACGGGATTATAAGGACCTTCTTCCAAGGTTGAAATGATATAAGTGTTAGAAAGAGAGTGGTAGCTGATCTTGTTGATTGTCTTGTCCCCGATCTTATACTTGGCTATTGGCAACCTGTTTGAGTAAGTGTAGCTGCTATCCAATTGGCATATACGACAGGCCTTGGTTTCATCAATAGAGATCACACCGTTTGGACATTTATCGGTATTGTATTCAGCGAAATAAAGCGATGATCTTTTCGTGAATTGTAACATCCGAGGAATACTATTGTATTCTTTGAGTATCACAAACGCACTTGCTCCAGTCACTAAAACAGCTTTGTACCCTTGGAAATTGCTCACGCTGATGAGGTACCTTTCGATCTTTGTCGCGTGAGCATAAGAATTATCTGGAGCACCAACGATCGGGAACTGGCACATCTCGTTGATCTTCATCAACTTGTATGTCCTTTCTATAGGATCGAAAAATGTTTCGTAGATGAGGACCTCTCCTCCAAAAGTTAGGGCAACCAGGTAATCCTTAGAGCTGGAGCTGTTACCAAGTTTCGTAAACATGATTTGCTTGATAATGGGATCCACATCAGCTTCGTAATTGACATCCATAGGATTTAGAGTCAAAAGCTCTGGGAACTTGTGAATATCTGTGAACTCAAACACTTTCTCCTTGTGATCCTTTTGGAATACCAACAACCGATTATCGGCTGTCACGAGCCAGAAAAGAATTTCACTCTTGCTATTTTCCGTGCCGCCAACAGGCGTGCCTTCGGAGTCCCTTTTGACTGCCCCACTACCTATATGGTTCAACAAAGAGGACTCACATATCCAGCCATTGGTAAAAATCAGGTAGTTCAACAGTGCAGGCAAATCAAGCTTCTCAAGTTTGTCTCCTTTGAACTCTAAAATATCAAGCTCACCGCTTTTCATAATAACAACAATGTAATTGCCATAGATGAAAGTAGAGTTAATTTCAAAGTCATACTCTAGAGCAACCACCTCCTGGAACTTGAAGGTAAAAACTGTCACTTTGTACGGCGTCACCTGGACAATCCGATTTTCAGAATCTGTCGTGATTGTACCAAATTGAAGAGTATACTGCTTATTGTTGAAATCCTTGGAATAAAGATTTTTGTAGTTCTTATTCACTTGGAACACTTCTGTTTTGAAATTAGTGAAGTCAGTTGTGATGAGATATCTTGTGAATCCACTCTTGTTTGTCAGAGTCCACACCTTGTCGACATTGGAAAATTTCAATGTCGACTTCACGATGGGCTTGATTGTTGGAGAATAAACACAGGCACAGCTGTTGGGGCCCACCCCACAAGCAGCAACCAGAACATCTTCATTATAATTAGGGTTTGGCAGCCCCATGATTTTTTGCTCTATAGAGACTCGGCCTAGAGTAAAGTCCACCAGAGGCCCACAGTTCAGTATACTGTCCATTTTCTTGAATTGCGAGTTGACCAGAGAGCTCTTGTGGCTTTTTTGATCTTCCTCATCATATAGCCAATCGTCGTCATCTTTCGTCTCTTTCGAGCTACCATTCTGCTCCTTGGTTTCTTGAAGGAGCACACCACTTTTACTGCTGATCCGGATCAATAAAGAGTCTCCACCTTGACAGCAGACAAAAAAGAGGTCTAATGAGGGAACACTGGTGATCATAATTGGATGGTTTACAGTTATGCCCTTGTAGTTTGAAAGCTCAACTTTCTGGAGACCGGTGATAGTAGAGTTGCCACCGATCTTCTCAAAAGTCAACTGATAAAAGTCGCCGGACTCGGTTATTATCAAGACCTGATCTTCTTTCACGAGTCCAACGCGGGAATTTTCTAGCATCAGACCAAGTGATGACTGATCTTTGAGCTTCAAATTTGATATATCTGTGAAATACTCGTTTGTATAAATACCTCTCATGGACCCCAGAGAATTAACATGGATGATTTCGTTGGACCCAACCAGTAAAAATCCATTCGTAGGACTTTCTAGCGGATATATATAGTCAACATCGAAAGGCAGGTTGGTAAGTTCCATGATGGTGGAGGCTTTTTTATTTTCAAGATCGAGCGACAAAACGATCACTTTCAGTGTATCCTTGGCCTTGGGGAGGTGTCCAGCCCACGTCATTGTCTCAGGAGCATATAAAATTACCATCGTAGGATCCCTATAGGAGTGCAAAAACTGATAATCCACAATGTTCTTGATGTCTGGATGAAGAGAAGAGGCATTCAAAATGAAACTCTCCGTGAAAAGCTTCTTTCTCTTTTTGATGTCCTTAGCTTCTTCTGCATCATCTTTCAGCTCTTCTTCTTCTAAGTACTCTTTGTAGAAGGGAAGAAAAGTGAACAGCTCGTTGAGTCGCAAGCATGTGCATAACGAATTAGGGTCGGTTCTATGTTGGACACTAGTTTTGCCGAGTTTTTCCACCGTCAACGCATCAAGCGCCGTGTCATAGTAGTGCAAGCTGACAGTCGAAATAGCGTGCAACTGGGAATCCCATTTGATGACCGACAGTTTTGCCAATTTTGTGGAAACAATCAAGTAGTCCAACGATTCGTTCTCATTGGATCTAAACTTGTCTATGTTGATTATCTGTCCATTCAGCCTGTACTCGCCAATAAGCTGAAGTTTGTACCTGAGTTCCTGAATCAAGTTGGTCATAAGTGCATCTCCCAAAAACGATTCAGATTCACCAAGCACCTGATTTATCTCGTCATCTCCTTCGTCGTCGTCGCCGTCCTGCAGTTCGAGTTCAACGATTTCAAAGATTTGAAGCATGTTCCCCTTGGAAACAGCCAGATTGTGGCTTGTGGGAGATACAAAATTGCAATAAGTCGAGCCCAAGCATGTTGTTGGGTCCACGAATTGGTGAAAGGTATTCATATTTTGACAAAAAAAATAAAATAAAATAAAACATTTTCAAAGCAAAACTATACTAATGTTGGAGCGTTTTTCTTAATTGGCTTTCTCAGTCTTCCAGCCATAAGTCGTTGCAAGTCTTTTTGCCAAATGCTCGCCAGCAGTTAATGAGACTCCGTGCTTGGCAAGATAATGCGCAGCTCCACGCCCCGAAATGGAAGATACTTTCTCAGAAGGAACGGGCTCCAATAGGGTGTCATCAGCAGGATGGACGAAAAGGACAATCGAGTATCTTGGCTTTCCTTCCAGCAATAACTTGCGAGGGAACCTAACTCTGTGCACTGTACTTTTCAGGAGGCCATTGGTCCAGTAGCACAGCTGATCTGCAATGTTAACGACTAAGGGAGGAGCTTGGCCGAGTTTTTGATATTTCGGAGAGGCAGGGACAAATGGGACCGCTTCCCACTTTCGGCTCACGGGCGACAGGATTTCGAGGCCGTCCTCGTCCTGTCTCTGCAACAGCAGAGTCACACAGCCATAGTCCGTATGGGCTCCTGCAACATTGATATCCCCGCAGGAATCGAGGTCTTTCTCGGTCATTCCCTCCTTCACGGGAGATGGATAGTGTAAGAACCTAAAGGTTGTGCCGCTAGGTTTGGTGGGATCATGGCGACTGGTGAACCAATCGAAACCACCTTCCGTTTCATCGATCTTGAGCCCCATAGCCATCAGCCGCAACATGCTGAAGAGGGACTCGCGGAGCTTAATCAAGGTGGCCTGAATAATCTTTTTATTTTCCGGGTCCTCGAAAATTGCCGGAATCTCGTCAGTAGTAAGTTCACCCTTACTCATATCAACCCTAGCAAAATTGAACGCTTCTTTGGGGTCACCAAGAGGCTTTCCCAGGTCATCCTCTTCGAGGTTCTCAACACCGATTCCAGTGTAACCATGGTTGGACTCGTCAATCTTATATTTTTGTTTCTCCTCGAATGGGAGTTGGAAAAAATCTCTAGATAAGCCAAAAAGCTGATCAACTTGTTCTTGGCTTAGCCCGTGTCCTTCAACCATTAAGAAACCTTGTGTAGAGGCAGCATGAAGAAGTTTCTCAGCGGTTTGCTGGTTAATTTCACTGATATCGACAATTTCCAATGGGTTCTCAACAGTAGTCATAGGGACTGGAAATATCAATCGACAAGATTATATTAAATTTTTTGCTGATAATGAAACGATTTTTTACAGGTTGATATTTTATAGAAGAAATTAAAATGAACAGAGACTTATACATAGGATATATACGTCACCTAGGGTCAAATTTGCATCAGCTTTATTTCTTAGCAGCCTTTTGAGCAGCCTTGGTGACCTTTCCGGCACCAGCAGCAGTCTTCTCAACAGACTTGATGACACCAACGGCAACGGTCTGTCTCATATCTCTGACGGCAAATCTTCCCAATGGTGGGTACTCAGTGAAGGTCTCAACACACATTGGCTTAGATGGGATCATCTTAACAATAGCAGCGTCACCAGACTTGACAAACTTAGGGTTCTCCTCAATCTTCTTACCGGTTCTTCTGTCGATCTTCTCGAGCAGTTGGTCGAATCTGCAGGCAATGTGGGCAGTGTGGCAGTCCAAAACTGGAGAGTAACCAGCAGAGATCTGACCTGGGTGGTTCAAGATAATGACTTGAGCGTTGAAGGAAGCACATCCTTGAGGTGGGTCGTTCTTCGAGTCACCACAGACGTTACCTCTTCTAATTTCCTTGACGGAAACGTTCTTGACGTTGAATCCAACATTGTCACCTGGAAGACCCTCAGCAAGCTGCTCGTGGTGCATCTCGACGGACTTGACTTCGGTGGTAACACCAGCTGGGGCGAAAGTAACAACCATACCAGCCTTGATGACACCAGTCTCAACTCTACCGACTGGAACAGTACCGATACCACCAATCTTGTAGACATCTTGCAATGGCAATCTCAATGGCTTGTCAGATGGTCTGGCAGGTGGCTCAATGGCGTCAATGGCCTCGAGAAGAGTCTTACCCTTGACGACACCAGACTTGGTCTCCTTTTGCCATCCCTTGTACCATGGGCAGTTAGAAGATGGCTCAATCATGTTGTCACCGTTCCAACCAGAAATTGGGACGAATGGAACAGTCTTAGGGTTGTAACCAACCTTCTTGATGAAGTTAGAGGTTTCCTTGACAATTTCCTCGAATCTGGCCTCAGACCATTGAACAGAGTCCATCTTGTTGACAGCAACAATCAGTTGTCTGACACCAAGGGTGAAAGCCAACAAAGCGTGCTCTCTGGTTTGACCGTCCTTGGAAATACCAGCCTCGAACTCACCGGTACCACCAGCAATAATCAAAATAGCACAGTCAGCCTGGGAAGTACCAGTAATCATGTTCTTGATGAAATCTCTGTGACCTGGAGCATCAATAACAGTGACGTGGTACTTTGGAGTCTCGAATTTCCACAAAGCGATATCGATGGTGATACCTCTTTCTCTCTCAGCCTTCAACTTGTCCAAAACCCAAGCGTATTTGAAGGAACCCTTACCAAGCTCGGCAGCCTCCTTTTCAAACTTCTCGATGGTTCTCTTGTCGATACCACCACACTTGTAGATCAAGTGGCCGGTAGTGGTAGATTTACCAGAGTCGACGTGACCAATAACAACGACGTTAACGTGAGTCTTTTCTTTTCCCATTACGAATGTACTAATTAAAAGATCAGAAAAAATCTCATGTGGGAATGTCTCCTCTTTATATAGTGAAAAAAATTTTTTTATTGCCAAACTTATTCGAGTCGTCTGCGTGCCAAAAATTACGCACAGGAACAATACCTTGGTGGGCTATCCAGCTCCGAGACGAAGATTTTGCTTGAAAAAACCAGGGACAACGCTTTTCAGCACACTATACACATCTACAACGTACTGGAACTGCCAATGGAGCTTCCTGGGGACAGCTGAAACAGGTTCTTAAAGTTGTTACCCGGCCTTCTAAAAAAGAATTTAAAAGAAAAAAAAATTCATCAAGGAGATAAGAGGGTAAGGGTGCCTTTGCTCTGTTTGAGATTTGTGCCCCTGGACAGACCTTCCGCTGAAGGATAAAAAGTTTTCTGGAGCAGGCCTGTGATCCTAATTTGCAAAACATCTACTAGTGTCATCTTACTTCCCGTCTTAGAACTGCCATGTAGCTGGAACGTAGAGACGATCGACCTCTCGTCGATCGCCGTGTGCCCATTTTTTTTCGCGCCGAGTGAAAAATAAGGAGCCTAAATAGATTTATCCCTAATTATGGCAACGGTGTCTTTAGGGCTAAACGAGACTGACGACCATTCCATTTCCAACAGCGTATCAACTGTGTCAAGAAGACGAAGGCGGAGAAACGGTAGTTTGAGGCTGAGTAAAAAGCCTGCTCCCAAGCCTGACCTTCTGAATGTCTGGGGGACATTACAACTCAATACTCACCCCATTGTACAGTTTCCAAAAGTCACCACCATCCCATTATCCTTTGTACATGATGACAAAGAGCAAGTTGAGCCAGACAACCCAGGAGGCCCAGAAGGTGATCTACATAGCTCAATGCTGAAGTCCATCATGAAACCAAACAAACTAGTGGACGAGGAGCAATTGGGTAAAAAAACGGTCTCGTTCAAGGACGAGGTATCGGTGAGAAGTAGCTCTTTGAGAAGTATCCATAATACTGCTTCTACACATATTCTTGCAGCACATACAAATCGCAATTATAGGGACTCTCCAGTTCGATCAAAACTACTCAACAACAATTTATTCCAAAGACCAACGAGCAAAGAATTGGAGCAGTTCCAAACAGAGCCCTCAAACTTGGACATTCTATGCTTTGAGCCCGAGCATTCGACGCCAGAAGATGCAGACCGAACACTAGATAGTGTGTGTGATTCCGAGAAGCAGTTATCTCATGAAAGCCAAAAGGAGGAAGAAAAGTCAGAGGAAATGATACCTGAGCCTGACAAGACTTCACGTAGCAGTTCTTTTACCGATGTGTTTGATACTGTCAACGAATCGAGGAGGTTGTCAAACACGAAAGAAAAAGTGGAAACAAATAACGACTGCGATTCAAGCGATGTGCAGAAAAACGATGTAGACGCAATCGATCAGCAAATAAAAACATTAAAGCAGAAACGAAAAGAGATCATCAAGAAACAACGTCATGGGTCTTGGTTCCATGGAGGGCTGATAGAATTTATAAAAACAAAGACTAAACATGATGCCCCTTCAACGCCAAGTGAGACCTTCGACACAAGTTCTGATATTGTACATGCTTTTATGGAGCTGGAGCAAAATTGCAATGGGACCCAAAGCAGCACAGGAGAGTATTCCACTGGCTCTACATTTTCATCTGATTTGGAAACTCCCAACAGCTCCCGAAGACTCAGTATTGGAGAATTTTTCAAGAAGAGACAACGAACTCCAATCAATACCAATGCTTCTGAGTCTATAGCGTCGCTCTTGGAAAGCCTTCAGCTCACACCATTGCATCTGGCTCCAGAAGTTAGACATAGTCATAGTGGATGTGAGCAAGATATCAATACTATTTTGAGTCGAAACATTTAAACCACTGCTATTCAAAACAATAGACCATGACTGGGGACTTGGAACAAATATGAAGAGCCACTATTAAATAGCAGTTGAGATCGATTTCACTATCATGCTAAAACTAGCTAGTTCGCATTCAATTCAAATCACTGAATATTTTCATCGAAATGCATGTTGATAAGCCGTCAAAAAATAAATTCGACGACGAATAAACCCATTTGATGAGTTTCCACGAGGTGCTCGACAACGTGACACCTTCAAATTTTCCTAATGGTGGGACACGCAGAGGATCAATAACTCAAATGGGAAGCCCCGTGCTGTGGAGGAAGCGTAGCGATTCGTTATCTTCTTCTAGCGAACACGAGTCTACGTCATTTTTAAATTCAGATACCACTCGCGATTACGGGTCAGTCACTCAAGATTCGTACATTCAAAGTAGAAGAGCATCTTTGCTTTCTTCAAAGCTAAATGCCCACGGTTTCACTCCAATAAAAGCTGATGATGATGGCACACTGCGTGAGGTCGAAACTACAATTAAAACCGAAACAGAGCTTCTGATCAAAACTTCCATTCCCTTGATTGCAACATTTCTTCTACAATACTCATTGACAGTTGCATCTGTCTTCAGCGTTGGAAGCCTTGGCTCTCAAGAGCTGGCTGCCGTTTCGCTATCTAACCTGTTGGCCAACATCTCATCTTACGGTATTATTCAAGGAATTGCCTCATCCTTATCCACGCTGTGTCCTCAAGCATTTGGAAGGAAGGACTATGAAGCTGTTGGGTTGAACGCTCTGCGCTGCTATCTGATGTTATGGGTGATGTTTGTTCCCATCTTTATTTTCTGGTACTGGGGTTCTTACCCTTTACTTCGCGCTATAGTTCCTGACGAGGAGCTGTGTAAGCTGGCCACGCATTACCTAAGAATACTGATATATGGAGTTCCTGGATTCATGACGTTCGAGGTGCTGAAGCAGTTTTTGCAGGCTCAGGGAGCATTTCAAGCGTCAACGTTCGTCCTGGTCATTTGTGCTCCCTTCAATCTACTATTGAACTTTGTATTGGTTCATAATAGCCACATTGGATTAGGATTCATTGGAGCGCCTACCGCAGTGGTGGTCACAAACTGGCTGATGGCGCTTATGCTGCTATACTATGCCTACTTTATTCAAGGGAGACAATGCTTCTGTCGTCTATCCACCAAAGTGTTCACCAATTGGAAGAGAGCAATCACTTTAGCTGCACCGAGCGTCTTGATGATTGAAGCTGAGTGGCTTGCATTTGAAATACTTTCTGTTGCCTCGTCACGATTCGGCACTGCGTCTTTGGCGGCCCAATCTGTAGTGTCGACCACTTGCGTGACAATTTACCAGATTCCGTTTGCAATCTCTGTGGCAGCGTCAACACGAGTTGCGTGGTTTATTGGGTCTGCATCGAAGGATGCTGCCAAGAAGGTCACGAAAGCTGCGTTCTTGATTGCTGCTATTTTCGGGGTCTTCAATGCCTCCATATTGGCTACCTTCAGATACAGTATTGCGTCACTATTTTCTCAGGACCGAAAAGTGATACAACTAGCAGGAAGGGTGCTCATAATTGGTGCCATATATCAGGTGAACGATGTTATTTCTTGCGTGACCGCTGGTATACTCAGAGGTCAAGGGAGACAGTATATTGGAGGCTGGCTGAATTTATTCAGCTACTACTGTGTTGCCCTTCCTGTGGCGTTTTTGCTGGCATTCAAATTTCGGCTCGAGCTGTTTGGTCTCTGGATCGGCATGGTGATCGCATTATTCTTCGTCTCTGTTTGTCAGAGCTATTTCGTGATCATAAGTGACTGGGATTCCATAATAAAACTGTCCATTGAGGACGGAATGGCCCACAATTCCGGCAATTCGTTGAAGCCTGCAAAGAGCACGAGTAGCTTTGTGGATTATAACATGTTGAGTCCTGCCATCTCGGTGACAAGTGGATGAAGGGGTATCATTAGATGCGCACGTCGATCGGCGCGCCGGATTTTTTTAGTGAGGTAGATAGGAAAGGTGAATTTAATTTTGCCACAACTGGTCTTGATAAAGTGAATTTGCACAACAGTTTATATTTATCCAGAACGATAGCAAGCGCTTTTGAGCAGTTACAGAACATCAATCAACAATGGCCTGGTTTGGGCGAACTAATACGAATGTAGCGATCGAGGACAAAATCAGTGAAGCAGCTTCGGAGTCCATTCCTAACGGCGAGATCGATCTTGCCGGTGCGCTTGAAATCAGTGATCTGATCCGCTCGAAGCAAGTAACATCCAAAGATGCCATGCGTGCTTTGAAGAGACGTTTTATGAGCACCAAGAACCCAAATCTTCAAAAATCTGCGTTGAAGCTTATTGACTTCTGCATCAAAAACGGTGGAGAACACTTTTTGTTTGATATTTCATCGAAGGAGTTCATAGATCCAATAGTGTCCACGCTACATGATAAGACTCTGAATCACACAGTGAAGGAATATTTACTACAATTGATACAGTCATGGTCGATCATGTTCAGCACTAACCCGAAATTGGGTTACGTCAATCAGATATACAATAAACTTCAGAAAGAAGGATTCGAATTTCCGATGATTACTGATGCAATAGAGAGTACGCTTATAGAATCCAAGGTCGCTCCCGAGTGGGAAGATTCTGATGCTTGCATGTTGTGTTCTACGCTTTTTACCTTTTTGAATAGAAAGCATCACTGTCGTTCGTGCGGTGGAGTGTTCTGTGGAACACATTCTTCAAACACCTGCGAGCTACCAGAACTCGGAATAACGATACCGGTTCGTGTTTGTGATACATGCTACCAGGAGCATAAAGGCAAATCAAAGCTGTCTAAAAAGAAATCCAAGAACGATACGCCCGCAGGGGATGAGGATGAAGATTTGAAACGTGCAATTGAACTCTCTTTGAAAGAGTCAGGAGTTTCCATAGAAGCTCCTGTCTCGTCAAAACCAGCACCACAAGCTGCTCCGACAGAGGAAGACGATGAGGAAATGAAGGCCGCCATTGCAGCTAGTCTTGCCGATTTCCAAAAACAGGAAGCAGCAAAACTTCAACCCGGATCAAAGTTGGAGCCAACACCACAGCCAAGTGGTCTGTACTCAAATTTACTTCCTGAAAGCCAAAGCGTGAATTCCTTGTACACACCAAGCAACAACCCTGCCCCTCCAGCTTCACAACCACCACCGCAAACATTTTCTCCTAAACCGGCACCACAGATCGACTACAATAGCATCACTGGCGTCGAGGAGCAGAACATTATTCTATTCGCCCAACTTGTCCAGAATCTGAAGATCGCTCCTGTCGAGAAGAAACTAAACATCGCTAACGACCAGGCCTTAAAGCATTTGCTTGTTAGCATAAACCAAATCAAACCCAAGATTGAATTCCAACTGAAAAGGGAAGTGGCAAATTTGGAAAAGTTCCAGGACTTGTACTCCAAGACTTTTGCGGTCACGAAAATTTACGACGAGATACTACAGCTCCGAATTGCTCAATCACAGCAAACGTATCATCAGTACCCTCAGCAGGCATACTATACACCACCTCCAGCGCCAGCTGCTATTCAGGCTTCTGATCCTGTTTCTCAGCAAAACTCCGGGTCCTACAACGTCCAGTATGCTCCGTTGCCTCACTTAAACTCCGTCTCCCAGCAGCCTGTTCCATCATCTCCCTCCCAATTTTACCCAGCATCGCCTGCTATTCCCGACCAGCTGTCTCCTGTGGCCTCATACACGGATGTTCCGAAACAGGAGCCTGAAAAACCCAAAGCCCAGGAACCTGTCAATCTCATCGATTTGTAGTGTATAATTTTCAGGCTGTGCACGCCGCTTCAGTACATTTTGCGATACTACTATTTTATCATGAACAAAATGCAGGAGCCAGTGCGCAAGCGGACTCGAATAGGATCCGCCTGCGTGAGCTGTCGCAGACGCAAAGTCAAATGCGATCGTGGGAAACCCGCTTGTATGGTAAGTTGTCGGCCATTGCCTGTGATTAACCATTATAGGTTTGCATAAAACGGGGCACGGCCAGGGAGTGCCAGTACGTTGAGCCAGATTGGACCTATGGCCCGGTCTTGGTTCCTGAGCAGCTACCTGATTTATTGGTCAACGATTGTATTCCACAGGCGGCCCCAGAGCCGAAGAATTTACTTAGTGAGCTTGAACAAATGAAACGGCATTTGTCAGAGTTGGAACGGAAACTGAGCTCGTCGACTTCACTGGAAACCCCAACAGAGTCTGAGGCAGAGGACGATCTGATTTCCTTCAAAAATACACATTTTGATTTCGACGTCGATTGCAGACTTATGTTTGACAAAGATATATTTTCTCCCCGAATGCTTCTGATGAAAGACCCCCTCACACGGGTCTCCAAGAAGTACATAGGAGACATGAAAAAGACTGAGAAGGCTCGCACGGAGTTTTTGAATCTCAAAAATCCCTGGTTCGCAAACGAAAAGGACTCGAAGGTCAGTGAGGTATTCAAGCAAAAAGTCTTGCACCAGCTGCCGTGGACATTGCACAAGGAAACCGAGGTGCCTACCGAGGATTCTGTAATTGACACAGATGGGCCAAAAAGTGGTCTGGGGGGTTATCTGCAAAGTGTCATGCCAACCAAAAAATCCGCGTGGCTACTGCTTGATCGCTTTTTCGAGTACTGGTATCCCCATTATCCGTTTGTTGACGAAGAGCAATTCACTCACTCGATATCTGAGGTCATTGGGCAACGCAGCATGGAGGACGAGCAGATTAATATTATTGGCATTTTCCGAACCAAGTTGGTCCTGCTTTCTTCGCTATTGTATCTGATCCATCTTGGCGAACTCACGTTGTACACAATCAATATGGAACCCATTGCCGACACCAAGACCGACGAGAACCTGAAGTATCTTGTTGAGCATCCATTGAACAGTCGTCTTCTCACTGCAGCCTCGTATTGCAGTAAATGGAGCGGAATGGCTCATATGCCGGCCTTGGCAACTTTACAAAACCTATTGTATTCTAGAATTGCATTTAAGCACTCACCAATGGAAGGAGAACATTCCGATTTGGAGTCATTTGCTGGATTAGTGGTGCGGATGTCCGACATTTTGGGACTTAACAGAGACCCGACAACTGTAACTAATTCTCTTACTCCGAAGCAAGTCAACCTCTGGAGAAAATTATGGCTTGGTGTTTGGACGGTTGATTCTGGATGGTCTTTCCAAAATGAGAGTTTTGCACCAAGGATCCACAGATACAACACCAGAACTCCCGTCTTTCTTGGAGAAACGAACGCAAATTGCAAAAACGAGAGCGTGGAGCGTGGCTCTATTGCGGTGCTTCAAAGTCGCGCGAAGCTTAATCGGTTATTTGCTGCACTCATGGAAACAGTCACAGACCTCAGTGGGTCAGTGAAGGCGTCTTGCCTGCTTGAAAGGATTAAAGATTTGGAAACCTACCAGGAAAATTTGACAGGTGACATAGTCATGTTTCTGGATCCGAACACACTGGGATCAGAGGACAAAGTTATTCAAATCCAGCGAATCAATGGATTCATCCAATATCTTGAGATAAAGCACATGTTGGTGTTTCTCTACTACCATCTGTTTTTGCAATATGAGCTTAAGAATGATGTTTCGAAGTCGAAGCATTTTTTGATGAAAAGTATCCGTTCTTTCATGTCTATCGTGATATTTGTACGCAGCTCAATATTCCGCCTTGGTGATTATTTTGGCCGCGGAAACGAGCATGTGGTTGCCCAGACAGTAATCCAATCTATAGGGAAAACCCGGTGCTTGTATTTCATGCTTTTGGCGCGCGTGAAGCATGTCACTTATACAAAGTTCATTCAAGGAAACACAGAAACTGAACTGGTGGCTGTCTGCAATGACATCCTAAAAAAGATCGAAAATTTAGTGGGTGAGGGACTGCAGCTCAAGGGAAAGCTTGCAGCAACACATTTCAGTGCCTGGTTCGCTAGCAAAATCCATTCCTTCGTTTATTCGAAGGTCTACCCTGCAATGGTGGACTCGCTTTTCAACACAGCGAAAGAACCAACGGAGGAACATGAAAAACTAAATGTCAACATAATGCTCAGGTGGAAGAAAAATGATTTTGAGGAGATGGCAGAACTGCTTTCCAAAAAGTACGAGTGTGAGGATTCCTATCTCGGCTGCTCCCTTTCAAATCATGCATTAGACGCTGCGGGTGTAGTTGACTCTGGTTGGATTGGAAGGTTGATAACTAACAGACTGCATCCTTACATTGAAGGGAATCCTCTTATTTCAGAGTTTCGGCAGGCTTTGAGACCGGATCAAACCACAAGTACTACGGACACCACTCCGGCAACTGGTCTCGAGTTTTTGGGCACGGATCTGAATATCGATGAGCTCTTCACCAATGTTGATAGTTCCATTTGGAATACTTTCCCCCTATAGAGCACAATTTTTGCTCCTGAATATAGTTTATAAGCACAAAAATCGCATTCCCTTAGTTTTCTTTTTTGTTAATTTTTGGCAGTAGAATATATGCTTTGTTTGCTTTTATTCGGTGGTTTCTCGCTTGCAAAGCTGATTTGCCCCGACTCTAATCCTTTGAATTGCTATCCTGAACTTTTTGAGCCATCTATTGAGTGGAAACCAGTTAGAGAGGGACAGATCATTCCGGGCGGACTAGATATACGGCTGAATATAGACACACTTGAGCGAGAGGCTAAACTTACGGGAAGTAGCCAGGAAAACGAGAACGGCGCTGTGGCTGTTCCAAAAGACATCATGGAACTAGATGAAGAACAAAATTTGACTGAAGCCCTTCGTTATTTATCCAGATTTGTGGATGATGGAGTTGGCGATTCATCTACTCTACTCAAGAAACTGGAATTTGTTTCGGAGATGAGCTCCGACTCCGACTATGGTGTTGACACCATGCAATATATACAGCCATTGATTCGATTGTCTGGTCTGTATGGCGAAGAGGGACTGAGACAAATCAATGATGAAGATCGCAATGAAGTCAGGGAGCTGGCTACTATAATATTGTCATCTTCTTTGAGAAATAACGCAGAGGCACAACGAAAGTTCCTACAATATTTCTCTGATCCCATGGATTTCGTTGACCATCTTACTGCGAAAATCCAAAATGATGTGCTCTTGAGGCGAAGACTAGGGATACTTGGGTCGTTACTGAATAGCGGATCATTGATTGATGAGTTCGAGTCTATCAAAAAGAAGCTACTGATTTTGTATCCCCAAGTGGTAAATCCAGCCACCAAGCAGCGACTCATGAACATTATAAGTGACATCACAGGAGACGTTGACGATGGAGACATGGATCGTCAATTTGCCAATATTGCACAGGATACATTGATTAACCAAGAAGCCCTCGACGACGGCACGCTGAGACTTTTGGATGAACTAAAGAAATTGAAGCTGAACAACAAGAACCTTTTCAAAGCCAAATCTGAATTCCTGGAGTGGCTGAATAAGCGAATGGAGGCATTGAAAGCGGCAAAAGACCCGAAACTGGAAGAGTTCCGATCTCTTCGACACGAAATCTTCGGCAACGCGAAAGCCATGCGAAAGAGCTACGATGAGCTATGACCGGGACGCATTATCGAAAACTTGACCAGCTTGAGTCTCAAGAGGACCAAAGGAATCAAACGATGGCAAATCGTCACGATAGCTATGAGAATAAGGTACAGCTTCAGATTCACCTTGAGATTATAGCTCTTCATGACATCTTCGCCAGTGTTGAATAGACACTCTCCATTGTTCACGCGCTCTTCGTCAGTGCAATACAGTTTCAGCTTTTTGGTGAAGACGAGGTTGCTTATCGACATCACGCAATAATGCGCCGGCGAAAGATAGTTTAGTGCTCTCAAGAAACTGTCAAGTGTCATAGCTAACAAACCAGCCATAGCAACACCAACTGAACAAATAATCGAGATGACATTGAGCGCAAAGCCAGGATGATCGAACATGGTGTTGAACGAGAGCCCCACAGATTCTCCTGCGTTGATGACGAGAGCCGATGTGTACACCATTGTGAAGAATAGGCCAACATCGTATTGAAATCCCACGACGAAGACCAAGAACACAGAAAACACCAATGCATTGAATATTTCGAACGGTATTTCGATGAGCGTGTAGCTGACAAAGAACGAGTACAAGTTCGTAGCATCGTCGCTGTACTCCTCATAGAAAAAGTCTCGCTCCCGCGGATACGCAGCCATGTTGTTGAGCATTCCAGTGAAGTAAATGGAGACAATCTGCTGGATCAAACCTAGTCTATTCTGTATGCTTGTGTTGTTGTGTTTGAGTCTCGCAAAGAACAGACTAAGAATAACTCCCATACCAATCACTTGCGTGCATCTTGCAAATAAGATGTTTTTATCGCGGATTAAGGTGAGAATCTGTCGTTGCGTAAGCACATACAGTCCAGTGACAAAATCAACAGGCTGCTTAACGAAAGCCTGGAATTCAGAGTAGAGATCTGCTTTCGATGTGAGCTTCCGCCGAGGTACGATGCGAAGATTTTCGGTCTTCCAGGCACCGACAATGTGCGCCACTCGTTCCCTAGTGCGCCTCTCCACTTCCTCATGGGTTGTGCTGTACGATATCATATCGATGACGTAATCAGCGAGATTGGTGAACTTGGGGATCGGATACCCGATAGAGGTGAAATGGTCGACCAATTCTTCTTGCGTGCCATTGAAAGCCACCTGGCCGCCCTTGGCAAGCAGCAGAATGCGGCCAAAACCTTCGAGTGTGCGTGGCTGGTGGATGGTCATTATGACTGTTGTTCCAGAGCTTGCCAGATGATCCAGGCATTCCAAGATCGAGGACGCAGTAAACGAGTCCAATCCTGACGTAGGCTCATCCAAGATGAGCATCTTTGGTGATGACAGGAGCTGAATGGCAATGGAGAGCCGACGTTTCTCGCCTCCAGAAATTCCCTTGATCAGTTCGTTACCGACTAGGGTATCGGCACAATCCCGCAGACCGACCTGTAAGATCAACCTGTCCACCAGGGAATTGATCTCAGACGAGGACAGTTTGACTTTGGAGCGTCTCATCCGAGCTGAAAAGCGCAATGTTTCCCTGACAGTGATGGAAGGCAGAAGATGGTGATCATCCTGCTGAACGTAAGAACAGATCGGTCGGATGGTATCGAATTCTGTCTCGCAGTCGTTTAAATACACCACGCCTGAAGAGGAGTACCGAGTGAACAAAGTTGATTTCAAACGGCCGCTCATCAGGTTCAGCAGCGAGGTTTTCCCAGAGCCGGAAGGGCCCATTATAATGTTGAGTTTTCCCGACTCAAAGTTGCAAGACACATTGTTTAAGATCTGTTTTTTTCCTCTACGGGCCAGTTTGTTTTCCACATATAGGTTCACATCGCAAACACGGATGTCCAGAGGTTGATCAGATTGAGGAGGGGGTCGTGAGATTTTGGCTGAAGTGGCTGACTTTGTCTCGCTTCGTTTCACTTCTTTGGCCATGGTCACATCCTCAGGCTTAATCTTCAGAATCACGCCAGCTACCACGAAAGTGCCCACAAAGAATGCAACAAGAACACCAAATGGGAGCGCTATCCAGTTCTCCCAGAAACCAAGGCTGTTGGTGATGTATGAGCCCGTATATGCACGACAAATGTCCTCCACATCGGGCGAGTCAGCGTATTCTTTGAAACAGTCGCCCCTGTAGCCTGTGAATTGGTTGGAAATGAGAAGCCCATAGGAGTACCATTGGTATGCGACGTATTTGCACCAACGCACATAAACAGGCATCTGCTTCGCATTCACGTACATTCCGTTAGTCATCGTTTGGAAAGTGAAATTGAGGTTGCAAATGAGTGTAGCCAGAGCAACATCTCTTGTGAGGGAGGCCGCCAAGGTTGCAAATGCCATGGAGTTTAAATGGAAGAGTATGTTTGCCGCAAAAAAACGGAAGAAATAAATAGATGAATCTGTTCGAAGACCAACCATAAAGTAAGTGCACAGGGAAAACAGAAGCGGTATGATTATGTCCTCGGAGAAGAGTTTGGCGATCCTGCGTGCCAGTAAGAACCCAGGAATTGAAATGCAGTGCTCTGATCGCTCCCTGTCATACACTCGCAAATCCAACGAACATAGTCGGTAGCTTTCGTAGAGCAGGAACAAGTATGCCTGCAGAGATGAGACAGTGTACAAAGAGCCTTGTATGGAACGTAAGCCAACTAGAGAACTTCCTGGCTTGAAATAGAGCCAACCTGTCATTAGACCGAGAAGGACAGCTTCCATCAGCAATGCCGCGTATCCAATTGGGTCTCTTCTTTCGAGAATGAAGTTTCTTCGAATCAAAATACGAAGCTCTCTCCAAAAAGGGGCCCGCCCCAACTTTTGGAACGTTTCGTCGCCGTCATCGGTATTTTTGTCTTTGTACACCGGCAGCTCTATTTTTGCCATTCGCTGTTTCCATTGCTCGACTATGAAGTACACGCGTTTTGACGATATGGCTTCCTGCTCCGGATTTCGCATGTCGATACTTGTGATATCGATAAGGAAGTCAGCTGGATTCACATCCTCCGGAATCGAGTATCCTAAAGAGGCAAAGTGGCTGAACACGTTTTCGTAGGAGTCACCGTAGCACATGTGTCCCTTGCTGAGAATGTAAACCTGGTCAAAAAGCCGAAATATGTCCGCTCTAGGCTGATGGATGCTCAAGACGATTGTTTTGTCCAATCTTTTGGTAAGCCGTTTGAGCGACTCGCAGAGCAAGTACGCGTTGTAACTGTCCAGACCCGTTGTTGGCTCGTCCAAAAATAATATCGAAGGATTGGAAATCAGCTGGATGGCAACACTAAGCCGTCTTTTTTCACCCCCACTGAGTCCTTTGTTAACACGGTCTCCAACAAGAGTGTCACGGCACTCCTTGAGCCCAAGCTCCATGATAATCTCGTTCACGAGCTTTGCACGAGCAATTTTCGAGGTAAGCTTGGGCAGTTTAAGCTCAGCAGCGAACATGAGGGTTTCGAAACAAGTCAAATTGGGAATGAGTATATCCTGCTGAATCACGTACGCATGTCTAATTTTCGAGAGGTCTGAATCATTGTTATAGGTCACCAACCCTTCCTGAATGAGTGTTGAGCCAGTAATTTGTTTACCCGCAAGCCTGTTCAAGAGCGTCGTTTTCCCCGACCCAGAGCCTCCAATTATACAAGCAAGAGTATTCTCTGGAATGTGAAATGTCATGGGATGTAGGATCTGTTTGTCTGTTGACTCGTTGCTGTTCCTTTTGGCGTTTCGCCCAAATATCTTTCTAGGGCCCTTGCGAGCTAATATCTGAAGATTATGGACATTAATGCTCACAGGATGCGTTTTGGTGAAAGATATGTTCTCCTCTGTATCTATATATCGCGCTTCATTGAAGGGAGTGTATTCCAAAGGCTCAATGCTGTGAGACTTTGATATATCACTAGTCTTCTCCGACATTTAAATCGGAGTCTTAAAATATAGGGCGGTGCACAAAATTATCGTAACCTATAATACAACTAGCTTTCGTGCTTGATACGCGGTTGGCTAATCCAAGTCTCTATACTTGTGCTGGGAACCTCCTTATCGGCGTATAGCTCACGCAGCAACTGAATGGAGTCTTGGTCTAGCGTGTTGGAAGTGGCAGCCCTCGGCTTAGCTGGGGATTGCTCATGTAGTTTCAATTCCAGATCTCGTATTCGCTGCTGATAGGCTTTCTCCTCTTGGATTTTGAGCTGCAACTCGTTTTTGATCTCTTCGTATTGGCTTTTGTAGTAGAGCTTCTGGTCGTCCAACGTGAGTCGTCTGGAACGCGTTTCCATCTTGAGTCTCTGATTTTCGAGCTCGAGCTCACCGATCCTGTCGCTGGTATCTTTCTTCAGCTTGGAGAGCTCTGTTTTCGTCTCGTTGTATTTAGTGTACAGGTCGTAGTATCCATCAAAGATTTCTTTGTTGGAATCAAGCTCGCGTTTGAACTCGTCGCGTAGAGCTTTGTACTTTAGAGCCAGCTCGGCATTTTCTGTTCGCAGCTGTTGCAACTCGACATTTTCGGTAACCAAATCAAAATCACGAATCAGCTTGCTGATCAGCTGATTGTTCTGCTCTATGTGCTCGGCAAGTCCTCCTTGAACGGGCTCCGCAATGGGTTTTGGGAATTCGCCAGGAACCTGATCGTTCCGCTGCCAGCGTTCGCGACTCATCTTTATTCTCTCCAAAGTGTCGCTGATTTTCCAATCGTCATCCAAATGTGACGGCGTCATAGGAGGAGCAATTACCGAGCTCCTGCGGCTTCGGGTATCATTGAAGTCGTCATTGATGGATATGTCGTCGTCTCCGTTTAAATATCGTCTTTCGCTATTCAAATAGGTATTATATTCGGTCACATGATCTTCATCCTCAATTGGCGTTTGGGTATTTAGTGGACTGGGTGACGGTCCAAAAATGCTATTGTACACTTTTCCCAACAGCCCTCGGCGTCGAATAGTCGTTGTATCAAACATACGCGTCTTTGTTTTGGATCGTGCCTAAAAAACTGACAGAAAAACTATTAAAAAACAAAGGGCCCTTAGTTTTTTTTCCCGAATCGTTGAATGAGAGAGTTGCTTCTACCTGTTCTGTTGCTCTGCACACTTTGTAGAGCATCTGTGCAGTACCCTTATGAGGAGTCATTGGAGTTTAGGCCTTTAGAACGTAACAACCTACTTGCGTCGTTTAACTTCAAGATCAATTCATCAGAGTTTGAGTTGTACGAGCCCGAAGATAAGACGTTCCATTATTCTACGTTTTCCAAGCTTTTGGGACCCATTCTCCAGGATACAAACACAAGAGAACTCCATCTTCGGTTCAGTCAGGGATGGTATGACCCGGAAGTTTATGGGGAACTACCGTACCAAGGTAAACACAGCGGGGGAACGGGTGTCGAATTGTGGGCGGTTGTTGAAGGCCAAAACGAGGAGACCGTCTTCAAAGACTGGATCAAACTGGCTAACTGTTTGTCGGGCCTTTTCTGCGCCTCCCTGAATTTCATTGATACTTCTTCGACGACCTATCCTGTTACCGTATTCCAGCCAACAGCTCCTATGTTGGCACAAAACGTGTCTTTTAGAAATGATCTTTTTCTCCTAAGAAGCGCATTGCCCCGGGAACCTGTCTGCACTGAAAACTTGACGCCGTTTCTAAAACTTCTCCCAACCAAAGGCAAAGCAGGAATTTCGTCTTTACTCACCGGACACAAAGTTTTCAACTCGCAGTGGTCCTCCATGTCAATCGATGTCACCACCCACTGCTCGGGAACAAAATGCCATTACGAAATGGAACAATCCATCAACTTGATATTAGATGTACCGATGACCTTGGAACGGAACCGAATGCCTATCCCTAAACCCACTCCTGGCTCACAACTCAAATGCGATCCGACAAAACCTTTTGATGCATTCCATTGTTTTCCTCTTGATGATATCTCAGAGCTGGAGTTCTCCTTAGCCGACCTCTTTGGCAAAAATATCCAAGGTGGTGCATTGCTTGCGTCACAACCAACTAAAGTCTGTGCAGACCTCAATTTGGAGTATTGGAGTAGTGAAATTCAATCCCAGACCAAGATAACACCCACTTTGGAGGACGGAAAGACATGTTTCGCGATCGAAGATACAAATGAGTACAATTTGCTGTTCAAAGCAAAAGACACAAAAAAGATTAAGCCTTTGAAAAGCCCTCCCATCTTTGCATCCAGATCACTCTCTGGCTACTCCCAGGATTCCGGGGGATTCAGAATAGATTTGAAGAATCCGACCGATGAGGACTCAGACATCATCATTTTTGAATCGATACCATGGTTTGTCCGCATTTACCTCCATACCCTGACGTTAACCATAAATTCTACTGTTACGCATGTGGTGGCAGATCCACAGTTTGACCAATACGTCAAGGGTATTATCTATAATCCAGCAATTGACAGACAAAAACCGTCTCACTTGGAATTGCTCGTCAGCATCCCAGCGCACACGAAAATCAAACTTTCTCTTGAGTTTGATAAGGCCATGCTATTGTATGCAGAATACCCGCCAGACGCAAATCACGGTTTTGAGATTGAACCAGCAGTGATATCGGTCCTCGATCGCAACTCGCATAAGGTGGTCTACGAAATGAGAACTACTACGGCACTACTAACTCTTCCGACGCCTGACTTTTCTATGCCTTACAATGTTATTATTTTAACTTCCACAGTGATGTCATTGGCTTTTGGTTCGATCTTCAATCTCTTGACAAAGAAAACCGTCACAGAGGAAGAAGCAGAGTTGAAACTGAAGGAAAGCAGGATCACCATATTACGATCCAGAATTAAAAAATGCGCCCAACGCATCAAAAGTTTAATTAGACGTTCATAATGCATTATATTTTATTCCTCTTCCTTTGGTCGTCCAAAAATTCTGTGATCTTTGCCAGTTGTCTGGAGAGACCACAAGAAGACCAGTTAAGATTAACCCAGTTCTCGAATTTGCCAGCTAGCAACTTGAGAGGACTTCCTTGCTCGCAATCGATATCCCGTGAATTTAAGAGAACTTTGAAAAGCTCGTTCCATAATTCTCTCTGCCAGTAGCTGGGCATGTCTTCACGTATTTTAAAATTATTTGAACTGGCTTTCACACCTCCCAATTCTCTGCCAAATAACAGCATGTGGATGATGTTTGCCAGTCCATAGTAGTCAGGCTCGTACCTCCAAGATCTCCACATTTCATCCGGAGGATAGGTATTGGCTGACAATTGGGCAGAAAAACGGACATTCTCAGGAAATAGCGATAAGTCGATTGAGTCTTGAAAATCAATCACTTTCAAGTCCTGGTAGCTAGGCTTCGTGTTTGGAGTCAGATTCAGTATGCAGTTCTCTGCCTTGAGGTTCGCGTGTACTATACTTATAGAATGCAGAATAGAGATTTGCTTCAGCAGCTGTGCAGCAAGGTAAATAACCATAGATTCTTCCAATTTAAGTGATTTTGATTGCGATGTCAGCTGAATCAGATCCAAGAGGGTCCCATGTTTCAGGTATGGCAAGATAAGGTACGACTCGTCCTCAAATTTATAGAAATCAATGACTTTAATAAAGTTTCCCGGCGCTCTGACTTCCATCTGCTTGAGGATGTAGTATTCCCATTCTACCGGAGGTGAACAAACCTTTATTGCTGCAACTGATCCGTCTGATTTCTCGCTCAAATATGTGGCTGCTTTATCCACAACTCCTAGCTGTTTCGTGAAACAAAACGTCTCGCCTTCGAATTCCATCATCAACTGACGACTACCCATTATTGGAGCTGCATGTGGTTTCAGCAAACTTCTTAAGATACTGCATTTTTCGCGCTTGGTGGTTGACTGGTGGTAATCTTTATAGTGTAAGAGGTGCGACGATTGCTTGTATAATAGATTCTTTTGCAGATTGTGATCAAAGGGATTGATCAACACATCCCCTTTTCCAGGCTCAGAGTGAAGAGGCTCTTCCACAAACGGGGAACTCAACATGCCCGTGTCGTCATTTGTCAACTTTCTTGGCGTAGCAGGTGTGTGGTTGGTTATAGTTTCTGTAACAAAATCGCTTAGTCCTTCATCCAAAGGAGGTTCTTCGGTGCTAACTTTAGTCTCCTTCAACGGTTGATTGAGCATCTGAAGAACCTCTTTCATGGACTGCCGTGAGTAGAACGTAAGCGTTGGCGAGTTAAGCAATTTGGTTTCATTTTCAGAATCCACTAAAGGTGTGTGCTTTTTAGACGGTGTATCAAATGTGCGCTCGGATTTTCGCTTCTTTGCTAAATAGTACACGCCACGACTGAGAAGCAGTATCTCCATCAAACTTTTCTCGTCCTCTTTGTCAGCGTATAATAAATCAAAATTGAAATCAAACTTTTCAGTTCGTTTACCTGGATTGTGTATAATCTTGGTGACAGGAAAGCGCAATTCATCGTCTCTAAAAACCTCAAAAGTAGGCTCGTTCGCTTTGGGCACCCTTTGTTGCAAAAGTTTTTCTCCCGACCAAGATGTGGGGCGTATCACATTCTCCTTCCTCGAGTTGTCTATCGTATCAAGATGCTGCCATATGCCATCATTGGCCGATGAAGGTTTTGCTTCCGAATCATTGAAAACAGCAAAAGCTTTAGAGCTGCGAGAGGGTGCTAGCTTTGCCACCTTTTCCAACCCCCCTCCAGATGGGTTTTGCAAAACACCTAATCCCTGTCTCTTCTGGACTTGGGAGGATTGCGCTCTTCTGATCTTGAAGTTTTCGTATGCCCGAATCAGTCGATTGAGTGGCCTAGCTTTGGCATTAATTCCTGCTTGGTACAGTTCCTCTGCCTTTTTGAAGTCCTGTTCTACCTCCATGAAGTTTGCAAAGCTCTCGTACAAAAGCGTAAGAGAGAGACCAATCTTTTTCTTGTAAAGATAATGGAATATGTCTCGCGGGTTATCACTAAACTTCACATACTCAAGCCAAACCTTGAAGTAGCGAACTTCGTTTTTGTAATAATCGTCGTCTTTGAAATCATGTGTTATTCTTTCCAGCAGCTGAATTAGTCCTGATTCTGTGTTAGCCCCAGAAGGATAATTAGTATGGATCCAGTCCAGATATTTTAGGTAAGGATCCAGCGGATCATCTAGGTCCTCAAGCTGAGCAGGATCTAAAGAAGCTTCAAATTGATCTCTTTCTCTAGCAAGAACTTCTTTCCTTGTTTCCTTATTCAAAGATAAGGCCTTTACCAAATTATTAGCAGAACGACCTTGCTTTAAAGGCTGTATGTTTTCCTTGTCAGCCTCAATGCAAGAAAATTCAGTCGAAGAGCCTGATATAGTTGATCCTCCACTATTAACACGCGAACTCATCGCGTCATTAATCATAAACAAACAATTTATTTTTTGTACACAAGCGAGTTTTTCTATGATTAGGTAATAGGGCTTAACCAGATCTAAATCAAGAAAGACTAGTGTGAGTGACCAAGAGCAAAAGGGGCGCCTTGAGCTACTTTGTATGAGCTTCAACGTAAATCAAAATGGCTATTATATGCCCATTCACCTAGGATATTCGTGTATCAGCTTAATTATATACAAGTCATGCTGCTTGAGCACCTTCCTCGGGACGATTCTGCTGCTGCTCGTTGGGAGGCAGCAGGTACTTCTTGAATGCATCATTCTTTTCCTCGAATGGGCGAGGCCCCAAAAGTCGGATCATATCGTCTCTAGTCAAAACTTCTTTGGCGAGCAACTCCTGAGCCACTTTCTCGACTTCATCTAATTTCTCCGTCAAAAGCTTTCTACATTTTTCATATGCCTCGTTGATAACTCTCTTCACTTCGTTATCAATGAGTTCAAAAGTCTCTTCACTGAAAAGTTTGTGAACTTGTGGTTGTTGAGTGTTCGTTTCAAAGGTGATAGTGCCTAACTTCTTCGACATTCCCAATCGAAGAATCATCATGTTTGCCATTTGAGTCACTTTCTTGAAATCGTCAGCAGCACCGGTGGTTATGTCATCAAAATTCAGCTCCTCTGAAACTCGTCCGCCAAGGGCCATGATCATTCTGTGTTCGAATTGTTCTTGTGAAATAAGATACTCATCGCCAGGAAGATACTGCGCATATCCAAGAGCACCCTGACCACGAGGAATAATAGAAACTTTTAGCAAAGGATCAGCATATTGCAAATACCATCCACAGATAGCATGACCTGCTTCATGATAAGCAACTGTTTTCTTTTCTTCGGGTGACAACACCCTACTTTTTCTCTCAAGACCTGCAATCACTCTTTCGATTGCCTTCTCGAAATGAACCAGCTTGACAACGTCAGCGTCCTCTCTTGCGGCAATTAATGCAGCCTCGTTACAACAATTCGAAATATCGGCTCCGGAAAATCCTGGAGTCAAAGCTGCCAGTCTTCCTGCAAACTCGTCCGTGACAGGATGTTCAAGCTTGAGCGGCTTCAAATGAACTTTGTAAATTGCCTTTCTTCCCTCAATATCTGGTCTATCGATGCTGATATGTCTATCAAATCTGCCGGGTCTGGTCAATGCTTTATCCAGTATATCGGCCCTATTCGTACCTGCAAGAACCACAATGTGATCAGTATCCTCAAATCCATCCATTTCGACTAAGAGCTGATTCAATGTTGCTTCTTTTTCGTCGTTCGCACCCATTGGTCCACTTTCTCTTGACTTACCAATGGCATCGATCTCATCCACAAATATGATACAAGGAGCTAGCTTTCTGGCTGTAGAAAACAAATCGCGAACTCTAGAAGCACCGACACCAACGTACATCTCGACGAATTCGGAACCAGAAACAGAAAGAAATGGCACACCAGCCTCTCCCGCTGTGGCTTTAGCTAACAAGGTTTTACCTGTACCTGGGGGGCCTGAAAGAATGGCGCCTTTTGGAATTTTGGCACCCAACTTCTCGTATTTCTTAGGCTCCTTTAAAAATGTGACAAATTCCATAATTTCCTCCTTAGCTTCATCACAACCGGCAACATCTTTGAACTTGACAGTAATATCTGTTTCCTGGTTAAACAATCTAGCTTTGGACTTGCCTATGCCCATGATGTTGTTCAAAGGCCCACCACCTTTACCGTTTGGTGCACGCTTTTGCAACTGTCTAGCAAGATAGTAGGTACCACCAATCAGGATCAAAGTAGGCACAAACGGCATAATGTAGGAGAGAATGCTAGAGCGACGGATGTATGACACTGGAATACGCTCATTGTTTGGAATGCCAAGTTTATCTTGGATCTCATCTAATTCCTTCTCAAAAAACTCAACCGAGCCTATGGTGAATCCAACTATCCTGGGATGTTGGGTGACTAGCTCAGCTTCCACAAATGAGTTGTTTATCACAGTGATCCTTTTCACCAGTCCTTTTTCAAGGAAATTGACTTTGAAGTCCTGGAAAGTCATTTGACTACTCTCTCCACTAGAGTAGCTATTTAAAAACAAAGAGATAACCAGACCGGGAAAAATCCAGTTGGTCCATTTTGTGTTTTTGAAGAAGTCCTGTGGCTGATTGCTGAGATCTGGACCCTTCTTTTTCTTCTTGTTGTCCTTATTCTTGTCTGGTTCTTCGTTCGGGTTGAAAAACGTTTGCTTGAAACGGATTTGCTGCCCAGACGAGAATGAGCGTACGAAAAGGGGGCTGCTTCTTGAAGGCTGCTGAAAACGCACCTTGACCTGCTCAGGCCTTAAACGTGCTATCGAGCCCCTCAAAAACATATCTAACAACTTGAAGTAATCGCCACTCTATTTTTAAAGAAACTACCAGAGCCCGGGTAACTACCAAAACACAAAATTATGAGTATATTAGATCAAGCATAGATAGTTGGGTAGCGCATTAGAAGGTCTCCTCGTCGAACATCTTAATATCATTCTCCTTTCCCGGACCATCTGTTTGATCTTCGCTAGGAATTTGGAAACCCTCAGTGGTGCTATACAAAATTTCCTGGATGTGAGATACTAGCTGCTCCATGCTCACATCGACCGGCTCAGAGCTTTGCAACTTCTCGGAGAGATTCTGTGTGAGAATTTCAATGTCTCGTAGTTTATTGAAGTAGAAGTTTCTCTCTGTCTCCAAGCTTTCCTGTACCAGCTTCATTTCTTCTGCCTGAGATCTCAGGTTTTTCAGTTCTTCTTGTACATTGGATGGAATGCCAGATCCATATCCTGAGGATACACGCGAGCCGGAATAGCTCAACGTTGGCTTCGAATGCAAAGGATCTCTCACTTTTTGAGCCGATCCGGTAAGAGACGTTCTCCTACTTCCTGACTGGCTACCGTTTGCTGACGAATTGGAAAATACCCGACGGCTTCCCGACGACGCCCCTGCAGTCGATGGAGGCAACGTAGCTTTTCTGCGTGCTGTTGGATTGTAATCGTCCAACTTGTTTTCTGACCATAATCTACTCATCCACTGTAAGAATTCCAGATTGTCCTGAAGGCGACATTTCATCAGTCGCTCCACTGGGACCTCTCTTGTGATCTTGTGCTTCGAAAAGCCACTCTGCAGGATCTTATAGTTGGTCAAAGTTTGGTAATCAGAGGTGGGATTGAAGTTGACTTTCCCCATTGGCAAGTCTCCAAAAATGGAGTCAAATATCTGGCAGTATACGGCCCCGTTGCCGCACTGCTCAATCTTGGTGTAGTTGAGCTGATACGTGGTGTTGATCCACTCCAGAAGCTCTGATCTAGAAGCCCCAACAGCCATAGTATAAAGTAAACAACGCGAAGTTTTTCGACGCGACGGTAGTCCTGCAAGTCATAAAATGAGGCAGCTCCTAAATGTATAATTAAGTAGATAGGTAGACACCAATAAATAAGCTGTAGTAGACATGGTTCCTATACAGGAAGAGCCCTAGTTGGCCGGGCTATCATACCCGGGCTTTCTTCTTTCAGGAAGCGCTGAAAAGTCCTGAATTACGTTGAACTCGCAATTTGCGTTCTGGCTGAAAAATCTACCAGGAATTCCATCGTTGTCAATGAACGAGGCCCGATGATCTCTTCTCTGCGGCATTGTGAGAAGCTCATTTATGTCCCTTTGTTTTTCCACCCGTGCTCGATAGGCCAAAAAGTTTTCCTCCAGCTGCCCCCAAACGTTGGGTGAGTAAATTCTCCAGAGTAGCGACTTGCCTTCGTGGTTCCTCTTGTAATTCTCATTGGCATAGTAGTACCCAAAGCCAAGTAAAACCGCAGCTGCTCCGGTAAGTGTTGTTCTATTCACAATGGGCTCCTCCTCGCTGAGGGGTAGCTCGTGATGGTCGTCATGATCGTGGTGTTCCTCCGAGTGCCCATGGTCTTTCTGGTGAGAACTATAGCGACAGAGCAGCGGAATGGAGCTTTTCCAACTCCTTTGAAAGAGTCCTGCTTTGGCAGGACGAATCGTTGACAGCATCCTTAAAACAAGCTATAAGAAATTGGGGTAAATTTTGTGGGCACATAACCAAGATGGATTTTCATCAAGAAAATGAAAATTAATCTAGTTTGTTGATGAGCAGCGAGGAACCCGAGAAGCCAGGCGAAGAGCAGGTGGATGATTTGTTTGGAGATGCCAGCGATGAAGAAGTGGTAGACGAAGTGGCTGCCAATGTCTCAGATGAGGAAATCAACGATGTGCAAATCAGTGCTGATGACGACGATGACAACGAAAAGGAGGTGGAGGTAAAAGAACCTACTCGTGCAGACATATCGATTCCTAGACATCCTCGATCACATGTCCCCGCTGGAGATGCTATGGTGTTTAGTTTGCCGCGCTATCTCTTTGTGGACCCCGAACCGTTTGCTCCTGCCACGTTTGAATCTAATATTAACGAGTTCTTGAAAGATTCTCTTAAAGACAGCACAAGCAAGGAATTGCAAAATTCTCTGGAGTTCAAAAAACTGGAGGTGCAAAATACCATCAGATGGCGTTATGCAAAGACATCCTCGGACGAACTTTATAAACAATCCAACGCCGCGATCGTTGAGTGGGAGGACGGTTCCATGTCGCTGAAAATTGGTGACGAGTTCTTCAACATCAAACTTAACAACAACGAGGATGAGATTCTGGTAGCAGAGAGCGGCGACTTATATCTGCCAGTGACGGAACTCAAGAAAAGCATCCAGGTCCTTCCTTCTTCCACCAGCTCCAGAGCACACAAAATTTTGGCCAACACCCTGCAGTCTAATTTACGCTTGAAGAAATCGAAAAAGATCAATACCATAGTCACAACGGAAGACCCCGAGCTCAAGGCTAAAGAGATGGAAAAGGCCCAGAGAGAAATCGAGAAGGCCAGACGGAAGCAGCTTGCCAAACTGGCAATGGAGGAAGAACGACAGGAGCGCGAGTCCAGAACAACAAGTCTGGCACACTCCATTGACGCTGCAGAGGACGAAGATGAGCAGGATGACGGCGAGTACAATGACAAGGACGACTTTGTTGTCAGCGACAACGAGCAGGATTCAGGTCTGGATGACGACGAGCTTGATAAAGCTGCTGAGAAGCTAAGAAATGTCAAGCGTGCCGGAGAAGCTATGTACAGGGAAAAGTCTCAGGAGGTCGAGGAGGAGGAAGATGATGAAGGTGCCGTCGTGAGGAAAAAGCGTCGTGTGGTGCTTGACGACGAAGAGGACGAGGACTAGTGTACATTAATATACGAAAAGCCATATCATCCGGGTAACTCTACATCCCTAAAGTTCCAGGTACAATTTCTTACATATAAATACAAAAGAGACATTGCGAAAAAAAACAGGTTTGATTTTCTAGCCATGTCTTGGAACGGTAAGTGGCAAATGCACCAGCATCGAGAAATGTGAAATCTGGAACCCTAACCTTTAGCATACACTGACAATCTCGTCGCTACCGGAAAATTGGACAAGGCTTCTATCTACGCGGCCGATGGATCCTCTTTGTGGGCCACCACTAACAACTTCCAATTGCAGCCAAACGAGGTGCAGGAGATTGTCCGCGGATTTTCCAATCCTTCCCAGTTGTACGCATCGGGTTTGCACATTCAGGGCCAGAAAAACGTTTGCATTCGTGCCGACCCACGGTCGATTTACGGTAAACACGATGCCGAGGGCGTTTTGTGTGTGCAGACCAAAAAGGCCATCTTGATCGCTCACTATCCGGCAGGCGTCCAGGCCGGCGAGGCAGCAAAGATTGTTGAGCAATTGGCCGACTACTTGATCAGTGTGGGCTACTAAACAATACGTACCGATCATATACAAAGAGGATATTTTGAGGATAACATTGATTGTAAATCTATATCACGTGCCTCGATAGTCTCATGGCTTAATAATATCTTTGGCTAGTCGCCCTGCACATCCGTATGGGTAGATCAACGCATTATCCACGTCCCAGATCCCTGCCTTGTAGTAAGGATCAGTCTTGAGAAACTCGATTATCTCCTCTCTGGAATTGGCCACGATGTTATATGAGGATCCCGCAAACTCGGTCTTTGCATCGTCCTTGTAAATGGCTCCGCAATTGGTTACTCCTTTGTTGAAGGCTGCTGGGATTCCTTTGAGGTGCTCTCCTCTGATAGCCGCACGGCTCTGATGTTAGTCACGGCCTTATGAGTTCACTTACAGTTCCCGGTTTATCGTAAACAATAACTAAGTACTCCATCGCTGCTAAGTTTATCTTTTTGTAGTCGACGAAATAATTTTGTTACCTAATCTATTACACATTCCCTCAGCACATTAGATTATGGAGTCCATTTTGCTGAAGACGCTGATCACGGCAGCCACGACTTCCAAAACAAGGTCTCCTGGTTTGTCAGTTTCGATCTCCTTCTCAATCTCAGAAAAAAGGTTCATCCCCACGCCAATTGAGGACCCTTTATTGACAAATGGATACTCGCTGAACTGGCTCAGTATTTCGTCGGCCCTAATAAACGCATTATCGCGGCTTTCAAAACTGAGGTCCATTAGAATGTTCTCCAGAACGTTGGCAGCACAACAACCTGCTACCAGACAAACTGTCCGAAGATATTTGTATTTGAGGGTTTGTGGAAAGTATTTCTCGTCGTACTCTATGATAAAGTTTCGGTTTGTCAGCATAGCGAGAATTCGGGATATGACGTTTCTCTTTGGTGTAGGGTCCTGGATAGGATGTGTAGCCATATCGAACAAAAGGAAATTCTTTCTTTCGGTCTTGAGAACGCCCTTGTCCACCAAACCTTTAGCCAGCCTCTCTCGCACCTGTTTGAGCTGGTAGTTGATTTTCATCAAGTTCCATGTTTCTCCAGACAGCAGATCAATCCAGTTGGAAACGCTCATATGTTGAGAATCGTTTTTGATCAGCTTCAGTGCTTCGTCCAAAAGGGTCTCCCCGGTCATGGAACCATCGCAGCACTCGATCAGCCGGTCTGGAAACTCAAATCTTTTTCTCGCCGGGTCGTTTACCATTCTAATCTTTCCTCGGAAGGCCAGCTCCAGGATTATTAGGCCCCGCAAAGCATAGGAGATATTGTCGTTCCAGAAAGAAAGATATCCTTCTTTATCCTTGAGTCCAATAAGCAAAACTTCCTCCATCAAGGTCAGCACGGGAACTTGATTTCCCTTGGACGACTCCGAGATATCATTTGGATCGTAGGCGATCTTATGTTCTCCTCCGTCTTCAAGAGCTCCTGAGCTTTCCTCGATTGTGGATGACTGTTTTCCCCGACGTCTTTGTAATCCCGATGACATATTGTTGTTTTCTGTGTGACGCGCTTATGCCGGTTTTGATGCGAGGGCTGGTTGTTAGTGCTAAATCAAATAGCTGTTGCCGACGGAAGTACGCTTTGTTGTCTCTTTTCGAAAAAAGGTAGAGGTGTAATTTTGCTTGCCAAGCACACGACTCGGCTGAAGTGATGAAAAAAAGTATGCTCCTATTCAGTCTAGGCTGTGCATAGTAAAACTTGGGTTACGCAGTGATCATGACTGATAAGCTGCCCAGAGCCACTCTGAGGCAAAAAATCCAGGTCCTGGACTATCTTCACGGACCACCCTCTAGATCACAAAGGGAAACAATTGAGCATTTCCGTAAACTGGGCCAGTTTGGTATATCCCAGGCAACTCTCTCGACCTGGGTTTTGAAAGAACAAGCTCTTAGGGCCCAGCTCAGCAGCAACCCCACGCTCGAGACATACAAACGTAAGCCACGATTAAAGTATCCGGATGTTACTAAAGCTGTCGAAGAGGAAATCGACCGCTATTTTGCAGAAAACGAAACCATTACGGATTTGCAGATCACAAACTTGTTCATGAAATATATGGAGCAACTTGGCTATCCTACAAAAGATTTCAAATTGAGTAAAGGGTGGCTACATGCATTCAAGAAACGCAATCGCATATTTAATGGCCGTCGGCTACGTGAATGGCAACCACAACCTGCTGAAACATACAATGACGGTACCTCTATAGACCTAAACTATGAAGAAATATTTAATAACCAGTTTGTGGGTTTTAATACCCGTTTGATCCATTCCGATGACCACTTCACGAATCTAATTAACAGCATACCGGGGCTGGAGCAAATCTCACAAGACACAGATCAAACCGAACCTATTGAATTCCAATCACCCTCCACGATTCCTCCTCCACAGCCTGAAAAATTGCCATACTATCCAACTATTCAAAATCCACTACAAAACCAGCATTCGCGCAAACCGTATGTACTCGAGAACTTCAAGTACTCCAAAGGATCGCATCCAAACTCTGAAAAGGTGGAAAAAATCCTCGAGAATATCACCGAAGGGTACGCTACCATATATAATTCTGGCACCTCTGCCATCATGGGAATTCTCTCCTATCTGAATCCGCCTATGATCTGCATCAATAATTCAGGATACCAAGGAACGCATCGAGTTATCAAACTGCTTTCCAAGCTCACAGGACTCCAAAAATTGACGCTTGAAGAAACAGAGCGACTTCAACCTAAATCCGTTATTCTTATCGAGACGCCCATGAACCCTGAAGGCTATGTATTAGATATCGCGAAGTTTGCGAGACTTGCTCACGAAAAACAATCATATCTCATAGTGGACTCCACTCTTGCTCCACCTCCGCTACAGTTCCCATTCAAGTACGGTGCGGACTACGTTGTGTATTCTGCGGTGAAATACTTGGCTGGAGTATCTGATCTGGGAGCAGGTTTTGTAGTGAGCAAGAAAAAAACAGATAAAGCAAATCTCCACAGCGAAAGACACTCTCTCGGGACTACAATTGCCAACTTTGACTCCTTCCTGCTACTGAGGTCGTTAAGAACGTATAAAATGAGAATGCTAACCCAGTGTCAAAACACTGAAAGAATAGTCACCTATCTCAGAGAAAGCATGGACAAGTATAGTATGGTGATCAATAAACTGCATCATTCTTCTCTTCAGCTGGATCCCTTTGTCAAACAACAACTGAATGGATTCTACAACCCTGTGCTGGCCATTGAGTTTAAAAGCGAAGAACTGGCAGATATCATTCTCACAAAATTCAATTTTCTGAGTAACAACCCAAACATCGAGGGAGGTGAAACCGTGGTCGAGCTAGCATCCAAAAACCTAAACTTCGCCCGCCCATCGACAAATAGCAATCTTCTGAGGATCAGTGTTGGCTGCGAAGACTATGAAGACCTCATCAAAGACATTGACCAAGCTTTGATGAGTGTCATTGATCCGGAACGTGTTGGGAACTCTCTCTAATCTCCCTTTTCAGAGGCTGGATCGTGTCCAAAAGTTCGTTCTTCACGAAGACAAGATAATATGGAGTTGCGCTGTTGTTCTCGCTGAAGTTCAACACCTCTTCTATAGGCACCTCACTCACTATTTCATCATTGTATTTTCTGTAGAGGTTGGACTTTGGATCTCTGATGTAAATCCAGTAATGGCCATAGGAAGCTTGTCCCCGGTGGATGAAAATTGCAAACACTGAGTATCCGATATTGTTGAGATCACTGAACTGATTGGTGATCAGATTTTGTAATCTCTCGACCTCGCTCTTAATAAAGTTTAATTGCTCGTCAATTTTAGAAATTTGCTCATCAAGAACCTCAAATATGTTCGAGTCAACTAGAACCCCGATATCGTTGAGAATCTGTGACTTAAGGAATTGTCTAGTGGAATCAAGAGCATCCCGAAGAGACAGACCATGGTCATTAGGTTCGGTAAGCTTCCTTCGGCGTTCCTGAAGTTCGGCAATCTGCCGTTTCCACCTGAAAACCTCCTTTCTCTTTGAGATAAGTTCACTGTCTGTAGTTTCCATATACCGGTCCATATAGAGGTCTTCCTTGAATGGAAGCGGCTCAATTGACTTCACAGGGATAAGCCTTTCTCGATCAAATTGAACTCTTTGTATCTGGATTTGAAGAATCTTTGGAAGCTCCGTGATTGTGAGAGACCTTTTGACCTCTTCATTGTCCAGCTGGAGCAAATCCTCGGTAAAGTACGTGTCTAAGGCATCGTAAATGTCTCTTGGGTGATCACCAATATTGACAATGAGGTTCAAAAATCTCTCCTCTTTTGTCCGTGCTCTAGCAGAACTGAGTTCCTCCTTGGTCACTGGATCAACGGGCATCAAGATTTGCTTTGTCTTTCCATAAAATAACTGTTTGACGAGATCAATCTGCTCATTGTCTGAGTCCAAATTTTCAGGCTCGAGAGCGCTTTCTATTTGAATCAGCACGTTTTCAATACATTCTGTCACGTCTTGCTGCCTTCCTATCTCAAGAGCGTTTTCGATTTGGTCTGCACTAATCTTCGCCGTAGCAGCACTGTGAAGCGTGGCCTTTTGTTGTGCTGAAGGACTCTTCTCATCCACGTCCATCATGGAATGATCATCTAGCTTGGTCTCAGGGGACTCTTCATCGTGCTTTGCTTTTTCTACCAACTCAATGCTCACCTCCCCATGCTCTTGAACTTCGGATTGCTCTTCATCATCACCCATCACTGCATCTTCTGGTTCAACTGTATCCTCTGCAAACTCCACCTCGTCACTTATAGGACTAAAAGCAAGATAAGCAAGTTCCCTAGTCGGCTGGACACATCTTGTATTCTCATGAATCATCTTGTCGTATAAGTCCCTCAGTTGATACATGAACTGGTAGGACCTTTCAATCTCCTTGTATCCAACAGTCCTTCCTCCAATTCTCCGGACAAGGTAGTTTTCATCATTTTCAACTTTATGCCTCTTCAGTGTCTTGTTGAATTGCAAAATTAGGCTTCTCAAAGGCTCAATGACAAAATAATATTGCAGCAACGAGTTGAGGTAGCATGTATTTCCAATATTATTCAATCCGGCTGGCGTTTTTTCCACGGAAAGTAGTCTGGAATCCATGACTCCTGAGTTTAGAAAACCCTCTATCAATTTGGATTTCTTCGCCTCTCCAATCACCTTCAAGCAAACCCAAAGGCGATAGAAATCAACGTTCATCTCTTTGGCCACCCTCTCCTGGAAAATCCTAACCACTGAGGAGTCGTCTGCATACTGGTCGCAGCCAATCAGCTCGTATGCCTCCTGCAGCGAGGGGGTCGATTGAGCAAATTGTGGGAGGCTTGAGTGGATGTAACTAAATAGCATAGGGCTCTTTCTCTGTAGCGCAATGGTCATGAGCGCTCTAGCGTACAAAGAAGAGTAGTAAACGGAATCCTCCGCTTTAAGTTGAAAAGCGGTAATTAAAACATCATCGTCCACTGATGGATCTGTTTCTAGGGTTTCGTATGCCTCGGAAACATCAAACATGGGCTCCGTATCCAGAAAATTCCGAATTTTCGTGCTTTCTCGGTATTGGCCAACCTTCTCTAAGGCCTCTCTAAATGTCGAACGTTCGTACTTTGTAGAGCTGACAATCACATTATTTTTGTATGATGATATGAGTTGGTCGTCCGTTAAAGTCCGTACGACCTCAGGGTTCGTGATGTCAAAGCCAAACTTTTGGAAACAGCTTCTCAATTCCATGAAACCTACCACGCCCTTGGATCTGAGCGTGGCAACAAACATTGAGAGATCGTTTCCTTGTCTTGATGTAGCACAATACGTCAAGGCATCAAAGAGCTCCGGCGTATTGTCAGGAGTCAGGTTAGTCATAATCGAATAACAATCTATGATCATGTTGTCCGTATAGTATGGGCAAATACTAAGAGCAGTCATAGCGGTAATGTACTGAAATTTATCCCAATACTGTAGCTCACTGGACAAGTCAGGCTCGTTCAAAATCCTGAACACTTGGGCCATATCAGATTGAAACGTGGTTTTGATTTTGAAAAACTCCGAGGTTGGAGAAAATATAGATCCTAGGTACAGAACTTCTGTCAGAGCCCTCAGGTAATAGTCGTATCCAACTTTCATATACTGGCCCAAATCCGAAAATCGAGGTGGCTGAAGCTCATCATTTATTTCTCTGAAGAACAATTTGGAAGGCAGGAGCTCCAATTGTAAATGCAGTCTCAAGACAACGGAATTGTTTGGCTTGAGGGTTTTTATATCGTCTGTGTCTAAGTTGGTAAGAGGACCTTTCAGAACTTTGAACAATGTATTCAAGCAGTCAATCGTTGACGGAACATGAAAATTATCGATAGCGTTATCTGGCAGTTGAGAAAGAAATGACGAGACCTTAAGTTCAATCTCTTCCTTCTCAAAATGCTTGAGGTCATCATAATCGAAAATTGATGGATAAACCTCAATTCTGATAATTGTTCCAGTAGATTCACAGATGTAATTTGCCGAGTCTACTATTTGCGGAATTGACTCCACTAAAACCCTATTGTTGTACTCTTGCTCTGCGTCGGACGCAAAAGATGCCTGTTTTTTGATTCCATTAACGTCCAACATTAAATCTTTCTTGTCTTGTTCCAGCAATTGGCTATCACCAAAGCTGTAGAACTTGTGTTTCACATGCATGGCATTTCCCTTTCCTTTGATCTTAATTCTAAAATGGAACAGTGGGTGTTTGGGAATGGACAATTGCGGCGACGGAGCAATGATACCATTAACGGTCCATAACTTCCATCCGTCCTCCAATTCCTCAGGCTTTGCCGTGTTCAGCTGCTCAAACGTGGAAACCGGGATCAATGCCTGGTATTTCTTAGACGAGTTTTTGATAAACCCGTGTAATCTCTCTGCGTAGTAAACGGTTTCCTCACCTAGAATTCCCTTTCCAATTTTCCCCGACACATCAAATCCGCTCAGCAAGAAGAATGGGTCATTTCTCAAATCATCTAGTATACGTTCACTTGTTTTGAAGAACTCGGCGTCCTTAAAGTTGTAGGTCTTCTCTGCTGCACGAGGAGGAATCTCCTCGAAATATGGGGACTTGGTATCCATAGACTCATTGCTTGGGTCACTTCCATCCACTTCATTTTCGTCATCTGCAACATCTAAATATTCCTCCTTCTTGCGCGAGTAGTCCTCATTCCTAGGTGGCACAGAGGGATACAGCTCGTTAACCTCTTCCGTTCTCTCAGCATTGACTACTTCAGAGTAATCTGGGGGTGGTACGGAATCTGGCATTCTGACTCATAGACACTCTGATGGCGAGATTTTAAAGTCCGTAACGTTTATGACAGGACCCGTTTGCCGTTTATAATGTGAATTTAAACAGATTTCTTAGACTGATAGCACTCTAAGGTCCCGGGTGTGGTTCCAGAAATAATATTGGTGGATTTTTCACTATAAACTGTTTAGCAGATATGACATCAAATCTAGCCGAAGAAAAAAAGCCAGAAGAGCCGGTTCCAATCGATGAGAGCCAACTACCGGGTGTGGGTATGCTGCCTTCAGTAATATCTGGGAACCCGTACTTCACGGCCGGTGGAGGCCTCATGGTGCTTGGAGGCTCCTTGGCTCTTCTTCGCAAGTCGGTGGGCTCTTTGGCTAGCTTAGCATACCGCCGAATGCTTGTGGATCTGGAGTTAAGAAGTACAGATAAATCATACGATTGGTTTCTTCATTGGATGTCCAACTATAAACACAGATCTTCTAGACATTTAAGCGTTCAGACGAAATACGTCCAGCATCCCAACGGCTCGATCTCCACGGGCTTTTCCTTTGTGCCTGGTCCAGGAAATCATTGGCTAAAATATGACGGGGCATGGTTCTATGTGAAGCGCGAACGGTCGGAAAGATTGCATAACTCCGGTGTACCAACAGAAACTATCACATTGACGACATTGTACAAAGACAAATACTTGCTGGCATCGATCCTGGACGAGGCAAGGGCGATGGCAATGAAAATGGCAGAAGGGAAGACGGTTCTATTCAAGTCATGGGGACAGGATTGGAGACCTTTTGGACAACCGCGAAAAAAGAGGGTGATGGACTCGGTGGTTCTTGATTATGGTGTTAAGGAGGCCATCATTAAAGATGTGAAAGAGTTTCTTCAGTCGGGAAAGTGGTATCATGATAGAGGAATTCCTTATAGAAGAGGATATCTGCTTTACGGACCACCAGGATCCGGAAAAACTAGCTTCATACAAGCTCTTGCCGGCGAGCTTGATTATAATATTGCTATTCTGAACATTAGTGAGCCCAATCTGACTGATGATAGGCTGGCATATTTGATGAACAATATTCCTGAACGAACCATATTACTGTTGGAGGACATTGATGCTGCTTTCAATAAACGCGAGCAAAATAGAGAACAGGGATACGTTGCTGGGGTGACTTTCAGTGGCCTATTGAATGCTCTAGATGGAGTTGCTTCTGCTGACGAGATCCTTACTTTCATGACCACCAACCACCCGCAAAAACTGGACCCTGCTTTGTTGAGACCAGGACGAATTGATTACAAAGTGCTGATCGACAACGCAACAAACTACCAGATTCAGCAAATGTTCCTGCGGTTCTATCCTGGAGAAAATGAAAAAGCCGACATTTTCATGAAGAAGTACAACGAGCTCAAGTTGCCTTACATCAGTACGGCACAATTGCAGGGATTATTCGTGCAGTTCAAAGAAAGTCCGGACGCTGCTATCGATAATATCGAGGTGCTGAAACAGCCCCACCTCAACAATTTCTTTTATGAATGATGTATCATAATGACTCACTAGCCCTTGAATCGCTGTAGCATCTCCAATTTGGCGTCTTCGAGATGTTTATGTAATATTTCGGAACTCGCGTCTTGCTCTGATAATTCGTTAGCCTTTTTGACAAGTGCATTCATAAAACGGAGATAGTTTAGATAGAGAAGCAACTCAAGGTTCTTCTGTTTGTATTTTAGCGGCTTCTGTGCACGTAAGACCTTTTTGTGCCGGGCTGCAATCTTTTGATGATTCATCTGCCTTGTTTATTTCTAAAACATTTTAATACATTTTTTTTGAACTTCAGTCAAATAGGGCTGTGCTAGAATGGGGTAAATTGAGGAGTAAGCACATTTTGGTAACTCATGTTGCAATCATTCAAGAACTACGTTTTCCCAAGCCAACAACTGAGACTCGTACTTTTAGATTTCAAGGATCTGAAGACCTTCGACAGGATAATCGCCACCTCTGACGAATCACTGGGAGGATTCTCCACCGTTCACTTTGATCCTTATAGAGATGAAGACACGGGGAAATTGTGCGCACGATTCCATGGAAATCTAAATCTGAACCTCCCAGCTGACCCAAAGGTGAAGGATTCTGGATGGGCGATGTTCAAGACCAAAGATCGCCAGAAAAGGCATTCTTTTAGGCCGTTTTATCTTAGCAAGCGATTTGCCAACTTCTGGTGGGACCTGTCCACGTTCTACGCGGTTCATTTGCGGGTGAAAAACCAAACTCCAGAACGGAAGTTTATGATCAACTTTCAAACGGACACCTCCTCTAGAACAGATTTATTTCAGCATAGAGTCTTTCTTGAGAATAATAGTCAATGGCAAGATGTATTTATCTCTTTCAGTGATTTTGTACTCACTAATAAGGGCAAGATTCAAATACAATACGACGAGGAATTTGAGAAGGATCGTGTAAGGAGCGTTGGACTTTCTATTGCTGATAAGAAATTTGGAGAGTATAGTTTACTCATCGACACTATCGAGTGCCTCTACGGAGACGAATATGCTGATAAGATGACTCAAGCCAGAAATAACCCGCTTTTAGAGTCCAACAGCTCATTCTCAAATACGCTCAATTAAGAAGTAATTAAAAACTATTGGTTGCGGATTCTCTTGACGCTTTCTTCAGGTGCTTCAGATTCTCTTTTTTGATCTTCTGTCCGACCTTTTGGAGGATTCAAGAGAGAATACACAGTCGCTGACGATGCGGTCTGCAAACCAGGAACAGATGTTGCGCTCGCTGAACTCGAGGAGTTCGTTCGGCTTTGCTGTGCTGTCTGTTGTTGCTGATGTTCGTGGACTGACCTTTGGTTCATTTGGGGGGGTATCGATCTTGGCGGATTGCTCAGTGAGTAAGTTTGACTCGATCGTTTTTCTTCAGCCACCGGCTGTGATGGCACCGACCCTGCTCTTTTCAGATTGTTGGTTGGCGACCCAGAAGGAGCTGGAGCAGTGCTTTGGAAGTATGACAGCGAGTTGGCAGACGACGATCTCGTTTTAGCACTTTCTGCAGGAACTCCCGATAATGTTTGCATTATCAGCGGTGGAGGCAGGTTTCCTGGCCCCGGAGAAGACCGCCGCACAGGGCCAGGGGAACCCGAGAATGGCATTATTGCTGGAGAATTACGACGCAGAGGCTGCTGCGCAGATTGGTGTGAAATGTCGCTCTCATGCATTTGACTTAAAAATGCTGGCGATTGTTCGCCTGGTGGAGGTGGAGGAGGACCAGTGTTGATCATTGAAGGTGTTGCAGGTTGCAATGGATCAAATACAGATAAGTTTCTGGGCCTGTTTGAGGATCCACTGTATCTGATATCCTTATAAGGCAGTTGGCTTTGGTCATAAGGATGGAAGGATGACGTGGCGGATGAGTTGCGCGGTGGAGGTTGGGGTATATGAGACAGAGACGTATGAGGGCTGTGAACCGGAACCGCAAGAGATCCGTGGCTATCCGAGAAGATTGAGCCGCCCTCAGCATAGTGTCCAAGGCCATTTGTCACTTGTTTGAAAGCCATGTCTCGCGCGGCGCACCGTTGAAGAACATTGGTCTTGAATTTTTCCAACTCCGACAGCAATTTTGTAGTCATCATTTCGTTAGCGGGTTCTTTGGGTATCAGCCCAACGACATCCTTAAGAACGTCGAGAAGGGAAACACAATCATAGTTCGTTTTTGTTAGGTCTTCCTTCACAATTTTATAGCGGTATGTCAAAGCGTCGTAAGCTCTAAGTAAATCGTGATACTGACCGGTGAGCTCTAGATAGTTTAATTCCTTGGGTGGCATCGTCGTACTCATCTGCTGTTGCACATAGGAGTTGGTAAGTCTAGCTTTCATGTCCACTTCTTCTTGCATCGTTGCGTCGTTCAGATCTCCCGGGCTATTTGGATGGTACCTATAGGGCACGTAATTCTGGGCGTCTTTCATTCCCTCCGTCTGGGGGAGCTTCAAACTGTGAACTTCCTTTTGTGAGGCAATATTTTTGAACGAGCGTCGCTTGATCTGAGTTAGACCCTCGATGTTTCCTTGTCTGAACCAGCCAGATGAGTGTTTGAATTCCCAGACATATGATCCATTATTCGACGAGTTAGAACCTTTTCTAGAGCCCGTTTGGTCTGAAGGAGGTGGTGTTGTGGTTAGCGTCTCGTTGCTAAAGTTATCGTTCACTTTATGAAATCCATACATGTTCAGCTGCCGTATAAACGAAGCTATATTTGCATGTTTGAAATAATTGCTTAATACTCTTGTAAACTCTTCGGAAGGAAGAACATAGAAAGAAGTCTGGTTCGAATGCCACCATATGAGGTGATCAAGGTTGTGGTCTTCCAACATTGCGTACAACTTGTGAATGAACGAAGTGTTAGGATTTTTGGTTTCTTTATCCTTAACTTCTCTGGTTTCATCCTGTTTGGCCATTGCCACCGGCTCTTCTGACGACATGACGGCTATTTCTGGCACATATGATGATTCTAAGCGATCAGTTTCACGAATATCGCACTGTTGGGAGGGCTGCAATGATTACTTCCTTTTCAACAAAAACCTTTTTTTTCGGCAACTTTTTTACCGGATCGAAATTGACTTGAAATTCTAAGAAGGAAAATTGCCCAGCTTACTCGATGGGCTTGCTGACGATTGAGATGTCTAGTATTATATCAGGATACGGGCCGATTTAGCAATATCGAGAGAATTGGACTTCACTTGCCGTTAGTCGTAATATTTAATGTATATGCACAGAAACAATAGTAGCCAGAAAACTTCCGCCTGTGATTAAACAATCCTATTCAGAACGCTGTATGATTGGTTTTGGGCTTTATTTAGCCATCTGAGAGCGCTCGAGGATGCAGAGGCGCTCGATATGCGGAATCTTGCATCAAATTTAGCTGCTGTACGCATCTCTTTGAAAAATGCTAACATAATCACGGTGAAATATAGTCGCACAAAACTGGTAACAACCGTTAGGGCGACGGTGACAAATAGTTCGTAGGCTTCGGATGCAGATTGGGATGAAAGGTCCTCCGTAACAGCACGGGCTAAAAGCTCGACCGAAGTATCATGCTCAGAAAACCACAACCAGGAAAAATAACCTGTATACAAAAATCCAATCACTGTGTCGAGAAGATAAACGAAAACGACAAGCGAAAACCAGTTTATATTTGGTGTTTGTACTCTCCGGAATCCCTGGATATATAGGATCATGACTGCTGTGGACGAGAGATAATACATCCATTGCACGGCATCGATAGGATGGCCTGTTAGGAATGAAAGCAAACCATACACGCCACACATCTTATTGATCACGGCATAAAGCAGCACCAGCTCCACGCCTATATAGAGTGGGTATCCCAAAAACTTCTATCCTGTTAGTCCTGTACAACAAATCGGCGAGGAGACATACCTGCGGTAGGCTTTTTATAAGCACCATCTATAAACTGTTGATTTCTGAATTAAATAAATTCAGATCAAAACTGTCAGTACAGCTTCGTGCACAAGGTAAAAAAAAATTATTTAATTTTCTTGACAATATGAGCGACTTGAATCTAGATGACTTGAGTTTATCAGATTCTGATTACAGCTCTGATGAGGGCATTAGTGAGTCTGATTCGTTCAGAGGAGCTACACACCAGGCTTTGAAAGAGAAAACTGAACTTCTGGACAAATATGCGTCGCAGATCAAGGTGGATCAAATCAAACATAGAGTTACCCGAGATAAAGCTGAAAGAGCCACAGTGGAACAGGTCCTCGATCCTCGGACACTGAGATTCTTGTCCAAGCTATTTAAAAACGGAACAATTACGGAAATAAATGGATGCATATCAACAGGCAAGGAAGCCAATGTGTATTACGCACTGAACTCAGAAACGGGAAAAGAATATGCTGTCAAGATTTACAAAACCTCCATTTTAGTGTTTAAGGACCGTGAGAGGTATGTGGACGGTGAGTTCAGATTCAGAAATACCCGCAACCAGTCGAATCCTAGGAAAATGGTTCGCTTGTGGGCTGAAAAAGAGTTTAGAAATTTGAAACGGTTGCATTCTGCTGGGATCCCTTCTCCTGAGCCAGTGGATCTCAAATCGCATGTTTTGGTTATGGAATATCTTAGCAAAGGAGACGGATGGCCTTCTCCAAAACTGAAAGATTACGAGTTCCAAGATGACGAGGAAATTGCACGCTTTTACATTCGACTGCTTATTTACATGAGATGGCTCTATCAGAAATGTCGGCTGGTACACGCAGACTTGAGCGAGTACAACACTATTGTGCATAAGGGAGAACTTTATGTATTTGATGTTTCTCAGTCTGTGGAGCCTGATCATCAGATGTCAATGGATTTCTTGCGAATGGATATCAAAAACGTGAACGATTTCTTTTCCCGGACAAAAAACATCAATGTTTTTCCCGAAAGGATGATATTTCGGTTTGTTATTGACTCGTGGTCAAACTTGATTGCTGAGTTGATTCCTGAAAAGAACGACCGGCTATTGGCTTTGGACGACCCTGAGAATCTAGACTTGCTCGAAAAATATCTGGCTACATTACCTCACAAGACAGAAGATGACCAAGAAGACATTGTGTTCAGATCATTGCATTTAGTTAGCTCGCTGAACCATCTGGAAGAGCGCGATTTCGATAAGTTCAAGAGTGGGCAAGTGGACACCTTGAGAGATTTGGTTAAGGAATCTTCAAGTGAGGAAGAAGACGACGATGAGGAGACGAATGAGGAGAGCTATGATGAGGTTAGTCACCCTGAAGACAGTGAAGATGAAGAAGTAACGCCAAAAGGAAAGAAATACGAAGACAAGGAATCCAAAAAGGAGAGAAAGAAAGCTGCTAAAGAAGCCGCTAGAGAGAAGCGTAAAACCAAAATGAAAAAGCATGTTAAGAAAAAGCTTACCAAAAAAGGACATAAATAGTTCATAGATATATTCTACAAGTCACACGCTACCGCCGCTTTGATGTTTGCCGATCATACCTGCCATTTCAAGCAGCGCCTTACCATCATCCCAATGCATGGCATTGAGCTTCTTCCTTGCTTCTGCCTCCCTGTTTTCCCACTCCCATAATTTCTTCTGCTCATCGAGCTCTTTTTGAGATCCGCATCCCCAAACTTCGAGGTTGGTGATGTTAACGCTGATTTCGAACTCTGGCACGTTGTGCGGAAATATTGAGCCGGTCTTGTATGTTCCTGGGACAGCCAGGTGACGGAAGCTGGCAATTTCCATAGCAGCTTCAATCGTGAGCGACACTTCTCCTGGCTTGAATATCCGGACATTGTTTTTGATGAGAGGCGGCTTGCTACCAAAGCCGAGGCCACCCCCCAGCGTGTTGAAATAGGCGTAATTGTGTGCGTAAGTAGAAGGCGGGTATATAATCTGTCTGGGAGATAATTGTGCAATGAAGGAGTGTTCGTCTCCAAAACATTCGCTATTGCTGATCTTCCATGGTTTTTGTAGGTAAACCATGAATGTGTAAGTGTCGTCATCGGCTAAGGGCGGTTTAGGTGACTGGTTGTTTGATGCGTGAAAGCGAGGATACTCGGTTAGAAAAGCGGCATATTTTTTGTTTTTAGGGACAGGCATGGATGACGGTTGCATCTCAATTAGTTTACCGGAAACTAAGAGTATAGTGGGAGCATTCCACTTAAAGACTTTGGATTCCATGGAACGCATGCTAAATCCAGATTCTGCTCCGACAAATAGTTTCTTGAGTCTGGTGAAAACAAGCTCATCAGGAAGTATGGTAGCCAACTGTGAAAGCATAGGACGCGTAAGAATACGAGAATGTGCAAACTCGATGGTATGAAGAGTCTGTCTTGTATTATATAGCAACGAGTCAAACAAGTGGTATAATGGAACAAGCAGATTCGGCATAGTTCCATTGGAGTAAGAAGTACCAATGATTTTCTCGAATGTAGTAAATGTGATTTTTCTAGATGTGTAGTTGGAGCTTGTCAAATCCAAGTCAAATGAACGCAATAAATTCATTGCCTTCTTCTCGTACTCGAGCCAGCTTATGTCGTCGAAATGGAATTGCTTTCCCAAAGGTTGCGAGCGGTTCAACTCTAAACTGATTGGTGCCACGTAAAGCAGCAGTGTCAATATTCTTAGGAGCTTTGAGGCTGGTAAAGGGTATTGCAATAACTCAATGCCGTCAAATGATTGCACTTGAGGAATGAGCATCCACTGAAGCTTGTCTTGCAAGTAAACAACATCCACTGGGTCATTTGAAGAAATCGTTTTCTCCAGTTTATCGGGGTCTGGTTCGTGACTTGAATCAAAGCTCAAGGCGAGAAATATCAGCATTAGGAAGTAGCGGGGGTTATTACCAAATAGGTGTGCAAATCTCTCGGGGTTAAGTATCGCCAATACCTTAAGCACCCCAGCAACGTTGAGATTGGAGTCTGTGCGAAAGTTTGGAAATCGAGCTAAAAAGCAGAAGCACTTTGTTATATCCTGCGTCGCCGATGTCTCTGGAAGTTGGATAATGTCGGCTAATTTGCTTTCTGTGATAACAGTTGATCCTTGCAGCTCTTTAAGACCCAGATTATCACGAAGCGAAATCAGCTCAATTGCCTGAAATGATCGTGTAGCATCCCTGATAAATGCATTCTCCAACTCGACCCGCGATAGCTTGCCATTGGTGAACTTCGCTATTTCTGGGGACTCTGTACTTGAAGATTGGCCCATAGCAAAAAGATATCTGCAGATAATATATTTATTGGACGAAGATACATTGACAGAAATAAAAAATATGGATAATAAAAAAAGTAAAAAAATTAATTCAGATCTATGGCCAAAGACAAGAAAAAGGACGTTGTCACTCAGGATCCTCGGTTTGCGAAGGTCTACAGTGACCCTAAATTTAGACTTCCGAAGCGTAAAGACCTGAAGGTTGCAGTGGACGAACGTTTTACGAAGGACGAGTTGAAGCTGGGAAAGAAAACGAAGCTAGACAAGTATGGACGTAAAATAAAGGAGGACAAGAGAGATGATTTTGATAAATATTACAAGAAGGAGGGTGAAGAAAGTCAAGAAGAGAATGAAAGCGAGAGCACGAGTGACAGCGAGTTAAGTGATTCTGCATCCAACATTCTAGATAGGGCAAGAGGACTTGTGTCTGAAGAATCATCATCTGACGAGAGTGAGAGCGAGAATGATAGTGAAAATGTCAGCGAAGAAGAGAGCGAAGAGATCCAGCTGGAAGATGAACCTCCAGAAGGGGAACCTACAAGTACTTTAGCGGTAGTGAATCTGGATTGGGATCATATTAATTCCACAGATCTTTTTGCTACTTTTATGGGGTTTGTCCCTAAAGGTGGGAAAATTCTCTCTGTGAGCATATACCCGTCTGAGTACGGAAAGCAACGCATGCAGCAAGAACAGATTGAGGGTCCTCCAAAGGAACTATTCAAGTCGAAGAAGGTGGAAAGCGATTCTGACGACTATGAGGACTTAGATTTGGCCAAAGCAGCTAAAAAACTTTATACAGAAGACGACGGTATTGACTACAATTCCAAAGCTCTGAGATTATACCAGCTTCAGAGGCTCAGATACTACTATGCTATTGTGAGGTGTGACAGCGTGCAAACATCGCGTGCTATATATGATAATTGTGATGGAACCGAGTACGAGTCTACAGCCAACCATTTTGATCTTCGTTACGTTCCGGAAGACATGACATTTGACGATGCTCCTCGAGATGAATGCACAAAGGTTCCGTCCAATTACAAGCCTAACTCGTTTACCACCGATGCGTTGCAACACTCTAAGGTTAAACTCACGTGGGACGAGACTCCTGCCGAGCGTCTTGCAATGGCTTCCAGAGCATTTTCACAGAAGGAGATCGATGATATGGACTTCAAAGCTTATTTGGCCTCTGACTCTGAGGAGAGCGACAACGAGGCTGTCAACAAGTATAAAAACCTTGTTTCCGAGGTGTTGGAGAAAAAGGAAGTGAACGATGTGGACATGGAGATTACTTTCACTCCAGGATTAGAGGGACAGGAGCAAGTGGAAAAGAACGAGGAAACCACCATAGACAAAATCAGGAGAAAAGAGAAAGAGAGACGGAAAAAACGCAAGGAAAAGTTAAAGGAGCTGAAGAAGGCATCAGAGGAGGAAAAGAAGGAGCGAAAGAAGGCTTCCAAGTCCGAAAAACAGGAGTTGGACGAAAAGAAGAAGGCAGAGCTAGAATTACTCATGATGGACGAGGACAAGGGACCTGAACATGAACACTTCGACATGAAGCAGATGTTGAAGGAGGAGAAGAAAAAGCGTAAGGACAAAAAGAACAAGAACAGCGCCAAGAAGTCGGAAGATACTGGCGATTCTGTCGACATCGACGAGAACGACGATCGGTTCAACGAGATCTTCGAGGACCACGCCTTCGCCATTGATCCTACTCACTCTGAGTTCAAGCGCACTGCTACTATGGAGAAGCTGATGAAGAAGCGTAAGACTAAGGAGCCTCGAGAGAAGAACGAGAAGTTGGGTGACTTGGTTCAAAAAATTAAGCGTCGTAAATAGAGCACCAAATTAATTACTTGCCACGATTTTGTTGTGGATGTTTTTTCTTCCAGTTTTATACTATTTTTACGCGTTGTCATGAAATTTGGATTTCTGATTCCAGCGCTTTTGGCCGCTAAGGTGGCCGAAGCTCTCCACTTCTACATGGAGACCGATGAAACGAAGTGTTTCTTTGAAGAATTGCCCAAAGATACCATCGCAGTGGGCAAATACGAAGCTTATGAATGGAGTCCCAAGGACGACGATTATGTTCCTGTGAATAACCTCAAAATGGAGATCACGGTGGACGAGACCTTTGACAACAACCACCGTGTTGTGTCCCAGAAGAACGCTCCGACCGGCCAGTTTACATTCACTTCTTACGACTCAGGTGAACACAAATTCTGCCTCACACCAAGACACTCTGACTGGTCCAAACGCGCCAAACACAGAGTCTACTTTGATCTCGTGATTGGAGACGCCAAACCACTTGTGGACTCGAAGAGAACTGGAGATATCAATTATTTGACCCAGAAAACCAACGAACTGGTCAAGAAGCTTCAGGAGATCCGCAGGGAGCAAAGCCTGTTCAGAGAGAGAGAAGCCGTGTTCAGAGACATATCCGAATCCGTTAATTACCGTACTGTCAAGTGGACTGTCATTCAGGTCATTGTTTTGCTCGCGACTTGCGCTTGGCAATTGACTTACCTCAAGAGTTTCTTCGTCAAGCAAAAGGTCGTCTAGTTAAATAAGGCTGTGCAGCATAAAAAAATATTTCACTATTAATCATGTCTTTGTCCTTAAATGAGTATCTCCGCTATGGGCGACAGCTCATAGTGCCTGAGTTTGGTCTGCAGGGCCAGATATTGCTGAAGAAGTGTCGTGTGCTAGTTGTTGGAGCCGGCGGTCTTGGGTGTCCAGCTTTGCAGTATCTTGTTGGAGCTGGTTTTGGGACGGTAGGAATTGTGGATCACGATACCGTCGATGTGTCGAATCTCCACAGACAAATCTTGCACACGTCAGAATCAGTGGGGATGTTGAAATGTGAGTCTGCAAAGCTCCAGCTTGCCAAACTCAATCCTTTGGTGCAAATCAATACTCATCCGGTGGCTCTCAGTCCGGATAACAGCTTTGGAATTTTCGAACAATATGATATGATTTTGGACTGCACAGACACTCCTGCCACCCGGTACTTGATCAATGATACTGCCGTGCTACTTGGTTTGACAGTTATTTCTGGATCTGGTCTCAAGACGGAGGGTCAGTTATCCATTCTCAATTTCAACAACACTGGTCCTTGTTATCGATGTTTCTACCCTACACCACCACCTCCTAGCTCTGTGACTGCTTGCAGCGATGGAGGGATCATAGGTCCAGTTATTGGAATTATGGGTGTAATGATGGCACTGGAAGCTATTAAGGTGGCCACTGGCTACTACTTGAGGGAGGATGTGGAGTTTCAACCTTTCTTATCTTTATACAGCGGTTATGGCCCATTGCAAAGCTTACGAACGTTCAAAATGCGCAGAAGATCACCCAAGTGCCGTGTGTGCAATGCCGGAACGCGAGAAATAACAAGGCACGTGGTAGAAACGGAGCTCGACTATAGTGTGTGGTGCGGTAAGATGGACTATAATATTCTTGAGAAGGATGAAAGGGTATCTGTGGAGCAGCTTTCTGCGCAGAGAGCGCCCTATTTGATCGATGTGCGGCCTAAAGAGCAGTATTCGATTGTCCACCTGCCAAACTCGATTAATATACCACTCAACGAACTGAAACACATGAGTGCTCTGAATGTGCCACAGGAAACTATGATATACGTTATTTGCCGATTTGGAAATGACTCGCAGCTTGCAGTGAAACATTTGAAGAGCATTGGATATGAAAACTGTGTGGATGTCATAGGCGGGCTAACACAATGGTCTCGGCAGATAGACCCAAATTTCCCTGTTTACTAAATCGATTCCGCGCTCAAGATTCGTTCTATCGCCACCAGTCCATTGGCAAACGAACACGCAATCAAACCGGAACAGGAAGTCGTGTTTGCCAGCGCACAGCTGGTCACGTTAATTCTGTTGTCATAGATGGAGTGGCTTTCGACGTCTTTCGAATCCGACGTTACCACATATTTGAGATCCAAACGAAATTCGTCTTCGCTGACATCCATCTTCATCAAGCGCAAAGACGCTGGAGCCACCTTCAGCTTGGCAGTGCTGTGTATTCTTCTAATCGGATTGTACAATCTTACCGAACCATTAACGTAGCCAGCCACGAAAAACGGTGCAAAATCCGACGCTCCAATGGAGAACACCTGGTTATCGTCCCACAAATTTAGCGTAACGTAGCTTTGGACGTCTTTTTTGCTCACAAACTTTGGCGTTTTTGTGGCATCTGCAACCACAAACCCATCAACCAAAGCAGAGTACTGGATTTGGGTGCACGGGACCTTGGTCTTCTGAGACTCCGCTATCACTCTCATGTTATCCAAATCAACTAGGTAGTAGTAGAAGTCTGTGGACGATATCACCACTATTCGAGACGGCACGCCGAAAAGCGAGTCAGAATACGTCGACGTCACAGAGATAATGTGTTCCACGTCGAGACCCGTCACAAATAACGGCTTTTGCGGCCGAGTAATGTCCACTTCTGCGAGATGCCCATCTCGCAGTCCCAGAACAAGTGTGGTACTGGATACCCAGTCGCAGGAGAAAATGTCAAACTCAGGAATACTGATAAGCACAGATGGAGTAACGAGGCATGAATACCGGCCAGATTCAACAAACTGCTTATCAACCTTTAGTACTCTAACAATCCCATCTTTGCATACACAGGCCACCAAGCTGATATCCAGATCTGAGCTGAGAAGCCATTTCATCGATGTGACAGCTCCAAAAGGTATAATCATCGTCTTAGCGTGACTGACTGTTCGTTTGTCTATGTCCACCTCGTACACCTGTATCGCAGCGTCATAACTCTCTGGCTGGCATATGGACAATTCCTTGCGCACCGAAGTGTCTGTTCCAGCCTGGTCTATGACGGATATAAATAAATAGTACTTGCCATCAATGGGTTTGTTCAAAAAAGAGCTCACCAGAGGAATGCCGCCAGTGTTCACCACAAAGCCCTCTCTCAAAACGCTATTAGTCGGATACTGCGCATAGCCTTCCGCTTTGAGCAGTTTGCGTGCACCATCATTAAATCCAAACTTGACAGGCATTGTTAAATTGATGCGCAAACACACAGCCTCATGGGACAATTGCTCTTCAATAATATCTCCAATGCCATCGGGAATCGCCTTAAGCGGCTCAAACGGATATTTTTGCACTAGCTTATCATTGACATGGAAGATGTTCGGCTCCATCAGATCCCGTCCTAGCTGAAATTTTCGAGCATAGGACCGGTTCAATGCGTGGAAATGTAAAACCCTTGTCTCTCCCTGATGCGTGCTTTTGAATCCCGGCCTCTGATGCCAGGGGTTAGATACGAGAGGTGTCATTTCCTGGTAATACTCCTGTTCAAGGGCGCGGAAGAGATCGTCATCTATGACTGTCTTGGACCGTGGATTTGAGCTCTTCTTTTTCGCAACATACCCAGGCGGCGGTACCCAGTTTTTCGGCTTGCGGCCCCTGGTCTCTTTCTTGATCGGCGTCTCGTCTAGTATGACGCGATCATTCCCAGGCTCTTCCTCGGAGTGTTCCGTTGTTTTCACCTCCGCAAACGCAGTGAGCAGCTTTTCCGCAGTTTGCTTGGCCACTGCTCGGTTATTTTGGCCTTTGACGGGCGTCGTGTTCGCGGTCGACGTGGCCTGTGGTTCCGGGGTAGACTTATCAGACATACAGGGTGTTTACTTTTTAAAAAAATAAATGGTGTGATTATGTAAGAGACTATAGCTCAGCCCAGACTTGATAGGGCCTGGTCAAGGTCGGCAATCAAATCATCAGGGTGTTCGACACCGATACTGATTCTGAGCAGAGTCTCCTGAACGCCAGGGTCAGTCATTGCACGCCATTCGATCATCGACTCGACGCCTCCCAAAGAGGTGGCATGGTGAAAGTACTTCAGTCTAGAAGGCAGTTTCTTGGCCAGTTGTGGAGTTGTCAGCTCAATTGCAAACACAGGACTGTGGGCACGGAGTTGCTTCTTGACAAATTCCTCCTTTTGCAAAGAAGAGTGATAAATCTTGTGCAGCACAGGATATTTGTCTTTGTTGGCTTCAAAATGTGCCACAATCTTCTCTGCGCTGCTACTTTGTCTGAGGATCCTCATCTCGTACGTTCTGAGCGACCTCAGCAGCAAATAGCTGTCGAGATTGGCAATGGTGGTTCCGAGGAAGGTCCTGTCCAAAACCAGCTGGTTCTTCACCTTAATGTCTTTTGTGGCAAGACAGCCAGCAAGGAGGTCGGAATGTCCCCCAAAGTACTTGGTTGCGGAGTGCATCACCAAATCGACGCCGAAATCGAACGGCGTCTGCAGAGGGGGAGGAGCAAATGTGGCATCACAAATCACGTGCGCACCTCTCTTATGGGCTTCGGCCACGTAGAAACTCAAATCGTGGGCGGTACCGAAAGGGTTCTCAGGGGTTTCTAGATGGAGAACATCGCCAGGTCCCAATTGGTCATAATCATCTAGGCTAACTTGCTTTAGACCAGATATTCTTGTGAAAAGATTGGCTATTCCGTGACAGCCATGGTAACCGTTCCCAATTGCGAGCACCTTTGGATGATAGTAAGTGAGAGCCGCGAAAAACGCTGAAAGACCGGAGTTGTAAACAACAACATGGCCATCCAGTAATTGCTCCAAAACTGCCTCTGATTTAGAAGAATTTGGGTGGGAAAGTCTAGAGTAAACAGGGTCTCTTGTGGTAATGACGCCCTCTTTTATATCCTTCGCCTTAACAAGCTTCTCTGGATCTTCGTTGTAGCTAAAGGTGGTTGTGACATTGATTGGTTGAATAACGTCAGGAACTCTTCTAAAAGTGTTATCGTCGCCATGGACGAGGTTAGTGCTGAGATGGGACATTTTTAAGATATCAAGTAATTTACCTTTAGGGATCTCATTTGACAACTACACCGCCAGAAAATAATTTAAAATATTTCAGGAAAATTAGAAAAAAAATTTAGAGCTGACGAGCATGGCGAAAAAAGGCGGCAAAGTAAAGAATAGAGCGTTAAATGCTCTGGAAATTGCCGAAGCAGAGCAAAGCAGCTTTTCTGATATTGGAAGCGAGTCTGAGGGAGATAATCAGAAGTTCAAGTCCGGTATTTTGACTGTTGACGGAGAAGATTTTGAGGATGAAGAGCTAGACTCTGATGACGCGTTAAACTCGGAAGACGACTACGACGTTTTGAACTCCAAGTTCTCGCAAACTATTCGTGATAAGGATGAGGCTGATGAAGGGTACGACAGTATAGACGAGAGCGAGTTGATTCCGCTTTCGGAAGTTTGGGCTCGAGACGACGAAGAGTTGAAACGATCCGGAGGAAAAGAGCTTGTTTTAGATGAAAATCTAGTATCTGACGAGAGCAGCAGCGAAGAGAGCGAAGACAGTGAGGAGGAAGACGTTTTTGAAGATTTAGAGGACGAAGAGAACGAATTATCCACAGTGAAGAGCCAGCTGCGGTCCAAGGACAGTTCTAAGGCCCACAAGACACTCATCAACGACAAGACAGAAGAAAATGCATTTCGTGTGCCTGCGACCGGCCAGAAGCTCAGTCTCGCTGAGATGATGGGCGACATAGACACCGAGAAGCCGTTGCTTTTAAGTGAAAGCTCTGCTCCTGAGCCATTGGCAGTTCCCCTTCCGCAGAGTATCCAGAAGAGGCATGAGAGGCGTGCAGCTTACGAGATTCAAAAAGAAGAGGTTGAAAAATGGACAGACAGCATTCAAGCGAACAGACGGGCAGAAGTGCTCAAGTTTCCGTCCAAAGACGGCGTCCAGCACAACCAAGCGTCTTCGTTCCAGCCTGCTGATGTTCCTCTGACTAGTCTAGATAAGAAGTTGGATGGACTGCTGGAGCAGTCCAACATTGAGAGCAAAAAGGCAGAAGACTTGTTTGAGAACATCGAGACTGCTAAGCTTTCGAAAGAAGAGATGGCCAAGAGGACAAGGGAGCTTCGGCTGATGAGGGAGCTAATGTATCGAGGTCAAAAAGATGCAAAACGGTTGAAGAAAATTAAATCTAAGACATATAGACAGAAGCTTAGAAAAGAAAAGCAGCGCAACAAGGAGCTCGTTGAAGGCTCCGATGTGGAAGACGAGGACGCAGACTACAAGAGAGCAGCAGAGCGGATGTCTCTTAAGCACAAAAACACCTCAGAGTGGGCCAAGAGCATGATCAAGAGCGGAATGTCTAAGGATAAAGAGAGTCGAGATGAGCTGGAAGAGATGTTGCGCCAGGGAGAGAAACTGCGCCAGAAACAACTAGGATATGATGAAGGAGAGAGCGAGACTGATGAGCGAGACGCTGTGGACATTGCTGCTGAACAGATTATCGACGATACCGAGCGGGCGAAGCTGGGCAAAGGCCTCATGGCTATGGACTTCATGAAGCGGGCCGAGGAGCGCGAGAGGATAGAAAACCAGCGATTGGCTGCTCAATTGCAGTATGGAGACGAGAGCGATGAGGAGCAGGTGGCAAACGAGGTGAAGAACGCCGGAAGAAGAGTGTACACCCCTGGAGCAGCGGCAACTACGGAGCAGTGGAAAATCGTGGAACAGAGAGCCAAAAAGGAGGCTGCCGAAGATCAGGAGAAAAGTCTGGAGAATAGGCTCAAGGCCAAGAACGCACCAAAACAAAACAACAAAGGCGAGGAAAGCAATCCATGGCTGGCGGAAGCAGAGCCTACAAGAGGCCAAAAAGCGCGGGTTGTCGACGCCAACTCTTCGCGTGTGCAAAAAAACGCAGCAAAAATCAAGAAACGGACGCGAAAGGAGGCCGAGTTGGATGTCGAGATCACGATCGGTGATACACTAGACGACGAACACGAAGGCGAAGGAGACAGAGAGCAGGACATTCACGTGTTTCAACAGAAAGACCTTATCAAACAGGCCTTTGCTGGAGACGACGTTGTCACTGAGTTCGAGCAGGAGAAGCATGAAGTCGAGGAGTTGGAAGGAGACAAAGAAATAGACTTGACATTGCCTGGCTGGGGCGACTGGGCCGGAGGTAACTACAAGAAAAAGAAGAAGATTGTGAAGACCATCAACGGCGTTGTTCCATCTGATAAGCGGAAGGACAAGAACAAAAAGGGAGTGATTGTGAACGAGCGCGTCAACAAGAAAAATGCCAAATACCAGGCAGGCTCTGTTCCTTATCCATTTGAAACTATGGAGCAGTACGAACGGTCTCTGAGACAGCCCATTGGACAGGAGTGGACGAGTCGTGAAATTCACCAAAAGCTTACCATGCCAAAGGTTATTGCCAAACACGGAAGTGTGATTGCTCCGATGAAAAAGGAGTAGGCTTGGTTTGGTGATCCATCATATTTAATGTAACATAAGAGAAACTCAGGGACGTTTCAAACGTTACGTTTTTACGCAAACCAAGTATCGCTTCTATTGCCACGTATACCACCGTTGATCGCACAATCAAGCTTGCCGACGAAATGCCTGTGGATCGCAAAGTCAGACTAAAGTCGAGCTTTGCTACTCAGCAAGATATGGAATATGACAACGCGTTCGTTATTGATGAAACTGACTCCTCTGGCTGGATCTGCTGGTTATGGGGACTGTTAGGGTGGAGAAAAACCGAGGAGAAAGTGTGTGACTTGTTCGATGTCTCTTTTGATTCCGATCGTTTCGAATTCAATTAAGCTAATTACTCTAATTTCATAGCGGATCTAGATTAAAGATCAAAAACCAGCCAGTAATGTACGGTAAGAAAATGGCAATTGTCCGAAGCCAACAATGGATTAGGTATTATGCTGTGGTTAAATAGTAGGCACTTTTATTTACTCCACAAAATCTGCTGCTCCCAAAATTAGTGTAAATAAAATTATACGCGTATGGTGACGTACGAGGAGCTCAAAAAGGTTTTAAACCACCAGAAAAAGGTGGTGAGCAAGCCCTTGATTTTTGACAAGGAGGTGCAACGGTTTGTGGAGCAAGTGGAAAGCGAAGCGGTCTCGAAAACGCAAATTGTGCGGATCATAAATTCCACAAACAGATACCTAAACAAGAGATACGGACAGTTTTTTCATCGCCAGAGTATAGTGCAGATCATTCAGCAGGTTCTGAACAACGAGCACGCGCTCGATCTGCAGCGCAAGCAAAAACTGCTTGCACTGAACGAGATTCTGATGAATTTCGGATCGGATACTGTGGTGGACGTCAACGGAAACTACCAAGACGACCGCGGATCAAATAACATTGATATGAACGGGATGATGAGAATCAAGCAGGAGGAGATCTTAGGAATGATTGACGAACTGCCAGACCCAGACAATCTCACTGCCCAAAACGACGAACTTCTGGCGCGCTACGATGAGCTTCGGTCAAAGCTGGCAGATAATCGAGCCAAATTGCTCAGGCTGCAGGACAAAAAAAAATACTACGAGAAAACAAGAAAGCTCCTGAGTGAAATGACGGACTCCACAGAGGACCCTGATTCCACTCTCCAGAAGAATCTTGTGCTTAACACGAACGACCAGCTGGTCAACGAGGTCTCGCAAACACGAATACAGCTTGCAATGATGAAAGAAAAATTGCAGGATCCAGAATTCGCGGCCCAGCTAAGAAAAAAACTCCATATAGACCTGAACTAAATATTCATGGCCTCTACGCTTCGTTGATAGAATTAAACTGACATCGCTTGATTTATACACTAATCGAACAAACCGAAACCCATGTCGTCGTCTTCCTCTTCCTCAGCAGCCTCTTCCTCCTCGGCAGCAGCTTCCTCAGCAGCAGCACCCGAGGCAGCAGCACCAGCAGCAGCTGGAGCAGCACCACCAGCTGGCATAGAAGCAAGCTTGGTAGAGCCCTCGGCAATCAACTCCTCGACAGACTTTCCTTCAAGAGAGGAGAGCAACAAGTTGAGCTTTTCTTGCTCAATCTCAGCACCAACCGACTCGAGCAGAGCAGTGATATCAGCGGCAGATGGAGAGGCGTTACCACCTTGTTGCAACAAAAGGTATGCGGCTAAGTACTTCATTTTCTCTGGAACTGTAGAATAATCACGTTTAAGCTGTTTCAGCAGACTATCCTTTGATTAGTTCTGTGAAGAAATATATTTTTTGTGAAAAATTTTGATATAGGGTACAAGAAATTTGGACGACATCACGTGACACACTGCTTGAAAGATTTATCTTAGATCCAATGTCAGAGGAGTCGCTCCTTAATGACTCGCTGCGCGAGATCGTCGTGGGCTCTGTTTCGGGTGCCTTAGGAAAAATAATAGAGTTTCCGTTCGATACAGTGAAGGTGAGACTCCAGTACTCGAAATCTCTCGCCGAGCCTATCTTCACATCGACTTTAGACTGCATTACTAAAACATACAAAAATGAGGGCATATACAAAGGGTTTTGGAAAGGTCTACCATCACCGATGATTGGAGCGTCGCTGGAGGCGAGCTCACTTTTCTTCAGCTACAAAATAGCGCAGGATCTGATTAATATATCGCAAGGCAATAGGATCAACAAAGAACTACCATTTGCACAACGTCTTCTGTGTGGCTGTTTAAGCGGCATTACCACGAGTTTTATACTGACGCCCGTGGAGCTTGTCAAGTGCCAGTTGCAGGTCGACAACCTCAAAGTTGGCCAGGCTAACTATACGTCGATCGGTCACGTGATAAGAACTATTTTGAAGCAGGAAGGTTTACTTGGACTCTGGAAGGGCCAGACAACAACAATGGTGCGGGAAGCTGGAGGAACTGCAGCGTGGTTTGGGTGCTATGAATACACTTTAGATCGCTTTAAGGGCGACAAAGGTCCAGAGTACGAGTACAAAGCTCATGAGCTACTCATTGCTGGAGCCATGGCTGGGATTGGATACAATGTTTCATTATTTCCTGCAGACACGGTGAAGAATGTTATACAGACCAGTGAGACACAGAAAAGCGTGCTAGGGGTACTCAAGATGATTTATCTGGCGCACGGAATTCGAGGCTTCTACTCAGGTCTCGGCATCACCCTGATCAAGACGATACCCGCAAGCGCGACTATGTTTTACTCCTATGAACAGCTGAAAAAGCTCTGGAATTAACTAGATAACGAGATCTTTTGCAGGCAGGGGATTTTGTTTGACACGTTTGACTTTCCGAATCACGAGGTCGGTTTTTTGGACGAGCTCTTCTTTAAAATAGAACAGGAATGCCGCACTTAGAATACTTTGTAGCAGTTTCAAGCTTAGTCCGTTATAGAGGTTCAAAAGTCCCTCGTTCTTGGCTATATCCATCATGATGTAAAACATTCCTGGTGCCTTTTTAGGCTTTTCAAGATCGTGAAGTTGGGCCGAGGACTCAATGTCATCGGGAAGCGACTGAACAGAGTCCGCCGCGGTTGTCTCCGAGCTTGACGTAGCAGGAGCGGAATGCGAGTCTCGAATACTGTGCAAATGCATCCGAGACCTGACCGTTATGTAGGGATACGTGATGATGGTAGCGATCAGCTTTCCGAAGGCTCCTAGTATAAGGGCGTCGACAGAACTGAGTGCGCGTCTGCGTTTGGTAACTATGAGCGTTTTGAGCTGCTCAAAGATCGTGTACTGGATGATTGGATTCAGGACCAAAAAAAGCGCCGGCACCAGGCCACTGAATAGGTTTTTCCAGCCTTCGTTTCTCACAATTGATAAGATAACCTGAATAGTGTTTTTTGGGGCATTTTTTCTGGAGGACCTTTTCAGGACGGTCAGTCTAGTATTTGCAATCCAAATTGGGTTGGTAATAACTCTGGAAACAACACCGGCTACTAGTCCGGCTAAGATACTCTGGGACGCGGTCAGTCCTCTTTTGAGTGTCGTGGGGAAACCCTTATCTTTTCTGAGAGCGGACCCGGTCAACTCGTAGAAGTAATAGTAGACAAAATTTGTCGCAGTTATTCCGACCAGTGCACTCTCCAAGCCATTGTAAAGATTCCTAATCGCCTCAGCTGTTATCCTAGTGTCCTCATTCTTCTTTTTCGAGGCCTGTGCTTTGGTGGAAAGAGTGACCAGCGGATAAGTCAGAGCCATAGAGATCAGGCCTCCCAGTCCACCCGCCACCCCGTGAGCTAAACTATCAACTTCCTTCGACATTAGTAGTATAAAGAAGAAGGAAGAGTAAATTCTAGTTTGCTCCTCCAGATAGGCTATACCAAGGATCGGGTAACAATTATATTTCCATTTCGGGATTTAAAAATAATTTAAATTCATCATGTCGTCAACGCTTCCTTCGCTAAGACAGTTTTGGAAACAAACTTTGTTCTTGTCTGTGCTTGCGATCGGAACCGCAGTGTTTGTCAAATCGAAGGTCACCATTCGGCGAAAACAACAATACATCAAGGAAACCTCGTCGTTCGACTCAACGCAGAAAAAGCAAATTGCGGACGTTAGACCTGGATTTCCCGAGAGAAATCCGGACGACGAGAAGTACAAAAGAAAGAGCGAGTTTGAAGGAGCAGGGAACAGTTACATGAGTAGGAAGCACGGCGACAAGCTAGCATGGTGGGGACGTGGAAGTGATTAATACAAATTCCTGTAAATATAAAAAGTAATATACATCTTGAACTACTGTTTGTCGTTGGAGGAGAAATAGTCAGCCATCTCTTGGTCCAGCTCCTCGACAGTCTTCTTTTTCTTTGGAGCAGCCTTTTTGGCTGGCTTGGCCTTCTTTTGAACAGGCTTAGCCTTCTTTGGTGCGGCTTTACGGGAAGCCACCTTTCCGGATAAAGTTGGAGCAACAGCCTGGTTTGGAACGATTCTAGAGGCGAGAGGTTTCATGGCTGGGTCAACAATAAGCTCAAGTCTCAATGTAGTCTTTCCTCCATCGATGGGGGCTCCGTTGTAAGATTCAACAGCCTTTTGGGCCTGCTTCGATTTCTGGAAGATTACAGTAGCAATACCTTTAGACTGACCTTTCTCATTGTAGGAGAGCGAAACGGTCTTGACACCACCGATTTGCGATTGGAAAAATTCCTAAATTCGTTAGTAAACATGCGACTCTATGGGACGGCATAGCGGAAGGGTTGTTACTGATGAACAGTGAAGCTTGGACATGGCAGTATGCAGAGAAGAGGGTGATCGGTTCGTCGTTAGAACAATCAGAACGTTTCAACAAGTATAGTCATGGTAGCCTTTAAGCTACTCCGATCAGTATCAGTTTGCAACTGCGAATCCCCGGGGCCCGACAGCCCAGATTCTTCCATTAATAATAAGCTTCAACTTCGTCATCGTCTTCGCGTTTTTGTCTATCCCTGTGTCTCAACATACCTTGACAGCATCGTTTTTGATATCTTTAGGTAACCCATAGACAACAACCTTCGACGCGTAGTCAACAGGACTGGCCGGAGCAGGCGCAGGCTTGGAGAGAACGATTGGTTTTTTGGCATTTCTGCCAGCAGCGGCCTTACCAACTTTAGTAGGCTTCACAGTCTTCTTCGTGCCTTTAAAAGGCTTTTTTTTCAGAGCCGGCTTCTTGCTCGAAGCGATGATGGCATCCAATGATTGTTCTAACGACGACATGACTTGTTTAACGTTAACGACGTGCTGGTTTTTTTTCCGAAGGCGAAAGGAGTGAAAAAAAAAAGCCCTACGATAGGGTAACAAAGATCGTGTTACCGCCACTTAAGTGCGTCGCGTCGATCGCCCCATTCCCGTTTAGATATTATTACATGCGTATTTGTTGTCCTGTTCATGGTGCCTACGGTCGACTACATATTTGTATCAGAGTTCGACAAACTTAAGGGAGTGATTGTGAAAAGGCAATTTCCCTCAGCTCCGGCTGTTGACCAGCTGGAAGGGGTCATTGACTTGCTCATGCCTTTGAACATGCATAAATATCTAAACACTATACATTACACTGTCGTTCCCCTGTTTATTGATCCGGCATCGGGGCTGCTTTCTTGGCAGGCACAGACCGAAAGTTACAAGAGGATTTACCTCTACACGTTGAGTTATTTTCAAGAAGACGATTCCTACAGGAATGGCACCGCTATGGCTTTGTCGATGCTAACTCGTCTGCCAGTATTTGATATTTTCAAACCGCTAATGACCTATTTGCTTCACAATCTTATGGAAGCGCCCGAAAAGTTTGATAATATTGGGTTGATACTCAAAGAATTGAACAAAATCAGAATTTCTGAGCTCATAGACGAATTCAGGTTGAACAAGCATGCAAGATTTTTGCTTAGCCGTCTTGATGACCAGGACATTTCTGTGCCTTCTCGCTTGACGGAGTTTACAAAATCCGATCGCTTTTTCCGGTCCAATGTGAACCTTGGCAAGACCAAATTTCCTCTTCAAATTCCTGCATTACCCCTGGTTTCGTCGTCGTGTGCTATGTACGGTATCGACCTGGCCAGAGAACGAATTCTAAGGGATTTCCTCATCAAAATTAAAGACCTAGAGCTGGTCCTTCCAAAATATTCCTCATTGGTGCCATACTCCTCGATTAAACCACTACATGTGATTTTCAACGCTATTCTTACAAAAAGGAAAATTGTGCTCTACTCCTACGACTCATGCTATAACGACCTGATGGATATCGTTCAAGCACTTCTTCTTCTTGTTGATGGCGATTATCCATGCTATCCAATTCTAGACGTTGCAGCTTTGGACATTTCTTTCCAGCTGCCCCACTACATTGTCGGCACCTCTAATCTTCTACTCAAAGACCGTCTCCCGTGGGATCTTTTTCTTAGTGTTGATTCTAATCGACTATTAATTCGAGAAGAAGAGGCTCCCTCTGAAAAGAAAACACCAAAGAGGCTTTCGACGGACTCAAAATTCAGACAGCTCTTCAGGAAAAGCACTCCATCGGTCTCGACCATAAAAGAGGGCATTGATCACATAGTGCTAGATAATTCTTGGGACCCAGCATTTCCAGTGATTGATCCAGAGGCAGGCAATGAATTCTTCGCGCCCGTAACCGAACCAAGCTTCTTTTCAACAGGATTCAGTTTTACGCCATATATCCCTTCAGATGACGAGCCGCCAAGTATTCACGCTCAAATGAATCAAATGGTAGAGAAGCTTGTAGAAGATCACCATGGAGACCTCACAATCTATCAAGCATTGACGCAATATCTCTATGAGCTCGATTCTGTTGTTTTGAAATCATTCAAGTTCTATATTAATCTAAGCAAGCTGAAAAGCTATAGACATTTTGCTCTTTTGAAACTGGAGGAACCAGACTCTGAGGATTATACATTAGTTCCAGAATTACGGCTCTTCATAAGAGAAAACCACATCGTTCTCCCGCTGGCAATCAATTACCCTTACAAAGTGGGCATGCCCCCACCAATCAACAACAAACTGCTCGATTATTATACTTCAGTCATGAATCAAAACCACAATTTATTCAGAACGTTTCAAAATATAGAGCTACCGAATGATACCTTGTATTACTGGCTCGACGGGTACTGTTTCGAGCTGGATCTTAATCTTCTATCAAAAGAAGTTTCTCAGCTTCTTGAAAAAGGAAAAGAGGTTGGCCTCCCCAAACGCAAACTGTACCAGCTCTTCAGAGCCATCAACCAGCTCATAAAGTCCAGGTCCACTGGAGGCCTTGAGAAGTTCCTCGCAGCGCTATACGTGCAATCTGGTGGCTTTGAAACATTTGAGAACTTGCTAATAATTGCCTCTGTTTATATCAACAAACCTCGCAACAAAAATGACGAGGTGATCACTGAATTCAAGCGGTTTCTGAGTTTGATCTTAAATCATCAATTTTTCACAACCTATTTGCTACCGCTTTTAAATGACTTCATCAAGCTTAGCATAAACGACTTTATAGATCATCACATGTACTAACCGCACATGAAATAAAATCTCCAGGGAGTATCCAGCTTAGCGAGCTCGATTTCAATCAGTTTTAAACCACCTTGGTAAGAAGCAAGTTCTTGATCAAGTGCTTCAGCTTGGTCAACCCTGACTGATGATGAGCATAAACCTCCTCCAAAAGTGTTCAATAGCTTAGTCCATTTCCAGTCAGGCATGATGTCATTGTACGACCTATCGGCCCCCTTGATTGCACGTTCCACTGTGTACCCATGATTGTTGAGAAGCAGAATTAATGGGCTCAGTCCATGTCTGATAAACGCTGACAATTCTTGAATCGTCATCTGGGCTGAGCCGTCACCTTCTAGAAGAATCACTCTCGAACCAATACCCATTTCACGATTTGCAATGGCAACGCCAAACGAGCAAGGTAGCGCCATTCCTATTGAGAGATAAAAATGTTGTCCTATTAGTTTGACGTCCTTAGGGAACCTTAGGTCCGGGAGACCAAACATGACCGAACAAGTGTCAACGACAATGGTATCCTGTGGTTGGATGAAGTTTTGAAGCGATGACATTAACTGTGATTGCGTGATGGCAGTTTTTGATGGATTAATTTCAATATCGTGTTCCAACCTAGGGATGGTGAACTGCGGAAGTTTTGACGGATTAAAGTTTGATACGATCTTAGGAAGTATATGGACAAAACTAACATCAAACGATGTCGAACCAATGATGATATTCTCGTGGTTCATGATTATCAAAGAGTCAGGGTGGATGCCATTATACAGAGTGTGTTTTCCGGAATTGATCTCATTATAGAACGCACCAATGTGAAGTACCAAATCGCAGGTCTGGACAAACTGCTGGACCTCTTTATTGGAAGCATCACCGTTGTAATCACCTATGTACGAAATTTCAGTCTCGTCTAGAACCGATTTCCCCATGAATGTAGACAGATTCGGAATATTTGTTTTTCTGACAAGAGTACGGACTTCATTGGTAAGCTTAAACCTATCTGTGAGGATATCAACTAGCATGCAGGGGGCTGAGGAGCTATAGATTTTGGAGAGCACTAGGGATGCGAGTTGGTCGCAGTATTCAATTGGCCTGATTTCCATAGGCTTATACAGATCCAGGTCTTTCAGTCTAAGCGGACTAACAGGTATGTTCACCAGATTGCATGGAAGAAAAAGGTAGCCAGGTCTTTTAGTTTCCATAATCTCCTTGATCAGAAAATCGATTTTCTCCGGGGCATCGTCCACGCTATTCAGGCTTTCGATCTTGCAGGCCAATCTCTCAACCATTGTCTCATATATGTGATGGTCAGATTTGCTTGAAATCAGTCTGCCTGGTGCCACATGGTGCGTCAACTCTCCGCTGCTTTTCTGTTCTGTCGATGTTGTGCCGACTATATGCAAAAGGGGAACAAATTCAGACCAAGCACCGCAACAAGCATTCAGAGAAGAAAGTGAGCCCACTCCATACGTTGTGACCAAAACTCCAAATTTGTGAGATGCTCTAGCATATCCATCTGCCGAGTACCCAGCGTTAAGTTCGTTACAACCTCCGTACCATTTCAGCTTGGTTGAATAGAGGTGCTCCAGAAGGGAGAGATTAAAATCTCCAGGCACTCCAAAAACCGATTTGACGTCCAGACTTTCAATTCGTTTGAATATGTATTCCCCCAATGGGATATGGGATTGAGCTGAAGAAAGAGGAAAAGGGCCCATTTTAAAAAGTAAAAATAAGGGATCTGCCCGAGGAATATATCAGATCACTGAAGCGCATAAATTTACATTTTCTATTTGTGTCACTCTTAGTTTGATGTGTATAATCAGCGCTAAAATGAGAATTGGCCAGCTTGCTTTGGGGCTCCAGCAGGATATGAAATTTGCCTGTCGGAACTGTTGGCGGCTACCATCATATCGACGCGACGGTAGACGCATAATTGAAAAAAAAAATATTTCACAAAATTTTTTAGATCTAATAGGTATGGAGCTTCCTAAACTGAATCTGGGGTCCTTGAAGGACCAGGTCACAAAAACGCTGGAGCGCGGGAAGAAAGAAAATCCAAATCAGAAAGGAAAGGCAGGGCCAAAGAAAGATGGTAACAAAGGCTCGAAAGACAATAGAAAGAAGCAAACTGCTAAACCCAGATCAGACGATAACCACAACGAAGACAGCTCCGAGGATGTTCTCAGAGCAGCAGCATTGGAATTGGGTGCTACTGAGGAAGATATAAGGTTAATTGATGGTGTGGATGACGAAGCAAGTGAACAAGAGTTTGATGATGCTCCTGTGGACAAGAGTCTTAAAAAGGAGCTTTTCAAGTTTATGAAGGGATTGGACCTTGAGGATCCGGAAGTGGCAGAAGAAGAAGAAGAAGAAGAAGAAGAAGAAGAAGAAGAACAAGAAGAAAAAGCGCAAGTGGAAATAGCGGCCGCGCCAGATAGCAAAGCTGAAGAATCACAACCCAGCCCCAAAAAAAGCGATAAATTACAGAGTTTGCAGACTGTTAGTTCGGACAGACTGGTTGTTGCCCCGCGTAACGACTGGTTCAACGAGAAGCTCCCAGACGTGAAGGGCAATGCTCTTTCACCAAAAGAGATTGAGGAACTCTACGACAACGCCAAGCGCCTGTACAACAAGGAACAAGAAACATACACTGAGGAATTCAACAAATCATCATCTCAGAAGCGATTCCTCTCCCAAGTTCTCACTGGAGGTACACTAAATGATAAAATTTCTGCGCTGACTCTTCTAATTCAGGAATCTCCATTGCACAACCACAAGGCTCTAGAGACTATGTTTGCCATGTGCGAGAAGAAATCCAGAACAGCAGCATTACAATGTATTGAGGCGCTAGTTGATTTGTTCATCAACGGTGTTATTCCTGCTGATAGAAAACTAAGATATTTCAACAAACAGCCATTGAGAAAGAACATGAGTCCGAAAGAGATGATTGTATTTTATTTTGAGGATTATCTCAAAAAGAAGTACTTCCAATTCATTGGAACGTTGGAAAAACTTCTTCAAGATAGCATTGTGCACGTTCGTACCAAGGTGGTTGGCTACGTCTTTTCTCTGTTGAGTGCGAAGCCAGAACAAGAAGCTAATTTGCTCAGAATTGGTGTCAACAAATTGGGAGATATCGACAATAAGGTAGCTTCGAAAACATCGTACCATATTCTGCTTTTAGAACAACAGCATCCGGCCATGAAGGAGATCGTGGTGGAAAATATATTTGACGTTCTTTTCCGCAAGAACAACGACCACCATGCCATATATTACTCGACTATCACCATTAATCAGACAATTTTAACGAGAAAGGAGGACAAGCTTGCAAATAAACTAATGGACGCATATTTCAAGCTCTTTGAGAAGCTGCTTCTCGAAACAGATAGCACCAACACCACCAAATTGAAGGAGGCAGACCACCAAAAGGACGGAAGACGCAAGAGAAACTTCAAGCGTGGTAAGAAGGGAGGAAAGTCGGAGAAAAACGAAAAGAGCGAGCAAGAGGCACTCGAAGAACGCAACAGCAAGATGTTTGCTGCCATTTTGACTGGTTTGAATAGAGCCTTCCCATTTTCCACTCTTTCTGCGTCTGTTTTTGAGTCGCATCTGGACACTTTATTCCGCATCACTCACAGTTCTAACTTCAACACCAGTGTGCAGGCGCTGATGCTTATCCACCGAATCACACAAAAAGGAGAAATCAACAAGGACAGATACTACAGAACGCTATACGAGAGTTTGCTGGATGACCGGCTCGTTACGTCGTCGAAACAAAATATTTATTTGAACCTGCTTTTCCAATCGTTGAAGGAAGACACCAACAAGGACCGGGTCATGGCGTTTGTCAAGCGGATATGCCAAGTGTGTTTGAACTGGATCAACATCGGTCCTGTCGTCGGCATGGTGTATCTACTTGTCGAAATTGAAAAAGAGGTGCCCGAAATTCGTAACCTGGTATTCAACGCTCCGGTTGAGGATGGTGAGCAGAAAAAAGAGTACGACTCGCGGAAACGAGACCCGCAGTTCTCGAACGCCCAGGATTCATCTCTGTGGGAAATGAACGTTTTTTCAAACCATTTCCATCCTACAGTGTCTCACTACACCGAGGCTTTCTTTGCCAACGACACCAAGGATCTGCAGAAGCCGAACCTCGGACTGTTCACTTTGTCTCATTTCCTGGACAGGTTTGTCTACAAGAAGGCCAAGATGAAGCCTACGACGCACGGCCAGTCGATCATGCAGCCGCTTGCTGGGGCACACACGGGCCAGCTTCTCGTTAAGACCGATGTTCACGGGGAGCTTCCAACCAACACCGAAGATTGGATCAATAAGAAGGCGTCCGAGATTCGTCCTGAGGACAGGTTTTTCTACGAGTTCTTCAGTACGAGACAAGAAAAGGCACTGGCTTCTAAGATGGACAAGGAGCTTAACAGGAAGATGCGGGAAGACGACGACGAGGAGTCCGATATTGACGAGGACAGTGTATGGAACGCTCTGGTGAAGAGCAATCCCGAGGTTGAGGGTCCTAGCGAGGACGAATTATCTGACTTTGAGATGAGCGAGCTGAGCGACGAGGAGGAGCTGGAAGAGGTTGAAGAGGAAGAAGAAGAGGAAGAGGACGAGGAAGGACTGGTTAAGTTGAGAACTGTGGACGATTTGGAGGTCGACGACGACGAGGAGATCGAAGAGGAGGAGGACGAGCCTAGTACGGGCAAGTTTAGTGACTCCTCGGACTCGGACATTGGCGAGTTGATGGGAGAGTCGGAAGACGAGTCTGAGGATGAGGAAGAGCAGGAAGAGGAGGCTGAGTCCAGAAAGCGGCCTAAACAGTCTACGGGACAGTCGAAGAAGCTCAAGTCGCTGCCTACGTTTGCCTCTGCGGACGACTATGCCCAGTACTTGAACTCTTCCGAAGACGAGTATTGATCGATAGCTAGGACGTAATATAGATATTAGTGGTGTCTGGAGTACGGGCTGAGGCGTGTTTTGATTTGCGGCGTGCGCGCTCCTTCAACACGGTTGGCCTGTTTTTTAAGCGTTGCCGCTGCGCCGCACAACACGCTAGTTTGTTTACCACAAGAAAAAACACAGTCTTTTCGTAAAGTTTCCAAGCCATGTTTGAAACTCCCTTACCACCTCGGAAGAGCGCCTTTCCCACGCCTCCGAGCACCCAGAACAGGCCTGTTGCCTACTCGGCAGAAACAGGACTGCCTGACATGGGGCTGAATCAGTTCACGGAGGACAGCTTCGATGCGTCTGAGCTGAGCGTCGACCAGAGCCTGCTGACTGACGATTCTCCAGTTTCTCGCAAGCGGCAGCTCGAGGCACCCCAAAGTGACCAGCCAAGCAAGATACGAGCTGGCAGCGACAAAGAGCAGGAAAAATGGCCCCAGGATGTCGAGGAGGCCTTTGAGCAGGCGCTGCGGATCATCCCCAAACACGGGCTACACAAAATCAAAATCAACGGCCGCGCTTGTGGACGCAACGAGCTGATTTCGGACTACATCTACGCCAAAACAGGTAAGGTCCGGTCGCGCAAGCAGGTCTCCTCGCATATCCAGGTGGTGAAGAATATAAAGAAACGGCCCGAGCTTACCAAGTTAATTTTGGACGGGCCTCCCTGCGACGAGGAGACCAAACGGCTATTTGACCAGGAATTCAGCCGGATCTCGATGGCCAAAATGGCCGCTGCCGACAAAAGCCCCGGGGCCTCGAAGGTGCAGACCATCAGGTATCCGCTCACTCCAATCCACCCGAACAGCAACGGAGTGCGCCAGCAGCTAAGCCTGGCAGACCTGTTCCGAATTGACCTCACTCTCAAGAAGTTCATCATGAACTACGTGGACTTTGAAGAGCCAGAGAACTCCCACATGTTCACCTCTCTGCCCGAAGACTACTACCAGCCACCGCTGCGAATCCGCACCAACGCCGACCTCAGCCACCGGTTCCCGCAGCTTTTTGACCTCATAGATCAGATCAAGGCGCAGACGCCCTGGTCGCCGTCCATGCAAATGCATTCCACGCTGCCGCCCGTGCCACTGCTGCATGGCATGGTGAAAATCGTTGCCCCGGACGAAAACCATAACACCAACTCGGGCCACTTTAATGTCAACTCCAGCCTCCAGCTGCACTCCATTCCGGCCACGGACCGCAAGTACGCGTGTCTGACGTTGATATACTCCTATGGACGTACGATCGTGACTACCTTGGAAAAGCTGGAGACAAAAGTGGTGCGCAAACAGGGCTCGCACAAAGACGTAGCACTGGAGATTCGGCTTGGCACAAACTACTGGGCTGACTTCTTTGCCGGCATCCGCAGGCTCATGGGTGCACCAGAGACCAAAGACATTCGCAAAGACCTGCTCACGCGCGCGATAAAGGGCATCACCATGAAACAGGTGATTGTCAACGTGAACGACGAAAACGAGCTGGTAGCAGAGACAAAACCGCGCATTTCCCTGGATCATGTCCGCAAAGACAACGTGCGGGCCATCATTCTATGGGAGTTCCTCAAAGTGGACGACCAAAACGAGGCCAAAACAACCATACGGAGACTCCATCTGCCATTGCGAGAGCCTGCACAGCCGGTGCAGCTTCCAGAGCCAGAGCCAGAACCATCTCTTCATAACGACATCAACTTTTCCAATGCATTGCCTGACTTCCATGAAGCAGATCCATTCCTCTCGCTCAACACTCTCAACAATAACGACGCACAACTCGACGAAAATTACTCCTACTTGTGGTGACCGTGAGTGCTCAACATAGCTCCTATTTTCAGAGTTATCGTCTATGAAATTCCTTTTGAAGCTACTGAAGTAGTTGTTCACGAAGCCCTCAAAGAGAATACCGCCATGTTCACCCTGCGGCTATCTGTGGTAACGAGGAACAGGTTGCGGATGGAATTGCCAGGTGGCTGGCCGAAATTCAAAACCCATCAAAGAAGCCAGATCTTCTGCACCATCGAGGTTTCTGACGACTACCACGGCTACCAGCTGATCAGGCAAAGAGTCGAGGAATTGCTGCCAAAGGCCGTCAAGATCGGCTGAATTGAGATCTTCCCCGTTCACTCGCCAGGATCCCACTACAACATCCCCCATAGCACCTGGAATGCGCTTCAGGAGTTTGTAGCCAGCGGAGAAGTCAAGCATATCACTGTCTGCACTCTCGGAGTAAAACACCCAAGGAAGCTTCTGGCGTACCCAGACCTCAAGATTAAGCCCGCGATCAACCAAATGGAACTCAATCCATGGCTTCTACGCCCCTGACTGGTCAATTTCTGCAAGAAGAGCAATTCTGGTGTCGAAGATTACTCTCCTTTGGCCAGGGGATACAAACGTGACAATCCCTACCAGTTGGCTGTTGCTCGGAGACGCAAGAAAAGTCCGACCGAGATTCTAATTGCGTGGTGCCTGCACAAACGTAACGTCCTACTGCCAAAGGCAGCACAGATTTCTAGACTGGAGCCCAATCTTGAGGTCTTCGACATCAAACTGGCTACGGGACCTTGAACGGCTCGGAAAACCTGGCGAGCACTCAAATACAGACCGAGACCCTGCGGTATAACCGCTAGACAACGAGAAATAGCTGCAGCATAAGCATACGTACTTTTATCTAACATTTTCTTCTTCCCAGCCATCAAAGTATAGATCCAGGAGACAGGAAGCACTCCATGCCTGGGTGGGGCTCGAATCGGCACAGAAATCTCCATTTTTCTGTGTCAACTCAGTCAGTCCTGCCCAGACACTCTCGTCGATCCATTTTTTGTGTCCCGAGAGTCTCTTGGATATCAACTGGTGCATGTAGTGAGTAGAACTACCGTTTTCAGAGCAAGATGGATGCTCAGAAAGGTACACATGCCGGAAAGCACGCATGAAATATCCCAGAATCCAGCACCACTCAGGACCCTGGTGGTAATTCCGTCCTTTGGCGGTTGCAAAGTCCATGGAATCCACGTTGTTCAGATAATAGGGCCGGTAGTTGTAGTCGCTTGGATCCAAGGTTGCTAGTCCAATAGGCCCTCTCAAAATACGATCGGCCATTTGGATAGCTTTCAAGGCACGCGAAGGAGTGAATAACTCTGGTGCAACAGCAATAGCAATAGGGAAGTTACCACGCAGCTGATAATCCTCGTATTCCTTTCCAGATCTGAAGAGGTCTTTGTAGATTCCGCGCCGGTTAACAATCTCGGGGTTGATCACAAATTGGCTATCCTCAGCAGGGTCCTCAGGGATGAAGTAACATCTCTCAAAATTGTCTTGCAGCAGCTGATTCCAGTGCTCAAAAGTAACCGTTTCTCCTGTTTGGGTTTCCAGTTCTTTGTAGTCAAATAAACCCTTCTTTTGTAACTCAATGGCAAAACGCAGTGCACTCTTCAGCAATGCATTGATCTCCACAGCAGCACCATCTCGAGGAGTTCCTGGATACCCTTTGTTGCCCGCAAGACTACTCTCACCCATTTTATCCATCCACGTACCACAGTTGAACTGATTGCCTCCGTGGATTAACCCGGTTTCCCAGTCAACATGGATTTCAACATTGAAACCTTCGTCTTTCATTTGTGAGTCTATCTGAGGGCCAGCATTGGCCTCTCTGAACTTGATTCCGCGTGCATGGCGACTGAATATCTCGTACATTATTTCTCTGATAGAGCTTTCATAACTAAAGGCCAATGGGTCGTCAACAGGAATATATTTATCGTCCAAGGGGAACCGTCTTTTCACCTTACAATCAAGGATATCACTCCCGTTTGGAGCCCATTTGATGTAGTTCTGAATAGATTCCAAAAACCACCATGCCGCATCCCGAGCATTGTACCGTGGCTCTTTGCCCGAACCAAGCAGGTTTGGTATCAGTCCGTGTTTGAGTGTCTTTGCAAAGCACAGAATGTGGTCTTTGGCCTCCTCAAACCGGCCTGTAACAATCAGCAATCCGCGCAGAGCAATAAAGATATCTCTACCCCAGCATCTCATATAGTCGTAACTGAAATGTGGGAGCCCAGCAGCCATAGACGGAATAACTGTAAGGGGGTGAATGGAGGCACTCCGCATATATGCAATCATTTGAACAGAGACCATGGCCAGACTTTGAACAAACCGAGTGCTTCTTTGGATTCTCGGAGTCATCAGTTTCAACGCTTGGAATCTCAGTGCTTCGTAGGCAATTCCAACCACCAAGGCAAAATAACGAGGGACAAGAAAGTACGGCACTTTCTTGACGGCATACAGACGCGATTCAAGCCAGACCTTGAACTCTGAAACCGCTGGTCCGTAGCTCTCATACTTGGTCAGTCGAGAAGGAATGTAATCCAATGCCCAGGTACCAGACCGAAGATGGTCTGCCAAAGGATGAGCCAGATCATTGTTTCGTATGACATGTTTCAGTACTGATATCCAGCCCTGGATTCCAGCATAAACAAGATGGCCATATCCAGGAACATCGTAATTACCTTCTCTTCCAGCACTGGCATCACGTTCTTCGGATTCGCAGCGATACAAGATGGCATTGATATCCAACAGTGTCAAGTTTTTCGCGGCTTCTAGAGCACCAGACCGAACAAACCGATCGAGCTGATAATCGCAACCAGGTATTGTTGTACTCAACACTGCGATAGACCCTTGCGGGAAATTTGATGGTAATTTGATAAGGCTATCCTGACCCCGTGTCTCCACTTCTATAGGGCCTATCTCTTGAAGCCTAACAGGAACAGACTTCATGTAGCCCTTTTCATAGACTGGATCTTTGCCAGTACGCATCAAAGTGTAGGCAAATAGATGCTCGACCTTTGTTCCACTAAGGACGATAGGTGCCAACGACTGATCGCTATCTTGGTAAAATTTAGTTCTGGCAATCAAAAAGTAGCCTCTGCCAGTTTTTGCGTTTGTTCTGTGAACAGTGATGAACTGATCCTCATGGTGCACGTGCATTTCGTTGCTTTCCAAATCCTCAACGCTTTGATTAGCAAGCTCCAATCTGATCTTGTTGAGTTTCGTCTTCACATCACCGATTCCAGACCCATACGTGTATAGTCTGTCTTCTTTGACAACATCTAGCAACTTTGGATAACACTCATCGTAGCCAAAGGTTGTACCCACTGCGCAGGAGCAAAAAGAGACCAGGGCAGCGTTTGGAAGCGTATCTTCAACTGTGCGTTTTTCGTTTGGTGTCTCATTGTCATGAGTGCAATCCATGAACAAGGCGTGAGGAGCATTCGATACAACAGATTCAGGAATGGGAATCTCACTTTTTCTCGCAAAACTCTCACTCAGTCTAGTGTCGTACTCCTCTTTATTCACAGGGTAGGCCAGCTCGTCCAATGGAAGCCACTTAAATGAGCCAATTGGAGGACCCCCATGCCGATGCACAAGCCGCGAAAGCTCTCCAACCGAGTACGCCTGCATTGCCTCTCGAATCAAAGACGAGATACCAAGACGCTCAACAAAAATAATGTCCAGCTCCTCAGATCCTGTGAACAGTTCTGCCACCACATACAGATTCGGATTCACCTCACGAGCGGCATCTAGCAGAGCTTCTGCAACATGCAATGGAGTCGAGTGACAGTTATCTATTCTGAATCCGTGGAAAAGAGAGGCAGACAGTCTGGAGTACTCAAGCATTCTGGACCAAAGAGCAGGCGACTCTTCAGGCCCGCTTCCGTACCGCAGCTTGACACAGTCACCCCAAACAATAACCTCTCGACGCAGATAGCATTTAGACTCGTTAGACGCAAAGTCCACAAGCGGGTTACCTCCCCAAATCCATCCGTTATTGGCTAGACTCCATTCTCTTCCACTGGAATCGGTGAATCTTGTAAAGTAAGGCTCTGTCAATGGGTTTTCCTCCGTAACCTCTCCAAGCTTCGGGCCGTGATCTTCAAGCCGCATGTACTTGATTCTGTTGTATAGCTGTTCCAGTATTTCACCATTGTCTTCATCATATTGCTTGTACAAAGGAAGGTTGATCTCATCAAGAATCTTCTTGGCATATCCTTTAACCTCAGGATAAGATAGATCCCCATAAAGATAATGCAAAACGGAAGCAAACTTTTGTATATCGAGGCGGTTGCCAAACCTAGGACCTAGTCCAAAAGGTTTTACACAGGCTTTCGAGGCAACAAAACGAGCCAGGTCGGGAAGACTGGCATCTTTGGAAATGTCAAAAGAGCAGTTTTCAGCAGAAACATCCCATTGAGACTCCAACTCGAGTAGGTGCTCAGAAACGTCTACCACGTAAAATTCCCATAGCTTGAGCTCACCTAACACGTGGATCTTTATTCCGTCCATAACCTTGAGCAAATCCTCAATGTTCCGGATGTTGGTGGGGTACCCATGACGTTCCATCATTTTGCTGAACTCCAGCAGCAACCCATCCAATTCAATGGCAGGAATCAAGTGCGGAGCGGTCTCCTGGTTGTATCCAACATCTGGATTTTCTCTAATCCAGGAGCTGTTGTTGGCTGTGTGATTGAAGACGACATCTGTCATCGACAAAATGCCGTGTTCCTTTTCGAGCCGGTAAACCATGTTCTTCACGTCTGTTTGGCCATTAGCAAACGCCGTGCGGTCAAATTCAAGCTGGTCGTAAATGGAGTACGGCGAATTCGACTCACCGCGGGTTTGAAGCGGCGTGAAATGGATCATGTTGTATCCCTTGCGAGAAATCTCTGCGAACACCGCATCCCAGTCCAGGTGATTTGCACCCATCCATTTGGAAACCACAGATTGCATGCTAATGGCATTGAGGGGCAAATACTGTCCCTGAACAAAGAGCGAAGGCGGCACCACAAAGTAAAATTTGCGAGTCGTCACAAACTCCTCCTCATCGCCCTCCTTTAAAGTATGGTATCCTGTATAGTAGCAGTAGGAGCCCGGACGGTAGATCGGCACGTCAACGGTGATGTCCTTGTATAGACTGGATGCAATTGGGTGCTTATTGTACCTGTCTCTTCTGTAGGGTTCGCTTTCAGCTTTGGGCACATCTGTCCAGATGGTGCCCTTGTTTGTGATTTGGGAACCTGCTACGATGTAGAATCTCAGCGTGAAAAGAGGACTTTCCTGTCTGGAACAAGTAGGGAACGTCAGCACTCCACGGCTATTCTCGAACACCGGCTCACCCGTGTCATTAATTCGCAAAAGAACTATCCGGGTCATAATGTTGCTGCTTTATTTAATCGCTGCGGTATAAATAAATTAATTGTCCGGATGGGTCGTTCCACCGCGAATTTACCCCAGATTATACACAAAAATAATTCTGCTGCGCAGCTTGAGAGCTATGCGGTCTCCCAGGACCCAGTCGAAATCCAGCTCTGAACGGTTGAAACTGAAAACGTCACCGTAGTTGACGAGCAGATCGTGCATACTTATACACTTTGTCGAAACGCACACAGAGGTGTTTTGCAACCCAAGCAAATCCATCGGCACTGACAGCCCCAATCTCTGCAGCAGCAGCAGGTAAAAATTGGGCACTTTCAGCGCAAAGTCGGTCCGCACCACTCTTGTGTCTAACGAGTCAGGACACCGAGTAGACAACTCCCAAATGCGGATCGTGTAGCTGTTGAAGTCGAAGCACGCGAGCTTCGAGCCATCCAACGAAAACTTGGGCTTGACGTACTTCTCGGACCAGCCTAGTTGGACTGCTAATTGGGTGTCCTTTGGTAGATCTGGCGCCTTCAGAGGCAACAGTTCCCAGCCTTTTGTTTCCCTAGCCATCAACACCCCACAGTAACCGAGCTGCAGCACGGAGTCATCCAGCATGACCGAGATCTTGCATTGAGATGTGGCGAGCTCCTCGGGCGATTTTTCCCCGAGGCCCTCGTAGTAAGATCCCAAGGACTCGTGGAAGTTGGTTGTGAGCAAATTTATGGTCGGAGAGCTCCCTGGACATGGCAAGTTGAGGAGCACGGAGTTGACCAAAATAAACAGATTTGTTGGCGAGAGAGGAGTGTTCACCAGTAGCTGATTGATATAGGTGAGTGGCGGAATCGAGGCCGTCATAAGAGTCGCCAAATTGAGCACGGAAAACTGTTCGTCTAGTGTGACAAATGCGTCGACGGCATCTAGATGATTATGCTGTATGAGATGGTAGAAAAGAGCGGGAATGTTGGCGAGGTTTTTCAAACGCAACCCCATTTTCCGCACCAACATCGACATAGAGGTCTCTGTACAAGTGCAAGATGCATACTTGTCTAATTTAGGACCAAACTCCGAGCCCAGATCAATCTCTGCGTGGCAGAAAAGAAGACCAAGAACGAGCACGGCGTAGACAGAGTAGTTTTCAGAGAAAGGAAAATATGTCTCGTCAAGATAATATCTCCATGTGCTGACCAGCTCATCATTGAAACGGCCAACCCCGGCAAGCAATTGGTCCAACAGAGAAAACGCTATTCTGTTTCCAGACACGCAGTAAAGACACAGTCGACTCAGCAGTGCAAAGCTGTAGTTCTCTACCGCATACGAAAGGAAAAGTTCTGCCAGACGGTCTGCGTCCACAGAGAGACAGAAAAACACCTCTACCGGAAAGTTGGCCAGAGGCAGCGAGCAATGATAAAAAGTGGTGTAGGCGGCTCGAATAACAAGGTAGTCGTCTCGGCTCTGCAACACATAACTATCAATACTCTCCACGGGAGAGACAGTTGGACTTTCCATTCTATCGGGCTTTGTGATCGTCTCCAATTGATAGTTTTCACCATTCACCATCATTAATTCTCCATTTTGCAGATAAATGACAAACCGGCCCTCAGCATCTACAGCGGACAATCGTTCACCGAGAACCGCCAAAGAGGACGATGAAACCTCGGACAGCTGCGCGTTCCGCACCTCGTAAACCGCCCACCCCCTTTCCTGGAGAACGGCCCATTTTCCAGGCCCGGCGGACGCAATATCGATAATGCGGCCGTGCTTCTGCACTCCAAACACCCCAATGCGAATCAACATCTTGCGGTCTGCTGGCAACATAGCTCTTGTCTGAAAATTATATCTAAAAACCTCGTATTGGCCTGAGGGTCCGATAACGTAGACATAAAACCGGCTCAATAACACCACACCCTTGGCCCAAAACGGAAGGTACAACGGCGAACTAGTAGTCAGCGTGTTGCAGTGGGTGACGACAGTAATTATGGAGCAACTTTGGACGACCATAACAACGCTCTGATCAATGTCCAAGAGCCAAAACCGGTCTCCCACGTATTCCAATATAGCTTCAGCAACAAGCTCTAGGGTGTTCTGGGAAAACACCACCACTTTTGGTCCGCAAAGGACATAGATATAGCCCTTGTGGGTGGTCAGCTGTGTAATCTCGGTTTTCATGTGAATTGCCCCTACAAGGCGCTCTTTGTAGGAGTATATCCAGTCCCCGTCCGCAAGAACAGAGACTCGCCCCAGTGGCTTGAAGTGTCCATGCCACACGCCAATTTCCGGCATTGTCGCAGTATCCACCTCAACGTTGCAATTCTCGGTCTCTTTATAGGGTCCAGCAACAGCCAGACTTATATTGATTGCCCTCATATCATCTTATTAAACTTATTTTTTTAAACCATATCTCTAAAAATTATTCCCTGCAATTTATAGTTTCCAGTGTAGCACACAAAAACGCAGCCAAGAATAAGCTGGTCCATAATTTGACACGCCGTCAGCAGCTTCGTGTCGCCGTTTACCACCTGTAGCAGGTCCAATTTTGTCACGAGATGCTCTAGAGTGTGGTATCCGGGCGGGGCCTGTGCAAACGTAACCAAGGTGTCAAAAGAGACCACTCCCTGTTCTTTCAAATATGTCAACTCCTTCCGCAGACTATAATTTGTAACGTAGCCATAGAGTTCGCCATTGCGGAGTACCGGATACCCGTTCATCTCCGGTGCTTTCTCGATATCTGCGAGGGTCAGTGCGCCGTCCTCAAAAACCTGTATGTCCTCCGTCGGCCTCATCACCGACGCACAGGTTTTCACCGCGTACTCAGGGTTCGAAAGATGGTCCCCAATATTGGGTGCCACATATGGTAGGTGGGAGATTCGAAGCCACATCTCGTAGATGCTCTGGTCCACAATCATGTCGTTCAAAAAGCGCGCACAGAAGACACCGAGCATGATGGGAATCATATACGTGACAGCTCCAGTGAGCTCAAACAAAATGACCACCATGGTGATGTTCATCTTAAAGACGGCTGCAGCAAACGAGCCGGCTCCAACCACGGCATACGAGGCCACAGAAATGCACTTCTTTTCGTTGAGACACTGAAGATGTAGCGCTGACGTAATCAGGTGGTTCTGGGCAACCTCGAGCAAGACCCCAACCAAACGCCCCACGGAGCCGCCAATCACCAGCGACGGCAGCAGAAGCCCACCCGGAACATTACAGCCATAGCTGTATGCGCTGAAAAGAAAGCTTTGCAGAATACCGGCAACGAGGGTCCCCGAAAGCTTCCAGGGAAAGCCAGAGTCTTTGGAGCACAGCAGGGCGTCTGAGTCGCGCGTGCAGCTGTTGAACAGCTGTTGAAGCATTTTGGGAAGCGAGAACATCGAGTAGCTGGACAGCTGGCCTACTATCGCGCCGGCTAGGGCAATGGAAACGACCTCAACAATCTTTAATTTATCATTGTCGAGTCGTTGCTGTCTGAAGGTTGCAAAATAGATATTCAGCTTGCAGAAGAAAATGCCGAGCGCGCCGCAAAGGAGTCCCAGAAACATGTACGGGAGCGTTTCGTAGCTGAGCCAGTTGTTTTTCAGCGACACTGTGAACATGTCGTCGATATGCATCTCCATGAAGGGGTGTAATTTCTGGAGCACGGTAACGCCGACCGTAGAACAGATAAATGCGTTCCACATAAGTTTATCGACGGGGAATGCGGAGTGGATCTGTTCGAGACCAAAGAGCACGCCGCCAATTGGCGCGTTGAATGCGAGACCAATTCCAATGGCGACTGCCGACGAGAGGTACTCTCGTTTCACCGCCTCGTTTTGAGTGAGCGGGAGCAGGTTGATGAAAAATTGCATCACCCCCATAGAAATGTGCACAAGAGGGCCATCAATACCGAGAAAAAGGCCGCTGGAGACCACAAGCACAAGACTCGCGACCTTGGACATGATCATGTTGATATTCAGAAAGTCTGGGATGTTGGTACCGGAAAGAATCGACTTTATTTCCGGAATGCCTCCGTGGGCAATGTAGTGATGTTTTGATGCCAGGAGAGCACCAAAGAGTGCTAAAACAAGCACAATCAGGATGTACACAATGAAGTCGTTTATGCGGCGCAGAACAGCGCTTTTGGTGAAGAAGAGAAAATACGTCGACCAATCGGCCAGGTCGCCGCATTCGTAGGCGGGAATCAGCACATTCTGCCTGCAGACGCCCGTTTTCAACCCATGCAGGTACATGGATATGTAGTCAATGGCGATTGTGAGCAAAGCGACAGCCACAGACGAGGATATGAGGAGAATCCAGTGCAGGTTGGAGTGGACGAGCTGGCGGAGAAAGGTAGTCTTTGGAGCCTCGTGCTTGCGTGACTCCGCCAGTTGTAAGTACTCTCTGTCCCAGTCAATAAGCTCAAGCGGCCCGTAGGGTCGAGATCTTGTTGGAGTGGTTTCCATATCCACCATGCGGTTGTACGACAGGATGCGAAGCGACATGCGAAAAAATTAAGATTTCAGAGTTGGGGATATAGATATTTTATAAGTTGGAACAGAGGAGCTTAGAAGTCTCCACACACCAAATAGGGCTCCATAGGGCTCAAAGACCTACATCTGGATTTTTGGCGTAGCGGGTATGCTCATCAACAGCCAAGAGCCAGCAATAGAGATGAAGTGGATACACGCACCGAGACATTTAATAAAGCTTCCAAATTCGGACAAATGATAACAAGGACAATAAAATTACTATTCAATTTTATTTTCCTATTTGCTATGTTGAGAAGTGCTAAATCGCTGCCTACTATCGGCGCTGTCTACCGCCAGACCATGCAGAAGGAGGTCACAAATGCCTCCAGAAGATTTGCTCATCAAAGACCAAAACCTGGTTTTTCCAAAGATGATCTGGCCATCCGTCCAAACGAGGTTTTGTCCCAGGTGTCTATAAGAAGCGTCCATCAGACGTCCAAGACTCAGCTGATCATGGACCTCGGATCCAACAGCAAGTACGCATCCATGAACCTTCAGGGCCTCAAAACTGAGTGCAAACGCAGAGGCCTCAAAGTGTCGGGACGCAAGATCGATCTCGTTCAAAGACTGATCCAAAATGACACATCCTCTGTTTCTTCTCCAGTTATGAGCAGAACCATCACGACGAAAGCCAAGACTGCCACACCAGCTAAAACAGCACAGAAGGCCACCAAGATCACTGCACGAGAGCTGAGCTCCACTGCCTCCAAGCAGGCCAAGGGCGACAGCTCGACGATCGATTTCTACAAGGTGCCTCAAAAAGCGTACCCTGTGCCAGACGGCAGACCACCAATGAAGGTGCCTTCGCTCTCGACCAAGGCGTCGCTCAAGGACCCAGCTCCTGACACGAAAAATTCTGCCGAGGCCGTTCTCCAGGCCGTCGACACGGCCCCAGTCAGCAAGAGCGGCCAGGTCCTGCAGACCACGGCAGAACAAATCCACGGAGCTGCAGAAAAAAACCGCAAGGACACCCTTTTCTTTGGAATTTTTGGGCTGCTGACACTGGGATGGTGGTCGCAGAAGAGCAAGGACGGTAGGCAGTAACCATGGAGGTTCTTATTTATCTACAATTTCATGTTTTTTATGTTCTCTTCTAATCGTGTAGATACAAACTGTCCACGCAGCCAAACCCAGCAGCAACCCCTCCCTCGTTGGACGTGCTAGTTTTGGACCGCAGCAGGTAGCCGGCATAGTCATTGTGGAGGATCGTGCCGTCTGTCTCGTTGAAGAGCAGCGTGCCAAACATCCCCAGCTCGCTCACAATACTCTCGTCGAGAACTTCGCCATTCCTCAGAATGTGGTTGTCGTGAACAGCAGGAACAATGAGCTCCATCAAAATGTACGCTCCCCATTCCTTCTCGTCCAAGCTGCGCAAAAAGCCAGGAATGTCCTGCTTGTAGATATTGTTTCCGCCGCCTTCTCTCTGGGGCTTCAACACAAACCGTTCCGAATGCTCGAACACAAGCTTTTTTGCAATCTGGCCCTGCTCGCTCGAATCCAGTGGGTAGATTCGCACGAACGTGGAGAGAAGTTCCTCGTCCAAAAATCCGTATTTCTGCAGCACCGCCCGGTCAGTCAGAAGTTGTTGCACTTTCTTGGCACCACTCAGTTGGACCAGCAAGGACGGGCACTTGACCGCTTTAGTTGTTTCAAGTAGCAGGCGTGCTTTCCAGGAATCTGGATGGTTGTACTCACTAGGAGCGTATGCTGAACGATAGTACACCACGGCCACCTCCTGTTCCTTGTAGAAAAGCTTACTGGAGGAGTCGACCTTCACTGAAGAAGTGACCTTGTCAAATTCGACTCGCTCCGATTTAACTCCTTTGGCAAACAAGCTGTATTCAATGGCGCGCTGGTCAAACACGTTTCTTTCTCCAGGCTGAACAACAAAGAGAACAATGGTGGACGCTGTTTTTTCGCTTGTTTCGTAGTATTTCACCGCTTCAAGAAGCCCCTTGGCAAGTCCATCCATAGACTGGCTGGTTGGCAAGTCAGCCTCTTGGTAGTACTGCGGTCTGCCGTAGAGACCCTGGGAGTTGAGAAAGCTATGTAGCTGGCCCACTTTCGGCGAAAGACCACCAAAGGAAACGCTAACTGTGTTGAACTCAACCTGTTTGATCGAGTTGGATACCGTATCCAACATGTAGTCCGACCTAAACAGCCCCAGCGACACCGGTTGTACAATCTTGGGCTCTGCCTCCAAGTATGTCTTGTGCAACATGCCTGTGAAATTGCGGTCGTATTTCGAGAGATCTGCAATCACTTGTTTGAGCCAGCTCTTGTCCACCACAACACGACTATACAATTCGTTGAATTTCGTCGAGATGGCAATTCCCTTTGAGAATTGGGCTCTGGGAAACGGCGTGGGATAAAGGGTAACCGGTGCCACCGACGGCTGGTAAGCCTTGAAGCCGGGTGGATAGATCACCAGGCCATTGGAAATGGCGTAGTGTGTGAGCTTCTCCACAAGGTCATCTAAGGCAGCCCCCGATAGATCTGGAAAAGAGAGAGCCATGGGTGTCTAAATTGATTTGTAATTTTAATATTTCGCAATAGTTTACCCGGCTAGTCAAAAATTTTAATCAAAACAAAACACTTCTCGTTCTTCACTCTTTGCCATGTCTGTTCATTTTGGCCAGGTGCTGGGATTTGGGGCTCCTGTCGACACGAAAAAGGAAACCAAGCTCGAGGTGACCGAGCTTCAGAAAAGAAGGGCTGCAAGATATACGAATGCCGCGTTATCCAATGGCACGTCTTCTGGCATCGGATCCTTGTTCCCGACCACAAGTCTCACGTCGTCGCTATCTGCAGGCTTCAACTCGTCACAGCTAATGAAATACCAGCCGTCCAGTGAAAAATCGCTTCCACTGCTGTCGTCTACCCCCCCATTGACTCTCGTGGATCAGTGCATACATAAAGCAATCGAGAAAGACAACACCACCCCGGCATTGAGCGAGGTTCTCACCAAGTACGCAATCGATAGCTACAACTATAAAGCCAATGGGTCGCTCGGGCCATTTTCGCGATTTGAAAAGTCAAACATTTACAACATCCCCGACCAGATCTTCCAAGAGTACAACAGCCTCGATTGCATAACCAACATGGGCATTTTGACAGAACTGCAAAGAGCCTGGTTGACGATCGATAACAAGCTGATTATATGGAACTACAGGGCAGGGTCGCATGATCCGGACTATTTTACAATTGACGAGTTGAAGAACACCATTCTCACAGTGAAACTGGTGAAGCCTAAACCAAAGGTTTTTGTGGACAGCGTCAACTATTTGCTGATTGTGGCCACTTCCATGGACATTCACATTTTGGCTGTGGAGTACACGCCATCCAGCTTGGTGATCTCGGACACCAAAATGAGTGTTCCTGCACACGGTCTGGTCGTGAACAAAATTGTTTCCTTTGATCAGACAAACGACATTTTCTTTACCGGAATCGGGGACGGCGAAAACGTGTGGCGGCTGACGTACTCCAATACGGATGAGTGGTTCCAGCGTAATTGTTACAAAGAGTGTCTCACCAAGTCGGGTCTCTCGTCTGTCGTGCCAAACTATAATGTTTTCCAAAAACTCCCGGGACTACGAGGCCAAGAAAATGACCCTAAAACAGAAACCATCATCCAGCTGGAGATTGACTCCACTAGAAGGATTCTGTATACACTATCTTCAAAGTCAACAATCAGGGCCTATAGACTTAAGATCACAGATGGAAAAGTCGAGCTAGGCGCTAGCGTCGTGAAAAGACCATACAACATCCTCAAAGACCTGGCGACTACCACATTCAATCTTCAGTCATCCTTGCTGAAGAAAGACGGGTTCAAAATTGTCAACATTTTCCCGATCACAAAAAACGAGAGCGACAATCTGTTTCTGGTCGCTGTAACGAACACAGGTTGCAGACTATATGTTAACGGAAGCACTATATACGAGAGACTGGCTTTTACGACCAGTTATGTGAAATTCCCCCCACCAGACTCCAGCTTCCATGAAAAGCTGGAATCACTGAAAGCTCAGCAGTTGCACGACCAGAGCTTTATGTCCAATGGAATCAAATCCGAAGGAGCGAAGTCGATCACCAAAAACCCGGTCTTGAGTGAAATAACTCCTCAGGATCTCAAGGCTGCGCAAGAAAACTCCAAACTCTTGAGCAACATCAAGGAGTCGCTTATAGTTTCGCCAGGTATATTTATCTGCCATAGTGAGGACCATCTTTACAGCTCTGTTCCAGACTATGGTGTTCTCAAACATTCATTGCAATATGTTGAAGACTTTGAGGAACTGGATAGAATCCAGTCTATTCATTCGATAGTACCTATTACTCCAAGCTTCCACGCCACAAACACTCCAAAAGGATACTGCAATCAATTTGCGTGTCAGTATTTGGCATCTCCATTAGAGGTTGCAGCTCTTACTTCCACCGGTATTCACGTCTACCGCTACAGAACCCCGGATATGATATTAGAAGATTCGCTCAATGACAGGACGTATAGCGAGTTTTCTGGGAAGTACGGTTCACGCGAGGCATGCTCCACTGCGTTGTACTTGGCATGTAAGTACCGACAGGGGGACAATTTGAGGAATATGGCTACCAAGTTCTACATTTCGGGTGGTAAAAATTCTAGCCTCAACAAAAATCTACCAGCTATCGTTGACAACGTGGAACTGAGCGATAGATTCTATGCCGTAATTCTTTTACTTTCAAGATTGGTGAGGGAATTCTGGGATAAAGAAATATTTCGGCTTGACCCCAACGTGAAATTCAATAGGAATGGCTATATTGATGAGGACTCGCTAAAGAAGCTGAACAATGAAAAGGTGCTACTCGCGGGACTCAGCATTACCAAAAATGAGCTTGAATACTTTTTGTGCTCGCTGATTATTATATTGAACTTTTTTGAAGAAAACAAGAAGACAATACCAGGACTGCTCGGACCTTTATATGAAACAGGGACAAATAGCAAAGAAACTGAACTTTGTTTGCAGGCCGAGAATATTGGATTCAATGCTATTCTCAAATTTCTTGGAAGTGTGAAAGAAGGTCTTTCATTTCTGGCGATCCTCTATGATGATGAAAACACTGGTAAGAACTTTGCAGATGTGATGAGCTATCTCACCCTCCAAAGTCAGGCTGATCTTAGCTGCTTGACTTTCTCTGAATTTTTCAGCTCTAAAGATCACACCACATCCAAACTGGTTAAGGAGATTCTTTTCTCGGTGATTAACAAGAGCATTGCTGCTGGTGACTCGGTCGAGCTTGTTGCTACTACCTTACAAGAGAAATGCGGCTCCTTCTGCTCAACCGGAGATGTTCTTATATTCAAAGCCATTGAGAGTTTGAAAAAGGCCAAAGATTTTGCATCTTCTAATGACAACGAGAACAAGATGAAACATTTAAAAGCTGCCACACAACTGTTGAGTCAAACAAGCGACGCTCTGACCTTCGAAACAATTAACGACCTGGTTGGTGTTATGCTTCAGCTGGATTACTACATTGGAGCAATCGAGCTGCTCCTCACAGTTGCTTCTGCCAGCGACCCAACGAATCTTGCACTCAAGTATAATCTCGATGGCCAGGTCTCAGTGATGGTGGATGATCCTAAGAAACTAGCTTTTGAAAAGAGGGTGAAGCTCTATGAGCTCATTTTTAAGATTCTGATCGATATTGATGAGAAGGCCATTGTTAGCTTGGAGAAGGCAGCCAATAACACCAGTTTCACGGACGCCAAGGCTCCAATTTCATATTTCGGGTCCGACGGACAGCTCATGACCCATTATTCGGAGCTGAGAGACCAAAGCTACGAGATCTGCCTGAAAAGCCAGGACAAATTGTTCCATTACGAGTTTTACAAGTGGTTGGTCAAGATCGGCGTTGGTGAACGCTTATTAGACCTGGAGACCTCATTCGTTCTAGACTTCCTAAAAGACTATTCTTCCAAAGATATGGAGATGGCCAAACTATTGTGGATTTACTACTCCCGAAGAGAAAACTACTTCCAGGCAGCCAAAGTTCTTTTTGATCTGTCCATCTCCAAGTTCGATATCGATCTGGCAAACAGGATCCAGTTCCTGTCGCGAGCCAATGGATTCTGCAATTGTGTGTGTCCACCAGACCTGAGACAAGAAATGACGTTCCTTTCTGTGACCATTGGTGATCTGCTTGCTGTGGCCAACTTGCAAGATGAGCTTCTCCTGACTATTCTGGACGACGAACGTGTTAGCGATTTGGCCAAGCAAGTGGCTGTCACAAAGCTGAACGGAAGGGTGCTGCCGATCAGTGACTTGTACAACAATTTCATCGACCCTCTCGGGTATTACACTTTGGCCCTGGTGACGTTCAAAATATCAGATCACCGAAACTCTGAGGATATTCTGTCGCAATGGGAAAATCTCTTGAATAAATGGTATTACAAAAATAAAGACTCTGGAGAGCCATTGTTTTCTGAGATCAACAACGAGTTCATTGCTGTGGGTTTGCGAGTTTCCGACACTGAGGTTCTATTCCCAATTGTGGAGTTGTTCCAACTGTTGGCAAAGTATTTTTACTCGTCGGATTACTGTCCCGAACAGCTCAGACCGCCTACAGGGGTTCTTATTGACGCTTTCATTCGCAGTGGAGTTTCTTATGGAAAACTGTACTACAGTCTCAGAGACCTGGTTGAGTCAACCACGTTCGAACTTTTCGATGGCTACTCCAGAGTGCTCAAACAGGAAATGTGCTATCTAATCAAGGCGTGGTTCAAGAACGATAAAAAATTGCGAGATGTTCTCTCTGCTGACTCTGTGAGAGACCTTTCTGACTACTCGGTTGAAACTGATCCTGTCTTCGCATACATCAAATCAACAGGCAACCCGTTGTGACATAGACTGTAAGCGTAATATATTGTTAATCTTCATCAGGTATTTCGATCACTTCCGGAACCGGCTTGTCGATCTCTACCAACTCGTCCTCGTTGGGCACCGCGTCTGGATCTACGGTGCATGTTTTCGCGTCCTTGGCTCTTCTTTCGGCAGCCTCTAGCATCAACTCGCGCATGCTCTTGTTCTGTTTTGGTTTATTAGAGCCCAGTTTTTCAACTTTTGCCACATATTTGACCTGTCCGAGCTTTTTCAGTCGCATTTCTCGGATCAGCCCGTTTTTGCGGCCCCCTAAGACCTGGCTCTCGGCGACATACCCTGTCTCCTTTAGGGCCCCGTTTCGCTTGATAGAGTGGTACTTCTCGCGCAGCTGGTCCAGTAGTCGGTAGAAATTGTTATCATGCGGGCCGTACCTGTTGTGGCTGAGTTCGTGCAACATCGTCTCAATCACGTCCTCCAGAGGAAGAAACCGGTCTCTGGCGTGCGGATACCGCAGACGGAGACATATTTTCGAGCCGGAGTTCACGTTCAGACCCAGAAGCTGGGGATTTGGGGGAAAAAACTCGCAAAGCGTGCCGACTTTGAATCCGAATGAGCGCATCACAGGAGCCACCTCTAATGCGACTTTTTGCAAGCGCTCGAGCGCATGATTGCTGTCTTTTTGGCGTGCGAGCGGCGCAATCTTGTCTATCACAGAGGTGACTGTCATAACATAAATAAAGAAAAATAGAAAATATGCAGGAAATAAACCAGATCTGACTAAAATTATTTTGCGTGGAAAATATATCTGCTATACACAATCTATCAAATGCCCCTGTTGAACTCGACGGTCTTGATCTCCTCGCCGTTTTTGTTTTTCAGGCCGTGGAACTTGTCCTCCAGCTGGCACACGCTGACCTCGCGACGCTGAGGGAAAACTGCGAGGGCAAAAGGGAGCACCAGGAACGAGGTGGCGGTGATGAGACCAATATTAGCTAGGTTCTGGATTGCTGGGCCCTTACCCTTCAGGATGGTTTTTTGCATGCGCACAAGCAACAAAGGAGGGATGACCATGATCGGCGTGGCGTTGATCACCCGCGACGCGGCGGTCTCGCCGACAGCCTGCACAGCCGCACGTTTAGACGTTCCCAGCTCGTTTCCGTCCCTGTCGAAGACAGAAATGCCCTTTTTGATCTCCTCACTTCTCATGAGGAACACGTTGACGATACCTGCAGAAACAACGGCAGCAAAAGGAACCAAACGGCCGAGAATGAGTCGAGTGTTGGCAGAAACGTTTTTCAGCCGGGGAACAATAGAATTCAGGCCCAGCGCTACACCACAGGATGCTCCGACCGCCAGGAAGTAGTTGGTGACTAGCTGTTTGGTGGTCAGAGGGTGCGACTTGTTGGCGTTTGCGGTGTTGATCGCCACGTTCAGCGACTGGTTTGCGATCTGCCAGAATAGCGTTCCTGCGTTGCCCAGACCCGGAGTAAGCATGCCCGCAGTGACCACCAGGTTCGACAAGACGCACGAGGACATTCTGAAAGGCAGGAGGACCGTTTCTCCGGTGTCCGGGTGGATGGAAGAGTCGAGGATCCGCTTTGCACGCCAGAGCTCTGGCGTCATTTGAGGAATGACTCCGTTTTTGTAGTCCCAGACGAGTCGTTTAGCCTCCTCAATATCTTTCGAGGTGTTGAGCAGCATAGTAGGATCTGAAATTCCAGCGCAGTGTTTGACTCGTCCCATGTATGTGGACAGATCATATTGCGATGCTGGCAAAGGCACCGGCCCAGGGATAGAGGACGCCATTGGTACTAAAATTTTTCAGTCTCGTCCTGATAGTGAATACGCCACATGTGGCTCGTCCCCCGCGAATGTTTACAAAACAAACAAAAAATTATTACTCAGATCCCAGATGCAGTACAGTCAGTCGGACGAGACTGTGAACGGACTGCCCACAGAGAACCCATGGATGCAGATAAACGGGGATGAGGACGAACTTGAGCGATCGTACCTGCCTCATAGAAGAGAGGCCAACAGCATCTACCACACGCCAGAGCACGGGTACGGGTCCCGGGACCGCCTTTACGGCAGTCCTTCTCCCCACAAACGCACATACTCGCCCTCGCCAGAACGTCTGTACTATTCTCCCTCACGCGGAGCAGAGTACCCACCACGAATCCCCAAACTTTCTCCCTTCGAGGAAAAAGTGGAATCCATATCGTCGCACAGCGACCGGAGAGACCTGTTTGTGACTCAGCCGCCACATACCGGCGCATACCATATGGATGATGATGTTGATTCTGATCACACATTTGTGCCGTTTCCGGTGTTGAACAATTCGTACTACCCGATAAATACTCCTAAAGATCACTTTGACCCGTTTGACTACCGGTACGAGGACGAAAGCCAGGAGGATTATGACGACGACACCAGCTCGGATGTGAGTGTAACCTCTGCCCGGCAGGTGAAGATGGTGAACGGGAATCTGGTTCTGGATTGTCCCGTGAGTGATGTGCTGCTCAACAAGTACACCACATCGCTCTCTGAAAAAGACCGAGAGTTCCTTTTTATGCGGTTCCAGGCGTGCACATGCCAGCCGGCGGACTTTGTCTTCCGCAACTTTTCGCTCCGTCAGCGATTCTACTCGCAGCCGCGATCAACAGAGCTGATGGTTGTGATTACCATGTACAATGAGAGCGACATTCTTCTGGCCCGGACGCTAAAAGGAGTATTCAAAAATATCCGACATCTCTATTCGCTCAAACACTCGTCCACATGGGGCCCGGACGCGTGGCAGAAAGTGGTAGTTTGTGTTGTGAGTGACGGAAGAACCAAAATACACCCCAAGGCCAAAGCGCTTTTGGGAGCTCTGGGTGTGTACCAAGAAGGGTTTGCGAAAAACAAAGTCAACGACGATAAGGTTGTAAGTCACATTTACGAGTACACCACAATGGTCGGAATCAGCAAGGTGGACGAGCACGAAATCAAACTGACCACAGAAAATCAAATTCCCATTCAGATGATCTTCTGTCTGAAGGAGACAAACCAGAAAAAAATAAACTCGCATGCATGGGCTCTGGAAGCTTTTGCGCCGGTGCTCAATCCGAACGTCGTTGTATTGCTGGATGTGGGGACCGAACCTGAGGGAAAAGCGCTCTATAAATTATGGAAAGCCTTCAAAGATCCCCGGGTGGCAGGGGCATGTGGAGAAATCAAGGCCAGTCTTGGAAAAAACAGCCGGCTGCTTCTCAATCCGCTAGTGGCAGCACAGAACTTTGAGTACAAGATCAGTAACATCTTGGACAAACCCATGGAATCTGTGTTTGGGTTTGTGACCGTGCTCCCTGGAGCGTTCAGTGCATACCGATACCAGGCACTCCTAGGTGCGCCGCTCCAAAAATATTTGAAGGGAGAAGACCTCAAAAGATCCAACAGCGGAGGTATATTCAACGCCAACATGTACCTCGCCGAGGACAGAATTCTCTGTTTTGAGCTGGTGGCTAAGCAGAATTGTGAGTGGCTGCTGAAGTATGTCAACACTGCGGCGGCATACACGGACGTTCCAGAAGAGTTGCACGATTTCATTTCTCAGCGAAGACGATGGTTGAATGGCTCATTTTTTGCAGCGATCTACTCTCTCTTTCATTTCTACAAAGTCTGGTCCACATCTCACTCTGTGAGTCGCAAGATCTTGTTGCACATCCAGTTTCTCTATCAGTTTATCAATCTTCTGGTGTCGTGGTTCTCGCTTGGATCTTACTTTCTGGTGTTTCGAATTCTGACCGTCTACCTTGCCGAGCCGGAGGCTGATTTTGCACCAGGAAACGTTCTGTCGGTGTTTTTTCTCTGGCTCTATTTGGCCTCCATCGTGACCACGTTTGTTCTTTCCTTCGGTAACAAACCGAAGGGGACAAAGAAGTTCTATCTGGTTATTGTGGCATTCTTCGCCATTCTAATGGTTTACATGATATTTGCTGCCATCTTTATGGCCGTGAAGAGTATTCAGGATATTATGAGCGAACACGCAGACGACTTCAGCATCAAGCTCATTTTCACAGAAACACGATTCCGTGATCTCATCGTGGCCACCACTTCGACCTACGCATTGTACTTCATTGGGTCTTTTATCTTTCTGGACCCGTACCACATGATCACCAGTTTTGTACAGTACCTGCTGCTGAGTCCTGCCTACATCAATGTGCTGAATATCTACGCCTTCTGCAATATCCACGACATCTCGTGGGGAACTAAAGGAGACGACTCCAAAAACGATTTGGGTGTGGCGAGAATTTCAAAGAATACACAGGATGGCGAGCTCGAAATTGTCATACCAACCACCAAGAGCCAAATCGATAATGCCTACAAGAGAATGATTAACGAGCTCACCACGAGAGTCTCAGAAAAAGAAGTCAAGGTCAACGAGGAAGAGGAGGACGCTTTCTATTTTGCCTTTATCCGTTCGATGACGGTGCTTGTCTGGATGATCACCAACTTCATAGTAATCGCACTGGTCACCGAAACTGGCGGTCTGTATCAATTCACCCAGGACAGCACAAGCTCGTCGAGCTATCTGCCAAGCACGCGCATATCTGTGTTTTTGACTGTTATTCTCTGGATCGTGGCATTCATGGCGCTTTTCCGTTTCGTTGGGTGCTGTGCCTACATGATAATGAAGCTCGTGGATTGGTTCAAGCTACGCAAATTTAGGAACGATTATCAGACCAAGGGAGCTGCGTTCTCTGTATAAATATATTATGTAAGCATAAAGCGAAAAAGCATTTATATTTGATATTTTTTTTCCAATTTTCTCATTATGAACAATCCTTTCTTGCCCCCTCCAAAGAAGTCCATGGCGGAGATGACTCAGGAAGAGCAGGCCGAAGAGGGCGCACGCCAGATCATGGAGTTTATCTCGTCGTGCCCCGGGAAGGCTGTGATGTCCGGAGTGTCGGGTTTCGTTCTGGGAGGTTTCTTCGGACTGTTCATGGCGTCCATGTCTTACGACGTGGCTCCCGGGATGGGGCCTGGTCCATCGCAACAGATTGCAGATCTGCCTTTCAAACAGCAGGTGAAAATCCAATTCACGGATATGGGACGGCGAACGTGGTCGTCGGCCAAGAACTTTGGATACATTGGACTGATTTTCTCGGGAGTCGAGTGTAGCATCGAATCCTTGCGCGCCAAAAACGATATATGGAATGGAACAATGGCAGGATGCATAACAGGTGGTGGGCTTGCCATCAAGAGCGGGCCTACTTCGACGCTGATTGGATGCGCTGGTTTCGCGGCCTTCAGTACTGCTATCGATTTGTATATGCGGAGCGAGAACGGCAAGCCTCCTGCTAATGACTATAACGAATGATGACTCTATGCCACAATAGATCTCGATCTTCCCTCTCTTTCCAGCGGCGGTAAGTTGTTGTTGACGATCTCTGCCTTCGGGTACGTTCCCATAAGGCCCTTTTTCTGCGCAAATTCGGACGATCTGGTGTATGTTGGGTCGCTCTGATAGTATTCATCTTTGATAGGGTGCAGGAGCACGGTCTGGCCCTTGACGGTTAGGATCGAATTTGACGGCACAGAGATCCAGTCGCCCCTTTCAAACGTGAGCGGTTCTGAAGCGATCATAATGATATCCTGGGAGCGGTCAAGACGTTCCATTTTGTATCTGGAAGGTTCGACCTCAATGAACCGGGAGCCGGTGGAGAAATACAGCGAAGCTGCCTCGTCTGTTTTCGAGCTCACGTACCGCGAAACACAGATTGATTCGCCGTCGGTGACGGCGAAGTTGAGAAGCGAGGGCTCGGCCGGCTGTGTTGGGTTTACTTGTTTGACCCAGTCCTTGATGAGCTGGATGGTTGTTTCGAGAGCCTGTCTGAGCGCATAATGTGGGATCTGCTTCTCCTCCTTGGGGTCGTATCCTAGCTTGTATAAACAGTCTAAGAACAATGCAAACGAGCATTCAGAGTCGGTAGAGCCCTGGATCGTGAGGAAAAATTCGTCCTCAATGTGCTGGATAAGCAGCCGCTTGATCTTCCCGAAACCAGAAATCCCGCCGTTGTGCATGAACATGAGCCGGTGGTATGTGAACGGATGGCAATTTGTTTCGCTCAGGACACCGTACGTGGACGCTCTCACGTGGGCAAAAATAAGCTTTGATTTCGTCTTCTCTGCCAATTTCTGCAGGTTCTGGTTGTTCCAAGCCGGTGTGATCGCCTTGTACACACACGGAGTACCCGAAACCGTCTTGTCTGAGTCCTCGTCTGGGGTATAGTATCCCACGCCAAAACCATCTCCGTTGACGGGCGTGTGGTCGATCCGGAGCCGGGAATCAAACGATTGGTTGATGATCGAATGGGCCGGTCTTGTAAGCAGACTGGCCAGCAACATAGGCTCCGTGCCCTTGTAAATTAGAAATCGGCACATTGAGAAATAATTAAAAAAAAAATATAGACGGATTTCAATTTTTAATTTTAAGATAGTCGCGACGATACGTATCTGAAAGCATGGCGGAGACAGGCGACGCCCAGAGCGACAATCCACGGCAGGCAATGGCGCAGCCGGCCGGCGTGTCGGCCTACAGGAGGCAGGCAGACTTGGACATTGCAGAGGCTCTGGACGACCCAGAAACAAAGCGAAACACGGAGCTCAATTCTCTCATGTACCACCTATCCCAGGGCCAAGTCGACGAGCTCGACGCGATGTCTTTGCGAACACAAACTCCGGAACGTGTGCTACGGTCGCCGTCGCTGTCCCGACAAAACTCCACTGATAGCTCGCTACCAACGACGCATTTGTCTATCGACGAGATCTCCGATATGCAGCCAAAAAGACCACCATTGAAAGGCACCGGGTCGTTCCATCGGGGAATCGCTTTTGAAAATATGGGTAATAGCCAGCTGAACTATGAAAAAATGCAATACATTCTCACGACGAAGCACAGAGACTTCCATTTCGACAGAGTCTCGCGGACGTTTATGTGTGGCTACGACGACAACGAGTGCTCACTACTGGCCTTGAAATGGACGATCGACGAAATGGTCAGTGACGGCGACACGCTTGTGTGTCTACGGGTGCTCTCGAAAGAAGATGCGGCGGGCGATTACCAGCGAGACTATAAAAAGGAAGGAGAAAAGATACTTGAAGAAATCGCGACGCTCAACTCCAAAGATAAGAAAATAAAAATTGTGCTCGAGCTCAAGGTCGGAAAAGTGCCCGAGATGATCACCAAGGCCATCAAGGAGTACGATCCGGTGATCCTGATAGTGGGCACGCACGGAACACAAAAAACAGGCTTTCGTGCAATCATCGGCTCCAAGTCGATGTCCAAATACTGCTTGCAATACGCCCAGGTACCTGTCGTGGTGGTCGGCCCGTTGTACCATATGCAAAAGCCCAAGCTGGATGTAAGCTCGGAAACGGCGTATGCGGACGCGCTGCGCAACTTCCAGCACGGCCTCGAGCTCTCAGAAAGCGACATCCGCAAACCACGATTCCAACGAAGTCTTAGATCTGAGTCCGTACTGTCCCCAGTGCAATCGAAATCAAGCTTTTCGCCTGCGCGATCCAACAGCCCTAATTTCTCCCCCTCCAGAGCGCTAAGCCCTTTTCGGCTATTCCGAAGAAATAGAGAATAATTTATTTATCCCTTGTATCCCAGACAATTGTAACGGGCCCGTCGTTGACGATGCCCACGTCCATCATGGCGCCAAATTGGCCGTCCTTCACCTTGTCCTCACCCATTTCTGCACGAAGCAGGCTCAAAAACATCTCGTACAGCTCCTGGGCCACATGGCCCTTCTGTGCACGGTGGAAATCAGGCTTGGCGCCCTTCTTGATGTTGCCGTAGAGCGTGAACTGTGACACTGACAAGATCTCTCCTTTGATGTCCACAACACTTTTCTGCCATGGCTTGCCGACCCACTCGGTTTTGGTGTTGGCGTCGACGCCCACGTCCTCGAAAAGCTTCAGCCGCAACACCTTATTGGCCAGTTTTTCAACGTCTTCCTTGCTATCGTCGGTCGAGATGCCAACCAATAGCATAAGCCCCTTGTTGATCTGCGAAATGACTTCCTTGTTGACCGTCACGGAGGCCTGCTTCACCCTCTGGATCACCACTTTCATGCTCTACTTTTCCACCTTGAAAAATTAAGTGAAAAATAAATATTTTGCCGCACCTGCTCACGGCCGAGCAGAATCGATGCCTGAATGTGTTTCGGCAATTTTCCATATGCGGTTCATACGCATGCCTCCAAACCCGTCAACTACGTAGAATGAGCGCGTCAGGTCGTCTTTCTCGCGAGCAATCATGTTCGAGAATCCAAAACGACTTTCTGGAGTATCTTTTGCCGCAATTTGCAGGTCATCAACCTTGACAAGCTCGTTGTACACTTTGAAGCCCGACCAGTTGAGTTTCTGAAACACAAGCGTCTCGTCGGTCACCAGGTTCTCCAAGGTCTGCTCCTTCGTGGTGTCGTAGAGTCTGTAGATGCGGAGCACGTACGGCGAGTACAAATATTGCACCACAGGGTACGGCATGAGCGAGGCCGCAGCAAATGCCTCGCACAGCTCTTGCAGAACGTACTCTGTCTGGAACATTAAGTACGAGAAACACAGCCCCATAAACCCAAATGCTAGGCTGAATCTCTTTGCTCCAGCAACAAAGCCTGCAAGCGGGTTTTCGTACATAGGTTCGTTCCCCAGACGGAATTTTGAAGGCAGCGTTTTATGGAAAAAAAGCGACTCTCTAGATCTGTACTTGATGGGGTTCCGTTGCTCCTTCTCGTTTGGGACCTTGTAACGCGGTGGGTCCTGACCCAGATTGAAGGTTTGGCGGCGCATAGCCGACGTGGACAGTCCACGCAGGGCCATTGAGAGTGGACTGGCCAGCAAGAGGGGACGACAGCGGTGCAAAAGAAGCATTGTGATGTGTCACAAGGATCTTTTGTGACCCTTTAAATAGTTTGTACCCCACTACGAGTGCTCGTAACCACAAACAAGTGTTAGAAAAGAATTAAAGGAAAAAAAAATATTCATTAGCAAGTAGGACATTCTACACAAGTTTAATTTCTACCATGGATTCCGATGCAACTTCAAGATATGTGCCGGAGTACAGAAAGGCGAACTTCAAAAACAAGAACCGGTTCCAGCAGGATGAGGTGAGAAGAAGGAGAGAAACGCAACAGGTTGAACTGAGAAAACAGAAGCGAGAGGAACTACTGACTAAAAGAAGGAACTTCAACGCGCCAAGCGGCATGAACGACTCGGACGAGGAAGACGAGGAGACACAAAGTGCAGAGACCGTTTTCTATAGACAGTTACAGGAAGAGTTGCCGAAAATGGTGAACAGTATTAATTCTAGCGATTTGGAACAACAGCTCGACGCCACCATCAAATTCAGACAGATTTTGTCGAAAGAGCACAACCCGCCGATTGACCTGGTCATTGAGAGTGGCGTGGTGCCACGTCTGGTGGAGTTCATGCGGTCAGGCCCGGAAATCCTTCAGCTGGAGGCTGCGTGGGCGTTGACAAACATTGCATCGGGAACTTCTGAGCAGACCAAATTTGTGGTGGACGCGGGTGCGGTGCCGCTTTTCGTGAACCTGCTTTACTCACCGTCGATGGAGGTGAAGGAACAGGCGATCTGGGCGCTGGGTAACGTTGCCGGTGACTCGTCTGCGTACAGAGACTATGTGCTGTCCTGCAACGCTATGGACCCTGTTTTGTCCCTGTTCCAGTCTTCCAAAATGTCGCTTATCCGGACGGCCACGTGGACGCTCTCCAACTTGTGTCGGGGAAAGAACCCGCAGCCGGACTGGCAGATCGTCAAGAGTGCGCTGCCTACGCTGGCCAAGCTGATTTTCTCTGTGGACGTGGAGACGCTAATCGACGCATGCTGGGCGATTTCGTACTTAAGTGACGGAACGACGGAGGCAATCCAGGCGGTGGTCGATGCCAGAATCCCCAAACGGCTGGTGGAGCTGCTGGGCCACGAGAGCACGCTCGTGCAGACCCCGGCACTCAGAGCGGTTGGAAACATTGTCACAGGTAATGATTTGCAGACCCAGATTGTCATCAACGCAGGCGTGCTGCCTGCGCTTGCTCCGCTGCTGAGATCGCCAAAGGAGTCGATCAGGAAGGAGGCGTGCTGGACGATTTCCAACATCACGGCCGGAAACAGCGACCAGATCCAGGCTGTGATCGACTCGAACCTGATTCCGCAGATCATCAAGCTGCTGGCCACGGGCGACTACAAGACGAAGAAGGAGGCGTGCTGGGCGATCTCGAATGCGTCGTCGGGCGGGCTCACTCGTCCGGACCAAATTCGCTATCTTGTTTCCCAGGGCTGTATCAAGCCGCTGTGTGATTTGCTAGCCATTGCAGACAACAAGGTGATTGAGGTGACGCTGGACGCCTTAGAGAATATTCTGAGGATGGGAGAGCTGGAAAAAGAGGCTCGGGGCTCCAACATCAATGAGAACGCCATTTTCATCGAGGAGGCTGGTGGTGCAGAAAAGATTTTCGATTGTCAGAGCAACGAGAACGACAAGATCTACACCAAGGCCTACCACATTGTGGAGACCTACTTCAGCGGCGAGGAGGCCGAGGAAGACTCGGCCGGGCTGCAGCCGGAGATGAGCGGTGACCAGTTCGGATTTGGAATGAACCCTAATGTCCAGCAAGGCGGCTTCCACTTTGGCTGATTACGTAGCTATTATCTATATACACGGAATGACTAATGACAGCGGTCGGGTGTATCTGGCGGTTATCGCCGATCACCGAAAAAAATCGGCTTCAAAATTCTACACATCAAACCCGCAGCACTCCTGACGCGGCTTTAACATTAATTCCTAATGGCTTTTCGGAGCTGTTGCAAAGTATAAATATATGCTGATCTGAACTTTAGACCAAGTAACTATGAGTTTAAACGAGATCAAGAACAGCGAGGAACGTCTGGAAAGCCAGAAACGCAAGTTTTACGAGAGCGACGCCGGAGACGGCACCAAACGCGCAGATCAGTACCTCCACGGCGCCAAGCTCTGGATGTGCATTTCTTCCATCATGTTGTGCATGTTTCTCGTGGCGCTCGACCAAACAATCAGCTTCACGATCCTCGTGCAGGTGTCGGAGAAGTTCCGCTCGTTCGAGAAGCTGACATGGATCACGTCGTCTTTTGTTCTCGGTATTGGGTGCACAGCCCAGGTGTGGGGCAGACTGTCCATCATTTTTGGCAGACGGTGGGTGATGCTTGCGTCGGTGTTTTTGTTTGAGCTCGGCTCGCTTTTGTGTTCGCTGTCGACGTCGATGAACATGCTCATTGGCAGCCGCGCCATGCAGGGTGTCGGTGGCGCGGGAATCCAGGCCTGTGTGATGAACATAGCCACCGAGGTGACCACGATCGACAAAAAGCCAATGATCATGGCGCTCGTGAGTGTCACCTTCGTTGCGGCATCGGTCATCGGCCCGATTCTCGGCGGCGTGTTCACCAGCTACAGCACGTGGAGATGGTGTTTTTACATCAATCTGTGTTTTGCAGCCGTGATTATGCCCCTGTTTCTGTACAGCTTCCGGCCCAAGACCCCTGCCGGCAGCTTGCTGGAAAAAGCAAAGAGAATAGACTATCCTGGCGCTGTTACCATGGTTTCCGGGCTCGTGCTCGTTTTGCTGGCCATCTCGTTCGGCGATAACGAGTTTAAGTGGAAGTCTGCAGCCATCATTTGTCTGTTTGTCATTGGAGGCGTGCTGCTCATTTTGTTCTGCATCTGGGACTTTTTCTTTGCTCAGGAGCCGCTGCTGCCGCTCCAGATCGTCACCACGTACGGCGTGACTGTTTCCGTGGTGCAGTTGTCCACTGTGTACGGCTCGTTCATGGTCCTTTCGCAGTTTTTGGTGGTGTACTTCCAGACACTACACAACGAGACTGCCTTCCACACAGGACTGGCACTGCTACCTTCTGTGATCCCGCTCGTGCTGGGTGCCGTTTGCACCGGTGTGCTCATCCAGAAGACGCGCCACGTCAAGTTGTTCGGGCTGATTGGTACGACGCTCGCGTCGGTCGGCGTTGGCATTCTCACACTGCTCCAAGCAGACTCGGCTCCGTCGAAAAGATACGGCCTGCAGGTGCTGTACGGCCTCGGCGTCGGCGTCACGTTCCAGGCTCCCATGATGAGCGTCCAGCTTTGCTGTCCTAAAACCCCCGGCAGCACGATCCTCGCGATGACCTTCATCTACTTTGGTCGTAGCGTGTCCACGGCTCTTTTTTCGCAGCTCGGAGAAGCCATCTACACCGCCACACTGAGGAGTAAGTTCAGCCACCTCCAGCCACAGGTTCCCGATGTAAACCTGGAGCTCTTGGTGTCGAACTCGCAGCTGTTGCACACCCTGGACGCCCAGGCACAGACGCTCATCAAGAAGGCCATGATGGACTGCATCCGCAACACGTTTTACTTGTCGCTGGCGCTGATGCTGATCGGGTCTATTTCTGCAGTGGTGATGTCGAACAAACGCATTCCGCCAAAGGACGAGGTGGAGAGAGAGTGAGCCAGTACGCGGCCTACATATGTCCTACAAATAGTAATATATGTCTATGGTATTATCACAACAAAACGGCAGCGGCTCCAAGAGCAACCATGCCCATGGACAGACCGTAAGCGTGCGCAGCTCCTGCGCTGGAGGAGCTCACTGCGCTGGAGGTCGAGTTGGAGGTCGAGTTGGAGCCCGTCAAAACCTGCTGTTTCTGCTCGACAGCAGCGCTTGACTCGGCAATGTAAACAGTGGAGGTGGTCTTGGCCTTGGTCTTGTTGAACCGGCCATACTTATGGGTTCCAGTGGACGTGGACTCTTCCGAAGCCTTCGTCTTGTTGAATCTGCCGTACTTGTGCGTGCCGGTAGACGAGGACTCCTCGGATGCCTTGGTCTTGTTGAACCTTCCGTACTTGTGGGTACCGGTCGAAGTGGAATCTTCGGATGCCTTGGTTTTGTTGAACCGGCCATATTTGTGGGTGCCAGTGGACGTGGTATCTTCAGAGGCCTTGGTTTTGTTGAATCTACCGTACTTGTGGGTTCCACTAGAGGTTTCCTCGGAAGAGGCCTTGGTCTTGTCGAAACGACCGTACCTGTGGGTATTAGTGGTTGTGCCGTAGACAGTGGTGGTGACGACGTTACTGTCGTCGTCTTCCGCGAGCGCCGACACCAGATTCAGGGCAAGGGCACCTAAAAGAACGGAGTACTTCATCGTGAAGAACAAAACTTGTCTGCCTTTTTTTTGTAATGGCTCGCAGAAATTGCCTCACCCTAATTGGGGAATTTGCCGGCTCAAACAGGAAACGTAAATAGGGCAGTCTGCCGAGGAGGCCGGGAGAGAAAAACAAAAAAAGTGTTAGTCAGCGATTATGTAATTCTTTTTTTTTCCCCTGTGGTTCGGCAACTGCCACGGCCGAGCCGCTCAGATCTGTGCCAAGAGGCCGAGCGTCGCCAAATTTGGCAGCCCGCAGGAGACCGCCGGCCACGCAGGGCGCGGATCAGAAGCGTTTTTGCAGATACCGATCTGCTGGAGTGCCGCGCTGTGCATTGCTGAATCCTTATCAGACTGCCGTGCGAGAACGGTGCGGCTTATATACGAAAAATCTTTAGGCCTGTCAATACTTCTTTTCACCCTATGTCTTTGGATCTATCTGTTGACGAGGTGCGGGTCCAGTCGGTGATTTCGCACTCGAAAATCCACCTGGACCATGCTGTTGACCACGACGAGGCAGTTATTCTTGCTCTGGGGTATAAACAGGAGCTCAAGAGAGGTCTTTCCATGCTGACGACGTTTGCCGTTGCGTTCTCGACGCTGGGACTGCTGCCGTCTGTGGCAGGCACGCTGTGGTACTCGATGGCATACACGGGGACGGCAGGCATTACATGGGTGTACCTTGTGGCCATGGCGGGCATCATGTGTGTTGCGCTGTCGATGGCGGAGATCGCCTCGGCGTTCCCGACGTCGGGCGGGCTGTACTATGCCACCGCAATGCTCGCGCCGCCCAAATACAAGGCCTTTCTGTCCTGGTTCGTGGGCTGGTCCAACTACCTCACCCAAATTACGGGGGGGCCTTCCGTGGGGTCCTCCACGGCAGCCATGATTTTGGCTCTCAAGCAGATGACAGACCCCAGCTACGAGTACCACAAGTGGCACGCGTTCCTGCTCGCCACGTCCATCACCGTCAGCTGCGCCTGCATCGCCTCGATGCCCGTCAAGTGGATCTCGTACATCACACGGTTCACGTCTCTGCTTAATATCTCGTTTCTCTTCATCTGCTGGGTGGTTTTCTTAGGCGGCAATACGAGGGCTGAACAGGGCCTTCCGAAGTTCAACTCGAACGCCGAGGCGTGGGGCATCACCAACATGACCGACTGGCCCGACGGAATGGCCGTTCTCATGAGCTTCATGGCTGCTATTTGGATCATGTCTGGCTTTGACGCTCCGTTCCACCTCGCAGAAGAATCGACCAACGCCGAGATCGTGACGCCAAACGCGATCGTGCTGACCGCGTCACTGGGCGCCGTGCTCGGCTTCGCGTTCCAGCTTGGCATGGCGTACACGATCGTCGACGTGACGGCGGCCGTGGAAGGAGAGCTGGGACAACCGTTTGTGTCGTTCCTGAGCCAGGTCCTCACAAAAGACAGAACCATCGCGATGGCCGCCCTTGCAATCGTTCTGTCGTACATCATGGACTTCTCCAGCATGCTGGCGGCGTCACGTGTGCTGTACTCGTACTCCAGAGACGGATGCATCCCGCTGTCGCGCGTGTGGTGCCGCGTTAACCCGTACACCAGGACGCCGGTGAACGCGGTGTGGTTCAATTGGTTTGTGGGCGAGTGTCTGCTGTGTCTGATGTTCAAGGGCGAGGCGATCAACGCGGTGTTCTCATTCGGCGCAACTGGTGCGTTTGTTTCGTTCACAGTGCCGATTTTCCTCAGAATCACATACGCCAGAAACACCTTCAAACCGGGCCCTTGGAACCTGGGCCGATTCAGCTACGTGACGGGCACTGTTGGGTGTTTGTTTATCCTGCTGATGCTGCCAGTGCTGTGTTTCCCGCAGTTCCGCGGCAAGAACAACACCACGGACCTCATGAATTGGACCTCGGTGGTGTACTGGGGAGCGATGCTGCTGGTGGTGCTGTACTGGTTTGCGTACGGACACACGTTTTTCACGGGTCCTCGGCCAAATATCGGCGATTTGTGCAGAGACGAGGAGGGCGGCAACGAGAAAAACGAGATGAACGAGGTGGTCCAGCCGGTGAAGGATATTTGATAGTGAATAATTGATAAAACTATTGATAATAAATAATCGATAAAACTAAATTTCGGAATAAATTATATAATAAAATTAATTTCAGAAATATTTTTTTCATTTTCATGATTTCGGAGTCGCAATTGCAGACGCTCAAGGAAAGAGCGCTTGCCAATCGGGCAAAGGCGTACTGTCCGTACTCTAACTTTCATGTGGGGTGCTGTTTGCTCGCGAACGGCGAGTTTTTCGACGGCGCTAACGTCGAAAATGCTTCGTACGGGGGCGCGATCTGTGCAGAGCGCACGGCCGCCGTGGCTGCTGTGACACAGGGTCGGACCCGGTTCGAGGCCGTGGCCATCTCGGGCGACCTCGATACCTGCATCTCGCCGTGTGGGATCTGCCGGCAGTTTCTGCGCGAGTTTTCGGCACTGAACGTGCCGATCTACATGTACAACAAGGACGGATCGAAAGTGGAAAAACTGACCATGAACGAAATCCTGCCGCAGAGTTTTGGCCCCGCCGATTTGGGCAAATAGTATTCAAATAGATAGTTCCTTGACACTGACTCTTGCGCTCTGCTTCTCCTCGAGGTCGGCCTCCAGCCCCGCCTGCGTGGCCTGGTCCTTGTCGAAAATCAGTGCAATCTCCTCGAGCGAGTAACCCTTTGTTTCCGGGAAGGTGAGATAAATAACCACAAAGATGATCACCTGGACGCCCAGATACACGCAGTAGTAGCGCCAGCCAATGGCTTCGAGCGCGATCGGGTTCACAAATATGTTGAAGAAGGTGGCTCCGTTCAGGAAAAACATCGCTGTGAACAGGCCTTTTGACCGCGTCGCCTGCGGCCACAATTCGGACGGGTACGACGTGATCATCGGCGCAAACGCAATGGCCTGGAACGCGTACACCAGGAACACAAACACAATGATCGCCTGGCCGATATTTCTGTGCAGCTGAGTGTACACGGCGGTGATGGTGGTGAGTCCAATGAAGGAGAAAAACAGGCCGACAATGGAGATCAAAAATAGCCGTCTGCGGCCGACGTGATCGACAAGAATGGCGCCAGTGATGGCCACGAGCAGGTTGAAGAGCTGGATGCACGCGTTGAGCAGCGTTTTTTTCCACGTGGCGGTGATACCGACAGCAACGAAAACCGAGCTCAGGTACCACGTGACTATGCCCTGGCCGTTCCACGCAAAGGCCACGCCCAGGAAGCATGAGATAAAGAGCCGTTTGCGGTTGCCCGGGGTTGCAATGAGCGACCGCCACGATGAGATGTTGTTGATGCGCAGCGCCTCGATACCGGCGATGATCTCCTGCATCTCGAGCTCGACTAGCGGCAGATATGCGTCCTCGTAGTTGGCATGGAACTTGAGTAGCACTTGGCGTGCTTTTTCGGTTTCCCCCACGGAAACCAGCCATCTGGGCGATTCAGGTGCGTAAATCAAGGCTGGCAGCAACAATGTGGGGATGGCGGCCTGCAATGCCAGCGGAATACGCCATGACACGTTGCCAGAGATGTACTGCGTTCCAAAGACGACCCAGCCGCAGAGCACAGAGCCAAAGTAATAAATAGCGTGGTAAGCGGCGGAAAACCGGCCGCGCGACGTGGGGTACGCAATCTCGGAGATCCACACCGACGCGGCGTAGTTGCACGAGAACGAGAGCCCCATAAAGATCCGCGACACAATGTAGGAGGCTGGATTGCGGGCCAACGCGCCAACAATGGAGCCGATCCAGATGCACAGCACAGTCATGTAGATGACGACTTTGCGGCCAAAGCGATCGCAGATGTACGGAATGAAAAAGATGGTGCCGCAGGTGCCCACGAAGGGCGACGCTGAGATGAAGCCAAGCCATGTGCCGGACGGCTCGTTCATAAATTTGAGCCAGTCCGGGATGGCTTGGATAGAGTTGGTTATGGCGGAGTCATAACCGATAGATGACGCAAAGAGCACAAAGTTGCACAGCAACAGGTACAATTTGAGCAGGTTGGGTCTTTTCCACCAAGGTCTGGGGTCGTCAGGCAGAACCGAGGCGATTTTTGCACCGGTGGCGTTGACCTCCTTGAGGTGTTTGTTGGAGCGTTCCATGTTGCAGGGAACCAACAAAATTTAGTAAATTTATAGTCCAGCAGTTTTTATCAGCGCACAGACCGATGCATTATCAGTCCCGATAAGACGGGCTGTGGATCCGATGATAAAAAAATATTTCCACAAACGGCTTCCGACACACTTCCGACGCCGATAGTCTGTTTTCAACCTTTGGCCCGACAAGAACCCTCCTATATAAACCACTAGACCCCAAGACTGCTCTACAATGCTTTCAGACGTCAAGGTTGCCATCGATAGAGGAGGAACATTCACCGACGTGATTGCGGTCATTCCAGGCCGCGCCGATCACGTTTTCAAGCTGCTCTCTGTGGATCCTGATAACTATAAAGATGCCAACGTTGAGGCCATCCGGCGTGTTCTCGAGCACGTCCAGGGCTGCAGCATCCCGAAAAACTCGCCGCTCGACACAAGCTGCATCAGCAGTATCAGATTGGGCACCACTGTGGCCACCAATGCTCTTTTGGAGCGCAAGGGCGCGCGCTGCGCGTTGCTCACCACCGCAGGTTTCAAGGATATTCTGCGGATCGGGGACCAAACGCGGCCTGATCTCTTTGCCATGCGTATCCGAAAGCCGGAAGTTTTGTACGAGGCCGTTGTGGAGATCAAGGAGCGCGTGACCGCGCCAGATTACGAGGAGGACCCGGACCAGGTGAGTTTCGACTCCCTTGTCGGCAAAGACTCGGCATATACTAAAGGTGTCACCGGACAGACCTACCAAATCCTACAGGAGCTGGATTTGGAGGATGCGCGGCAAAAACTGCTGCCTTTGAAAGAAAGCGGCGTGCGGTCGCTTGGAATTTGCCTGGTGCACGGCTACGATTTTACGGAGCACGAGGTGCAATTGAAACGGCTGGCGCTGGAAATGGGCTTTGAGTTTGTGGCTGCATCCCACGAACTTATGCCGATGATCAAGGCCATCCCGCGCGCCCAGTCTGTTATCGTCGAGGCGTACCTGACGCCAATCATCCGCGAATACATTTCGTCTTTTTTGCAGGGCTTTAAGCCTGGCTTCGAAAAGACCACGCGGATTGAGTTCATGCAAAGTGACGGCGGTTTGGTGCCTTACGACGAGTTTAGCGGGCTGCGGGCACTTTTGTCCGGCCCGGCTGGCGGTGTTGTGGGTGAGGCACAGACTTGCTACGACCCAGCAGAGGGCACACCGATCGTCGGATTCGACATGGGCGGTACATCGACTGATGTGTCGCGTTACGACGGTAGCTACGAGTACGTGTTTCACTCGATCACCGCCGGTATCCATGTCGCTGCGCCACAGCTGGACATCAACACGGTTGCGGCCGGCGGCGGCTCGATCTTGGAATATGTGAACGGCGTGTTCAAAGTGGGGCCCGAATCTGCGTCGTCGCATCCTGGTCCGGCGTGCTACCGCAAGGGCGGCCCGCTGACCATCACGGACGCAAATCTGTATGTGGGGCGGATTTTGCCCGAGTTCTTCCCGCACATCTTCGGCCCCAACGAGGACCAGCCGCTTGATTACGCCGTGGTGCACGAGAAGTTTACACAATTGGCACGCACGATCAATGCAGAAAACCGCGGCGCCGAAAAGACGCCGCATGAGGTTGCGCTCGGGTTCCTCGAGGTGGCCAACCACAACATGGCAAAGCCTATCCGCGCGCTGACCGAGTCGCGCGGCCATAACGTTGCCAAGCATAACTTGGCGTCGTTCGGTGGCGCCGGCGGCCAGAACTGTGTTGACGTGGCCACCATCCTCAACATGCGCCGCGTCATTGTCCACAAGTACTCATCTGTGCTGTCTGCATACGGCATCGGTATGGCTGACGTTGTCAAGGAGAAACTTGAGCCGTGCGATGCGGTGTATTCTGAAGCCGTGCGGGAAAAGCTGCTGGCAAGATGCGGCGAAATTAAAGATGAGCTGCTGAAAAAGCTGCTGCTCCAAGGGGTCGACAGAAATACTGTCCAGAGCCAGTTCTACTTTAACCTCGGCTACCGTGGTTCCGACACCAAGCTTATGATTGCCGAATCAGACAAAGACTTTCTGGCGGCGTTTGTCGAACGCCACGAGCGCGAGTTTTCGTTTGTGGACTCCTCCAAGGCCGTTGTCGTCCACGACATCCGTGTGCGTGTGACGGGGTCTACATCCAAGATCCCGCAAAAATCGCCGTTCGATCGGGCCGGTGTCGAATTAAGGCCTGCCCCCACCAATCTCGTGCTCACCACTGCGCCTGTCTATTTCAGCGAAAATGGGGCCGGTGTGTGCCATGAGACCCGTGTCTTCCGCATCTCGGATCTTGCCGTTGGCCACACCGTTCAGGGCCCAGCTATTTTGCTCGACTCGACCCAAACCATATGCGTCAATCCCTGCTCCCGGGCATTAAACCTGGAAAAACACATAATCATTGATATTGATGACAAGGACGTCGCTCCGGCTCTCACACAGACGCTCACGGTCGACCCGATTCTGCTGGCTGTGTTTCAAAACCGGTTTATGGCCATTGCCGAGGACATGGGCACGACACTGCAGAAAATCTCCGTTTCGGCGAATATCAAGGAGCGCATGGACTTTTCGTGCGCGCTGTTTGACGCCGACGGTAACCTCACGGCCAATGCCCCACACGTGCCAGTCCATCTGGGGTCCATGTCTCACTGCATACGGTATGCAAAAAAATACTGGGGCAGTAATATCCGTCCCGGCGACGTTCTGGCGTCTAACCACCCGCTAGCTGGGGGGACCCATCTGCCAGACATCACGCTGATCTCGCCTGTGTTTATTGACGGCGAGATTCGGTTTTTCACGGCGTCGCGGGCTCACCACGCCGAAATTGGCGGCTCTGCTCCCGGTTCCTGCGCCGCAGACGCTACCGAGCTTTATCAGGAAGGAGCGCAGTTCCTGCACTGGAAGCTCGTTGAGAATGCCAAGTTCGACTACGATGGTGTCCAAAAGCATTTCGTTGAGGACCCAGCAAAATATCCCGGCTGCTCAGGCTCCAGAAACGTCAAGGACAATCTCTCCGACCTCAAGGCGCAAATCGCCGCAAACCAGCGCGGAGTGCACTTGCTCGAAGACCTGTTCAAGGAGTACGGAACGGAAGTTGTTCTGTTTTACATGACAAACGTGCGCAAAACGGCAGCCACTGCGGTGCGTAACTTCTTCAAACGCACGGCCGCCAAAATGCGCGACCAGCTCCCATTGCGTGCCACGGAAACCATGGACGACGGGTCGGTGATCAATGTGGTGATCGACATCGACGAGAAAAAGGGCGAGGCGTTCTACGACTTCACAGGCACATCCGAGGAGGCGTACGGCCCCTGCAACGCGCCGATTGCCATTACGCACGCGTGCATCATCTATTCGCTGCGGCTGATGCTGGAGCAGGACATCCCGCTCAACGAGGGGTGTCTCGAGCCCGTGCAGATGTACATCCCGCCAGGAAGCATCTTGAACCCGTCTGAGTTTGCGGCAGTCGCGGCGGCGAATTCCACCACGTCGCAGCGGCTCAACGACTGTCTGCTCAAAGCCTTCGGGCTGTGTGCGGCCTCTACAGGCTCGAACAACACCATCGGCTTTGGCAAAGGCGGCAAGGACCCAGTCACAGGCGAGATCAGGCCCGGATTCGCCATGGTCGAGACGATTGGCGGTGGCTCCGGCGCTTGCGAGGGGGCCGACGGCTGGTCCGGCGTGCACTGTCACATGACCAACACAAAGATCACAGACCCAGAGATTTTTGAGAAGCGGTACCCAGTAATTTTACATGAATTCAGTATCCGCAAGGATTCTGGAGGCGAGGGCCGGTGGCGGGGCGGCGACGGGCTGGTGCGGACAATTGAGTTTACGACAGACCTGTCGTGCACTCTACGTACACAGCGGCGCAACAGTGGGCCGTACGGCGTCCATGGTGGGCTCCCAGCTGCCAGCGGCAAGAATTTGCTGGGCAAAATTCAAGGTGGCCGCATGAGATGGATCCATATGCCGGCGTTTGCGCAGTTCCAGCTCCACAAGGGAGAGTTTGTAAGTATTCTGACGCCTGGCGGCGGTGGCTACGGGGCGCCTACCAAAGCACCTGAAACTGGCCGCTACAGACGCCCAGACCAACAGCACACGGCATTTTTGCCCATTGCAGGCGGTTCGCTCGCTCTCAGAACGGAGCTGGGCAATACGTCGCAGTAAATATATAGCTGAATAAGAATTCGTCAAATTAGGAAATTTATTATTTATCATGGTATCTCGGGGAAACAAGTTTGTATTCGTGCAAACGCTGTTTGAGAAAGGAGAAGAGCCGGAGAAGAGCGCGGGCCGCGATAGCAGACGGACGCTGGGACGCACCAAGCGGACACGGGTGTCTGTCGCCTGCGACCGGTGCAAGAGACGGAAGAAGCGGTGCGAGGGACTAGAACCATGCGAAAACTGCAAACTGGCCGACGCCCGGTGCTCGTACTCACGCGCACTCAGGACGCAAATAAGAAAAAACAGGGAGAAGGAGGACGCAGTTGATGAGCAGGTTCCAACAGAGGCTCTCGTGGTAGACTCCGGTAGCACATGCGAGCCACAACCCACCTCCCCACCTAACTCAACAAAACACAGCCCGAACGCAGAATTCGCTCACGCGGACGAGAACGAGGTGCTTGCAGAAGCCCTTCAAAACCGGATTCTGGCCCTGAAAAAACAATTTTCGATGTTGCAAGAGGAGCTTGCAGCTTTGCGGCCACACAAGGCGCGCGCCGAGAAGTGCTCGAGCGACTTCTACAAGTCGATTCGACTGCTTTTACATGACACCCAGGACGAGACGTACGCTGGCAGCACAGCCATTGTGTCCAAAGTGAACTCGATCAAGAATTGGATTCTCTCGAAACTGTACAGGGAGATGAAAGACTCCCACTCGTTCACCAAACCGCCGCCCGACCACGCCAAAATTATGCGCATTCTGGACAGCCGTGCCAGCAGCACGGTGCCGGTAGCCCCCACGGAAGAGCTCGAAACGATGTTTGTGCAGTACTTCAACCGGCTCATGGGCCAGCGGTATTTTTTCTACGAGCCGGAGGAGCTGGAGCAGCTGTTTGCGGTGCATTTCGGCGGGTCCGATTCACTTTGTCCCAAATTCACCAGCCGAGCGCACCAGGACGCCATCGCAAGCTTGATTCTCGGCACGGGCTGCCGTCTGGTGATGATGTCGAAACAGATGAATTTCCTCAACCCGAAGGTCTATTTCGACCGCGCCATGGACCTACTCTCCAGCATAGAGTCAGCACTCAACTCTCTAGACCAGATCCGTCTCATCATGTACATCTCCCTGTACTTGCTGGTCTCGTACGACCACAACGTCAAGTTCACAATGAACATCTGGGAGCTGTCGGGGCTAGCGATCCGTAAAATCACCCAGACTGGGCTACATCGCTTCAACATCCCGGCCGTCGAGACAGCAAAGGAGTACGAAACAAAAAAGCGCATTTTCTGGTCCGTCTACACGTTCGAGAAGGTGCTATGCATGACGCTGGGCCGCCCTGCGTCAATCTCCGAGGACGAGATAGATGTGCCGTACCCGCTCAACATCGACTCGCTAGCCGAAATCGACGCCAAGGACCTGTACAAACTGCAGATCGAGCAGCAGCGGCTGCAATACCAGCAGCACGACCACCGCATCACGTATCCGCAAAAAATCTCCCGCACATACTATCTCATCCAGATGTGCCGCGTCCGTGAGCTGGAGCTGCGCATCGGGAACCTGGAGCAGTCGATCGCCGTGCCGCTCGCAGCGTCGATGATCGACACCGCGCCGCATATCGAGCCGCAATTCAACGCACGCTACCAGAAAATCGAGACAGAGCTCGAGAACTGGCGCGCCCAGCTCCCGACGGAGTCGGAATTCCTCGACGGCCTGCGTCGTGAAATCCCGTTCGAGTACCTGACCCTTTGCTACCACCGGTCGAAAATGTTTCTGTGTCTCACCAGAATCATGCACAGCGTCGACACGGACCACAAGAGCTTCCATGCGCTTTTGGTTGAGATTTCTGAGGCAGCAGGCGGTGTGTGCAAGGCGTATATGGCCATCACGAAGGACCCGGCATTTGGCTACGGCATGTTTAGTTTGCACTCTGTTTTCCTTGTCGGCATTATTCTCGCGTACTCGATTCTCAACCTTGACCACGAGCTGCTTGTCACCTCGCAAATGTGGAAATTCCACAACTATCTGCGTCACTGCTCGGTCCTGCTCTCGCTGTTTGCCGAGCGCACAAAAAAGGCCGCCAGCTTCCGCATCCTGTTTGACAGACTGCTCGAGGAAGGCATTTTCCGCACCGCAGCGGGCTCGCCAGAAATGCCGGCCACGCCGGCCAGTTTCTACTCGCAAACGTTCGAGTCGGGCGACCTCGAGCTGCGGAATCTGATGGACATCTTTAGCTCCAACACAGAAAACCACTGGAACATCAGCGACGAAGACGAGTTCTGGGAAAAACTAGATTCTAACCGCTCTCTACATAAATAATTCCGCTATAACTTCATCTTTGGCTCCACCCACCAGTCGATATCTCCAAAGTCCGGAAACTCCTTCGCAACACGCCAGTCCATCGCGAGCGGATCGAACGACGTCCCAGTGCGCCATTTCCAGCTCTCCGCATACTCTGGCTCTAACGTGTTCTCCATCCGCGCAACAATATACTTCCCGATGTTTGGCAAAAACTTGTACCCGTGGCCCGAGTCGCCTGTAGCAACGAACGTATTATTATGACCCGGCACGCGGTCAATAATAAAGTGCGAGTCCCCCGTGTCGCCCACCCAGCACGCCTTTGCGTTGAACGGCTCGTGGTATGCCAGCTCCGGACAATACTTGTTGAGCAGCGCCTTGAGCTCGCCGTAGCAGTGTTTTGGCATCGTGTCTCGCGGATTTTCGTTCTTGTACCGCGGTAGAGACAGTTTCTTGTCCTTGTCGTGCGGATTGGCCACCAGATGCGACGCCCCGGCTCCTGGCAGGGCCACCTTGATGATCCGTGTCTCCGGGTCTGGGGGGAAGAAGTAGCCCATGTCGGAGTCGAAAATGATCGGAATCTCCTTGTATTTGGCATATTCCTCGGGCGTCAGCTGGATGTGCGCAACGTACAGACTGGTGGCCGACTGCTGTCCGTTCAGGTCGACGGCCGTGCCGGTGTTGGCTCCGCAGCAGATCAAAATCTGGTCGGCCGTGTACAACGTTCCGGCAGCTGTTTTCACATACGTCTTGCCGTGCTGCTCTTGAAGCCCAGAAAAATAACCCTCCGCTCCAAACGTGAACTCCACGCCCAGCTCCCGACACCGGCGATATAGGGCCTTGAGCGAGTTGCTGGCGTGGCCTAGCCCGGACTCCGGGTTGAACTTGAACTCTTGCTCGTCGCCCAGTCGGTTGTGCAGAAATTGCGGGTGTTTCTCGGCTAGAGATTTACTTCCTCTCAAATACTCCACCCGCTGTCCCTCGCCCAGCGCACGCAGATTCTGGATACCCTGCTCCTCAAACTTCTTCCGCCCAGCGTGCTCCTTGGGAGTAACCAGTACACGGCCACACTCGTTGTATAGTCCCTGAAGGTCTGGGTCAGTTTTCCACAAATTAATTGCCTCCACGGCCATCTTGGAGTAAATCATGTCGGTATACTCTGCCCTGATGATTTTATTGAAATCATTGGCAGCAGACCAGGGCGAGGGCGGCTCGTAGACGTCAATTGCCCGCACGTAATATCCCTTCAAGGCCAGCTCTCTTGCAGCGGAGAGCCCAAACACACCGCATCCTACAATTAGCACGCTTGACATTTTGTCCCAAAAATATCTTTATCACCGGCTTTATACTTTTTTAATTTTTTTTCGTGACTTCTGGAAACTCGATCCGCGCGGTCTGATAAGCCATTTTTTGAAAAAATTGATAACAGCTAATTTCATTGGACTCCTCATGAAGGGTATCAAGAAGAGTAAATCCGGGTGTCTGGTGTGCAAACGACGCAAGAAAAAATGCGACGAGGCCAAACCCAGATGTGGACACTGCCAACGGCTTGGTCTGGAGTGCAAATACGGCGTCGTCCTTAACTGGATGAAAATACAGCTGCGTGCTCGATTCCATGCCAGCGGTGCACAGCCGACAAACCACCATCTTCTCAATGCCAACTTCACCAACATGGGACTGGCATACCATCTGCTGCAAATGTCTCCAAATTGTCCCATCCGCGTCCATAACGAGCTCTGGACTGCCACCGTTGCCGAGCCGTGCATCGACCCACGGAAAACGTCGCCAGAGTACCTTTTCAACCACTATGTCCGCAACATGTCCAAGTCGCGCTCGTTCTGCGGGAGCACAGACACGGCCAACGAGTTTGTATCCATCATCGTGCCGCTGTGCAAGAACTTCACCGCGCTGAACCAGTCTGTGCTGTGCTACGCGGCCATCGACCTACTCAAAGAGGAGCTCACTAGCACAACACCACATAAAGATGTTTTGCAGAGCTACTACTCATTGTACGTCCAGTTCAAAGACGACGCTATCAATGGGCTCCACTTGATCCTGGACACGTGCGACCTGTCAAACCTCGAGATCCTGGAGGAGTTGATTATTACCATCATGATTTTGTGCGCAGCAGAAATCGCAAATAACACCAGCAAAAACTGGGTCAACCTGATGAAGGAGGGGTTTTTGGTGTTCTCATCGCTGCAGCCGACGCAGATTCTCAACTCAAAGGTACTCACGTTTGTGTATCGCTATTTTTCACTGCGTTACGTTCTGCTCGTGTGCACATTGAAAGGAGACGTCCTGGCACAATTGCTTGACTCGTGCCGCTGGCCGGTCATTGAGTCCTTCTTTGAGAGCGACACTGTGGACCATCTTTTTGGGTGCTCGCCGAAACTACTCCACACCATCCATCAGATGGCTATGTTGAACCATGCTCGCGAAACAAATGCCATTGAGGAGTCTGTTCTTGTAGAGCAGTATTTGGGCATATGGACCACGCTTTCGGAGATGAAACAAAGAACAGCTCAGGACATCTCTGAACTGGACATGTGTGCAGCGGCATACCTTGTTGCGGCCAAAGTCTACTTCTGCATGCTACTGTTGATCGGCAACCTCTCTTTCAACAGAAACTTTAAAAAAAAGTTTCTTCTGCTCACCAAAAACCTTACAGAGTTGCTGATCGGCCTCAGCAAGGTCAACATGAAGGTGTTTTTCCCCGGCTGGACGCTGCTTGTCCTCGCAGCCTGTCAGAGCTGCACCCCTGCGGGCGAGGACGTGCGGCAGCAGATCATGGGCATCTTCCAGACGCTGGAACTAAAATGGCCGCTGAGCACTGTTGCAGAGCTCAAGGACGCCGTACAGTCGATCTGGGTGCTCTACGACACAAGCATCGAGGAGCCGGAAAATTTAGCTGGCGCATTGAGATTAGAGCCCAACGGCGTTGACTGGCGCGACATGATCTGTGCTGCCAATTATTGGCTTCCACTGGTTTAAATTAAAGACGCTATATATTTGGTTAGCTCCATGGCCTTTTCGTCCTCGAGCCGGCGACAAATAACCTGTAGAGACACAGCAGCCCCGTCAAACTTGGCCAGGTTGGCAGCATATGTCTCATGGACATGTCTGTCAACCTCCGAGATGAACTCTGTTTTTGGATACGGCGTGTCTTTGCTGACATCACACTTTCCGACCGGGAAAGTTGTGCCTGAGTAGTCAAGACCGTTCCAGATGGCCGTGAACGGAAGCGTCACCACGCCGTACTTTAAACATGCCGGGAATGGCGACACCGGCGTGATGATGGCATCCAGGCCGTGCTTGTTCCACAATTCCATGTATTTTTGTGTAAGGGCGGTGCGCTTGCGTTGCAACTCCCATAGCTCTGACACAGGCATGTCACGTGCTGTCGGAAACCATTTCGACAGCAGCGGATCCACCGGTTCGCCAGATTTCTTGATTAGTTCCAGGATGCTGCGGTAGCCATTTGCTCCAAAGAAGGGATAAATGGCCTCTTTTATCTCAGTCAGGTAGTAGTTTGGCCATTCAACCACCTCGTGCCCTGCAGCCTTCAAAGCACTACTGACCTTAGTCATAGCGTTCACGAGCGGCGCCGTGGCCGTCGAGGTACCATCGTTATCGAGAATGGCGATCTTCAGCTTTTGTGGCAGCTCAACAGAACGGTATTCCAGGGGTAAACAGCCTGCGTCAATGTCCAGGTGCGGCTTTGAGGCTATAATGGTTTTCAGAACGTACTCAACATTTTCCAGATAGTAAGACATCACGCCGTAGACAGACTTGATGGACTCCTGTCCCGGCTGGCCTGACGCTGTGCCATAGGTGGGGATTCTTCCAAACGATGGCTTGATCGAGTATATTCCGTTCAGAGCAGCAGGGTGTCTCACGGAACCTCCGATATCTGATCCAATACCAAACGAAGAGCCCCTGAGGGCCCCTATGGCAGCTTCGCCACCGGACGACCCGCCATTGTTGAGATATCGGCGGTTGTGAGGATTCAGAGTCCGTCCCCACAGAGTGTTCACCGTCTCAGAGTACATCATTCCGGAGGACGTGTTGGTTTTGCAAATAATAATTGCACCCAGTCGTTTTAGCAGCTTCACAATAGCCGAGTCCTCAGTCGCCACTTCCTCAGCCAGACCCACAAATCCCATCGAAGTGGCAAACCCCTTTAAGTTGATGTTGTCTTTGAGGGAAACAACGATCCCGTGGAGGGGACCAACCAATTCATTTTTCTGCTCGAGGAAACGATCTTGTTCGACCGCTTCCTTCAAGGCCTCCTCGAATCTCACCTCCGTAATAAAATTGGCAAGCCCGTGGCCAACGGCCGCCCGGCGACAGTACAATAATGTCACCTGGTGGGCACTCAAGGAACGAGTAAGATATTCCTTCTGCAGCTGCTCAATAGTAAGACTTACAATCCTATTCTCCTCATCGGTAAATAAAGTATCGATATATCCGGTCACATCGTTGACTTCCTCCGGCGACGGCAGATTGGCGATCTGGTACGGACAGAGCAGTCGCTGTTGCTCGCCGAGCTTTTTCTCTCTAACCTCCTCCCAGGTCATGTTGAGCGAAGTTTTTCTGGCACGCTTCTGCCGAAGGCTCTCATCCGGAATTCACAGGCTTGCCTGATTTTTTGACTCTCTTATCGTGCATTTAGGTCGTGTCCGTCCGACGGACTTTTTTATTTATATCCGCCGCATGCAGAAACTATAACCTCCATAAAGACACGAATACAGTCAAGATAATCTGGGATGTCAACCCTTTCGTCTGGCATGGTGTTGTACTTGCCACCCGGACCACACACAATCCCCTCCATGCCCAGCTTCTCGTAAAGATGGCCTGCATCGCTCCCGTAGAAGCAGGGTGGCTTGAGCGCGCCTGTAGGCTGGTCCACCCCGCGCACCTTCCTGTAGCACTGGTTGAGAAGTTGCACGATCTCGGCCTTGGGGTCGACCTCAAACGGTGGCATAAAGTCGCGTTTTTCCAGGCTCAGCTCGTACTTCATTTTCGGATACTTTTCCTGCGTCTTCTTTAGCTCAGTCTCCAGATCCTCAAGCACTATCTCTTCGTTCTGGCCTGGGGCGTATCTTGCCGCCCCGGTAAAAGTAACAAAGTCTGCCACTTGTGGAGGCCGCCAGGTCTCGTAGTTTCTGCCCAGACCGCCCCTGATAGTTCCGACGTGGCATCTGTTGACGCTCTCGTGCGTGGCGGAACGTGCTTTGGAGAACTTGAGGTCCGTTAGCCGGTGGATCGCATCCATAGAGGCCAGAATCGAGTCTGTGGCCTCCTCACGTTTGGACATGTGGCGAGTGTCCCCCACAACGTTGACCTTGAAAATAGCCGAGCCAGCGTGCATCACTAAAGCATAAACATCGGTTGGCTCGCAGTTGATGAAGAAGTCTGCCGAGTCCTTGGTAATAACCTTTTGTGAAAGCAAGGCCATGGTTCCAGCACCACCCTGAAGCTCGCCAACAACAAAGGTCAGCGTCAGGTCCTTAGATATTTGAAATCCAGCATCCTTAAGCGTCTTGACTGCCATGTAGTAGGCACAACAGCCGGATTTCATGTTGCTAACACCAATGCCATAAATAAAGTTATCATCCACCTTGCCCTCATAGGGATCAACCGTCCAGCCCTCAGTAACAGGGTTCACGTCCACATGGCCGTTGAAGAGCAGCTTCTTTCCCTCATACTTGTTTGTGCCCTCCCACACGCCAACAGAGTTATATCTCTTCATGCCGTCGGTTTGGTCGGTGAACTCCAAACTCTCCGCTTTCAGGCCAATGTCTTGCATGGCGCGAGTCATATAATTGACAGCATCAATCTCGCCTGGTGTCCTGGATTGTGAATGGATCTTGATGAAGTTGGACAGGAAGTCCAGACACTCCTTTTCGTTCAGTTGCGGTAGCTCAGACATGGTCACTAATAACGCAGAGTGGATAGACTTTCATGTTATTATATGACTGACAATAGAACGGCGGGCGGCACTACTTTTCCGTCGGCTGGACCCGTCCTGGTTTCAGAGCGTATCGTGCATGCTATCAGTAAATTTTTTTTATTTTTCGCAAGTCTGGTCCCGCAGGCTTACGGAGAGCCGACTCTGGGAGCATATATATATGGGCGTTCAGAATGTTCCCGATATCGCAAATGTCGACGATTGACGAGACCAAATCGGGCTCTGTGACAGAGGTGCAAGTGCCAGAAGAAGCCATCAAAGACGTCGCCTATGAATTGTTCCAGGAAGGTGGGGCCAACGATGAAGTGGACCCTAAAGACTCTTCCCGTATAGCCAGAAAACTCGACGTCCACATGATGTGGGTGCTGTGCACTCTGTACGGTATTAACTACGTTGATAAGGCAGCACTGGCATGGGCCGTTCTGTTTACCTTCGAGGAAGACCTTGGACTCACCGGAAGTGACTACTCGTGGGTTTCGTCGATCTTCTATTTTGGCTACTTGGGCGCCCAGCTCCCAGCATCCTACCTTTTGCAACGCTTCCCAGTTGGTAAAGTGATCTGCTTCTCCTCCTTTGCGTGGGGGATCATCATGCTTGCCCACATGGGTTGCAAAAACTACGCCGGTATTCTTGTCTGCAGATTCCTCCTCGGAGTGTTTGAGGCCCCTGTCTCAGGTGGATTTGTGCTATTCACGTCTTTGTTCTACACCAGAAAAGAACAGGTGTCTCGGACCATGTACTGGGGCTCCATGCAGGGTATTTTCTACGTGATTTTCGGATTTATCACCTACGGTTTGGGCCACGCGCATAGCTCCTTCCTAAAAGAGTGGCAGCTGATTTACTTAGTTTTGGGACTCTGTTCGGTCATTATCGCTTGCGTGTGGTTTGCATTGATCCCAGACTCACCGGACAAAGCAAGATTCCTGTCCAAGGAGGAAAAAATTATTGCCGTCAAAAGAGTCTCCAAAAACATGATGGGTGTCAAGACCAACGACTGGAAATACACCCAGGTTTGGGACTGTCTTGTTGACCCAAAGACGTGGCTTATGATTGCATTCATTATCTTTTCTATGATTCCAAACGGTGGTCTAACCAACTTCGGCTCTTTGGTGCTTAAAAGTATCGTCCATAACAGGGTCCAATCCATTGCGATCGGTGTGGGCAGCTCGTTTTTCTCGTCCGGCCAAATGTTAATTTACTCCGTTTTGTCCATGAAGTACCACAATTTGAGAACTATTGGAATGAGCGCGCCTTTGCTACTGGCAATTGCAGGTTTGTCTGCCGTCTACGCCACAGAGGACCACGGCGCCAAGTGGGGCCGTGTTTTTGCTTACTGGATGATCAACTCGTACGCAGTCACGTGGCCGTTTGCTCTTTCGATCATTGGATCAAACTATGCAGGACACACCAAACGTGCCACCATGAGTATGTTGCTGCTAATTTTCTTTGCCGTGGGAAACATCATCGGTCCGTTCTGTTTTACCAGTGAGGATGCTCCAAAATACACCAAGGCTCTGGCTACAAATCTGGGCTGTTTCTGTGCCTGTTTCCTCATCGCAGTGCTCCTGAGACTGTATCTGATATGGGAGAACCGTAGAAGAGACGCGAAATACGGGCCCGTTGCCGAGCTTACGGAAGACGAAAGACAGCAGGGCATCATCAACGGTATGAAGGATCTCACAGATACGGAAAACAAGGAGTTCCGATTTGTACTATAATATAGGTCTATCTTAATTTTAATTAATTTTTATCGGCCCACCAGATTGGGTTTATGCGATAACTGAGAAAATAAGATCTGCTCCGACAAGTTTGTTCGTTCAATATTTCCCATGGCAAGTTATCTCCCTGTTGAGAATGGCACCCGGTCGTTTTGGCTGAGTGCAGAGACTGAGTTTGGCTCTACAAGGACGACAGAGAACCTTCCTTCAGAAGTCGATGTGCTGATCATTGGTGGTGGTTATTCTGGAGCCACCACAGCGTACTATTTGTTGAATGGAAAAAATCGGCCAGAGTCTGTTCTCCTGCTCGAGGCCAGAACTCTGTGTTCTGGCGCTACTGGAAGAAATGGAGGCCATTTCAAGCCCAGCTTTTACAGCTCGTCAATCTCTCACACCGAGAAGTACGGTCAGAAAGCCTGTGCTGATATCACGAACTTCGAAATGGCACATTTAAAAGAGTTGAGAGAGGTGCTCGAAAAAGAAAAGCTCGACTGTGAGTACATTGTCACCAGAGGCTGCGACGTGTACACGTCTGAAAAGGGCGCCCAAAGGGCAATTGCAAATTTCCACCACATGATGGAAAATCCATACGTTGAAAATAAACACGAGTTCCAGCTGCATGTCGGCGACCGCGCAAAAATTCTTTCGAAAATGCCCGACGCGCGTGCTTGTGTGACGGGACCAGCGGGCCAAATGTGGCCGTACAAGCTGATGGTTGCATTGTTGGAAATATGTACCACCAAGGGACTCAATATTCAGGCCAACACTCCTGTCTTGAGCACTGAAAAGCAAAAGAACGGAAAGTACTTGGTGCACACCGAAAGAGGCGATGTCATTGCCAAATCTCTCGTGATAGCCACCAATGCGTACACGGCCTCCGTTGAGCCTCGTTTTGAGAACAAGATTGTCCCCATCAAGGGCATTTGTAGCCACATCATTTCGTCTGGGGCCAAAGCTCCAGCCCATCTGACCAATTCCTACGGACTTCTCCTTCCACAGAACAGTGATTACCTCATCAACAGGCCTGACGGTTCCATTATCCTGGGAGGTGCCAAAGAGCACCTTTTTCCGTATAAGGAGCGTTTCTACAACGTGGTGGACGATAGCACTCTGGTTCCAAATGCAGAAGACTACTTTGAAGGATACATGGAGAAGAACTTTTACAGCTGGCAGGAATCGAAGTCAGCCGTTGCCAAGGTCTGGAGTGGTATAATGGGTTATGCTGATGATGGTCTGCCATATGTTGGCGAGCTCGAGGAAAAGAAGTTCATCCTGGCCGGGTTTGGTGGCCATGGAATGCCCCGGATTCTCCTTTGTGCAAAGGCTGTTGCCAAATATATCAAGGGCGAATCCAGCGAATTCGAAGTTCCTCGTCCATTTTTGGTTACTCCTGAGAGAATGGAGCGGACAGAGAACGGCGTTCTTGCATCTCTACAAGCTGTTGTTGAAAAATAAAGTATGTTATTTTTTTCTGAGTGCCAGTAGCGGGCTTTTATTCACCTCGAAATCCTTAAGCTTTTCCCAATTGTGTGCATCCAAACAGGCCTGGCGAGATAGCAGCACAGCGGGACCAGCACGCGCTTTGACGTCATCCTTGTACGCACGGATCATCTCTTGCCACGAGATCTCCTGTTTCTGACATTTTTCCAGCAGATCGATGAAAAGCTTCACGTCTGCAATGGCATGATTTCCAGCCTCTCCCCTGTACATGACCATGGCATGGCACGCATCTCCAACCAAAATGATTTTGCCCTGCTTGTCGTCAAAGTCGGCATATGGCCAGTCAGAAAGCCGTATCTCCATGAATCGATCGGAGGCTGCCACCATTTTTTCACGTAGAAACATAAGATTCTCGTTCAAGCCCGAAGACACTTTTTTGATAACGGCGATCTTATCTTCGACAGTGTCAAACTTCTCGGCAGCCTTGTCAGCACAATTCCAAGAAAAGTTCACCTGACACTGGTAGAAATTGGATCTGTTGTAGGCTGGCGAAGAAAGCAGAGAAAACCAGAAGAATGTGTTGTTGGATGGTATTGTTCCTTGAAATAGCAAACTGTCAAAGTGCTTTGACACCTGATCGTACTCTTGTTGGGTAAGCTCAACAGTAGATCCCAAGAATCTGACTGGAAGGTCATATAGCTGGTAATTATCTGGATTGGTGAACCGTCTAGTGATAGAGTTGCTTCCTTCTGCTCCAATCAGGAGTTTACCGGTGAACGTTCTGCCATTCTCACATATAACTGTCACTTCGGTGTCTGTAGTCCTGACCTCTACCGTTTTGCAACTCCAATTAACGTCAATTCCCTCTAGCAGGGTCTTTCTGATCTGTTCTCTTCTGACTCGCAGTCTTTTGGATGGAGGAATGTGAACCAGCGATTTTGCACTTTCTGCGTTGATATACACAAAGTTTCCGCTGTCATTCAAATGAAAGTTTTCAAGCACCTGGCATTCGTAGACCTTCTTTTGTATCTCTTGCGGCAAAAGTGAAAGGAAGTCATTCAAAGCCCAATGCAGAGTAATACCCCATCCTTGGCCACGAGACGAAACCGATTCATCCCTATCAAAGATGATATAAGGAATCCCCAGCTGTTTGAGAGCTTGCGCTGTGAGCAAGCCAGCAATTCCAGCTCCTGAAATGAGAATTGGCAGTCGATCCCAAGACATTATTTTCTTTGAGTTGGAAAATCGGTCTTTTTATTTTCAAGCCCGTTGCTCCATTGGAGATAAAAAAATCTTATCGCTGCGGAATTGTTACATAAAGTAGCCGGCGGATTTCGCGAGTGATGATATTTATAGTCCCAGTATTTATAGTCCCCGAAATCAAGTATCCTGCGATAATATGAGCGGACACGAGGCAATTAACCCTATCCACCCTTCCATGGTGGGTAAGCTCGACCCAGAGTTTGAGAAGATGTACAATGAGCATGTTGCCAATACCCCTAACCGTCCTATCGATCTTCCTTTGCTGAGAAAGAATTACAATAAAATATATTCCTATGGCACTGCTCCTGCACCGGAAATTAAGAACATTGAGAATACAACGTTTCCAAGCTTTGATGGCAAACCGGTGGCCCTGCGAATTTACCGGCCAAACGACTACTCAGAGTCTGAGAAGTTGCCAGTTCACCTGGATTTCCATGGAGGCGGTGCCGCAGTTGGTGATCTCGACACCGAAGCCCACATTCTGAAAGAGTACGTTGCAAGAGCAAGAATTGCCGTCGTGGATGTTGATTATAGACTGATTCCGGAATACAAGTTTCCTACTGGTGTCAAAGACTGCTTTGAAGCCACCAAATACGTCTATGAGCACGCCGATGAACTTGGGTTCGATAAAAATTCCATTTCTGTCGGAGGAGTTTCCGCTGGCGGCCACATTTGTCTGGCTGTGGATCATCTCTGCCGCGACATTGGGCTCAAGCTGGTGTTGGTTTGTGCCGGTACGCCTCAGATTGCCGATATCTCGAACGTCAAAACCGCAGCAGACTCTCCATACCTTTCGATCAAAGAGTGCGAGTTTGCCCCTACTTTGAACTGGGCACGTTTGAAGTGGTTTGACGACATCAAGTGGAAATGGCTCGAGGATCTGACCGAGGAGCAAAAACAGAAGGAACTGGCAGAAATCGGATGGCTCAAAGATCTGATGCTGGCTCAAAATTTCAGAGGATTGACCAAAACTCTTGTTTTCACTGCTGGATTGGACCCTTTGCGGAGTGAAGGCCTCGAGTACGCCAAGAAGCTCATGGACCACGGTGTGGAGGTTGTGTACAAATGCTACGAAGGTGTGCCACATCCATTCCAGCATATGAATAAGAACCTCTGGCAGGCACGGGACTTTATCTACAGAACGTCTCTAGAGCTGGCTTTGGCCCACAAAACTTTGACTTTTTAGATATGCGGAATTAGAGCTTATCACACCGACAGTAATAATTTGTAAATTCCACCGGCAGCTTTCTCGAATTCCGCCAGGTGCTAGCGCAGGTTTAAAAGATATCTACCTCCCATATCTTTCCACATCATGACGTTGGATTGGGTAGTCCCCAAAGGCACTGTTGTGCTTGCCACTGGCGGCACTGGCTTCATAGGTGCACACTGTATCCAGGTTCTTCTTGAGAATGGATTCAAAGTTAGGGCTGCTGTCCGGTCTAAAACCAAAGGAGAGCAACTAGTCAAGTCGTTTGAGCAGTATAAACCTGCGCTTACCTTTGGAATCATAGAGGACGTGAGCGACTACGACTCACTGGTTCGTCTTGCTGAGGGTTGTTCGGGAATTTTACACCTTGCAAGCCCATACACATATGCTGTTAAGGACTTTGCAAAGGAACTGCTGGATCCAGCCCTAAAAGGTACACAAGCGGTGATGGAAGCTGCTGCTGCCCACAAGTCGATAAAACGAGTGGTCATCACGTCGTCATTCGCGGCGGTTTTCGATGCCACCAAGGGCTTGCAACCAAACGTTGTTTTGACCGAAAAGGATTTTTCTCCACTAACATACGAGGATGGAGTCAACACCACAGATCCAGCTGTTGCGTACAGAGCATCCAAGATTGTTGGAGAGAGAGCAGCCTGGGACTTTATTAACCAAAAGAAACCTTCTTTTGACATTGCTGTCCTCTGCCCGCCTATGGTCTACGGCCCTCTTGCTACCACGGAGCTGCTTTCGTCTTTGGACAATCTGAATTTCAGTAACTTGACCATCTGGAAAATGGCCACTTCTGGATCAGCCACACCGGTGCCGCCCACGAAAGGCCCTGTGTATGTGGATGTGCGGGATCTTGCGTTTGCTCATTTTCGTGCGCTGGTAGTGCCGGAAGCGGCCAACCAGAGATTTATGGTTTCCGCTGGGGATTTTAGCAACCAGGAAATTTGTGATAACTTGAGAGATAATCTCAGCACTGCAAGAGCAAAGCACGTTCCTATTGGAACCCCCTACCAAAACACGGAGCCGGAACACTTCACCACAGATTCGTCCAAGGCAATTGACATTTTGGGTGTTACATTTAGACCAATTAAGGATTCGGTTCTGGATCTAGTGAATCAACTGTATAGCTATATTGAATAACTATAAAATTCCCATTTGTTTTGCTTGCTCTTCAATATCGGCTTTGATATCGTAGCCGCAAATCTCAGTAATGGTCAGCTTGTCAGGCCGGTCATTATCCTTGCTGGACCACCCAATACGCTCGTTCAAATTTTCACGCGCTCTCAAAGAAGCGGCCTGAATCCTGGTAGCACGAGGTTTGCGAACTTTTTCATACAACTTGAGACCGTCTGGCACCGAAAACTTGAAACGGTCGCTAAAGATGTAACCAATAGCAAAAGCATCTTCAATGGCCGTGACGGCACCAAGAGACTGGTCGGGCATCATTGGGTGAATGGCATCTCCCATCATCACAACCTTGCCCTTTTGCCAGTGTTCATAAGGCTGATGAACATACAGCCTCCATTGCTTGATATCGTAAGCAATTTTGAAGAGATCCAGCACTTTTGGGTCCAGATCAGGAAACGTGCCACACAGCTCTTCAACAGAAGCTTCGTCATTCCAGCCACCCATACGAAGATCGTTTTTCACTGCTGGATAGAAACAGTAGCAGGAAACCACTTCGCCGCCTTTACAGGGAGACATGACGATTTTGTCAATTCCAGAAGATCCTGGAGTCCCTCTCCACCAATATTCAATGGCCTCGTTTTTAGAAAAATCGGTGAGACCCTTGGCCACCACCTCCTTTGTGTCAAACAAGCATCTAAAGCAACAGGAGGTCGAGGGTTTGAAATCTGGCGGGTTACCAATCTGTTCACGAGTGAGTGATCGAATTCCGTCAGCAGCAACGATCAGATCGTGCGTCGCCTCGTGGCCGTTCTCGAAAGTTATCTTTCCAGATTCTGCGTCAACGTTCAGCGCTTTGTGATCAACTAGAAGCTTGCAAGGAATTCCCTCTCCATTTTCATCCAAGGCACACTTGAGAAGCAAGTCGTGGATGTCGATTCTATGAAGATTGTAGTAAGGCACTCCAAAAGACTCTTCGTAGTCGCCGAGGTCATAGACCCCAGTGATCTCACCGTTATCAAACTGACGTTTTATCAACTTCTTCAAAATCACCGGTTTGGTCTCCAGCAAAGGCACCCCAAGCTCCCTAAGCAGCCTTCCTCCATTGGAAGCACAGGATAAACTTGCACCAACTTCCCCTGCATAGTGATATCTCTCATATATTGTCACCTCGTGGCCAAATTTGCGAAGGCTGATGGCCGCTGTGAGACCAGCGATTCCGCCACCAATGACTCCAACGTTCAAGTTCTGTTTTCTTTCAGGCATTTCTTGCAAACACCACTATTGACGTGCAACTTAAATAACCATCTCAAGTTTCGGGCCGGAGACTTTTTTATTTGTTCCGCTCGGAGATTTTCCCACGATTTGCGCTTATCTTTTTATCTTATCATGTGAACTTTTTTCTTCGCTAAAGTCAAATAACAGATGTGCTCGATTTGTATATATGCCACACATGTCTGCCTGTTTTACTGACCGTTTAAGTATGAACTCAGACAAGAACACTGTTGAGATTGTCTCCGAAGACCTGGCTCACAAGCCACACCCAATAACCTCGGTGTTGAGTGCGCAGAGTAACATATTTGCAGATGAGAACCAAGACATCACTCTCGGATTTATAAGGGAGTACGAGAAAAATGGACTTTCGTCGCTGGCTAACGTGGATCTGAATGCCATCACAAGAAAAATTGACAAGCAGATGATGTTGATCATGTTTCTGTGTTACACCTGTCAATTTATCGACAAAGTCGCTTTAAATTACGCCAATATTATGGGTTTGAGAAAAGACCTCGGCCTCGTCGGTAACCAGTTTTCCGACCTTGCAACGTATTTTTTCGTTGGTTTCCTTATTTTTGAGCCAATACAGGGCTTCTTCATCCAGAAAATCTCGCCTACAAGAGTTTTGGCCGTCAACGTCATGATATGGGGTGTGCTTTGCATGTGCAGCAGCGCGACGTCTAATTTTGCTGGTATGATTACCGTGAGAGTTCTTTTGGGCTGCTCGGAAGCTGCCATTGCACCTTGCTTGGTTCTTATCACCGCGTCCTGGTACACCAGGGGTCAGGCAGCTTTCAGAACGGGAATCTGGTACTGTGGTTTGGGAGCTGGTCAAATTATCGGAGGACTTATTTCTTTTATTTTCCAACAGATCTCCACTTTGGCACCGTTCAAAGGATGGAAAATTATGTTCCTGGTGATCGGTTTCGGCAATCTTCTGGTGGGATTCGCCGCCCACTTCTACCTGCCTGTCAACCCTGTCGAATGCAAATTTTTAACTCAAGACGAAAAATATGCTCTGCTCATAAAACTCAGCGAAACAAAAATTGGTGTGCAGAGCAAGAAGTTTGTGAAATCGCAGGTCTGGGAAGCTCTAAATGACATCACGCTGTACCTGTTCTTCATTATCGCTTGCACCATTTCATTTTCTTCCAACACTATTACAACGTTTTCTTCGGTTGACATTCTTTCGTTTGGATTCACCTCAAAGCAGGCTGCGCTTTTGAACATGCCGCCAGGAGTCGTCTCGATCGCCTCTACGCTCCTCTCAACTTTCTTCATTATGAAAGGATTTCCTAGAGGACTGTCGATCATGATTCTCTGTGTCCCTGCAGTTTGCGGAGGTGCCCTGCTTTCCTTCTTGCCAAAATCCAACCAAGCTGGACTTCTTGTTGGAATATACATGATCAACACCATTGTTGCTCCATTGGCGATTATATATGCGTGGGTTGGTAACTGTGTTGCCGGACATACAAAGAAGATTTGCTTCAATGTTGCCGTCATGTTTGGTTTTGGCCTAGCTAATATTCTAGGACCGCAGTCGTACAGAGCAGACGACTATCCGGACTACATTCCGGCGAAAGTCAGCATGCTTGCAACGCAAGCTGCTACCATAGTGATCGCCGCCCTGATCAACCTAGTCTACTTTTTGAGAAACAAGAGAAGAAGTAAAGAGCCGAAAAGAGCCATGGATGAGGATGTCGCAGCCGCTTACCTCAACAAAACCGACTTTGAGAATCGTTCTTTTAGATACTTATATTGAGACTATTGCCGCGTGCCGGGCTGTGCAAATTATAAGATTCGCTTATCAGTAAAATAATTAAAGTTCGAAAATATAACATGACTGTAGCTCCAAAGAAACGAGCTTGTGACTGGTGTCATGCTTCAAAGCAGGTCTGCTTGGGAGGCAATCCATGTGATCGGTGCTTTCGAAACGGATGGACTTGCACCAATCAGCGGCCAGCAAAGAAGATAGGAAGACCGCCAAAGCCGATGAGCGATAAACCACAGAAACCGCGAAAATACAACAAGAATGGGTGTTTGACTTGCAAGCAAAGAAAGCGCAAATGTGAAAATGAGACTTGGCCATGTAAGCTGTGCTTGCGTCTTGGTCTGAAGTGCAGTGGAGAGGCTGGCACCACTACTTCTGCTGAAATATTGCTAACGAAGGAAATCGATTCCTTCGATGAGCTCAAGGAAGCGGAAAAAATGTACATGAAATATTTTGTCAACGATGTGGCACCAATATTGTTCGCAAAAAACCACGCTCATGTCTTCCTCAAGCAGGTTGTGAACCTGGCATTCCTGTATCAACAGGTCAGAAACCCTATTTTGGGGATCGCCGCCACTCATCGCTCTTGCAAGTTAGACCATGAGCTGTCCTCCGTTCGTGAGCTCAATCCGGCCTATCGAGATTCCATCACCTATCGGGCTCGCTCAAAACTTTCGGAATATCCCCAGTGTTCAGATGAGATAGAGCTTCTTTCTGTGCTGTTGTCTGTGATGATGGAAATTCTTGTTGGAGATAGTCTTGATTGGTTTCAGTTGCTGCAACGTGCTTATAGAATACTTGAAAGATGTGGTGGAATCTTGTCTCTAACAAATGACAAAGACGATCAGCTAAAACTGATTAGCGTCCAGCTCTTTTGTTATCTGGATTTTGTGTCAAGCTTGAGCACATGCAACCCGCCATATATCGAAATGCAGCAGATGAACCAATTTGAAACCAGCTACAACATATCTGAATCCCTTGAAGAGTTTGACATTGAAGGCCTAGTGGATGAGAGTTTACTGTCGAACACAGAAATAAATTCTCGATTTGTTTCGTCGCTGTTGAGTGACAGCGACACTTCCAATATACTCAAAATCGAGCTCGGGTTTAAATTTGGCATTGCAGGTGATATATTCAAAATTATGGGCAAGATATCTGCCCTAGCAAGTCTCCGCAAGTTGCGCGGAAGAGACAGCAAGTACGATATCGAGTTCGATCGGTTTGCCAGCGAGATAGAGATGAAGTTGCAAAATTGGGATGTCCCTGAGGAAATTAATTTTGAAAACATCTCAGATTTTCAGAGAACACAGTATGCGCTGGCATTGCAGTGGGCTTGCTTCTTGCGGCTGCATCAGATACGCTACGGATACAACAGGGATGACTCAAGGCCCAAGGGATGTTTGGTGAACATTTTGCAAGCTATAGAATCTATTCCTGAAGGATCACAGCTGGAAAGTGGACTAATGGTTCCTCTCATACTTGCTGGCTCTGTGGCTAGTCGGGAGGATGACCGTAGAGTGATATTGAAGAGGATGAGGAATATCAGCGGAACGCTAAAGTTTCCTTACATTCAGCGATTTGAGATGCTGCTGATGAGAATTTGGGAGCGGGATTCACTGGATGGCAACTTTGTGAACTGGGCGGCGGTCAGGTATTACGAGTTTCCAGGGTTGGTGATGTTTTAGCTGGTACCAAGACACCGATACCACAATAATTAACGAGGCGCGATAAATATTATATACGATAACGGAACTCTGGGTTTTGACCGTCCGTCAAATCGGCAAACTCCATGTTCTCAACTGGCTTATACTTGTCACCCATTTTCTCTCTTTGCTTATCTCTGCGACGATTCTCTGTGACATTTAGCACTGTGAGTACGATCATCAGTACAATTGCTCCACAGTAGCATCCAACAACAGTTGCCTTGGCCTTTGGATAGTGTGGTGCGTCTGAGGACTGGAAAGTTTGAGGCCCAATGATATTTCCGCATGAGTAGCCAACAAGCGAGATGGCATTTGCGACGAGCTTTTTGGTGTGTCCAGCAGTGTTGGAGGTGACACATGACGTGACCAAAATGATACCAACAGGAGCCACTCCGAGCAGGTAGTAGCCAGCAAGCTGTGCTTTTTCCTGTGCAGCAAAGGCAAGCAGACAAGATGCGATCACGACCAGCACCATGTACGAAATACCCAAAATCATTCTTTTCTTGATGAAGATGGATAGGTATCTCAAAGCAATAAGACCCACGCACTCCACACCTCCCAGAGGTGCCTTAATCAGCAAGGACCGGATGGAGGAATATCCCATGGACTTGAGCAAAATAGTTCCAAACCCACTGATACCTCCGTTGGGGATGGCCACTAGAATTCCAATGGCAAAATAGATCCAGGTTCTCACGTCCGTGACACATTCGATCAGCTGGTGCTTCTTGAAATGCCTGTTACCAAACCCTTGATTGTTTCCTCTGATTCTCTCCACCACATTGAGCTTTTCTCTGTGAGTCAAGAATCTGGCCTGTGCTGGAGTATCTGGCATGATTAGCATGATCAACAGTCCGTTCACAATAGTGGCCATACCAATAATCATGAACAACACCTTATAAGCCTTCATGGTGTATTGTCCAGATCTTTCAAAAAGGCCATAGGAAATGCCAGAAAGGACAACAGTGCCGAGACCATTGAATCCATAGAAAATTGCGGTCCGGCCAAAATGTTCAGTGTGTCTGTAGTACTGGTTAAGTATCACAACAAAGATGGGAGACACAAAAGACTCAAGGGCTCCAAGCAATGTTCTAAGAAGAACAAACGTAGCGTAGGACTTTGCACTAACATGCAAACATTGTATAATTCCCCAGATGACAATAAAAGTGCTAACTGCCTTGATAATCGGTAATTTTTGTAAAAGAATCGCAGAAAACGGCGCCGCACACAAATATCCAAGATAGAAGCAAGAGTTGGTCCATGAGTACATCTGTCCCTCCATGTTGTAATCAGTCTGTATCCCCATGACTGCTGCAAATCCGATCGACGTCTTGTCCATGAACTGGATCATGTACAGAAACGAGAAAAGAGGAAGGACGATGCAGTCAAGCTTGAAGAGTAATTTTCTGTCTTCCTGTTCAGAAAATACTTGGTGGTCGGCCTCCTGGGCCAAATCCATAGCCTGGTCAACATCGTCAGTGATTTGGACAATCTTTCCTCTTGGGGAGATGATCGTCGTTAATGGCTGGCCGTTTTCGACTTCCATCACCCCAACAGATTCAGATTTCTTGGAATAGTCGTCAGTCATATTTTAATCTTATCTGGAGAATAAAGAGCGTTATATATGCTTGATCCAGGCTTATTCTTTGCATCCGATAAGTTGTTATCAGTCACTGAAATTTTTGTCCAAGCGGCTGAGATTTCTCGACCGCACCCTCCAAAGATATCGTCACAATTTCCTATTTTGTATTTTGCACATTATAAATATAGCGGATCTTTTCCCATCTTCTAGCCATGGGTCAACAAGTTTCAACACAGGGTACAACACCTTACAGCGTCGCTATTCCGGGGCATGGAACTTTGACCGGATACACTTTCAAGGCGCCTAGAACAGGCAATTCTTCCGTTCATCGGTTTGCAAAGGTTCCATTTGCTAAGCCTAGCACTCCCGAGAACAGATTTAAGCTCCCTGAGCCCCTTCCTTCAGACTATGATTACACTGGGGACTACAAGGATTTTGGTCTTAAATGTCCTCAACCATCAGTTCCTCACCCTCAATTTAGATATACTAAGTCGCCAACGGAGGAAAACATCTTGTACTCCAATATCTGGGTTCCTGCTTCGGACAAGTACAAACCAAAAGATGGGTGGCCGGTTTTAATTTATATCCACGGTGGATTTCTTCAGTATTCTACTCCTAACAATGAAATGTTCAACGTCCATGAGATGTTTGACGACGAAGACTTCACTCAGAAATTTATCTTAGTGGCTCCTGGGTACAGACTCAACATGTTTGGTTTCTTGTCGTCCAAAGAACTACTGGAAGAGGATGCAAAATGCTCTAATCAGGGATTTTGGGATCAGAGACTGGCCATTGAATGGACATACAAGAACATCAAGCACTTTGGAGGAAACCCAGACAAGATCACAGTTGGAGGTATCTCGGCCGGGGCGTACTCTGCGTTCTTCCAACTTGCCTATGAGTTGTACCATCCAGAGGCTGAACAAATTATTAAGCAGGCTATGTTCTTCTCTAACATGGTCTATATTCAGCCAAAGACAATTGCTGAAGTGCAGAATCAGTTTGACGAAATAATCGAGAAGTTGGGCATTGATCCAAATGCATCGTCTGCAGAAAAATTACAAAAGCTCAGATCTATAGATACTGGCTTTATTGAGGATTTCATTCCTACTCTTTCATTGCATACCTTCAGAGCTGTCACTGATGGCCATTTTATTTCACCAGATCTTATCAAAGACATTCGTTCAGGGAAACACGCTAAAATGCTTGCTCAAAAAGGAGTCAGAATTTTGATTGGCGAGGTTGACAATGAATTGGTCAAGTACTCCTACCTCAATACCCCCCAAAGCGTTTCAGAACTTCCTCTTCAAGTTGAGAACTATTATCCAAAAGTTGTGGTTCCTACTCTGATGGATTTATACGGCGCTGAAAAGCTCGATGAAAACTCCCCTGACTTCAAAGAGGATCTGAGAAAAGTTTATGGTGCTATCATTTCGGACGGTCAAGTTTATGCCTCTGCCAGAGGATATATCAACTCTCTGGTCCAGAATGGATATCCGGAAAAAAACATTTACAGATACAGAATTAGCTTCCGTGCTAAATGGCTCGACCAGCACATCAGTCCAGACTTGAACGTTCCTCACGCATGTGATGCGCATCTCTGGTTTTACTGTTTGCGAGAGGGGTACACCGAACCTGAAAGGCTTGTGATCAATAAATGGCTGCAACCGTATCTTCAATTTGTGAACTTTGAACAGGACATCACAGAGTGGCCATCCTTTGATGCCAAAAAAATCAGGCTTCTCAAAAGAGACGGCCAGGCGGAGTACGTTGAGGATCCAGATTGGGACTGGGGAGTCAAGGTTGCAACTGCTGTTTATGATAAGCAGATTGAGTGCACAACATAGATTTAATTAATTGTCATAATTAAAGTTGAAAATATTCCAGTATAGGAAATAGTAAGAGCGTCGACCAGTCTGTACTTTGCTAGTGAAGTTTCATCAAGTGTATTCCTACGACGCATGAGCACAGTGAATAACGATATAATCAGTTATATTATCATTTAGTTCATAGTACCTCATTTTTAACCTTGATCACCCCGTCAAATCTTGTGAGCAAAACAGCCGGCCACAATATCTTGATCTTTTCTAGCGACTGGATGCATTTCCTCACTAGTGGCGCCCTGATATCACCATTTAAATAATCAAACAACTCATCTACAGTGTACTCTTCGTCGACAGGAAGCATGCGAAAATTAACCCCTTGATTAGGGTGCTGCTGGATATGCTTCAGAATTATGGTCAAGGCTTGGAATGGGTATGAGTTCCTGATTACCCACAAGCACGCAGGCTTACATCTAAGGCCCAACTCAATTTTCATGATAGACTCATTAACCAGCAGCAACGACTGAAGCAGGAGACTGTAGCTAGGATCATCCAAAGAGTCTTCTGAAGACATGACGGAATCCCTCAATATATTTATGAGTAAAGCTGATTTGCGGATCCCAAGTCTTCCCTCGGTGACTAGCCATTTTGCATAGATTGGATCAAGATTGAATTCTGTCAAAAGTCTGTGGTTTAAGCTGTTAACTAGCCGTTGTGTATCCACAAAGCGTTCAAATATAGAATCATATTCACTCTGAGTGGTAACTCGAATCTTATTCATTTCCGCGATAACGTCTCCCCAAAGAATCCCATTGTGAAACTGTATGGATAAGTAGACCAGTGAATGGTGATCTAAATCAGTTGGAAGATTTTTGTAGGTCTCGCAGAAATCTCGGTGCATAGTTGGAGGCAGTCCACTGTAGTAGGATGACAGTGAATCCATGTACGAAATGAAACTGTAAAGGATGTATCTTAGGGAGCTTCCAGACGACTGAGCCGAAAAATTTCTGTGCAGACCGGCTATCTGACACAAACGGCTGAGAGATGCTATTTCACTGTTCTTCCCAATGCAATTTAGCGAGCCAACATAATAGATAAGGGTGGCCGCGACAAGAGATGACATTGATGGGGAGTTCATTATGCTTATCCAATGCTTGATATTTTCAATGGCACGGAAGCTGTTGAGTTTGACATTCTCAAAATCCACCTTGTCACTAATATGTTGCATGCTTCCGTAATGAAACATATTGGACAGCTGATTCACCAGTGAGCTACTAAATAACACTGCTAAAATTTCGAGAAGTCCATTGAGATCTTTGTATTTCTCCTGCGTATTCCACAACTGCCCGTAGTGGATGAAAAACTCCTCTTGATCCACTATGGGTATATATGGATGAATGTTTTCGAAAAAATACCAGACAAGAAAGTTGCAATCCTCTCGAGATGGGAGTCGCTCCACCAGGTCGCGGACGCCAGATAAAGGTTTGACAGGTCTTGTAAAATCGAAAACAACACACTGGTCATGGTCATCATGACTAAGGCCAACGATGGTATTGACATTGGATTCCTTTTCGGCAAACGGGAAAAAGAAAAGCGAGAAATACTTCGAATACTCGCCTGTAGAGCTTATGATTAAGTTGAAATTCCTTTTCTCCAAAGTCCTTGCTTCAGGAACAAGCTGTGTATTAGAATCCAGCCTCTCAACCTCCAAATCATACTGTTTTTTATTTCTAGGCTGGCTCGTATATTTTCTATTGTAAGTTCGCTCTATAATCTGCTCCTTCGTAAAATATTCACAGGTTTTACCCAAACGTGCACATCGTCGACATGCTGGTTTTTCTTTTCCACATTTCCTCTTTGAGAGATAGCACGGCTTGCAAGAACTTATCAGCCGTTTTCTAGTGATAATCATTGCTTGGCGAGAGTGCGGTCGTAAAAAAAATCGAATGATTACCACCAAAAATATGCGGCCGACAAATTTGATTTTTATCACCGCACCCACAGCTAATAAAAGTGAGTCTAAAAATCTAGTTTTACCACATCATGAGTGATACGTACGTTGTTGTCGGAGCTGGAATAGTTGGCCTGTACACGGCATACTCGCTGGTATATGAAGCTGGTGTCAGTCCCAAACATATAACCATAGCTGCGGCGCACATTCCAGGCGATCAGAGCATTAACTACACCTCTCCCTGGGCAGGTGGTAATTTTTCCTGCATTAGTCCAGGCGACAAGAAGTCTCTTTCCTATGATCGTTATACGTACACCCATCTGGCTGAGATCCAAAAAAAGCTGGGCGGTCCATCATGTGGTCTGGACATGAGACCAGCTACAGACTACTTCCACAAATATCCTCCTGCGAAGAAAATGGAGTCGCTAAAGGAGTACGTGAAAGACTTCCGCATTCTCGATAAGAGTGCGCTGCCTAAGGGAATTGTTTTTGGGATTAGCTATACCACCTGGAACTTTAACTGTCCACTGTTCCTGCAGAATTTGGTTAGTTTCTTGGAAAAGCTTGGCGTGACTATCATCAAGAAGAAACTCGAACACTTGTCGCAGGCCTTTTTATCACCAAATACTAAAATAGTTTTCAATTGTACCGGAATTGGTGCAATAACTCTGGGCGGCGTGAAGGACACCAATGTGTATCCTACGCGTGGGCAAGTTGTGGTCATTAAGGCTCCACATATTCAATTCAACATGTGTTTGTGGACAAACGAATCGGCTACTTACATAATTCCTCGGCCAAACTCTAATGGAGAGCTTGTGATGGGAGGATTTTTGCAAAAAGGTATCAGCACTGGTGACACCTTCAAGCACGAAACCGAGGATATCATTAAGAGGGCAACCGAGATGGCGCCACAAATTCTGGATAAACCTCTGGATGTGGTGAGAGTGGCTGCAGGACTTAGACCTTCGCGTCATGGTGGGCCTCGGATTGAGGTCGAGGAAGTCGAAGATGAAAAACTCGTTATCCATAATTACGGGGCTTCCGGATATGGATATCAGGGAGGATGGGGCATGGCCCACGATGCGGTCAGATTGCTTATCAAAGCGCAACGGGGAAGCATGGCGGCGTTATAGCGGGGAAAGTTTGTTATCAGAATAATAAAATAGAAAAGAACCGGGTATTGCGGCCGAATCAGGTAAATATAAGTCGAAGTAATACTTTTTCAAACAATATGCATGATAAAAATATTGTCCGATAAGCGATAACGCGAATATATAATAAGGTCATCAAAGTGCGCCGAAAAAGGTCGAGGTGGTATTTTTAGCGTCCAATTATTAAAATTTCAGGAAATGACGACCGAGGAAAAGACACCTGCTCATGTCAGCCAAGATGCTGCAACATCTCTGGAGAGCGGCCTTATGCCAGAGATCAGCAAAGTGGATAATGTGGCCGTTGAAAAGAAAGATGCGGTTTTGTCCAAGAAAATGTATCTCATCAACAACGCGATCGATGAAATTGGATTTACTTGGTACCACGCAAAACTGTTCTGCATCGCAGGATATGGGTATTCTGTCGACTCACAAATGGAAATGATTCAGTCTTCTGTCCATAAATATGTCGCGTATCAGTTTGGAACTGCATTTCCTATCGACACTGAAATTGCGTATGCTGGATTGATTATTGGATCTATTTTCTGGGGTTTCGGTGGCGACCTTATTGGAAGAAGATTATGTTTCAACAGCTCTTTGCTTCTGACTTCCATGTTTGGATTTTTGGCCGGCGGCATGAGTTCTATGTCCACCTACTGCATTTTTGTGGCTCTTGCTAACTTCAGTGCGGGTGGAAACTTGGCAATGGACGTTGCTGTGTTTTTGGAGTATCTCCCATTCAAGTACCAGTACTTGAACACTGTCATGGCAGCATGGTGGGGAGTCGGTCAAACAACTACCAACCTTTTAGCCTGGGCGTTTCTGCCAAACTTCTCCTGTAGCAGCGCTGATTACTGCCCTTCAAGCATCAACAGAGGATGGAGATACACCTGGTATGTCAACAGTGCAATTGTTCTGGCCTCTGGCTTGCTTTGTCTCTTCTGGTTTAAGCTTGACGAAACTCCTAAATTCTTGGTGTCTGTTGGAAGAGATGCTGAAGCAGTTGAGAATTTGCAGAAACTTGCCAGAAAATACAATCGCAAATGCTCTTTGACATTGGAACAACTTCAGGAGTGTGGTGATATTTCCTCTGAATACTACACAGCCTCTGAAGACGGGTGGGATCCGAAGAAAATTCTCTCGATCGTCCGTCACCACTGCAAAATTCTGTACCAAGATAAGATTAACGCATGGTCCACAAGCTTAATTTTACTCTCATGGCTCTTCATTGGTATTTCCTACAGTGTTTTCTACAACTTCCTCTATATCTATATTGCTTCTCATGGAGGAGATACGGGAAGCTCTACCTACATTGTCTACAGAAACTCGTCTTTGGCGAACTTTGTGGGTATTTTTGGTCCTATAGTTGCAGGATATATCATTCTTCTGCCGAGGGTCGGTAGAAGGTATACGATGAGTTTTGGAGCATTGGCTACCATGGCAATTCTATTTGGTTACACAACTGTGCGGACAGCGTCAGGAGACGCAGGATTCAGTTCTGCTACTTACTTCTTCATCAACATTTACTATGGATGCTTGTATGCTTACACGCCAGAGGTGCTTCCAGCACAAGCCCGGGGTACGGGTGTCGGGCTTGCTTTGGTGGCTGCAAGAGTCTCTGGGGCTTTCTCGCCAGTCACTTACTGGTATGGACAAAAATCAGGTTCTTCGATCCCAATTTGGGTTTGTGGAGGAATCATTGGATCTTTGGGTATAATATCGGCCCTGCTTCCATTTGAACCGTCGAAACAACGTTCTGTTTAGTCTATAAATATCAAAACAATGCTAGCTTTTCTTGTTGAGTGAACACTCAGTCAAACATCAGCTCTTTCAGATTAAATGGCTCCTCAAATAGCGATTCCCATGAGTCCTTCGCAGAATCCTGAAATAATTTTAAGGTTCGGATACTTCGTAAGGCGGAGTCATTACTGGTTGCGTTCAAGCCAAATTTAGGGATGTCCGGCACCTCCTGTGTGACTGCTTTGTTTTCTATCAATGGAATCGCTCCATTATGAGATAGAAGTGAGATAGAATTTGGGTCAAACGGTCCATAATGCGACCCGCGATCAAAGAGGTATTTGTTTTCTAAATTTCCTTTCCTGATAACTTGCTCAGCCGTGTCGCGATGTACTGTCTCTAGAGTTTGAATGGCGCTCCGCGCTGGCGGACAATGGATCTCCAGTTTTCGAAGTAGGTCTTTGGTTATCGCCATGGTATGTTCGAGCTTCTCAACTGTGTCTGCGAATAGTCGGAGTTGTGCACAATTTATAAAACAATAAAGTACCGTCAGCCCTGATTGATAAATGGAGTAGACAGACAAGTATCGATAGTTGATGCTTCGGGTATGGCTCAGAACCTCGTAAGTGGCTATAATCTTAGTACTGCTCTCGAACAAAGCCATAAACTCATCGACTGTGAGACACTCGGGGGACATATTGTCTGGCCTGTAAAGTCTCTGTAATTGCTGGAAGTAAGTTAGAATGAGGAAATTCTTGGAAGATATGAAGGCCTGCTTTACAGCTGAATCTGTTTTCCTTTCAAATTGTAGAGCCTGAACAAGCCATGAGTTCAACTCCACATGCATTTCATGTCTCCAGTTCATAGCGGAGTTGTTCATATTTGACACAGCTTTTTTGCTGCTAAACTGTTGAATCATTGACTGTAGTTTTCGAATTTTGAAAAATAGTGACGAAATGGCAAGCCTGCGATCATCCACGGACACTTCGTCAAAATTGGTTGTAATGTCAGTATCATTTAAACTGAAGGGTTTATTGACATAACAGCATATTTGTCGATCGAGCGCATAGCAGCACCAGAATAGCCTCCTGTAATAGCTGCTCCCAATGTTTTTCACCACATGCTCCTCATGCAAATCCATGTCAATACATAATCTCATTGCATTCGCAATGACATACCATATTCCTGGGGAAACAGGTTTTAAAAGACCAAAGCAACATATCAAGAGAAGAGATTGTAGAATTTGCATTTGGGAGCTGATATCACGGTTGTCTGGTACTGGGGAGGTAATTTTGGCTAAGAAAATCTTTAGTTGCACGATGGAGCTCAGATAATAACTTTGAGATTTATCGCTCATGTCGCCTGTAATTGCGGTTCCAATGGCAATAGATATATAAAGAACAAAAAGCTCCCAGTGGGACAGGTTTTCAGGAGATTGATAATGCTTGGAGCTCAATTTGTACAAAACGGTTTCGTCTTCTACTATTGGATGCTGTATCCAGGCTATTTGGTAGTAGTTGGAGATCAGCTGCTCGCATTCAGCCATTGAGGATGGAAGCGGCTCCGATCTGTCTAGGTGCTGATTCGAGTCGATTTTGCCATAAATGGAGATTTTTGTGAATTCGTTGTCCACCGTTGGAGAGCTGTTTCTAAACGGGATCATGGAGAGCACAGTTAAGTGAGCCATAGACGCTGCAGATGAACCATTCACAGCACTAAGGCTCTCAAACATGCTCTCATACTTTGCCAGTCTTTCCTCGAGGAGATCTATTCTTTTTTCAAGCATTTTGATGGACGGCTCTTCCATTGGGAGAGGGCGAAACACATCTGGGTAATCGGATCTTGGTCTCAGCTGCCTGGTCGACGAGTCAAGAACCATACATTCCACGCCAAGACGATCACATCTTGAGCACCTAGGATACCTGAAGTCGCATTTATGTTTCAAGGAACGGCATTTTTGACATGCTGTTTTTGATCTGATTGGACCCATTAGTTATAGTTTCACCTAGATTAAATCTTTTTTTTTTTAACTCCATGCGGCCCGAGGAGTCGGCCCGAGTCGGTTAACAGATTTGGTCGCTGATAAGTGATCGTATAAAAGAGGGTAAAATTCTTGCTTCAATAATTCCTGACCACATTCGAGAGTATGACTTACATTGAACGGACCATACCTAAGATAAGCCTAAAGGATAAAGACAAGCGAAGAGAGGAGATCAAGGAGCAACTTTTTTATGCCGCCAAAAATATTGGCTTTTTCACTCTGTGTGAACAGGATTGTCCATCGCGAGAGGACATTGAAGAGATGTTCCGATTATCTCAAAAGTTTTTTGGCCTTTCCCATGACGTCAAAATGAAAACACCTCATATTAAGTTGCTGAACTCGGGATTCGAGTCTTGCTCTCAAATAAGACCTTCGACCGGCACTGCAGATCAAAAAGAATCTTTGCAACTACAGTATCACAGAATCAATCAAAACTGGCCAGCTGAAGAAGACGTGGGCAAGGAGTGGAGAGAGAAAACAAAAGCTTTCATGGAAAAATGCCAGCATCTAAGCGACTTTGTGATGGAGTTATTTGCCGAGGCTTTAGGATATCCTACGGACTTTTTCACAAAAGCCCACATCATCAGTTCCGATACAGCCCAGACGACTTTGAGACTCCTGCACTACTTTGATACCAGCGGCAAGAAGTTTGACGGGAATTTCTGGAGAGCAGGACCCCACACGGATTTTGATTGTTTGACTCTTTTGTTTCAACGCACTGGCGACCATGGTCTAGAAGTTTGTCCTGGCCGTGAAGCTCATACAGATTTTGGCTACTCAGACAAATGGACACCCGTTCCATCAAAAACGGGCGATATTGTGATTAACATTGGCGATATGTTGATGTCCTGGTCAGACGATATTTTGAAATCTAACTTTCACAGAGTTCGACTTCCCACTCCAGACGAAAACCAAGGAGACCGCTACACCATTGCATACTTCAACCAGGCTAATACAGATGTTGTCATTCAGGGACCTCTGAAAAAATACCCCCCAGTGACCGGAAAAGAATTTATTGAAGAGGCTATGAGGAAAAACTTCGAGAGGCTGCAGAATGTTACCTAATATAATTTATCTTTAGATACGAAGCATTTTTTATTTTATCAAATATCTTTTCAGATAAGCTGATTTAGGAAATTGGTTTCATCCGACGTTTAAAAAACTTTTCCGTTTTACTCGATATTCAAATTATTTTGCTTTCATGCAGCAGGTTTCTTGGGAAAAGCTACAAGCTAAAGGTAATCCGTTACTTTCACCAGCTTACAAAAGTAACGGCCACGTATTTACATCCGGAAATGTCGGTAGTAAACCAGACGGGACGTTTCCATCGGATGTAGCTGAACAGACGAAACTGGCTATCCAAAAACTGGAAAAAGTGCTCCATGCTTCCGATTCCTCTCTTTCTCAAGTTTTGAAGGTCCTTTTGTTTATTGCGGATCCTAAGGATGCTGCCACTATCAACTCTGTGTACAAAGACTTCTTCCCTCATATGCCTTCCAGATCTTGTGTCGTTGTGGGATTCCCTAACAAGCAAGTGAAAGTCGAACTGGAGTGTGTTGCCAGCTACAACCAGAGAGGCTCTAAGCTATAGATTAATAGGTAAAACCCTACTCTTGAATATCAGACGATAGTTTTTGTTCAAGAACTTCAATTGCGTATCATCTAAAGTGCTACAGAATGTAGGCCGCAGACCCAGCCCTCTGCATTGATATCTAGTTGTTTTCAAAGGTCGGCTTCCAGTCCCAGTAAAAGCTAATTTCCTTAGGGGCATCGTCTGGAAGCTCACAGGCGGAGGCATAGTCAACCTCTGGAGTGATAATGTCAAGGTAATCCTCTAGTGGACAAGAGTAACCCGGTCCTGAAGAGCATCCTGGAACAGGATACACCTTGTCATTTAGAATGGTTCTCACAAAAGAGGTGTCAGAACAGTTAAGTTTCTCGATAATCAGTCTGGCTCCTTGAGGAACGAGCTCAGAGGTTTTGAAACTTCTGTGGAAATCCACGTCTTCTGTTCCCAACTCGGTATCGGTGATGAGTCCAAGAGCAGTGATATAGTTCAGTAAGTCGTTGTCGTGGGAAAAGGAAAGCCAAAGTTTGCCGTCTTCTTGCAGCAACTTGGCGGTAGCATTGGCATAGACACCGCCGGCCACGGCGCTCATGTTATAGCCAGGACCAAACTCATAGAACTTGGTGACATCGTTATTGTATTGCAGAGCAATAAATGCCTCTCTCGAAAGAGCATCGCAGAAGCTCGAATGCCCTTTGACATTCGTTTCGTAAGCACAATAGGTTCCCATGGTGGTAATGTCGTCAGCGGTGATGTTGAAGCCGGGAGATAATTCATTTAATCTGTCTGCTTCTCTTTGGAAAATCTCATCACCAAACGAATAATCGAAAAAAGAAGAGTTATATGTTGGACAATTGTCCTTGGTGGTCAGGGCATTTGCTCCTTTGCTGGTATCTGTTTCGTTGATGACTTGGATTGAGCAACCTTTTCCATAATCCGGCCCAAAAAATCCACGACCAAAAGATCTTGCGGTGTCCACAACCCTGTCCTCGCTTGCTGCAAATATAGGTAGAACTTCGCTTGTATTCACTAACGAGTCATATCTTTCCCTAAGATAGGTACCAAACTTGAAGGCATTGAGTAGGCCAGAGTACAGGCCCCTTGTAGTTTCAAGTTCATAATTATCGCTGTCTGGAACAAAGTACTCCAGATCCTCGACAAAGGCTAGAGGTCCTTTGTAGTCGATAACGTTGGCCTTCTTGAGTCTCTCATAAAATTTCTTATATTGCTTTCCAGAGCTTTCAGTCGGGAATCTTTCCCCGTGTCGCATGAATAATTGAGCCTGTTCAATTTCACAATGAGGAGGAGTATCAAGTGGAATGCCAAACCCACTATGCTCAACAAAGGGACCAGCGCCGACCATGAACTTTAGTAAGTTGTACTGGTCTGTGGCAACCTGGTCGTAGCCAGGGTGCAAAATGAGGCCATTGACCACAATGGCACCAAGAGTAAGTGTCGTTGCAAAGGAAAACATTGAGGTCAAGAGTGAGGTAGATTGACCATATTTATAGCGGAGTATCAAGGATTATTTTTTATTTTACAATTACTATTCCGGGTGAATATATTGCATGCAGTATTGTAGACCACAATAATTTTTAGCACGTGTGATGAATTAAGCCCGTTCTGGCCCAAAACTGCTCTACAATCTCCCGATCTCTCTCTATACTGCCTCGAAAGTGCTCGTGCTTCCTGCAGCTTGCATATTATAACCGTAAACGAACTCTCGCTCAAGTCTGGGTATGTCTGACGATTGGCGATCATAGAGGATATATAAAGTTTTTGTTTTGGAGATCGGTGAGATCGAGATTAGCAATGTCGACTGCCTCTTCAATTGTCTTGCCTGTCTCTGGGTCTTTCACCAAAACAACTCCCTTGACGCTGTCATCATCTCTTGCTGCTAGTCTCTCCTTATTTCTAGCTTTTAGGATGTAGTGAATCACGAACGCAACCACGGTTGTTCCAAACCAAGAGAGCACAATTTGGATAGTCCATGCAGCATAGTAACGTGGGCCCGTGCCATGGTCAGAATATCCCTGGTTGCCCTTCCAAAGTTGTGGCGAAATAATGTTCGAAACACCGTAAGACACCATAAGCATCAAATGTCTGACATAACGTTTGGTGTTACCACTGGCGGCAGCAGTACTCCATCCCAAGATTACAATGTAGGCCAGCGCAAATGTGTTTCCTGCAAGCACCAGCATCGCAAGCAATGCGAGCTTGTTGCTCCAAGGAATTGTCACCATAGCTATACCACTAGCTACCGCCGGCACGCAACCCAAGAAAGTGGCCCAATGGCTTTGGTTGGGGAAGTAGTAGATGAAGACGGATCCAAATATCATATAAGCCCAAGAAAATCCTGCTCCGGCAACGCTGACAAGAGTGGAGCCCAAGTTGGACACACCCAAACCGACATAAAGCAGATTTTGCTGGTATGCAAGGTTATTCGATAACATGATCAAAAACATTGCAAGGGAAAAGAGCCACGAAAGAGGGTCACGAAGACATTCGACAATTTGATCGCGTTTAATCACAGTTTGCGTAATAGACGAAGAGCTTGTAGCGTGAACTTTTTTGATGAGGAAATATTTCTCTCTCGTCGTGAGGAACTTTGCTGTCGTAGGATCAGCAGGATACCAAATCCAGCACACTGCAGTAACGATTAATGTCATACCACCAAGAATGATCATGAAAATCTTCCATGGCGGAATGGTTCCTGTTGCGTACAGAACTCCATAGGCAATGAAACCTGCAATAATATTTGGAGGACCAACACAGCTAACCCAGAAAATAGGCTGGATAGTTGCTCTTTGTTGCGGAGTAAAGAATTGAAGCATAGTCACTTCCAATGCGGGCACAACCACACTCTCTGTGACACCAAGCAGCAAGCGGAGGAAAATCAAGCCCACAAAGTTGTAAGCGGCACAGTGGCAGAAAACCAAGATGGCCCAAACAAAGAGTGTAACCGTCAGGAAGTACCTTTGATTGACCTTCTGCAACACGAAGTTCAAGGCCTGGCCCACAGTGTACCCAGTATAGAAAATTGAGTTCAAGTCGTCGTACTCCGTAGTTCCGATTCCTGTTGACTCATATAATCCGAGAATTGACGCATAAGATAAGGTAGCCTTGTCAATATACAGCATTGTGTTGATGATAGAGACCAGAGAAATAACGGCGATCAAAACCTTTTTCGTCATACGGGAGTCCTCTTCATCTGTGAGCGGTGAATTCTTGAAGTCCTCATCGTGGAGTTCAAGGAACGCTAATGTGCCGTCCGCATTTTTTTGGTCCACGACAGCGGGCACTTTTTCGCCATCTGAAAGAACCTGTGTTACAGAAGCTGTGCGTGAGCTAGAAGTCTCCTTAGACATTTTGAAGTACAATTCTAGCAGATCGAAAGCGCATTATATACTACCCTAGCGATGGGCGGAAACAAAGGTGTGGCTCGCATCACACCACGGAGAAGAATTGCTTAAAACGGATGAATGAAAAAAAAAGCCAAAAAAAAAAAAACCTTCTGCACTGCCGTGCGTACAGCGCTGGCAGACCCGAATCTGAGAGAAAGAAAATACGCCCCGTCAGCTGTCAGGAAACTACATTACCTGAGTAGTTGCCAAACTCGGGACAACTCCTCTACTGCACTTGATTCGGCTGAAAGCAGCAATTTTAAGTCAGCAACTCTTGAAATTTTTTTTTGCGGAATCTGCCATCTTAAACCACTAACCAAACTGCAAAAATGGGATCAATCCTGAAAAAAACATCATCATTTTTGAAAAGCCACAACTGAGAGGGTCCACAAGCCGGCAAATGAGCCGGGAGTAAAGCCGTGTTCACCAATAAGGAATCTACACGCGAATCGTGGATGCGGCTGCTATATCGCAATATGATCGGAGACCCACACCCCGTGTTCCTCAAAAGAGAGAAGCAAGTCCGAAAGATAGGAATTTAATTGTGGCTGAACAGGTATACCGATTTTCCTCAAGAATCTAAGTCCGTTGTTGCTCTACTGTGAGCCAGTGAACAGACTGGTTGTGAAGTGCTCAATGGTGCCTCCAGATGTGGGGATGGAAATTAATTCATATACGAACAAAGGGTTTGAATCACATTATGCAAAACACCCCTTGATTGTACTCAGCAGCATTTGACGGGCAAAACTTGATTAGCGAATCTTGGCAAAAATAGGTCTCAAAAATTTTCACCCCCTATTTAGGTTTACAATGGAAATAAAATTCCAACTAGGCGATTTCAATTCCGCAGAGACCGTGACCTGTAGCCTTTTGTCCGCATCTGAACCTCATAGAAACAATTAGGTAGTATTGTTAGTGTTTAGTCAATTCATTAAACTCTCCAAAGTACCTTAGCCAACAACTCCCAATTGAAGTCAAAAACTGGGTGAGCATAGTTCTTGATGACACAAAATACGCCAGATCACCTTTTGAAATCAAGATTTCCATGTCCTGCTCCCTTCTCAAGCGTCTGCATGAGTAGTTACAGAAGCCTCAATTTCTGTATACACTATCTCTAGATTGCCTCGAGTACTGTTGATATGGAAGGAAGGATTTTCTCCATCATGTTCGTGGTAATAAGATATTCTATCTGTTTTGTGTCAATTCAAAATGAAACCCATTTTTGTCTTCTGTGACTTGGTCAGATTCCTATATATTTCGGACGCTTAACATAATCTCAAACTTATCTCATATAGGATGTACTGACACCATCGAACTGAGATCTCACCCAGGAGTGAGCCACGGATGTCCAATTTGATATACCATAAGCCAGTGACCCCTAAACAAGCTGTATCCATCTATTGGCCATTGCGGTTACTAGAGAAAAAAGGGTTCAATTTGAAAAGGAGTTAGCGAAGGCACATTAAGTTCAAAAATGCCATGAGACTTCTTCGTCGGCCTTAAGTTTGAGTGCAAAAATATCATAAGTGAGGTCAAGCAAATTGCTTGATAAATCCTCACTCATGAAAGATATAGAGTGCTTAAATGTGCACTGCCTAAGTGACCCCAAAATGGATCCTCAGACAAGATACGAGTTGCCTTCGAGGTGGCAAGTTTTGGCTGGGCAACTCGCATTGCCCCGGTCTGATGCAACAGGAAGTCGTGCCAAAGTGTGACATCAATAACCCTAATTTAAACACTTTACACACCGATCACTCTGCAGTCGAAAATCTGAAGAAGTCTTGATATCTGCGTGATATCACATCTCCTGCTCTGGTACGATATCCCCTTGACAGGTTTCTCCTTAGTAAATTTCAAGTAAGTGTGTCCTGATACGATGAAAATGTCATTGGTTCACCTTCAAACCCAATCATCTACTTTTTGGCAATTGGAGTGCTCCAAATTACATGTGGAGACTATGGACTGGAACTTAAAAGGGTGAATGTGTTCGATTTTCTTGAAATCACTGACAAAGGTACCTGAAACCATTTTTGTAGTTTAAGATAAATGGTCCTAAATGCAGTTTCTTGGGCTGAATTAAACAGCAAGCTTTGATTAGGATGCGTTGCACCACTCTTAGATGTAAACTAAACGTTGTTATTATTGCCTAGTTTACGCAAACCCACAGTGGTCAACACCACTAGCGGTTATTTTTTTTTATCAAAGCTTATCAGGGATGCATATCTTTTTTCCAGTTTCGGTCTCGAAACAATAGATAAGATTTTTAAGGGGCCAGGTCAATTCTAAGCGGCATTTGAAATGGTCGCTTTTTTTCGATTCTCACAATAATAACAAGGTTTTCATTTTTGTTCCTGAATACTCAAGACCTTCAATGAAAGAACAAAAGCAGCCTGTTGTTACAGTTGTGGATTCAGACTCCTCTTCAGTTTCGTCTGTGCAGCAAGGACTGAAGAGAAACCTAAAGCCGAGACATGTCAATTTCATAGCTCTCGGGGGATCTCTAGGTGTTGGACTGCTCATTGGAAGTGGAGGCGCTCTTGCAATTGCTGGTCCTGTGGGTATGCTCATCTCGTATGCCCTAATGGGTGTGATAACAATGTGCACGATTTTTTCTCTCGCCGAGATGTGTGCTTATCTGGGCCGCGAGGGGAATTTTATCGAAATTATGGCAAGATTCATTGATAAGTCCACAGCGTTTGCCTTCACATGGTCTAATGCTCTTAGTTTTAGTCTCACGCTCCCTTCTGAGATCTCTTCAATATGCCTGCTTATCGGGTTTTGGGACACTGATAAAAAGCTACCTGATTGGGCGACTGTTCTCATATTCACATTCATTATCATCATGGTTAACATAGTGGATGTTGGAGCATACGGGGAAGTTGAGTTTTGGGTCACTATGATAAAATTGATTTTGTTCGTTGGCAGCATCTTCTTTTGCTTGATAGCTACATGTGGAGGCAATCCTTTGCACAAAACCACAGGCTTCCAGTACTGGAGAAATCCTGGACCGTTTGTTAATTACCTTACAGATAAGCCTGTAGGAAAATTTCTTGGAGTTTGGAGAGTTCTGGTGAACGCTGCTTTTGGTTACCAAGGAAGTGAAACAATTGGACTTGCAAGTGGAGAAACTCCCAACTTTAGAAAGCTGGCACCTGCTGTGATGAAATCAGTCGCAATTCGTGTTGTGACATTCAACGTGCTATCATTATTTATGGTGTCGCTTATGGTTGCATCTAACGACCCCAACCTTTTGAGCGCCATCAATGCTGGTGCTGGTAATGGTGCCCAGTCCCCATTTGTGATTGCAGTCGAAAATGCTGGTGTTAAGGTCCTTCCATCAATTGTCAATGGTGGCATCTTAATTGCCGCATTCTCTGCTGCCAACACTCAAATTTATATTCCTTCAAGATCCTATTACTATGGAACCAAGTACGGTTTCTGCCCCAAGTGGTTGATCAAGACCAATAGAAACGGCGTTCCCTACTACTCTGTTCTTTTCAACGGTGCGTTTGGACTTCTTGCACTTCTCACCTTGAACAATACTGCCGCACAGGTCTTCAATTGGCTCATGAATCTTGTCACTGAGTTTGGATTCATTTGTTGGGCTTTGATCAACTACGCCTTTCTAAGGTATTACTACGGGCTAAAAAGACAAGGAATTGACAGAAGTTCAATTCCGATATACAAGTCCCCACTACAGCCTTACTCAGCTATATTTGCATGTTTCATGCTTGTTCTTGTTGCCATTACCCAGGGGTTCACTGCTTTCATACCATGGGATACACAAAACTTCTTTGCGGCTTACATTTCTTTGATTCTTTATTTTGTTTTCTGGCTCGGATATAAACTGTGGACCCGTGACTTTAGAGAGATTCCACTTGACAAGATTGACTTTTCATATCCTGAGGATGAAGAAGATCTAGAGTATGACAACAAAACTGCAAAAGTCATGGATAAGATTTTTTGTTGATGACTCTAAGTGCTACACAAGTATGAGAGGGACACACTCTACTGGGCGCCGGACCCAGCGCACGGGTACATCGATTATGAGTTCTACAAGGGGGAGACTAAACAGCTGAGAGATAGAGTAGATAGAAATATTAGGGTGGCCAAGTTTAAGAACTACACCGACCCCTGCCCGGTATAAGGTAAAAATATAAGGTAAGCATAATTTTTTAAACATGGCTGAGACACGAAAATATAGAAGTCGTAAAAGCCGGCCATGTGATTTCTGTCGGCGGCGGCGCATGGCGTGTCTGAAAAAAGAGAAGGCAGACAAGTGCGAGGGATGTGGTCTTCGCAACCAGTCGTGCACGTACACTACGGGCCCTATCAAGAAGAAGCGTCCAGACAGCTGGAAGGTGGAGACGGCCAACCCTTGCATTTTTCGACTCGAGCGGCGACCAGACGTTGCTCCTGCCGAGAACAACGCATTGGAGCTCCATAACGGCAAGACTAGCTTGTTTGTGGGATTCAGTGGAGACCGGGATCCGTGGCTGTTGAGAAGAATTGGGGAGGCAGCAGGCGCAGATTCAGGGACAACATATTTGCTGAAGAATACTAGCGCGCAAACGCCGATTGTGTTTGCTATGCACCCCACCGAGTATCTCGAGCCACGCCCGGGGTGCTACGAGGTAGATGCCGTGAGGGAGGCGGCCAAGCCCGTAGAAGACAGCTTGTTGGAGACGTATTTCTCTGTGGTGAACTCCTCGTATCCCATCATGAACCAGTCAGTTTTCTATGAGGAACTGCGCAACGGGACGATCTCTGCGACTCTTCTTGCTTCGATGTACGTGGTGGCATATCCGTTTTTCCCCGACAAATCTGTGGTTGAGAAGAAGGCTGCCGATTGGTTCAAACTCTCAGACTTCACTGCGCGCGCTCTCCCACTGGAGCAAGGAGCGTCGACCATGCAGACTGTCCAGGCAACCCTTCTGAAGCTGCACGAGCGCCCGATGATCATTCGAGACGCCAACTTCCCGCGCCATTGGGTACAGACAGCGTCTCTCGTTGCGTCTGCACAGGAACTGGGACTGCACATTGACCCCGTCGGCTGGGACATCCCATGGCGAGAAAAGGCTATGCGACGCAGGCTCTGGTGGCTGATATACGTGCACGACAAGTGGGAGAGCCTGGGATTGTCGCGTCCTTCACACATACACAGCGACGATTTCAGTGTCGGCGAGATCAGCGAAAGCGACTACGAGGACACGGTTCCGGGAGTACGGATGTTCCTTGTGATGGTGCGCCTGACCAAAGTACTTTCCGAGCTGCTAACGCGGTTCTACACGGTCAAGGCTCTGCAGAGACCAGCTGAGGAGTCCATGGCGATCGGCGTCGAGCTCTTAAACAGGATAGATGCAATTGACACAATGTACTTTCCAGTCGCAAGTCCTGCCGGACCTATGGCTTCGTTGGTGCTCGCGAAGACAACGCTGGCACTGTCATGCTGTCGGTCAATCCTCTACACAGATACAGATGCGTGCTACGCGTCTCTGACTTCACGGGCTCTAAACTACTGCAGCGAGTTCAACGTGTTTCTTACGGGCCTGCAGTTTGACGGTTTCTGGTGGTGCTACTCACAGATGAACTTCTCAATTGTGGGAACCTGCATGCTTGCCTTCTACGTAATTGCACAAAGCAAGGTTGACGGCGAGGCTTGGAAGAGCCAGGTCGAGTGCTACCGCAACAATCTGTCCGCGCTGGCCGAACAAACACACGTGACGCAGCTTGCCTTGATGCGTTTCGATGCGTTGTACGAAAGGATCGGCAAGCGGACAGGAGGCGATGTTCCGAAGAGAGTGGTGGCAACGGACGAAGACCTCTTTGGTGAGTGGCTAGCAAACAACGGATTCTAGCCCGCGGGTCATTTTGTTGGGTGTGCCACGACCAAAACATTGTTTCTCTCGCTGCGGTAGCATTGTTTTTTGCCCGCAGGAGGAAGAAAATAATATATAAGCCAGGGGGGTCTGGGGTAGTCGGCAATGACCACCACAACTATCACAACACTAAGACTGGAGAGCCGCTTCAAGGAACTCAAGCGCGAAATCATCAGGCCAGAAAACCACGAGGCTGTCCAGGCCTCCTGGGGAAGACTACTGAAAGCTCTGGACAGAAAGGCCGACGAGATCAGCCGTGCAGGCTCGTCTTACATCCCAGAGGTCAACTGGGGGGACATTGAGAACGGTGGTTTTACCGAGGAGATGACTTCTCTGATCCACGCCCGCGGCTGCTTGATTATCCGCGACGTGATCGACGATGAGCAGTGCAACCAGTGGAGAGAGGATACCAAGAAGTACATCGAGAGCCATCCTGGTATCACCGGGACTCCACGCACTGGTGTCACCAGCAATTGGTTTATTCATTGGTCGAAGGCACAAGTGGAGGCAAGAAGCCACCCTCGCATGGTTCAGCTTATGAAGGCTGTTGGTAAGTTGTACAAAAACAACGACCCTGACGCTCTTCTGGACATGGACTCGCAAGTTGTGTATGCTGACCGTTTGAGAATCCGATACCCCGGGCGCGACAGCACGCTCCCACTGCATCTGGACTCGAGCTCTATCGAACGGTGGGAGGACGAGCAGTACAGAGACGTGTATCGGGAGATTTTCGAAGGCCGATGGGAAGACTGGGATCCAAACCTCATTGACAGACGTCCTTCTGCAAATCAGGATCTGTACCAAGGTATGAGTAGCAACGGGTCTACGTGCAGTGTGTTTCGCTCGTTCCAGGGTTGGTTGGCTCTTTCTGACGCCAAGCCTGGCGAGGGAACCATCTGGTTTTTGCCGGACCTGAAATGTGTTTTGGCGTACATTTTGCTCAGACCCTTCTTTGATGAGCGGGGCAATTTGGACCTGAGCTCTGCACAGTTCCCAGGCGCAACACCTGGCTCTGGTCAGTTCATGGCAAACGACAGGGCCATGTTTCCGCATTTGCAGCATGACAAGAGCGTGGTTGGCATTCCTTACGTCAAGCCCGGCGACTTTGTCTTGTGGCACGCAGATCTTTTGCACGAAGTGGACGAGGAGCACAAAGGCGACAAGGAGTCGTCTGTCGTCTATATTGCACACACCCCGCTGTGTCCTTACAACATTGAGACTTTGAAGGACTCGAGAGAGTGCTTCGAATCAGGAGCAAAGCCACGAGACTTTAGGTACGAATATGATGATGGTCCTGACGAGTCGTCGTATGAGGATCGGGGACGTGAGGAGCACTTGCTGTCGCTGGAGGGCAAACAAGCGCTGGGTTTGGTTCCGTTTGACGTGAATGAGGAAGGTCTGACCCCGGGTCAAATCGCCGTCCGCAAAATGGCAAACGAGGCAATGCAAGGATATTGGAGCACAAGTCAGTCAGCACCAGTTATGCAGAAAACTAGCCAAGTTGAGTAGTTAAAGAAGAGAATTAGAGCTTTTCATAACATAATGTTAATTGGGGCGTTCTCGAGGATCTAGCCGAAAAATCATATGCAACTTGAACAATAATGCTCAGCAAATTTATCTTTGTGCGCTGGGAAAAAGTGTGGAGTGCTAAGTGCGGCTATCGCTTAAATTTCCTATCCAAGAAACAAGGTTTCGAATCGAACACATCATTGTTTTTCTAAATGATTGAGGCTGCAATCTGGTGACGACGTGTGGCAACTGAGATATTCATAACGAGGCAGTGGGTTTGCACTGTATCGAAGTTGTGGCAGACACTCTTTTCAGCCCGCCGTTTGGACCACGGTTCTGGCAGTTCCCATAAATGATGGTGACAAAAAATCTGAGGCGCTTGCCGCATTTTGTGATCCGAAGGTGTATCTATCGACGATTATTCAATTTTGCCAAGATATCCTCATGTACGGGTTTTCCACGTTCTTACCGTCGATCCTAAAGAGCGATCTTGGCTACACTTCACTGCAAGCACAATATCTGACAGTCCCCTGCTACATGTTTTCGGGCATTGTTTTCATTCTTGCGGCCAGAATATCTGACAAGACTAGAATAAGGGGACCGCTGATTATCTTGCTAGATTTGTTTGGGGTTGTTGGATACGCACTTATCCTTGGAAACACTAGCAGCGGAGTCAAATACTTTGCGTGCTATCTCATCTGCATGTGCTTGTACGTCCCGGGGTTGAACGAAGCCTGGCTGGCCACGAACCTAGCTCCAAGATTCAAGAGGGCCATGGGTCTGGGAATAAATCAGACTCTGGGAAATGTCGCAGGCGTTGTGAGCGCACAGGTCTACCGAAAGCCTCCAAAATACGTACTGGGTCATGCATTTACTCTTGGGTGCATTGGAATGGGAATTGTGTGCTCAGGGTTGAGCACGGTTCTCCTCGTTCGTCGCAATAAGGCCAATATAAAAGCGTGCGAGACAGGCGTTGATGTGCGTGGGCTGAAGCGAGATATTGGCGATGACTCGATTGAGTTCCGGTTTGTTACATAGAAGAGAGGTTAAGAATTATAGTGACCCCCTGCCGGATATAGGATAAGGAAGAGATTAAGATAAGGAAGAGATAGAGCAACTTTAATATATGTAGATTTGTAAAGGTGAGTAATTAAAGATGGGAGGACAGACAAGATGAGGATGGAGGGAGGGGCATGCTAGATCACATAATAGGCACTGGCGTAGCGAGCTGTATGACGACCACAAGAGGGCTGTCGTGGAGCAGAGTATTTTTCCAGCTGATAAAGTTTTTCAGGGATGGCACACGTGACAAACTATTTTAAGAGTGAGGTCAGAGGAGCAAATAAGCCGGTCCCGAATTCTGTCCAATAGGCCAGGGGAAGGGGCCGTTCCCATTAATGCTGCAAAGACATAAATAGGAGAGTGGGTCTCGACTGGAGAGGTGGAATTATACTAGGACGGAAGGGTTCTGGCAAGTGGCTCTTGGATGAGGGAGTTGGGAGGTGAGGCAGGGGAGCACGGTGGATGTGGGCAGTAGTGAGAGGAGAGGAGGCTTGAAGATGAGCAGAGGTAGCGGTGATTGGACATTGACTGGACGTTGACTGGACATTGGACTTGACCACTTGGGCTTGGTCAGTTCGGCAGTTTGCTATTCTGGCACTTGGCCAGTTCGGCACTTTGCTACTCTGCCAGTTCGGCACTTTTTGAGGAATGCAGAGGGCTGGGTAGATGTGATGGGGTGCTAAGAGCTAGGGAGGCGTGGGTAGTGGCAGTGGTAGTGGTAGTCAGAGCAGATAAGAGAATATATACAAATAAATAATAATAAATTAATGTTAAGACAAGAGAAGAGAAGAAGAAAGTAAAGTAGGAGCAGGTGGTGTAGGGATGCGGCAGGGAGGGGCAGGACGCGGTCGACAGTTGGTTTCAGGATGCGGTCTGAGGCTTGGGTGGCGGGGTGGCGGGGTGGCGGGGTTGGCGGGGTGGCGGGGTGGCGGGGTGGCGGGGTGGCGGGGTGGCGCGCCCCGCTGTCGAGCTGGCCGGGTTTGCCAGGCGTCCCTGAGTCCCGGCTGATTCTGTCGTGTGCTCCCGTCCGCCACCACAGCGCGCAACCCTCTGCGAGGCACTCTCTAATCCACTGGGTCGATTTAATACTTCGAGCACCCCTTCCCTGAGAGGAGAATAGTTTTTNATGTATNANTTCTTTATATAAGTAAAAGACCCCGCCCCCCCGGGCCGCCGCAAATGCATATTANTGCCATAAATAATTTCAATGCAAGCTCCCCCTTGAGGTGGCCAGGCGACATTACCGCCGCTCCTGCACGGCGACACGATGCACATGTATGGAGAGGCCGGGTAGTCTCAACAAGGCGACACGACCTGGGAATCGCATTCGGCGAACTCACCGAACCCGCTCCAGACAAACCCTCCTGGCTCGACGCGCCCGAGCCTGCCCCTCTCCGGCCCCCCCTACGAGTATGAGGACGCCCTCGCTCCGCGCTTCTGCCACACAGGAGTCTGCGAAGGGTTCCCAATAAGAGCCCTTACAAGATACCGCCCGACACTATACCCGGCAAACGCCATCCCGTAAGAAATCTCCACAGGGTTCAGCGCCGGCCCCAAGCCTCCCATACCGGGA